AATGTCGGTATGTGGTCTATAAGCGTTCGTATGCGGGCTACGACGCTCCGTATGCGGTGTATAGTACTCTGTATGCGGTGTATAGTACTCTGTAAACGTTGGTATGCGGTCTATAGCGGTCTGTCGCTTATTTTTTGTATGCCGCTTAGAAATATTTGTATGTCGCTTAGAAATATTCGTATGTGGACTACAAATGTCCGTATGTGGTCTACGAACGTTCGTATGTGGACTACGACACTCTGTATGCGGTCTATAGTGGTGTGTAGCACTCCGTATGCGGTCCATAGCATTCTGTACGCGGTCCGTAGCATTCTGTATGCGGTCTATAGTGGTCTATGGTACTCTGTATGCGGTCTACTAAACATGACGGTCGATTTTTTATAAATGCGTGATAAATGTGTGACATAATAGATCTACACGAAAAGATAACGTTCCTCACCGAACCACTAAACGAAACACTAAACCTGATTCTAATCCTCACCTAATTCTGACTGTAACCGAAGCTATAACCGAAACACTAATACCTCTAACGTGGTGTGACTCTAATCTAAACCTCTAACGGATACTTGAAATAACGTCGTCTAGTATGTCGCTTAGAAGTATTTGTACGTCGCTCGTAAATATGGGTATGTCGCTTAGAAACGTTCGTTTGCCGCTTAAAAGTATTTGTATGCCGCTTAGAAACGTCCGTATGTCGCTTACGACACTCTGTATGTGGTCTACTATGCTCCGTACGTCGTTTATCGTACTCTGTATGCTGCCTGTAGTAAGCGTCGGTATGTCGCTTGGAGGTATTTTTTGTATGCCACTTAGAAATATTTGTATGCCGCTTAGAAATATTTGTATGCCATCTACGAACGTTTGTACGTGGTCTACGAATGTCGGTATGTGGTCTATAAGCGTTCGTATGCGGGCTACGACGCTCCGTATGCGGTGTATAGTACTCTGTATGCGGTGTATAGTACTCTGTAAACGTTGGTATGCGGTCTATAGCGGTCTGTCGCTTATTTTTTGTATGCCGCTTAGAAATATTTGTATGTCGCTTAGAAATATTCGTATGTGGACTACAAATGTCCGTATGTGGTCTACGAACGTTCGTATGTGGACTACGACACTCTGTATGCGGTCTATAGTGGTGTGTAGCACTCCGTATGCGGTCCATAGCATTCTGTACGCGGTCCGTAGCATTCTGTATGCGGTCTATAGTGGTCTATGGTACTCTGTATGCGGTCTACTAAACATGACGGTCGATTTTTTATAAATGCGTGATAAATGTGTGACATAATAGATCTACACGAAAAGATAACGTTCCTCACCGAACCACTAAACGAAACACTAAACCTGATTCTAATCCTCACCTAATTCTGACTGTAACCGAAGCTATAACCGAAACACTAATACCTCTAACGTGGTGTGACTCTAATCTAAACCTCTAACGGATACTTGAAATAACGTCGTCTAGTATGTCGCTTAGAAGTATTTGTACGTCGCTCGTAAATATGGGTATGTCGCTTAGAAACGTTCGTTTGCCGCTTAAAAGTATTTGTATGCCGCTTAGAAACGTCCGTATGTCGCTTACGACACTCTGTATGTGGTCTACTATGCTCCGTACGTCGTTTATCGTACTCTGTATGCTGCCTGTAGTAAGCGTCGGTATGTCGCTTGGAGGTATTTTTTGTATGCCACTTAGAAATATTTGTATGCCGCTTAGAAATATTTGTATGCCATCTACGAACGTTTGTACGTGGTCTACGAATGTCGGTATGTGGTCTATAAGCGTTCGTATGCGGGCTACGACGCTCCGTATGCGGTGTATAGTACTCTGTATGCGGTGTATAGTACTCTGTAAACGTTGGTATGCGGTCTATAGCGGTCTGTCGCTTATTTTTTGTATGCCGCTTAGAAATATTTGTATGTCGCTTAGAAATATTCGTATGTGGACTACAAATGTCCGTATGTGGTCTACGAACGTTCGTATGTGGACTACGACACTCTGTATGCGGTCTATAGTGGTGTGTAGCACTCCGTATGCGGTCCATAGCATTCTGTACGCGGTCCGTAGCATTCTGTATGCGGTCTATAGTGGTCTATGGTACTCTGTATGCGGTCTACTAAACATGACGGTCGATTTTTTATAAATGCGTGATAAATGTGTGACATAATAGATCTACACGAAAAGATAACGTTCCTCACCGAACCACTAAACGAAACACTAAACCTGATTCTAATCCTCACCTAATTCTGACTGTAACCGAAGCTATAACCGAAACACTAATACCTCTAACGTGGTGTGACTCTAATCTAAACCTCTAACGGATACTTGAAATAACGTCGTCTAGTATGTCGCTTAGAAGTATTTGTACGTCGCTCGTAAATATGGGTATGTCGCTTAGAAACGTTCGTTTGCCGCTTAAAAGTATTGGTATGCCGCTTAGAAACGTCCGTATGTCGCTTACGACACTCTGTATGTGGTCTACTATGCTCCGTACGTCGTTTATCGTACTCTGTATGCTGCCTGTAGTAAGCGTCGGTATGTCGCTTGGAGGTATTTTTTGTATGCCACTTAGAAATATTTGTATGCCGCTTAGAAATATTTGTATGCCATCTACGAACGTTTGTACGTGGTCTACGAATGTCGGTATGTGGTCTATAAGCGTTCGTATGCGGGCTACGACGCTCCGTATGCGGTGTATAGTACTCTGTATGCGGTGTATAGTACTCTGTAAACGTTGGTATGCGGTCTATAGCGGTCTGTCGCTTATTTTTTGTATGCCGCTTAGAAATATTTGTATGTCGCTTAGAAATATTCGTATGTGGACTACAAATGTCCGTATGTGGTCTACGAACGTTCGTATGTGGGCTACGACACTCTGTATGCGGTCTATAGACATATTCGTATGCCATCTACAATTGTTGGTATGTCGCCTACAACACTTCGTAGGTGGGCTACGACACAGCCACACAGGGCTTCTCACTGCAGGTGGCCGTCCAGGACGGCCGTGTAAGTTTGTTGGTACCCTTAGTGGCAGTCTGAGATGAGCGTTTATTAGGTATGTCATGTATGGCCTTCCAGTACTACCACTTATTGTTCATCCCTGTGAAGGCCATTGAAGCAGATGGCCATCCAAGATGACCACCTATAGTCAGTACCACAGGTGGCCGTCCGGGACGGCCATTTCTTGTGCAAGCCATGCATGGCCTTCCTGGACTGCCACTTGGTTTATCCCTCTGGTGGCCACTACAGCAGGTGGCCGTCCAGGAAGGCCATTTCTTGTACAAGCTGTACATGGCCTGCCTGGACTGCCACTTGTGGTTTGTCACTCTCATGGCCACTACAGCAGATGGCCGTCCGCGACGGCCACTCATGGTCAGTACCACAGGTGGCCGTCGAGGAAGGCCATTTTTTGTGCAAGCTATGCATGGCCTTCGTGGACTGCCACTTGTGGTTTGTCCCTCTGGTGGCCACTACAGCAGGTGGCCGTCCGGGAAGGCCATTTCTTGTACAAGCTGTACATGGCCTGCCTGGACTGCCACTTGTGGTTTGTCACTCTCGTGGCCACTACAGCAGATGGCCGTCCGCGACGGCCACTCATGGTCAGTACCACAGGTGGCCGTCGAGGAAGGCCATTTTTTGTGCAAGCCATGCATGGCCTTCCTGGACTGCCACTTGTGGTCTGTCTCTCTGGTGGCCACTGCAGCAGGTGGCCGTCTGGGAAGGCCATTTCTTGTGCAAGCTGTTCATAGCCTTCCTGGACTGCCACTTGTAGTTTGTCACTCTCATGGCCAGTACAGCAGATGGCCATCCAGGATGGCCACTCATGGTCAGTACCACAGGTGGCCGTCCAGGAAGGCCATTTTTTGTGCAAGCCATGCATGGCCTTCCTGGACTGCCACTTGGTTTATCCCTCTGGTGGCCACAACAGTAGGTGGCCGTCCAGGAAGGCCACTCATGGTCAGTGCCACAGGTGGCCGTCCGGGAAGGCCATTTCTTGTGCAAGCTGTATATGGCCTTCCTGGACTGCCACTTGTGGTCTGTCCCCCTGGTGGCCACTATAGCAGATGGCCGTCCAGGACGGCCACTCACAGCCGCTGTGCTTTGCTGACTGTGCCACCTGGCCTATGCAGCCATCTGAGCCTCTTTTGGCCGCGAGCTATGGTTGAGGAGTATGAGGCTTTTGAAGTGGCATTGGTTATGGATGTGTCGCTGTAATAATACATATCATGATTGCGTAGTACATTACTACAGGTCTAGTTTATCATATGCTTACTACAGTGGCAGCCTAGCATTCCTAACTGGGACCCATGTCGGTAATACACCACCACCACCATGCATGGCCGTCCACGACGGCCGTGCAGGACAGTGGCGACTCACCAGCGCTAGTGATGGTACACGTGCCAACAGCACCTTTCGTAGTGTTCGGCAACAGCCTCCTTCCCAAAGCAGACACATACCCCTAGCCTTGGCTCAGGTTCCACTCAGTACTGGCAGTTCATGCACCTCGAACGGCCGTCCAGGACGGCCACTCGTGGCCAGCGTGGTTTACCTCCTGTGCCACCTGGCCTATGCAGCCAGTGGAGCCTCTCCGTGCATGGCCGTCCACGACGGCCACGCAGGTCAGAGGCCCCTCACCAGCGCTAATGATGTCGCACGTGCCCTACGGCACTGTCCATAGGGTTCGGCAATGGCCTCTTTCCTAAAGCGGACATGTACCCCTAGCCCTCGGCTCAGTGAACCCCCATCCTAGGGTTGGGGTCCCCCGCCCTCTGCGACCCTACGGCCGGCCTAGGGGGCCTCATAACTGCCGATTACCTTATGATTACTTACTGACTGCATACCTAGCCTACGATTATTCTACATAGGTATGCTTCAATATATTCTCAGTTCCTTACGGACAAGAGGAAAACTGAGGCCTACGATTATTCTACATAGCCCGCAACTCGTAATCTCTACAGCCTCATAACCCTAAGGCTCACCCCACCCTCCCTCGGCTCTCATCGACATGTTTGGGCAGACCACGGCGAACGACGGCACCGCAGTGGTCGCGTCGGCCACCGCGGAGGAACGACTGAGCCGACCTCCCTCCTGGCGTTCTCCAGCGCCCGACGCTGGCCCGCGTCACCTCCCAGCACCGTCAGCCAACCCTCCTTGACTCTTGTTCGCCATCTGCGGTGAACGACTGTGCCTCGGACCTGCCTTCGAAGATCGAGCGCCGGTCATGTCCACCTCTCTCGCGCACTGAAACGCAATGCGCTTCAGCACCCGTATATCCAGCAGTGCTCGCGCACTAGAGGTGAGTAAAAAAATGTTTTTTTTTCGGTTTTTTCAGTTTTTTCTAACGGTGCTAACGATCTCCACCCCAGTCGACACGCTACATCGACGGGCACGCACATCCGCTGCCCCATTCCTCTCGAACGCCGCGGTGCCACTCCCCTCGAACGCCGCGATCTCAGCACAAGGCACCTCGGTCCTCGTCCGCACGGGCCAGCCACAGACACGGAACGCGCAGCAACAACGGCTTGGGATCGTGCGTCGACGGGCACGCACGTCCGCCATCCCTGTCCCCTCGAATCTCGTCGTCCCACTCCTCTCGAACCCCCTGGAATCCCACTCCTCTCGAACAGCGCCGTGCGACTCCCCTCGAACAGCGCCGTCCCTTTCCCCTGGAACGCCGCCTTTAACGCACAACTCACCGCAGTCCTCGTCCGCACATCCCACTCTCTCGAACCCCCTGGTCCGACTCCCCTCGAACCCCGCCGTCCCATTCCCCTCGAATGCCGCCATCCCAGTCCCCTCGAACACCGCGATCTCTGCACAACGCACCACGGTCCTAGTCCGCGCGACCCAGCGAGAACCGCAGAACGCGGAGCAACAGCGCATGCTAGGTCGACGCGCACGCACGTCCGCCGCCCCGCTCCTCTCGACTCCCCCAGTCCCACTCCTCTCCAACGCCGCCGTCCGACTCCCCTCCAACGCCGCGATCTCCGCACAACGCACCTCGGTCCTCGTCCACGCGACCTTAGTTAGTTAGTATTTAACCTCATCATGGTGAAGTCTTACTGTCAAACTCCTTCGAATATCGTTTCGAGTCCAACATGTCTGCGGTGAGTACTCTCGAGGTGTTTTTCTGTGCCATAAGGAGGCTGAAGTACGTTTCGTAACCCAGATGCAGCATAAACACTTCAATACCTTTCTCAACGACCTAATGCTGTCGTCGAAGACCTCTTCCGCGCCGACGCCGTTCCCGCTCACCAACGAGCAGAATGGGCCCACGAAGCTCGTCCGGGAGAAGTGTGCTAGCCCCCTCACCGTACATTTCGAATTGTGCGCGGACTCGCTGTCGACCGCACGCACAACGCGCGTACTGTCCGCGGTACGCTCTTCTACCCCCCATGTCATTTTTCGTTCCTGCCCTGGCCAGGTTCGCATGAACCTTCCGACCCTCCCCCTTCGGCCGCAACAAAAGTGGCTCGTGTGTCTGGCGTGCCGCGAAGTACTCGACGTGCGCGTGTAGAAATCGCCGTGTTCTTCCTAGCGTTAGGCCTTCGGCCTATAGATTGATTGGGCTTCCGAGTGCACAGTATCGGAATCTCTATATCCACGAAATTTTTTCCATAGAAGAGTAGGCATACAGTAGCAACGACACCTTCGAAGGGACACGTTCACGTCAGTTCCAGTTCCTATACAACCGGGTAAGTGTATATCAAAGTGTGAAGGGTATGTAATCCAGGGAGGTATTAGACAAAGGGATCTGAGGAACTACGGGGAGTAATATAGTACGGAATTACATTACTTGTTACATTACTGATTGATCGCGATGACAAGCTGGACCTTCATTTCGGTGTCTGCAGCACCGACATGATAGCTTCGATTCCCCTCATACCTGCGAGAGGGCATCAGAACGCTGAACGTAGGAGAGTGCGTAATTGCCCACCTAGACCACTTGATGGATAGCAGATATACAACTGTCGAAGTACACAAGTCATAAGCACACCACGACATCGTCGCACATCAGCGACTGCTTACTGGATCTTGGTGAATACCGAACTTCGACCTGAAGTCACCCTTGTTCATGAGATGAAACGTATGTGACAGGCCATTGTATATCCTTTCCAGAGTTCGCACCCTGAATCCGCCAACGTTGTCGGCGCGTTGCAGGCGCGGTGCGGCACCAGCGCCGAAAGTCGCAGAGCGAACCCCCGCATCACCAAGCTTCTTTATGACCGATGCGAGAATGTACTCAATCGCGCCGTTGGGTGCACCATCAAACTCTAGTGCCCACTTGATCTGGAAGCCGTGAGTGGGCGAAAGTTGCGCCAACACGACCAGCGCACAGATCTGAAAGAAAATGTGGTCAACCTTATGCTAGTGGTGCACGGATACGGCTCAGACCTCCTGGTTCTTATCGCGTGCGTAGAAATATTTGCGGTGTACCATGTCGTCGAATGGCCGCACGCCCGTCAAGTGGATTTGCGTGCCCTTCCTACTCTCCTCCCATTCCTTGCATCGCCGCTCGAGCTCCTCCCTCACCTGTGGATCCATGTCCCCGCTGACCTCGACGACCTTCACGCCCTCTCGCTCCGCTCGATGGATCTTCCTCCGTGCTGTCTTGTCGTCCGATGCTGGGTCGACCTCGATCGGATTCAGCCGCTCCTCAGCGACCGCGATGATGGCACTCCAGCCAAGGTCTTCGGCGAGGTAGCGTTCGGCCTCCTTGTCCACGCAGCACCACAGCGGCTTGAGGTCCTGCGACTCAACGTATGCCAGGAAAGCCTTGCAGACAGCAGGAATTTGCGTGTGCTCGCAGAGCGGGTTGCCGAACGCCACCGCAAACGCACCGTGCGGGATGTAGCCGACCGCGGCGCCAGTCGTCTTGTCTCGCCAGATGGTCCACGCTGGGTCGATCCAAGAAGTATTCGAAGCGTCACCATACTTTGCAATAAGCTGCAGCAAAGTCTGAGTATTTCCAGATCAGCATGAAATACATGGTCGCGCACATTCTCAAGGGGGGGAAGGTCATGATACACACAACCCGGCTTGAATGTCGTCGACTCGGGGCCGTGCAAAATCGTCGCCATCGCGGCGGTCATGTGTGCTTCAGCGAGGTCCGCGCCGTTCTTTGGAAAGCTTCTCGGATCTCGAGGGAACAAGCTCCCCCAACGGACGTCGCCTAACTTGAGAAATAACATCACAACACGCTCGAGACCTATGCCGCCGCCACCATGCTGTCGATAACATTAGTATTCGAGAATGAAGAGGTTATCGAACAATTTACGCACCGGTGGGCATCCCCATCTGAACCCGTCGACGTAGTCCTTCATAGAATCTAGGTCGATTCCTGCCGCCATCATACGCTGCTCGAGTAAAGGCGCATGATGTATACGCTGTCCGCCTGATAGTATCTCCTCGCCACGGAGGAAGATGTCAAACGAGTTCGACAGGCGGTTGTCGTGTGGATCGGGCATGGTATAAAATGGGCGCACATCGGCAGGGAACTTATCTGTGCAAGGATCAGTACTTGCACACTTAAAAGAAAACCTTAGCGACTTACCTAGGATGTAGTAATCGGTGCCATATTTCTCCTTGATGACCTGCCCGAGACGCTGCTCCGCTCGCGTACTGAGATCCTCCCACTCGCTCGGCTCAGACCCATCCTCTTCCTTCCACCCGGTCTGCTTCAGCATCCTGATCCCATCCGCAAACTTCAGCCGCGGTGTCTTGTCAAGTATGACGACGTCGTCCGACGGATACATGTGCTTGACGGCTTCAATCTAAGATAACATTAGCACCAAGTTGGGGTGCCTTGAATGAACAACACGTACCTCATCCCGATACTGGCACTGCAAGCCCTTGAAAATATATTTCAGCATCTCATCAATCATATCCAACACCTCCCAGTAATGCGAGTCGAACGACATCTCGAGATCGAGTCCGGTAAACTCTGTAAGGTGACGATGGGTATTCGAGTTCTCCGCACGAAAGACGGGACCGATCTCGAAGACGCGCTCCATGTCCGCGGCTATGCACATCTGCTTCGCGAGCTGTGGACTTTGCGCGAGGAACGCAGGGCGGCGGAAGTAATCCACCTTGAAGACGGCAGCGCCCGACTCCGTGCTGCTCTCCTGGAACTTTGATGACTGTATTTCGAGGAAACCGCGCGAGACCAGGAATTCGCGGAAGAGAGCACAAACACCGGCGTGAATACGGAAGATCGCTTGCGATGGCGAGGACTGGAATCGGTTAGGTTTGGTGAGCGGGAACGTAGAGTAGACAGGGGACTGAGAGACGCACGCGGAGATCAAGGACGCGGTTGGACAGGCGTGTATTGTCGCCAACCCGTCCAGCAGGAAACTCCTGCGTCGCCGCGTGTTAGCTTTTTTAGTACACGGTCAAGGACGGAATGACATGACTCATACCTTATCATTCACATGCAGAGACCTCGACACGTCCTGCACCTGAAATGGGAGTATCGCAGAGGGCGCCGCGACGACGAACAGCTGTGGAGATGTCTCAGCAGCAAGTCAATAGCGGACGACAAAATATACCTTCTGGACTCTGATCTCCCTGTTATGCACACTAGTGCTGTGTACCTCCTCCTGGTCCGCCGGAGGTGTCTGCACGACACCCTCGACGTACACAACTGTCTCGCGGTTGAGTCCTTCAGCCCATCGAATCATATGCTCCGAGACGTGCTCCGAGTCTTCTGCGAGCACGCCCTGCAGCGTCGTCAGCTGGCTGCGGAAGACGACAAATAAAATCTTCACGCCTGAAGTGAATGTGAGCAGAGGGAAATGATCAATGATGATGAGAAACACACCTAGGGGGCGTAAGTGATGAATTCTGGCGCGAAAGGCAACGTAATCGCCTGGGGGCATTTGTGAAACAGACTTGAGCGTTGACCGAAGGCGGGGAGCTGCGGCAGAGACATTGTCAGTTTCGATCGAAGGCAAAATACTACAACCAGAGAATGCGCGAAACGAAAGAGGAAAGACTGTTGGAATACCGAGAGAAGCCACGATGCACCCAGCGCTCGAGATGGACAGGTAAATGCAGCGCACGATCTGATCGTTCTGGAGCTGCAAGATATCCCGAACTCGGGAACAAAGCCCCACGACAACCATCAGGACCCTCTAAAAGAATCCTGATTCACGCTCCCGGAGGCTGGTGCTCAGGCAGGCGTTGCCATACCACGCATTAGCTGTGGGAGCATGGTGGATCTCCTGCGCATAAGTACGCGCGTCATTCAGAGAAGACCATATGCTTCTAAATCTCGCACTGGGCCCTAAGAATGAAACCGCAGAGCGAAAAAGGTGGACAAGCGCGTAATTTACCAGAGCAGGGGATTATCGTCACCCTCCGCTGAGCACTGTGACTGTGGTGCTGGTCTACATCTGCGGAAAAGAGAGGTAAAGTGCTCGCCAGACAAGAGGGCATCATAGGACGTCTACTCCGATCGCTGGGCAGAGACCTGCCAGAGAGGAAACTGCGAGTTGAAGTGATGGAGCGGGGCAAGAGACGGCGCACTTGTCCGGCCGCCGGTCGCACTGCGAACTCAGGGTATGCAAACGGCAGACATTACGAGAGAGCTTGCGCATAGCCCGAACTCGTTTATTAAGCTGTGAGTTGCCCAGAGATTCTTATAGTTCCATTTGCAAGAGAGGAAACGAAATGGACGAGGCTCCGTTGAAACGTGTGCGTATGCACGAACGCTAAGACCGTGACTCGCCCTCGAAACTACTTCTCAACGGTACCGGGATATGCGCGGTCAATTGCCAAATCACGAGGCAATGACGTTCTTGCAGAAATGTGCAATCTCCCCACCGCGAGCCGCATCAAGAACCCGAACCGTCTGGAGGACACCAACACTGGCGAAACTCTGCACATATGTGCAGATTAAACGGCTCACCGGTGTCACCACGAAGCACAGTGCCTACATTGTGGTCGGAATCAATGCTTTGTGGTGCATAAATGTTTTTTTGAAAAATCCAAGAACGCTGCGACACGATTCTCAGCAGAAAAGAGAGCACGCGGATACAAAACAAGCGAATGGATGGAGAAAGCAGTACTCACACGTTCGTTCCTGGGACATGGGGAGCGGCCAATTTCCCCAGTTATCACGAAGAGGGTCCTATAATAGTTAGGTTGAGCGTGAACAATAGACAAAACAAGGAAATGAAAATGCACCTCTTGGTGGATTTTCTCCAGTTGTTCCCTGCGATTCTTTGTCTCCTCCTCGTCCTTCTGCTCCCGGTCGTGGCGGCGGCCCTCCTTCTGTTGAGTGAACGACATATGGGGATTGAGTTCAGTAGATGGCCTTTGGAGTGGTTGAGTGACGCGTGTATCCTCCTGCTGCTGTGCAGTCATCTCGCCCTCGGTGTCGGTGTTATCGACCTGTGCACGAGAGGCATCGCGGTTGGCGTGTTTGTCTGTGCATCCGTTGAGAAGCGGATGGGGGTCACCGTTCGTCTTCTGCACAGACCGCTCCGGGGACGGAGAGGAAGAATTGGAGGACGAGTGGAGGGAGTGAGATTTGACTTTGGCTGAGAGTGCTTTCCTGAGAGAGGACATGGTACAAATAATGTGATTCGAATTGTCTGTGGCGGAAGCGGGGAGGGTGGTAAGTAGATGCGGGGGGCTTGGCAGCGGTAGGTAAACACATTTTGAGAGCTCAAGCTCGATCGTCATCGGTCAATCGTCATCGGTCACCGCTCTCCACAGAACGCGAATGCTACCCACACGTGACATTCCCGCAGCGCGTTGCTGACGCTGTGCACTGTGGCGTCTCACTCGAGCGTTCTGGGGCTCATCTCGACTTTTCCTGACAACGGTAATCTAACCCTCGGGGCCCGTATATATGGTACAGAAAGTAAACTGGATTACTGCCATTTCGTCGTATGTGCCAGTTCTTGAGATACAACGCCAGACAACGTCTTGCGGCTTGTTATGCAAGTCTGATGAATCCATAACGAGCCAACGCCAAGGATTATATTCGTACCGTCTGTATTATTACGCCTCAGTTAACGGAGGATGCGGCTTGGCATACGAACGGGCTGGAGGAAACAATTCGTCTAGGCCGGTCGCAGGTAAGTTTGCCCGCTAAATGTTAACTTCGGAGGTTTGACTCACCGTCGACGTCCTTGTTGACCCGAGACAATTTTGCTAAAGGAGAAATCCGTCTGAGAGGGTTAATGGAGTCCCAACACGATATCCTCTGTCTTCGAGCATGACAGAGACAAACCGCCCTAACCACACAGTAAGCACTTCCAGGCCGCAGATGCTCCCAGTGTCTCGCTTGGTAATCCACACTGGGTAACTTGGCACACACAAACACCACCGATCCATCGGCCATCCCTCCGCAATGAGCTCGAGGAGACAGATGGGCGACGGTCCATTCGCGACTACTGGAATATTGCGGCGTTCACCTTGAGAGCGCGTGCACCATCCAGTTGGCACGCACCTTAGAAGCGCTACCAGAGGCACCCCACCATGCAAGTGTCCCGTTCCGCTCCAACGTGGTATAAAATGCGCGATGTATGTAAGAGGACAGGACCGCAGGGAGCCGACGCCCCACTCCAGCTCATCGATCGCATCCAAACCGTGCGTATTCTGACAAGGCAGACACGGTACGGCCGCACCGGGTACCCGCAGTCACCGCGACAAATCCGAGTTCTCCCGTGGTCCAATATAGACCACAAGTACATGGAGGACCATGAGTAATTCGGTACGGATATTGGCCTGGTTGCGAGATCTTCCAAGCTGTCGCTACATGCATTCAGAGACACTGCGAGGGAGCGATTGGGAGATGCATACAGTAGTCCGTGCTGCCAGCGTCTTGTTTTATCAGATGAAGGCTCACAGCTACAACATGCTCGGCGATGGCACGAACCAGCGATGAGACTACCACAAGCTTCAAGGACAAGATAGGCGGTTCTCACTGCTTGTTCATTGGAACCTTACAAGAAAATGACCCTTGCGCTGTTGGCCGGGCAGAGCCAGCGTTCCTTTCGAAGGGGTGCCATCGAGTGCAGGAACGCCATAGGCGATTGGCACTTATAAATGCCTCGAAATACCGCTGGTCACTCGAGCTCTAATATGGAGCTCTAATATGGAAATACCTACAAGTCTTTATGAACACCGATGTCTAAGTCATTCTAGAAAAAGATACAGGATAACGCACCGACACCCACAGCTCGCAAGCCTCCTATCCCTTCTACTCCTTCCCCGACAACTTCCCCGCCTCGTCCATCGCCCTCCTCCGACCGCCTAGCATGAGCTCAACATAGTCCGCACCCCCGAGGATAGGCCCTTCATCGCCCCTACGCTTGCTCGCGCCCTTCGCCTTCGCTTTCAGGCCCGCACGCTTCTTCTGCTCCTGCGGCGCTGCACCTAACGCTGTTTGTTTGACCTTGTGAGGAGGAATCGGGGCTGAAGCCGCAGCTGAGGTACTGGAGACGGTCTTCTTCTGCTGGAGGGTCAGATTGAGGTCAGATCAAGGGCTCACAGAGCGCTGGCTCGATAGATGAAATCGGCGCTTATCGTGGCCTAGGTATTGTACGTACCGTGCGTTTATGCACCTTTGCACTGCGTCCCATGGCGGTGGACTATCGACAGGGAAACATGGATATATGCTGTAGCATAAAATCGAAGACTTGGAGATCGTGCAGCAGCCACAACTCCATCCACAAAAGGAAGCTGTTGTCGTTCAGCATCTCGCCAGCATTTTGGACCAATAAGATCTGCTGCCAGGTCTGTACAGGAAGTGTGGACAATATTTTACAACATATCGCCGTTCATTGCTGTTGAAGCTACGAGTAAAACCTATGGTATTTATTGCAAAAGATGATGATATCCTTCACTTGAAATTCAGGGTGGGTGTACCAGCACAAACTCACGGCCTTCCATCGTCCCGATAACCTAAATGGCCAGGAGTCTTAGTCAGTGCGCACCCCGCGGAAGACTTGTCTGACGTACCTTATCATTGACTGCATTCCTGCCGCACTCTGCGCATTGCCACCTGTCAGCTGCAGCTGCGGCGCCCACGGATGCGATGATACCTTCCGCCCGCGCTCAGAAACGCAAGCACGACCTCGTCGTTCTCCGTGGGGGAGAGTGCCTGCCGGATTGGGGTGGTGCTTCAATGGTTTGTCGTGACAGCCTGAGACGTGATCTGACTGTACTCCGGCTTGTTGACAGAAGGCGAGTCGGCCGGGTGTACGGGCTCCTTCATTTCCGCATGCTCTTCTGTGACAAAAGAATGAGAAGAAGGATCACATAATCCCTTTGTTGTGTGAGGCCGTGTCGCCGAGACTAAGGCAGCAATAATCGTTGTAGATAGAAGCTTCCCTGAATATGGATAAGCGGCGATCGTCGGAGGCAACAGCATAACGGAACGTATGCACGGCCATTTCTCGGACAAGGGTGTTGGAAATCTTCACCTTCATCCATAGAGCCAGACATAAACTCTGGGCTGACAGAGACACACCAGTAAATAATAATATTGTATTCGTCTTACTCTACTCCGAGGAAGCTTGCAAACGCGAGTGCCATAACCTCCATACCCACTTTGAGCTCGCTCTCTAAGTCTATACTCTCGTCTGTGATGTGCGCCTCCGATATGAAGCCGGGTCCATAAATAATTGTTGATTGCAGCGGAGGCGTGAGCGAGTGCACCGGGAAGCGCTAGGAGAGCCATCAGTACCAAGATATGTATACAAACGAATACACCAACCTGGTCATCGCTCCCAGGCGAGGTGACGACCCCCGCCGTCTTGCCGGTGACCAGCTTGATAGCATCGCGGAACACAAGCGCGATGGGCTGCTCGGGGTCCACCCACGTAGCTTCGGTCGCGTATTCTTCCTTGTACTCATACGACATACCCTCGCAGGCATCCATTGCTTGCATCTGCACCAGTATATCCATAATTTCCGCGCGAGCGGCTGCAAGGGTCTCCCCGGGGACGAGCCGGCGATCGAACGATACGTCCGCCTCGTCGGGCACCGAGTTAATGTTGTCGCCCGCATGCAAGACGGTGAACGCGATTGAGGCGACGCGTGCTTCCACTGGAATGACGCTCGAATCAGAGCGTGTCGCTAGCAGCGGGCCTAGTGTGGTGCTTGCGAGATGCACGAAGGTGCAGGCGTGCTGCAACGCATTAATGCCCAGCTCCGGCATCGACCCATGTGACAGCTTCCCGCGAAACTTGATCGTTCCCCAAATTGTCCCGCGATCTGAAGAACAATTAGCTGATACACCATGTCAGAAACGAAAGAGTACGCACGCCCGCAACAGACATTCGTGGTGTTGAGCGGCTCCGTGATAACCACCGCATCGATCTTATCTGCACGGATATACCCTTGGTCGACGAGATAGCCCATTCCCGCGTTCTGATTACCGGTAGTCTCTTCATCAACCACGCCAGACTGCTCGACACTTCCCTTTAGCTTCAGGCCCGCCTTCCTTATCGCTTCGACGGCGAATACCTGGCAAATTATCGTGAAGATGCGAAATTACTAACTCGGGTATGGGGCTCACTTGTGCGGCGATACCGCCCTTCATGTCCGACGCGCCGCGCCCATACAATCGCCCGTCCTGCACCTCCCCGCCAAACGGCGAATGTGTCCAGTGAGTCACACCAATCGGGACAACGTCGAAATGGCCGTTTACATGCAGCGTCTTGCTGTTCGCCGCGTCGGTCCCCGTCAGCCTACCAATCACATTCACGCGCGGGAGGTCTTCGCCGTGCGGCGCGAGCACAGGGAGTTTGTCCTTCGGCACTTCAACATACTCGACGTCGTATCCGAGCTCTGAAAGCTTATCGCCAATGAGGTGCGCACACTCCGGGTAGTTGCGTCCAGGAGGGTTCGTGGTGTCGACGCGGATGAGAGCGGCGAGGAACTCCGTGCACTGTGGGAGTAGGTCGGAGGCCGCCTGGCGGATAGCAGAAATCTGCGATGGAGAGAGGCTCTCAGAAACACTAAGCGGGTTACAGGCAGCGTCTTCGGCCATTAAATGTGCGACCTGATGGCCTCGTTGTCGTCAGCTGCAAGTGAGCCAATGCCAGAAAGATTCACCTAAGATGAAAGACAATGTCAAGAAGGACAGAATACGGTTTGCGAGTTGGATGCCTTCCCGAGCGCAAGATATATGGCGCACTATCGGCACGGTGTTCAAGTTGAGCTGGGCGATAAGCCATAGATCACGGTATCAACGCCCTTGACCAAATATAAAGAATTATGGAGCCCCATTCCTATCTTGATATCTTCTTTCAGAGACTGTGCAAGGATATGATACGCTGCCATTAGGATCTTCGGAGTGGGAGATGATTACCGCGACATGTACATAGTGTTGAACATTTTTTCAAATTTCAAGTCACAGGTGTGTTCTAGTCACGTGCGCGTTGGGACTTTATGGGCGCTAAGACCCGCTGCAAGACACTGCTCAGGTGAGTTTTGAAACCAATACTTCTACATTTGAAACTCTGAGATTTTGACAAGTACATTCAGTCGATTCCAGAACACCTCTTTTTGGGCCTGCATCTCGTCGTCCCCAACCTTGAGCCTGCTATCAGTACTCCATCGCGTCGACAGCCATGTCTGAGTACGAAACAAAGAATTCGCAATCAGATTTAAATCGCCCCGAAGATACCCAGCATACCATTTTGCCCACAGTGCAAGACTTATGGACTACGGAAGAGCATGAGAAGATGGATCGAGCCGTGCTCGAGAAAGTCAGAGACATCGCTCCGCCGTGTAAGATCTTGGATGATTACAAAGATGCAGCTCAGCTACTGCTTCAAATTATTGAACCTTGCAAGGACGTCATGAAGTACAGTCTCATTGATCACCACTATAACCTGGAGGCCGTATGCGATTCATGCCCAGAATTGCGCGTTGTATTGGCAGAGGCACTGGAAAAGACCACCTTCGCCCACATCCGCTGTTTGGGTACGCTTTATTACCATTCTGACGTCCTTTCAACTCAACGATATGTTTCAGAAATTGTGCGGAACGACGCGCGTTTTCCCTCCTTTTTGAGCGCGGAATATCCTGTGTACTCACGTGTCGTCATCTGGCATGGGAGCACCCGTGGATCCAGTGACTCACTGCTTAATTCTCTCGCCAGAGAACACGTAGTTGTGCCTCTCAGTCTAAGAGATAGTGGACGTGGTGAGTTGGCTTAAGTCTGAAAGGCCAATCTAGCGATTCTTACCACTTCTCAGATATATCTCCTTCAGATCGCGCTGTATATAAGTGGTTTAATGAAGATCAGGACGATCCCGACGATATGACCGTACGCTTCACCGCATTCTTAGCGGCGTTGTTCGAGAAGGTCGCTCACATCCTGGAGCATCCAGAAGAGGACATCATCGATCGAATCGCCAAGGAAAAAAGCCTGCAGCAAAGTGTGCGACAGGAGGCATTTCAACACCTTCCAAGGACTCTGGCAGGCAAGCTCCATCTGTTTATGACTATCGGACGACGGAAGGACCGTCGCCAAGGAAAACTACGAAGGGAGTTCTATGACCAGGTACTCCAGAGAGCGATTGAGGTACTTGGTTTTCTCTCCTGTGGAAAAAATCTTTCGAACCGATTACCTTAAGCTCTACCGTTATGTAACATCCGGTGGAACAGCCGAAAAGGCTTGTGTTCCGGAGATAATGACCAATCAGCCTAGCCACTCTCCGGCAGACAGTGAGTCAATCAAATAATTATACTGATCAAAGTTACAAAGTTACATGTTCGTACATTTGTACAGAACTTGCTGCTTTCCTCCAGTCCTCCGCACAGCATGCAGTTTCTCTTGTTGTTCCTCCGCGCTCAACCGCCTCTAAATCACCCTCCGAGAGACTATTCCTCGTTGTCGAGAATGCACATACCCTTGTTACCCGCCTGCATATCAATGCCGAGCACCACCCTAACAATGGCGAAGAGTGGACACGCTTCTCTTGCCTTCGCCGCGCCTTTCGTGCCCTGCACGGGCTCCCGATTTGGTGCATTTGTGCGGGCTTCGTAAGTGACTTTGTTCTGTACAAGCGCTTTGAAGAGGATCGGAAGGCTATACGCAGGCAAAAGCTGCTATACTCTGGAATGCAATGGATGATCAATTCAAAGATCATCAAGGATCCGGATGCCGAGTCGTCTTCGGGGTCCTCCAATTCCGAGAAAGAGATTGAGGGAGACGAAGACGTAGACATGGAGAATGAAGAGGGTGAAGAGGGAAGGGATGTGGATTCTACAGAGGGGGCGCAATGCGATACGTGAGATGATCGTGCCAATATTGTTGAATCAGGTGCTTTGTTCTTGGTGTTCGGGCATTTGTATGACTTAAAATTCATTTGAAGCAATGGAGAGCAATGTACCGGAGTTTATTGTCGCTGATACCTTCAAACTGATGTCTCATCGAAGCGCAAGACGCTCACTCACGAACTCCGGATTTATTCAGTCGCAGACAGTACTAATCCTCATCGTCGTCCTGGTACAAAGTACCTCTATCAACTTTGCGCAGAATGTGCCGGACACGCTGCTGCCTCTCGCAGACTTCTTTCTCGTACACCGCCAGATGTTCCATCAGCTCGCTGTCGGGCCTCAGGACAGCACGCCTCGATCTGACGACGGCGACCGCGTCTTCCAAGGTCATGAATTCCGTCGCCATGAGGTACGCCACTGCAACGCTCACTGTGCGACTCGTCCCCCACATGCAATGCACGAGCACGGTCCCGCGAGCACGCATCGCAGTTGCAATCCACACTACTGCGCAGTCGAAGGATTGGATGAGTTTCGACTGTGCCGTGACATCGATGGGGATGCAGACGTGGTTAATATCGGGCGTGTACGACGGCTCGCCGTCGCGCATGAGGGAAATCATGTGCGTGACGCCGAGCTCGTCGAGTATTTCGGGCGATGTAGCAGTGTGTGTGTCGCTTACGAGGAACCCGGGTACGATCTCGCAGGCGTGTGGTTGATAGTCATCTAGCGACGATGTCCTTGTAGATGTTGCACGGGATTTGCGCTGCTCTGAACGTGCACTTGATTTCGAGTGAGTTCTCCGCGTAGAGGGCTACCACAAAAGGTGTCAATACGGCCGCTAAGTTAACGAGTGAGTGGCCTAACCTTTTGTGGTTCTTCGCCCGGCATAATCTCACTCCTCAGTGGCGAGGGAGTTCTGGCAGCGAATTTTGAGTACATTAATTGAGTGCGACGACTAGGTGATTGATAAAAGTGTGAAAGAATTTGAGTGTAATGATGAATATACTCTGTCGGTATTGTGGCCTTCATATAGCCCAGCGCAACAGATGGAAAACGGGAGGGCGGATGCGGATAAAGGAGCGGGAGAGCAGCACACCATCCGCAGCCGAAGCGTCCGTTCACATCCGTATCCGCGCGGACACCTGATGGCAAACTCCTGTCTCAGAAGATAGTCTGAAGGCAAACCTTCTTTGACACCACTGTATTTTATGATCTGTGGGGAGGAATTGTCGAGTACGCTTATGGGAAGTATCGTATATGGCCAACGCACACACCAGCCGCCCTACCGCCAGGTCTTATCCTACCCGCATTTGTTAGCAAAGTTGCCACGAGCCATCCAATTGTTCGGACGTTCAAGTTCCCCGATTTTGCTGGCTCTACGGATGCATGGGTGAGCTCCTCGTCGTATCAAACGTCGGTCATGTTTGGCGAAAATTATCTCGCCATTGGAGGGGCTGACTAGCGGTGGAGTTCAGGCAAGATTCATCGATAAAGTACAGCATCTGAGACAGCAGTATTTGTCAACGACGCTAACGGGTAGCATGTCAGGAACAGGGCAGGGGGGTGCTGACGGGACGGGGAGGTCGCGGATAGCTAGATCGCAACGCCCGCGAAATTTGGCCTCGATCACATGCTCCGTCTTCCTCCCAGCATCCACGAAGTGACGAACGAGCTGACCCAGTGGGTTATCGGTCTGAATTCAAACACTGCCGTATACATGCCTCTTGAAGGTCTTCCGAGGATCAGCGGTCATGTCCATGCCCAAGCCATCAGGCGTAGCAGTCACGGAATTGCTGGCCTGGCCACACAACGTACGGACGGCCCGCGTCGACAGGTGGGGGTGATGCGAGCGAGGTCGGAATTTATCCCCTCGTGTTGATGTCAACACATGGGGGACATGTTTCGACCCGGTATCGATATACTGCGTGTCCGATCCTCCCCATGGACCTGCTGAACAAATGGTGCGCGTAACCTGATCGGAATAGACACGGGCAAAGACTGACGTTGCTCTGCAAAATCTATGGCCCAGTTGCAGGCTACATGCACGAACTGCGTGCACTGGAAGATCCTCTTTCCGCTCCTCGTGTCAAACATGGTGAATAACCGGGTTTATACTGGCTCCTCGATGCAGATGAAAGGATTTATCGATTGGGGATATCGATTTCCTCGACGCTCCGTAGTGGTACAGCTAGCCGCTCTTTGTGCGCCACAGGGAGGATAAAGTGCCACACCGAAGGGGCCTGCATCCCCGTTTGTGCTCCTTCGTCTGGCCGACACGCGTTTCGGTGTGTTCGTCAGTACATGCAGCCTACAGAGATCCGCGCTATGGACCCACCCGGACCTTGTGTTCATCGTGTCGCTCTTCGATACACACTTTGCACACGCCCTAGAGCTTGGACCGGGAGCCTTCCATCAATGCCAGCGAATATTCGATGAGCGTCGCCATCTCTTAGTATAAAAGGGTGAGTCTCCGTCAGTTCCTCCAAACCACCGAGCATTCGTTCGAGCTTGGGCCTCCATACTTTGGTCTGCTATCTTCTTCTCATATGTATTATGGCAAGCATCCGTGTACGGACATCTGCCATGGTACATACCATGAGAATGGAAGATCGTAGACCATGGTACAGTGACCAAGTCCTCTCCCACTCTCATGGTATGATGCATCAGAGATGCCTAGTTGCCTTCGTGCAGGATTCTCAGCGAGCAGGTAATGCATATCTAGTTCAGCAGCTTGTGTATTCCTTCTGTGTGTCTAATTGACCCAAGGGTAAAGTACGGAGGGGTGGTGCACCTCCTCCTCGTCTTCTCTTAAAGACCGCACTCACCTTTCATCTCCCCTTGCCTTGCGAGGTTTCCAGCTCCTGGATGATGCGATGCATCTGTGAACGGCCGGCGTGTCAGGACCAATATCTCAACGCAGCGATGCTAGATGTCCTGTTGAATATCTGGTCAGTTGCCCTCGCCCCCTTCGACAAAGCAGTCTGACATGTTGCGTTGCATGCTCAGCGGAGTGACATCGCCGTATCCGTGGAGGGTTCAGACGCATCCACGCCATACTAGTCGGTCCCGACATTAGCTGCAATAACGTTCATCATCTCGACGGATGACTTACCGCTTCTCGAACTTCTCATTTCCCCAATCACACGGTCTGCATCCAAATCCTTCATGTTCTGGCACTCCGGCGGTGAGCAGGTCACACTGGTTTTTTCTGACTTAGAATTTGGAGACTCGACCTCAGGTAGACCCTCCTTCCGTAGCTGTGTGCGTGTGCAAGGATTGTAGATCGCAGAGGGTAGGGTTCGTCCAAGATTTGCCTGAGATCGCCAGACTGAATTCGAATACGCCGATCGTACTCGTGGCAAGAGCGTGTAGCTGGAAGCCTGCAAGATGCTAGATGAAAGCGAGAGGTCGTGGTGCACTGCGACTGCATATTGTGTAGACAAGCACACTAATTTCTCCGGAGAGTTGTACGTAAATCTCGGTACTCTACCTGATAGCGGTTCTGCCGTTCCTGGTCTACCCTTCTTCCTTCCTCTCAATATTAATTGTCTCAGACAACGCGGCTGATGTTCATAACGTCTTTTTGTCTGTTCAAATTAATTCCTTCTGCGCTACTGCGACCTGACGATTGCGACTTTGCTACTTTCGGCGTGGTCGAGATCGTGGCTGTACAGCAGCAAGGCCTGCGGACGTCGACCTTGCATTCTTTGGGAAGACCTCAACGGTGGAGAAATAAAGTATCGACGGAGCCGGGAATGAGTTGCAGGAAAACTTGGGTACGCCATAGTTATTGCCACGGAAGTTTCAGTTGATTTCTGCTAGAATTGAAATATTCATAGACTCCGCCGTCTTATACTTTCGCATGAATTCTGGCTGTGCGTTGTCTCTTGACAGCCATGGACATGAAAATATTACCGTTGAGCCTGTCTCTCTGTAATGGTTCCCGCCGACATTTCAAAGCAACGTTTTGTTATAATTGATCGCAGACGGAGGTCTCTTTCTTTCCCTTTGAACAGCCATTGAATTCTCGTCCTGACGCGGACGCACCATCTCAGCAAGACGGCCCGAGGAACCATGGATGTCATCGTGCGCCAGTGTATTGCAAGGATCGAGGGGAGGTACAAGTCCCGCAACAATTGTGTTCACGACTGATTCTCGCTACCTTTGGGTACTTCTCTATTTGCGCTCGGTGTGACAACCTAGCATGCGCCGAAAATATCGGTTCCGTGTACGTGAAATTCCAGTACTCACCGCAGGTGGTACACACCGGAGCCAAATCTCAGGCGTTCTGCAGGAGCGACGCACGACCTCTTCATAATGTGCACGTCCAGGATACCTGATTTATCGAGAGCATATACAACAGGATCGCCGTCGGAGTCGGAGCTACAGCGTATTTCACAAGGCGTCTGCCAAGCATCCTGTGCAAGCGGCAGAAAACCCACTGCTCTATGTAATGGTGCATTGGCTGCTGGATAGACAGCACGACGGTTACAGCGAATTCCCGTGTTTCGTCTTCCGAGCCGAGCCCATTTGTCTCGGAAGCAAAATGAACGGCAGGCGCATCCGCGCCCAGCGACGATTTGCTTCCGACGATGAAACTCCGCGACGTTGACCTCGTCGGTGACGTCCGTCGGGAAGCGCCTTCCGTCAACGCAGGTCGTAGTCGTTGTCAGGCTTATTGCTTCAAAGTAACATGCTTAGAATATATATCCGCGTAGATGAGTGAGTTATTTGTTCCGGTCTCCCAAGCATAAACCATACCAACGATCTTAAGCTCAGACACACGATTCAGGAACCCAAGTTGCGGCGCATTGCGACATGTTGATGGTATATCAAACTACAGAGAACACTTTAACGAATACATGGGCAAGATACCATAATGAAGACATCTATCACGCCCGTGTATACAGCCTACCATATTCTCGCATCTACTTCGCGCTTATGAGCTGGCCTTCCCGCCAAGCTCGCGCTCGACGCGGACGATGTCTTGCACGTCCGGGTGTGCCCATAGTGCGTCAAACGCGGCGGGCTCGATCGGCGGCAGCGGTTTGCGCGGGAGGCCGCCGTAGCCGTAGAGCTTTTCCAAGAGCTTCTTCGTGCCGGAGATGGACGCCTTCGCGACGGTGTAGTCCGCGCGCGAGACGATCACCTGGAGACGCTGCGCCTCGGGGAGAAGCGACGGATCATTGAGCGATGCCTGTGAGAGCTCGAAGAGCTTCGCGATGGTGAACTGCGTGGGAGACGTCAGAAAGGGTTAAGAGACACGGTCTAAAGGAGTGCAGCACTTACAGGGGCGACGTTGGCGAGGCCGGTGATAGCACCATGCGCGTTGGCGTATGTCGAGGGAACGAGGAAGTCGGCAAAGCCACCAAGAACGAGGAACGGCGCGTCTGGGTTCTTCCGGGGATATAGCGAGGAAAAGGACGAGTCGGATACAGTTCCGCAAATACGGGTCAGCTTTCCGACGCTTCCACAGCTACAAACGGTGCTGTCAAAGGGGGCTCCGAGCATGGGGCAAAGGCACAGGACGCACGTGAGCTTGATACCTGCGAGGTTCGGACATTCCATCGCAAGCTCTGTGACGACCTCCGAGTCAAGGTCGATACCACCGCTCGCACCAGGGTCTGGGAGAAATTGTCAATGCTGTATTCCAGAATACACGACATCACCCATGGAACTCACAGTTATAAATCACAACGGGGATTGGGCTCTTCTCCGCGACCTCGGTCCAAAAAGCCTTCAATGCTGGCTTATGTGTCGCGAGTACGCCGGCGAAATATCCGCTTGCGATCACGATAGTGTAATCCGCGCCGGCACCTGCAGCCTCTTTGCAGAGCTCCACTGTCTCACGAGTGCTTCCCGCTCCCGTGCCAGCAATTATCGGTATCTCATCTAGTCCTGCATCGTCTAGTGCCTTTCTGGCAGCCTGGATGACCTGGATACGTTCATTGTGTGTGAGGTGTATAGCCTCCCCCATGGATCCTGCAATTAACGGTCGTACACCGGCCTTCGCGGCACGTACGACGTGTAGCTTCAGGGATTCAAGATCTTATAATTGAATGAATAATATTCAGACCCCTCCCCATTTCCTCAGAAATTTCCTGAACGCGCAAACTCACCTAGATCCTCAGTCTCAGACTGGAAGAAGGTGGGGATGGGGGCGTAAATGCCCGCGGTGAGGGGTCGACGGACAGTATGGCTGGTACCGTTAAGCCCGGCATGTATGGCGTGAGTGCCATTGACTGAGTGTGTTCCGTTGGCAGAGGAGGCCATGGGGAGAGAGTGGAGGATAGCGTGTTACCTGATCGCGCTGAGAGGACAGTATTATAGCAAGTGCGATCGGCCACTTGCGGCCCGCCGGCCCGTTTGAGGTGCCTTCTTCTCGATCACGTGGAAGGCACTAGGGAGCTTGGCGGCCCGACGGTCTTCTTCCTCAACAGTGAACACGAAAGTGAACACCTCGTTACCCTAACTTGAATTTATTTCTGCGAACGTGCCAATAATCATGCGGGGCTTCACCTCGAACCGTTCACCCCTTCGAGTTCAGCCTTGATATCCCCGTTTCCGCGAATGTATTGTAACGCAGCCAAGTCCGCAAGCCGACGTCCATTGGATCACCTGTTGATTTTCAACGAAATTTGCGAATGTCTCCCTGACTAGCTGTATCTCGCCGGGCAGGGAACTCGAAGGGTGCTGATACCATCATGCGCAGCAGGTACGTCTGATACTCTTGAGACCGTGGCTCTATGCACCCCAATGGCGCCGCATATTCTCTCTAACGTTGAGCAGGAAAACAACTGAAGCCATAGGCGTTCACATGGCGTCTCGCCGGGCTCGGATGTACAAGAGGCCGATAAACGTAACACATCATTACCTTTCAAGGTTTCCTCATACTTACTCATACAGCTTCGTCTTCCTGAGCCCCTTGCTAAGCCCTCTGAATTAAACGTGTCTCGCTTGTTTTCCCTTGAGGTAGAAACTGTGTTTTTTTGTACGCCCGTCTTCTTGATTCGCTCGAAGCACTAGTGCTGTGGGCTGACGATATGGACACAACAATTTACATTTTCTTGGTCTCGCCGACTCACCGTTGTGCGCGCCGCTTCCTACGTGGGCCTGGCCAGCCGCCGTTATCGGCGCCACGTCCCCATCTATGTAGAAATTAGTGAAGCAAAGTCATACCAGATTGCGTATGGCCCGCGGTCATACATCGACATCCCCGGTGAGTTCGTTAGTTTATGTCTAGTGTGCCCGTGACGGATTATACACAAAGATTCGGAGGAAAAATACCATGTAACGCAGAAGGCTTGCGGTGGACATCTCTCGGTAACGCATCGAGGGCAAGACAATGAGAAGATACAGTTCCAGTAAATGTCGTCTATTTTCACTGACAGCTCAAGCCTTACGTCTGGCTTGGTCAGGAAACGCATCAATTCGAGGTTTGACATATACTCATTGTAATCACAGTTGAGAGCTTATGTAGCATCCGCTCTATCGAGTGATGCGGTGCGAGATAGATGGACGACGTGGACGACACCGGGCAGAACGCCCGCTTGCAGGCGCGTCTTCATGAACCGCAACGTCATCGAGCGGTACGATGACTCCGATAAGGGTGTTGCTTAGTTCGTACTTGGCCATTACGCGCGCGTATAAAGGTCGAAACGGAGAGCTCGAGTGCGAGCCCGTTCTGCACGACGTCGGTTTCGTGCAAGGGTTAGGAAGAACTTTTCCCCAATTCATAGATGGAGTCATTTCTTTGTCTGGGGAAGCCGCCATGGCTACTCCATCGCCACAGACGTTGCTATAAAATTGGGTATTAATGGCGACTAGCCACAGGGTGGGCAGGCTACTAGGCTTGTCTTGCGGGAGGGCGTCCATACATTTCACTGCGCTTGCCTTTCTTAGGTAACGACCACCGTGAATATATCGCGTGCAGCGAAGAGCGGAACCATGTATTAGTACTACGGACATAGAGGTAATCCAAATGCATGAGCACCATATACTAGACGACTAGAATATGAGTAGATCGTGCTGAAATAGCAAGCTTAGTGTTCAAACAACTCAAGCCCAGACCGCTTTTTTTTCTGTACTCCCGCGCCAGCCCTCCGCTCTTGTGGAATGTGAGACTTCGTCTGCACTTCTGAGCCCTGGTCTGAGTCCGAATCCTCCGTGTCGTCGTCATCGTCGTCGTCGTCGTCATCATCGTCGCTACCGCGAGGAAGAGCGCCGGACAACTTGGCCACCGTGCGGGAAGGCTTGAGAGCCATATGAGTGACTGGCAACTGTGAGAACAATTGCTGGCTCTGCAGGTCGGACAAACGGTGAAACGGTGCAGACTGCATCCAAGCGTGTCTAAGCTTCGGCTGCGGTACGACTTGGGCGTCCTCGTCTTCAGACTCAGATGAGCTGGAAGACGCAGAAGACTCAAGGCGATTTCCCAACACAGTCGCTGGGGGAAAGAGTGGACTTTCTGGATATTGAGTGCCAGGTAAGAAGAGAGGGTCTGGGTCTATCGCATTCTCTGAGGTCTCATGGGGTTGAGAATCGCCGGATGTACGTTCCCTAGCTTCAACGATATTGTCGACACCGAGCAGTTCATCAGCGACTGATGAACTCGCGGGGAGAAGATCGCCTCCGGGACTGCTCGATCGCAACTCGTCGATCATAGAAGATTCAGGTTCTATGATTGACGGAGACTCGGTCAACGTCGTCCACTTGACCGCTGACTGTGCCTCAGGCCTCTGGGAGGGGGGAGCTACGGATTTGGGGAAAGCCTTGGCGGGTGTGGTGATAACGGGAACTACAGGATGGCTCGTCACCCGCGCAGGCTTTTCACCTTTCTTCGCCTGTGCCTTCTCCTCACGCTGGCGCACCTTCTCTGCCTTCTCTTCTTCGCGCTTGCGGGTTTTCTCTGCCTTCTCCTCTTCACGCTTGCGGACCTTCTCCGCTCTTTCCAGCCTCGTCTTCTCTGCCTTCTCCGCGGCTATCTTCTTTTTCTCAGCCTTCTCAGCGGCTCTGCGCTCCTTCTCTTCTACTGGCATGGGCGGCCGACCGCGACGCTTGAGAGCTGGAGCAGGTGAGGGCTCGGGCGGTGGTGGCATCAGTACAGCCGACTTCGACCGCTGGTTGGACTGTCGCACGCCTCTCGGAACGCTCTCTTCAGTAGTTTGTGTCTGAAAAACAGCGGGAGTGTCGGGTGTAGTCTCCTTGCCAGCTGGCATCGGTGTCGACGTCACAAATGCTGAAGCAAGGATGGGTAAATTCTCGCTGAGGTGCGGGAGCCTCCCATAACGATCCTTCATACGCTTGATAGTTCCCGACCTTGGATTGCTGAGCGGGGGCGGCTGTGTGCTCTGTCGTCGAGGAGTGTGCGGCGATGACGACCCAGCTTCGATGGGGTCTTCTTCTTGCGTCTCAGGGACCAAGATCTCGTCCGTGGTTTCGATAGGGTCCGAAACCTCTTCATGTTCTTTCTCCGCAAGCTCCTGCTGCTCGAGTGCTTTTGGTTTACTCTGCGACGCTCCGTCTGTCAGTTCCCACTCGTCCTCCAGTTCTATCTCTTCATCTTCTTTATCGTCGCCCCCCCTCTGAGCCGGCTGTTCCGCGGATTCCGTCGCCGTGGACCTAGCATCATTCACTTCAACCTGTTCAGGCTCAGGAATGGGCATGCTGGCGCTTCGCCTCTCCACGACGGACGCAGCCTTAACAAATAGTTCTGGCAAGGGAGCCTCTTCGATGACAGGAGAATGGACAGTTGTGGTACCGTGTACGGCATCCTCAGAAGTATCCTGAGCGTCGACCTTCTCGTCGACTTCTTCCGCATTATCTGTTCCCGGAGAAGGAGCCGGTAGATCGAGACTCGTAGCGACTTCTTCGTCATCCTCTTCCGCTGGTGATGGCACCCGCTGGGTGTTATCCATGGGCTTGTCCTCTACTTCCTGTTCAGCCTCGGCCCCGACAGCTTTGTCAGATTCCTTGGGTACTTCAGGAGTATCCGAGGACTCGCACGTATTGTCCCGATCCAAGACTTTAGCAAGTGCAACAACTTCGACCTTGTCGGTGTTCTGTCATCCACAACGGAGGAATCAGCATCATCGAGGAAAGACAACCGCATCGATATCAACCTGCCTGTTTGATGACAGCATCTTGAGGGTCCGTGTCCATGAACGTTGGTGGAACGACATCATCGTCGTCCGCTAAGGCGGTATCAGGCTGTGCGTCCTCGTCCGAGGAAGATTCGGCAGGCTCAAAGCGTCGCGAGAGGCGGCGGTAGGCCTTGTCCTGCTTCTCGTCTTCGTCTTCATCGTCATCTTCGTCTTCCATCCGATTATCTTCCTCATCCGCATCATCGTCTTCGCTACTGCTCTCCGACGGAATCTGCGCGAGGACACTGGATGTGGACCGGGCGGGGCCGCGCAGGAGAGCAGCGATGTCAGAGTTCCCCAGGTTGGTGTTCAGCGTGTCCACCTTCCGGGGAAGAGGCAGGAGGGTCGGCTTGGGTATCGTCCGGGCATCATCGTCGCTCTCCTCTTCGCTCTCGGTGTCCGAGCTTTCGTTGCTGCTCCCCTCGTCCTGACGCTCCACCGCGACTTCGGCGATCTCAGAGCCAGTAGGAATCACTGGCGTGCGGGTGGAAGGGGATTTTGATAGGAGTGCAGAAGATCGACGAGAAGGAGGTGAGGGTTCGCGTGCCTTACTTTGCTTCGCGGCATCAGGAGACTCCGGCACGGGCTCAGCAGTCGGGCTGGACCTGTCATGGGTCGCGCTCTTTTTCTCTGCCCTACCGAGCAGCACCTGCAGCTCGTCGATCACCACTTCGTCGGTATCCGTGTCTCTGAGCTCCGCTATCCGCTTCCGGATGGATTCTGCGCCGGCGAGAACGACCGGACATTGATATCGGAGGTGGAATGGCGTTTGGTCGCATACTGGACAAAGGATATCCTTCGTCTGGCTGCCCTTCTTGCTGCTAGTACTCACTCTTCGCTTGGTAGCGCCAGGTTCGATCGTGGGAGAGGACGCCTTCGGCGTAGACATTTTCCGTACGGAAGAAGTATCTTTCTGGAGTCCAACAGCAGCGGGCTCCTGCGTCGATTCCTCAGGCCTCCACGACATGCTCAACTTGGACTTGCCGGCCTTCTGCTTCTTAGGGATCTGCAGCACCTCAGGTTGTTTCGGCCTCTCTTCCGCGTGTGTCGGCTCAGATACAGCCGCTGGCGCGGGCGCAATATTCGCCTTCCTGTGCAGTATAGCGGCGACGGCCGCGTGGACGCGGACGAAGCCCTCTTCGGGCGACTCCTCGGACCGCTTGACTGCGGGTCACTTGGTGAGATACGTTGTAGAGTGCACGGAGAACAGTTACCTGCAGATTTTCTAGGCTGACGCGTCTTTCGAACGGGTTTTGTCTTGGCAGTATCTGCTGGAGCTTCTGCCTGTCCTTCGGACGTACCGGCTGGAGGCGACGCGGTGGAAACTACAAAAGATATCAGTTGCTGACGAGATGTTGATTCAATGCTGAGCATACCTGGGGTGGGCACTTCTTCCGCTGGGTGCACTAAGTGCTCAGGTGCCTCTGGAACGGCAGATTCAGCAGCCTTCTGCTTTCCTGCACGTGGACATTAGCATCGACAGCTACAGAGTCATATAGACGTTACCTTTCCCCTTAGTTTTCTTGACTCCGTTCGGAAGCTCCTGTGTCACATCTGGTGATGCTTCAGTTGAGACACTGCTCAGACAATCAGTCAGCGATAACAACAAACCTGGCAGTGCAGGCGCCTCAGCCACGGCTTTTCCGATCGCCTTCTTGGACTTCTTCACCTTCCCGGTAGTTGAAGACTCGTCTTCAGCGGTAGGCGGTGCCGACTGAAGTGCTCGAGCAGTGTCGTCGGGCACCGACGCCTCAGCGATAACCTCAGAATCCTTCCTCTTCCTCCCCTTTTTCTCCGGCAGCAATTCGGAGACGTCCGATGGAGGCAAAGTCAGCTCGTCAACAACAGGTGTCTCCTTCGTGCTTTTCTGCTGCTTCTTCAACGCATTGTCAACAGGCGTCTCCTTCTTGCTTTTCCTCTGCTTCTTCACCGTGTCGTCTGAGTTCTCGACAGGGGCAGCGGGCGCCGAGCGCTCTGTGCTGGGGCCAGCGACAGGCTCCGGAGCCGGCTTCATCTTCTTGGACTTCTTCTTAGGAGATGACGTGCGTTCGGCAGCTATCGAAGGCTCAGTGATGTCTGATAGTGTTGATCCTGTCGAGACTGGAACGTCCCCGTTGGTGATCTCGAATGAAAACATGCTTTGGTGTTTCCGCTTCTTCATGGGCGGTTCCGCTGGGCCTGACACTTCTTGAACGTCCTGCCGTACGGTGCGCTTAGCGTCGGGGGTTCCCTTCAGAGATTTTGCAGATTTTCTGCGTTTCAAGGGTGAAACATACATTGAAAGGTTAGGGGCGTTAAGAGCTGAGTCTGCTGCAGCATTCGTACGCTCGTGTTGCTCGCGGACTACAGAATTAGCGGAAAGGAGACGCGACGGTTCTGTTTGTAAGCGGCTAATCTGGGCGGTATCGGCCTTGCGTCTTTTTGAAGGTGGTCTTTCATCACCTGCGAGGTCGACCGATATACTACGGGGGACATTCCCGGTCGACACAGATGAACCGGTGGGACCGACGGACAACTGCAGCGCTGCAGCACTCTTCCCTTTCTTCTTCTTCCTCTGCATGGCACTCTGAGGAAAGTTAGCGTCGAATAGTACGGAGGAAAGATAGCACATACAGTACCGGAGACAGAGCCGAGATGTGTGGAGTCGGTAACAGGGTGTCCTGGTACATCAACTGACACTGACACTTCCAGACGAGATTCTGTGAGCGACAAAGCGCGAAAGGCTTCAAAATCATCGTCTGCAAGGATCATAAGTATTATTAGCCTAGATGGAAAGGGATAAATGCACACCGTCCTCGAGGTCGACCCTCCTCCCTCCCTGGATCTGAACAAGCTGCACAGGCGTGTCTGGGGGAATGCCAAGCTTCTGCCTGATAGTGTCCTTAGTTTCGGCGAGAGTGGTCTCTGTCAGACGCGTGAAATTTCTCGTCGTAATTTCCATGCAAGACAAGCTAGCACACCTTTAAACACCCGCTGAAAAGAGCGATCTCGCACATGGTATGTGACGATGGCGGTGTCGGATTCTCTCTTCCTCTTCTGACCCTCCATGACAGAGAACGGGGCGACGACAGAGAGAGGAAACGCGCAGTGGACGCGGTCAAGGATGCATGCAAGAATTTATCAGGACCTTCGCGCCGGAGCCGCGGCAAAGTCACCCTGAGTCCTGATTGGATCCCGATTCCCGGCAGCCACAGACCACAACACGTGCAAATACCCTCCTCGTTCTCTCCATCATGGCCGGCCAGCATGGTACCCCGTCTGTCCTTACTCTTCCTGATATCCACCGCTCACTACTACCTCTTAGCATCAGGGTTTAATCCCCATCCGCCGGGCTTCCGTTACAAGTTTCTCGCGACCACGCTAGGCGCATCGATGTGGTTCTTCCTATTCTATCGCGCAAGGTACGTGGTTACCACATCACAGGGAGCGTCTACTCATGGTCATACAGGAAGGATGGACCTAAGCTTCTAGTGCGTCTTTAATTTATCTCATCTTACGCGTTCTGATAGGATTCCAGGGCTGGAGTCACCCATGGGAAGCTCATGGGCATGAACACGGGCACGAAGCAGCGCACAATGAGCATCATTGATAGCCTCCAGCGTGTCATAATATACAACAGTCCTGCTGTACCTTGATGCAGGTGGTCTGTCTGGCTGATTCAGTTTCAACGTCGAGCGCACTTTCTCCACGGTCACTTTGAGCGCAGTTTGATCCTTACGACCTTCTTCCCTCGTGTGACTACAGTGATCGTGTTACTCCTCTCCTCGTTAACTGATGCACCAATTCCGACACGTCTCCGTCTTCAACGGTGCCTACTGCCCTATTTTCCGGTCTCTGCGTCGTTGTGCCCAGGCTGACTCGACATCAGGTTGAGTCAGGTCCCTTACACAACTTTCCGGTCGACATGCGGATGACGACCTGCAATTATAAGACGACAGATGAACATGCGGATGCAGTTACTGTCGGACACCTGGCTAAGGATTTGCTGGACGATCCGTGGCACCATGTCTGAATCGTTTGAGAAGTCTTTTTGACGATACTCGGCTGCGTGTTGAGCGCGAGCATATTATTGGTGGCGGTACCGGTACGTCTGCATTGGCGGTTGTAACTATGACTGGTTCTCGGTTTGCGCTATCTCTGGCATGTTCTTCTTGACGTCGACGTCGAGCTTACTGTAGCACGACATCGAGGCGTAGTCCCGTCCTGCGGGGTGCACCGTATGTGTTGTTGCTTTAATTTTGCCCTGTGTATTACTGTCCCTTGTCACATTCTGCCTCTTTGATTAAATGTCCGGCATCTGTTACATACATACTTCCTTTGGTGAGCAGAGATGCCAATACATATTATGGCCGCTGACGTGAGCCTATGTCTTTTCTGCACGCAGAAGCAAGCGTGTTTTGCTGCTTAAAGTTTGCCATCGCCTAACGTGCTGATAACTGGATAGCTGGTGCTGTTGTGGGTGGTGTTGAGAGTTTACCGATGGTGCCGCACTGAGTACCCTCCCGATTGAGCTCGATTTCATGTTATTTGAACATCAGATTCCAAATTTTGCCATGCGTCAAATACGTGAGTTGTGACGTGATGTATCAATGCGGCCGCAATATGGAGATATTATTGTGGACTTGAGCTCGTCTTGGTTGATCATGATCAAGATAAGTACTCTCCGGTGCAGGCCACAGTACGGTCTATTGAATCAAGTAAAAATGCACGGTCTGATGTTCAAGGAATTCTGAAACTTAAAGGTGAGGAGGACCAGTCGGATGACGTCTCTTGTGTTTGTGACGTTCAATATTCCGTCCCAAACAAGATACTCACTTTCCTAAACGGGCAATTACTCTGATAACACGTTTACCTGTTGCAGAACATGCTGGTCACGGTATATCTCTACGTACTCATCTGCAGGTACCAAAATGAAGGCAACCATGTTTTATTTCGCAGACCTTGCCGCAGTGCTTTGCTGATGGAGGTCCATCGATTTGCCAACAGATTCCATACAAACCCCCGGTTTCGTGGAAATCCTGCAGAAGGGGGAATAGTTCAAAGGACAGGACCAATTCTGCAGAGCGAAACAGATTTACCACAAGGTCTGACAAATATTCTGATATTTGGATCGACCGCGGTAGTCGCAGCTCCCACTCCAACTGCTTCCTCTTTTTTCTTTGGCCTTATGTGTTCATTGTCCACGAGGGTGAAGCCCTGTGGTAGACATGGTACTAGTGTGGGTAGACTTGGGTGTAGTGTAGGTGAGGGGTCAATGTAAACTGAGTGAGGTGCTTCCTCTTCGCAAGCGCGAATTGCGACACTAGTCGGTCAGTCGACAGCCATGTGCGTATCCCGATAGTACTGTTCTGACTTGGCTATGTACATGTCTTATACAAAAGTTCATAAAGTAGGTACTGACGTATCGAGGCGGAACGATGACGTGTCCCTCATTGACAGACTGAGAAGTCATGATGTATATCCTCGTCGCGAAGATTTCAAGGACACCGCTCAGTCCACTCCCTGGTAACTTCGGATACAGGTCACCCTCTCTGCACGATCTCCCAACCATGATACGTCCGCCACAACACGTCCTTCACAAACGAACTAAAAGTGCTACCCTCCGTGCCGACAACGTCCCACGCGCGGCTCGCAACCATGGCCTCGAGGAACGGGAGCACAAACTGCCGCAGTGCCACGCCGTCGCGTGTACCGTGGAGTGAGTCCAGCACACTTGTTTGCACGGGAAAGTCCTCAAGGAAGAATGTACACGGGAACGTACGCGTGAAGCGCTCGAGGAGCGTCGAGTTCCGTGGGGTGGCCGCGTCTGTCGCCAGGAAGAGAGGCGTGTTTAGCAGGTCTAGACGGCTGGGGTTGCTGACCGCTGATGTGTGCATAGTAGTTGAGCAGACGAGTTTAGAGGACTGAGGAGGAATGGGTAGCGCAGGCAGTGAGGGGTGTGGGACACGCAGAGAAGGCGTGTCGGGTGGGATATACGGCGGAGCCAGGTTGTTGAGGTCCTCATGCTCCGACTTCGTATGGTTGAGCACCAGCCATCGTTCGAGCGAGGAGATCTCTTCAGTTGTGAATGCCAATGCATAGAGCAGCTTCCACCAGACGAGCCGGACGCTGGCCTCTCCCCTGTCGAGGAAGAACCCGTCCCCTAGCCGGACGTGGGCTCCGAGGTACGTCCCACCAAGCTTATCCCGGATCGCATCCGCAACCGCCATCAGGTGTGGATTCGCGAACGCCATGGTCTTGCGGACGTCGCTCCGCACGCGCACATTCCCGCGATCGCGTAGGTGCAGGCGAGACGAGCCAAAGAGTGTGCCGAGCTGGAGGAGGCGCTCCGGACGGTGCGCGAGGGTGGAGAGGTGCAACGCGTGCTGGTACTTGCGCCCGAGCGTGCTCTTGAACGTTGTGAAATCTTGGAAGCTGTAATCCGTCCTGTTCGTGTCGCGCAGTGCAAAGGTGTCGTTCGCGGCGATCTTCAGATTATCCGAGAGCCACGCATCCGTGAAATTCCAATGCTGAAGTAGCCGCTGTTCCTGCTTGATTGGCGTGAGGTCGATGAGCCAGTCCCAGGGCACATGCGTATACTCCGCGTAGGCTGCGCAGCGTTGTGCCCATTCGTCGTCCAATTGCGGCTGACCACAGCGCTCGTGGCCAATTTTCGTGTCGTTTACAAGTACTTCGTGCAGCACATTGAATGGCTGGTAGGTGAGTGGTTTACTCGAGAGACGCACGGGAGGGACAAGTAGAGTACGATTGAGCAGACGCGACAGCACAAGAGCATTTTCGAAAGCAATACGTTGATTATGGAAGCCGCTGTGCGGCAGATAGCCCAAATACCTCTCCCCATCCACAGGCCTTTCGTCCTCCTCAGATACAGATCCGAGCACAGATTTGACAATGCCAGGCAGAGAAACCAGTAATGAAGACGTGTCAGAACTGATGACGTCGACTTGAGGGAGAAGAACAGCATCAGAACCGTCGACTAGAGAAGAACGAAGTGCCCAAGTATCCCACCTCGTCGTGAAGAGATAGTACGCAGTGCCGAAGCAAGTAATAGTCGCACATACAAGGAAGACAACAAGCAGAGCCATCTGCTTCTCTATCGTCGTCGCTGGGGTATCGCGCGGGCGTCGCCTGAGCTTTGACGGAGTACGCCGGGAGGGCATGCACATGCGGTATGTGCCCTTTTCGACAGAGACGGAGGGAGATGCTTGCGCGGCGAGGCGAGCAGCTACGCTAACGTTGTAGAACGCCATTCCGGTAGTTGTAACAGAGTATTCTGTATTCGAGATCCATGAAAACCGGCCACGATAATTTCCACATGAGTGCAATGATAAATCTCACCAGTACTTGTACTTCGTGTAAATCAAAGATGGACTTCAGCCGCAAATACAGGATGTGGAATCGATCCTGTCGCAGAGGCTGGTCGTCTGAGTCCAACATCGCACAACATGTGACTCAACGCGTCGCGTCACAGGTCACAGGTCACGTTCTCACGCAGAGACGTACGTTACGCCGAAAGTACAATAAGTATTCGATCGACAACATGTAAAAATACAAAGCAGCGAAATTAGCAAGTTGCCTAAGTTTTACTAAATATATGAAGAAGACCAAAGCTCCTTGCCGACTCACACTAGAGGGCACCGCCCGACGCACACATACTCATCTTCGGCCCCCCAGCTCCCCATCTCACAGATTTGCACCTCCTCCATAACCCATTCCCCAAAATCTACAGATCGCAGTCCCGGACTCGGAGACTGTGATACAGCTTGTGCCATCACCATAGCCGTTTCCGGCGTCACTGAGACAGCTTGTAGTGCTTCCGAGGTAAGAATGAAGGAGTACGAGAACGGCGTGCGCACTCTGGTACGGGGCTTGCAGTAGACTGTGTTGAGGACCGTACAGTGGAGCTTCACAGAACATGCTCAGCGCAAAGTGCAAGCGAACAAGCCACATGTTATGCGTACCTTCAGCGGACACCCGTCATCGACGACCAGCCCAGCCGTCTTAAACTTCTCATGCACAAAATCTACACCCTCATCAGCTTCATGCGAATTCGAAGAACTATAGGTGATAACGCACTGGAGAGTTTTCTCAGACGCTCGAAATCTTCATTCATTGGGGAAGGCCTGACCCACATGACATGCGCTCGCTCGAGGTCCTGCCGCTCCGGCTTCACGATGTCCATGCTCTTGAGCGCGACACGTAGCCGTGCACCGTCGAGCATCTTCAGGAGCACCGGACGAATCTCCTCCAGCAGTACAGCGGCGGTCCGTAGCGTCCGTGGGGTTGAAGGCGAGGGAGACGGCGAACTGTCTATCGGCTCAGACGCTCCGCCAGTAAGCGCCATTACACCGAGCGTGAAGTGCAGCCGGCGTGCGGGAATAACGATGGATTCATCAAGACCAGGTATTGCGGGCGATGCGGCAAGCAATGCATCTGTGAATGCCGACATCCTATCCCGGAGATCTCGATGATGCCCCTGCAGATACACCAGACGATTAGAACCTTAGAAGGACAAGAGATGGGTGACTCACGATAGGGAGGGCCAAGACTGCACGCAGAAGCGGCGAGTTCAAGTATACACCTTCGCGAGAGCTGGACAGATAACTGACAATGGGTCAACCCCGTCTTTCTCCTTTGTTGCTTTTCTCCCTTGTTTTCACCCGAAACAGCTCCTCTCGCTCGACCTCTTCCACCGCGCCCTTGGCCCCGTCCATGACCTCGGTACAAGGACCTCGCTCGTCGCAAGCAAACACCTCAGTACAGTACAGCGTTGGTACGCTCACGAAGCTATGCTTACGGGTGACTCGTATGCCTCTGCATTCAATGTCTAAAGTAAAACTTCCGGAGTGCCGACACATCTACTGTGATAGTGAGCACAACACTGACTGAGATATACATGCGATTGTTTGAGAAAGGTCATCCGTTCTGAAGCGCGCATTAGTTCTGTTTTGACATCAACTAGGGCGCAAACTACATAAAACGACCTTGTAAGAAAGACAGAGTGGAAGAGATTAGACAGCTCACTACTTAAGCCACCGGGGTAACTTCACGTATGGCCATACTAGCAACCGATTCCCTCAAGTTGACTGCGGTCACCAGGTCTATAAAGTCATCTCCGGTGAGTGCAGCCCCAGATCCATCTGCGTCATCGTGTTTGTGTAGGACCTCATGTATGAATCTTCCCGCTCCGCTCATGTGAAGGATGCCCGCAATAGCTGCATGAATTCTAAGATACGGATTAGGCAGGCTGATACCATGTCGCGGACCAGACGCAGACGCCCGTGTACGTGGGCGCCTGAGAGGTGGCGAGGCTTCTTCCTCAGCAGACTCAAAACTCAGCACTATGGTCGCTGAACGCGATTTCGCTTGGCTTCCCGTGCAGGCCATGAGGGCCACGATAGTAGACTACGTTATATTTGTTCGGAACCTTCATTGTGGATGAGTTACATCGCGTAGACGATTAAACTGCACCGTCACACACCTCTGTTGCCTTCAGGCACCACGCAAAAGTATCAAACCCTCGATGAGCGGCAAAGTTCATCGTGATTCCGTTCGACGGATCGTCGAGGGCCTCGTGAAAGTCCGCGATGTTGGCAATTGGGACAGAGGCGTAGTTCCGCAAAATGTCGAACGTCGTGAGCGCGGAGAGGTACTGCTGAGTTGTCCGAATCAGCAGTGCTTCATGCAGTTTCGTTACAGAAAGAAAAATTTACCGATTCCTTATTTGCTGACTCAGGAGGATCAAATTCGGCGACTGCGCGGCGGATGATGTGGCACGCTTGAGTGAAGACGACTTCGTGTATGCGGTCCTCTGGGTAGTCGGGAAAAGTGATGTCAGGCGCGCCGGAAACAACGCACCGGTAGCCGTCACGCTTCATGAAGAGAGCTGTTTCCGCGTGAGATTGGGAACGTAACATAATTCTCGGTCATACTTGCAACTTGAATTTCTCCGATCGTGAATTTGAAGCTCCTTGTGTCAACTCGGTAGTAGTATCGTCCAGAGTAGGTGTCGCAATGACAGACGGCGTGTCGTCGTGCCGCTTGGTATGCGAACCGTTGACTTTGACTACCGGAATGTCAGTCGTACGTACTCCACATGTTGTCAGAGAATCTAACCATCTCACTCACCCATGAAGAGCAAATGCGATAGCCAGGTAGTGGCAAGATCTCGAAGTTGAGACAGAATATGATTTTCGACATTATCTGGAGTGCCCCCGTGGCGACATGCACAGATAGCAGAGACTGTGTAGCGCCTGCCGGTGTCTCCACCGTAACCAACAGCATGATAAGCCATCGCCTCAAGCATATCGCTGAGCTCGATGCTGGAACTCCCGCTCTTCGTCCAAGATGGTCGATCGTATTCGTCGTTTTCCTTCAACGCGCGTCGAGTAGACTGCGAGCGCGGCGCTCCAATTCGTCGGTGGAGAGGCCAGAGTCGATGAGGTTTTTTGTTTCCTGGATGCACTCCTCGGAACGGACGGAGCTGACGCTGCCTTCCGAAGAGGAACTTTCGTGCCCGGACGCAGATATGGAAGAGAGGGCGGAGGTATCAGATAGACTGCGTTGGTGAGAGCTTGACATCTCGGCGTAGACCAAGGGGGCGTAAAGTTCGAGCGCGATGGCTTTTATACGACTTCTGATAGGCTTCGCCGCCGCAAGGAAAGAAAGCACCGTGAACGTACCGACGCCCTATAGTTACGAGGTGCTCGCTCGGTGGCAGCAGCGCACCACGTGAACCTGACAGTGGAGAGCGAAAAAGAGAGTGCAGTTTGGCTTAGCAGCGAGCTCGCGAACAACTAAGTTAGTTTTGTTAGGTCGCGGAAAATCGAGCAGAGTAGAGCAGATTCGTGAGCGACGTCACCACACAAGTAAGATACACAATCGCAATCACACCCGGACCGAGTCTACAATATACACATACACTACTGTATAAACAACCTCACGACAACCCCGCACTGCATCTCCCCTCCACCACATACCGTATACCGTACACGTACCTCAACACAAACCACCGTCCATCGATTCACGCCCGCAGCTCCTGCAGCTCCATCTCAGGCTTCGCCAGCCCGTTCTCCGCCTCGCGCGCCCGCCCCCGCTCGCCCTCCGGGTGCGGGTGCGGGTGCGGGTGCGCGACGCGGTTCCACACGCCGGCGAGGCCGTGGTGGTGGCCCGGCTCCTTGGAGGGGCTGCGCGCGTCCCCGCTGCGCACGGCGGAGGGTTCGCGCGAGTGGATGTTGCCGGTGCCGCCGCGGCCGGTGGAGGTGGGCGCGTCGGACGGGTGCGTCGGCGCGGGGGAGGGGGAGCGCGGGGCGGGGACGGCGGTTACGTTTGCGGCGCCGCCGCGGCCGGTGGAGTGCCTGGAGAAGTGTTAGCGGTGAGATGCGAGGGTAGGGAGAAAGGGGGTGGGAGGCCGCCTAGGGGTAGGACGAATGTCGCAACGGACAGCGACAGAATCGAGGGATGAAAACGAGATACGGAAGGAAACGAAGGGGGGAAAAGAACGAAAACCACTCACACTCCCTCGCCGTGTGCCTTGCGTGCCCTCTCCGCTTCCTCAATGTCCGCGACTTCTGCAACTTCGGAGTCGGCCACTGCACCGGTACGGAGGTTTCCCGCGCCGCCGCGGCCGGTGGAATGGAGCGGGGGACGCGAGCGCGAGCGCGACTCCGACTTGGGGAGCGACGTGGGATAGGCCGAGGGCGGGTACGCCGCTGGACTCGGGGAGTGGGGGTGGATATTCCCGACTCCGCCGCGGCCGGAGTGGTACTGGGAGTGTGAGTGTGAGTGCGAAATAGAAGGGGCCAAAGAGCAAGAGGGCACGCACTACGCCGGCGCGGGCTGCCTCCTCGCTAGCGTGGATGACGCTAGCCTCATATTTTTCCTCCTCGATGGCGTTGGGGTCGCGGGACATGGAGCGAGAGGTAGCCCGGATATTACCGGCACCGCCGCGGCCGGTGGAGACGATCTAGAAAGAGGAGAGTGAGCAGGACAACGTAGGAACGGGTACCGAGACATACGCGGTCCAGCGGAGTGTCTTTCACGGAGGGTTCCCGGCCGCGCACCGGGGAGAAGTTGTCGGGGTCCTGAGGCTCGCGGGAAGGAGAAGGGGAAGCAGGATCTTGGGAAGCAGGCCGGATGTTTCCCAGTCCGCCGCGTCCGGACGAGTGCTGCAGTCGCGGGCGTGTTTAACGAGCAGAAAATGGGAATAAAAGGATACGCACGTAGACTTCGCGTCCGCGAGAGACGGAACGGGCCGGGGTTGCAGAGTCTGGCATGGAAGAAGCGAGAGATGAGCGGGGAGATGTGACGGAAGAGGAGAGGTTAGACAGCTTTTGACTCTGCACAGAAGCCGTGCCTGGCGCGCGGATCTAACCGAACTGGGCGCAGATAATCGAGATAAGCAACGCGATAAGGCACCCACCGCCGTCGTCGACCAGGCGCAGATAACTACCGTCCTCCCTCCTTATCTTCTCCTTCGTTCCACCACCATCCTCGCCCCTGCTCTTTGCGCTCACCGACAGTCGCCGCCCGAGCTTCTCCCCCAGCGTCGACACCTGCTGTGTCCACGACCGTCTCCGAGCCAACACTTCGTTCATCGCCGTGCGCACGTCTGGCAGTTTGTCCTATCTCCTGTTATCTTCAAGTCGCGCGAATGTCGTCTGCGCACAGCGGATTTTCTGCACCAACAAAGGAGCGGCAGCAGAGTCGAGGAGGGAGGGGTTCGTTCTCCTCACGCACACCGGCGTACATATACGCTCTGCCGGCACGCTGGCTTGCGCACAATTGCGCCGTGCCTGCGTCATGAGACGACCCCAGGCGTCATCCCCACGGCTTGCCCGCCTAGGCTCCCCCCACTCGCTCTCCCTCCTTTCTCTGCCGGATCATACGCTCTCCCACGTGAAGTTGCACGTTCGCTGGCGCCGCCCTTTCACACCGTCAAGTGAGCCTCTATTTGCATCCGGCTGCATTCGCATTTCGCTAGTCCGGATGGACGCGTCGCTCGTTTTTATTACCGCGTGCAGCACCCGATCACGCAACCGCTCGCGAACGCTACCCAATACATACCATCTTCTTCGAATTCGTCTATTCGTCCTCCTTACCCCTATTGGCTCCACGAACGCTAATCCTCGTTCTGCCGACCGTGCACCCTGTGCGCGCACCGTCTTATGATACTCTCAATTCGAGGGTCGCCATCGATGCGGTGCGGATGATCACTCCGCACCGGTTTTGCCAGAATCCACGCGACTTCCCGGTGTCCTCGGTCGATTTCGATTTTTCGACACCCCTTGACTTTTCTTGTTGTTATCTCTTATTTCTATCCGCTATCTGATTTTGCACCAAGTTTAAAAGCTCGAACGATCCCCACCGTTTCCTGATTTCCCGCGCATCCCCCCCTCCTGGTATGTGCTGCCCATGTATGCTAGTGCCGATCCCGCATCTGCGAGGTTCTCCTCTGAGATTCACACCGCTCACGGCTGCGGGTGTCGTGCATGGCGGCGATGATACGTCGGACCGACAAGAAATACACAAGATTTTCTGTGTTTTATCTGGAGCACCTGTCTCGCTGATCGTGTGTGGTCGATGGCTGTGCTGCAGACAATACCTGATCCCCTGCATGTGGTGCATGATGGTAAAAAATCAACCGAAGATACTTTTTCTTTTAATTTTTTGCCTTGTGATACCGTGATGTAGGTGATCCCAGGCCAAGTGCTGTGGTGCGGGGTGCATGTATGCAGTGTTTTGTCTTGATTTGCTTGTCGCGATTTAGTCTTGCGAGGTGTGGATAATTGGTTTTTGTCATTTGTGCAGCTCTGTCACAGTCGTCTGCTCCGCGCGCAGTTGTGCGTGCGTCCTGTTCGCAGTGTAGGCACTCTATGACACAGAGTCGGGCACAAAGGATCGATGAACGAATAGTCTTTGGAGTCCATTAGTACGTTCTGCTCCCTGTGATGGCACCCCCGGAATGCACAGCTGGTCATCGCACTCCGCTCGAATCGTCTCGCGAGCCCGAACGGCGTGATGGCGCGGAGCATCGTAGACGGCAACCCGACCGCGACGCGTCGTGTTCTCCACACCTTCGCGTTCGTGTACCCAAATACGTGCCCGCCGCCGCCGTTCGCGGGGCAAGAGCACCTCTTCAGCTGTGGATATTGTTTTGACTGGACGTCTTATTAAGCTTGCCCTCCTGGATCGGATTTCGTACCATCTCCGCCGCTTCCCCCGGTGCGGTCGTCGTGTGCAAAACTCTCTGGCCTTGGAGGTAGGCTGGCCACTCGCGTCGTGCATTACCGATGGTGGAGCGGGCGATGGACCTCGAGGCGGCGAATACCATCGCGAACCGCGAACTGCGACGTTCCCGCTCGCGTGGGTCGTGACGGGTGTGGTGCGTCCGCCCTGGAGCTGGCGGAGATGGACGACCGGCGTCCGACCGGGTTACCTTTGTCGCCGCACTTCACGCCTGTCCCGCTCGATCTCGTCTCGAACGCGCAGCCCGTCTCTGTCCCCCCCCCCCTACGACTTCGAGTTCAGTTTCCCCTTCGCGTTCCCCCGCTCGTCTTCGATTCTGAGGAGGGGTGGGGGGGGGGGGCAGCGCCAAAATCCATCGCACACTTCATATATACAACCGTACACTCCACCCATGTCAGACCCCGCAAACGCGTTCTCCCAATCCCAATAAAAAATGTCTCATTCTAGCACATACCAACCGCCCGCGAACGGACAGTATGCAACACAAAAATCCCAGCGTAGGTACCGGCTCGCGTGCGAAAGGAGGGGGGTAAATACGACACGGCAGGAAGCAGGGGGGGGGCAATCGTGACTATATATCGAATTAGAATATCTACGGGACGCACCGTCCGGTTCTAGTCTATGCAATCGGTAGCTGGGAGCGAAAGTTTTAGTGTGGGGGGAACACGATGCGATACACCTACGTGCGCCGTACGTCTAGTGTACGTCGCGCGGAGTGATCTTCGCAGAATCCAAAAGTGAGATAACCGGGGGCGCCCACGCTCAATCGTACCGATCCAGCGCCCGCAGCCACCGCGCGACGCGCCGGCCCTCCTCCTCGTGCATCCTCTCCGCCCTCGCCCGGCCCACCGCCTCAAACCACGCGCCCTCGAGCGCCTCCCCCGCACCGCCGTCCGCAGGCTGCAGCGCGAGGAACTGCACGGGCAGCGCCCGCACGAGCGCGCGCGCGAGCGCATCGGGGTCGGCCGCGGGGGAGGGCGCGCGCGAGGGGAGGGGCGTGCAGAGCGGGGTCGGCGGCGCCGAGCGCGGCTGGGTGGCGTGCCGCCGGAGGGCGAGGCCGCGCAGGGCGAGCGGGGCGAGCGCGGGCGCGAGCGCAGTCTAGCGTCAATCGGTGATCAGTATTCGTGAATTTTCGCGGGAGGGGGGAGGAGGGGGACGTTACCATCCAGGCTCTGGCGTCCTTCTCCGACTCGCACCCGTAGAGCTCGATCTCGAGGAAGCGCAGCGCGGGCGCCGCGGCGGGTAAGCGCGCTGCGAAGGCGGCGGAGTCGAGGGACACGTCGAGCGCGCAGGAGAGGACGACGGGGCGGGTGCGCGCGAGGAGCGTGAGGGCCGCGCGCGCGCGCTCGGGTGCGCGGGGGTGGAGCGGGTCGCGGAGCGCGAGGCGGCGCACGGGGCACGCGAGCGGGAGGACGGCGTGCGCCGCGTCGACGCTGTCCAGTGCGGTCCAGCCGGCGCTGGCGGGCGTGTGTGCGTCGTCGGTCGCGAGTGCGCTGTCCCGGGGCGCGCAGGAGCCGCCGTCGACGAGGTGGAGGGTGCGCAGGTGCGGGAACGCGCGTGCGAGAGCGGGGAGGGGCGGGAGGGCACCGCCGAGGGTGACGGTGCGGAGGGCGGGGAGGCCCTTGAGGGCGTCGATGATGGGCGGGTGCGCGACGAAGAGGGCGTCGGCGCCCCAGAGGGTGATCTCGTTGAGACGAGACGCGCGGGCGATGACCTCGGCGAGGACGCGGACGCAGGCGGGGTCGACGGCCCAGGCGCCTCGGATGCGGCGGCGGACGGCATCGCGCATGACCTCGAGGTGGAGGAGGAACGGGAGGTGAGCGGGGCGGGCGAGGATGGCGGTGCAGAAGCGGATGAGCTGGTGGATGGCGGGCCGGGACGAGTAGAAGGCACCGCCTAGCGTGACGCGGGCGAGGGCGCGGCGAGAGGCGAGCTCGTAGAGCTGCTGGCTGGTGAGCGCGAGTTGGCGGGCATCCGCCGGGGACAGCTGGCGGAGCACGAGAGCGAGGACGTCGTAGTTGAGACTGAGCAGACTCATTGTGGTCGCAATGGTTGGACAGCTGTCGGTGAGAAAGAGAGGAGGAAGAGAGAGAATATACAAACCGCCGTCTAGAGGTGGTGGTCGGAAAGAAAGTCTATGGCGCGATTGCGGGTCGGTCACCGCGAGGAGTCCGTCTCCACCTCCTGCCCTGTTTCTCCCGGGCCCCGACTCTCACGTGATCAACTCGTCGCTGAGCAACTCCAAGGCGAACAGCGAGCAGCGATGCTCATCCTCCCTAAGCAGCGGATACTGCCGCACCTGGAGCACCATTGCAAGCGTCAGTCATGAATGCACGACGGGCAATCCAGGAAGACCGTTATGACAAACGCACATCACGACCCCGCACGCCAACGAGCTACCCCGCACTCCCCCGCGCTGAAACAACATCAGCGTCGCCGATGGCCTGGGATGGTGCAACGCTGCGTCATCCGTGCGCAAGCAGTCGGAAATATTGGCTAGTGCCCAGTGCGTCTCCGAGTGTTTCTGCGATTTGTTCTGCCTGGCTTTCCCCAAAGAGTAATAAAGAATACTTCAGGGCACGGCACTCCGAGCACCACAGACCTGCAGCACGATCGTCGCAGGAATAATCCAAGACCCAAAAGTAACGAGTTCTGGAGGCTCCAGCTGAGGCTCAGCGCGGCGGGAGCAGTCGACGTGGAAGACTGAGCGCAAACGGGCCAGAGTATACCGCTGGGCTCGTACGTACTCGGCCTGCCTCCCATCTGCGTCATGGGACTTTTCTCGTGCCCGGAGAACTTCAGCTGATGCGCGCTCGCGCTCCCGATTTGGTCGTTTTCCGCCTGTATATGGAAGGCTGCATTTTGGCAAGGCGAGTGCGCGGTGAGTCTTGTCGTCGCCGAGCTTTGAAATTTTATTTAATATTGAACGTTGAAAGTTGTGAAACCTCTGTCGCGATCTATAGCTAGTCGCAGCTTGTCGATGCGGTGGTACTTACACGTACCACGGGAAATACAAATTTTGACAGAATATGATTCGCCTCCATTTCCGCAGAGTCATCTGGCCATGCCATCTCCGTCCGCTCCGAGCCGCCTCCGCTTTTTCGCCCCTCCGTACCCCACCTATCATCGCAAACGGACAAAATCGGACGACACCAAGCTACCGCCCAGCAACGTTATATCCCTTCTTCGCCGCAATCCCTGTCCCGGGCGAGTATACATCGTATCCTGAAATCGCTCCTCTGAGTTTTTGCATTTCTTCACCAGTGGCTGCTGTGGGACATCTTCGCAAGCTGGTCCACCGTATTCCGTCACCGTCCCGCTTGTTCTCCTCCCTCACACATTTTTGGGCACGAATAATGAACACCATGTCACCGTCATCATCGTGAAATTCAGGAGGGATGACGCCGACGTGGTCGGATCCGCAACACATTCGAGGGGTTCCGTATCCCACTGCGCGGTACAGTGGCGAGCCAGCGCGATCTTCAGAGGAACGGACCGGCTGGTTTCGGAATCGCGTCATGTCGACCCATCGAGCTCCCCGCCGACAGCGCGCGTCTCGCGTTTGTAAAGCGCATTCCGCGCCGCAGTTGGTGCGAAACCCCGCAGTGTGTGCGGACGACCTGTCAGGCGATACCGGCGACAGCGCACGCTCATCTCACTTCCGGCGTCAAACCATCCATTTTGCGGCGTGCGCCCACGGCCCACGCAGGACGCTCCTCGAGCATTTACTCGCCCTCCACCTGCTGTGGACGTTCGGTATCGCCCTCCCGTCCTCTCGTCAGATGCATCGGTGGACGACGCCCAGCAGGACACGGCAGAACAACCTTCCCCCTCTCCAATACACACACTACCGCTCACGCTTCGCGCGAACCGGAGCCTGAGCGCGGCCTGCGGGGATGTCCGTCCGACCGTGTCGCGCGCCCGGTGGAGCACCTTGCGGGTTAGCTGGGGAGGAGGGCGACCGAGGTGCGCGCGCGCGGGGGCGGGAGACGGCGTACTGGACAAGTTCCACGCAGGCGTCCCTCGATGTCTCTGCGGTCAGTTTTCGCCGGCTGCTGTGGAGACCCTCCGACGGACGATACTTACTGGCTGTGATTCCTGCGGTGTCCGGTTTTGCGCGTGTGACGGTCGATATCGCTCGGTGCTTTGATTCGTGAGGCGAGCCTACGGTACAGAGCTAGCGCGCCGCGCGACCGTTGGGCCCGACGCACGGACTTGGTTAATCTGCCCTCACGCCGCAAGTCGCTGCGCACGCCGTTACGGGGCACAGTATGCACGTCCGTCTCGTCCTGTCCCCTCGCGCACGAACCCCAAGTTCTGATCTCTTTCTCACAACCCAGACTCCGCGGTGCAGAGGAACAGCCCGTACTGCCCCCAACCCATTACACGCTACCCCCTCGCGCAGGGGGCGGGGGCGGGGGCGCCTCCCGTTCCGTCTGGTCAGTCTCCGCCGTCGCGGCTGCATAACGCTAAAGAGAGGCCCTCGCTTTCGTTTCGGTACATTCCGATTTTTCTGCAAGTCTGGCTTTGGCCCCCGCCGACGGAAGAGCAGGAGCGCACGAAGGCAGAAAACCGCATGCTACGCTTGCCGCTCGGACCACCGCCGTCTGCCCGGACATCCAAAACGCGGGTTCGTGCTCGCGGGCGCGCCTCCGCGAACCAAGGGGATACCGTAATCTCAGGTACTCATGGTATCTGAGATTGCGGAATCCCCTGGTTCGCGCCATGCGACATCGAGGTGGGCCGATCTCCTCTCTCCTCTCTTGGAACGCGGGGTCCTGTCCGTTCTTCGTGCGCGTTTTTCGTGCAGAATACGTGTCCATGCCCCGCCTACCCGTCCACCGGCATCGCGCGCGCGCAGCTGTCCCATGTCGTCGGCGCGCATCCACGCCCGCGTCGTCGTATGCGCCCTCGCGCAGACGCATATGCAGGCTCGTCTCGCAAAGCGGGAAGCGGGACGCCTGCTGCAGAGCGTAATCGTGAAAACGCACATTACGGTACGCTGACGAGCTGGTGACAATGCATGTGCTGGCGCAATCACCGGGCAGGCTCACTTGAGACAAAGACCGCATCGCTGCATGTTCCCCCCCCCCGAGGGACACAGGCGTGGACGACCGCTTTACGGGCGCTTGCCCCGTTCACGGGAGTCGGCGGGCCGTGCGCGGGGCATGGTATGCCGCCGCTTTGCGTGGGGACGGCCGTCGCACCGCGTGCTCGGCGGAGCGCTCGACCGTCGGCTGGAGCTGGCGGTGCGTGGTCCGAGAGAGCTTGCGCCCGCGAGTCGGCGAGCGGTTATGGCGGTGGTGCCTCGAGCACTGGACGGCGCAGCGTTCCGCTCACTGCTGAGGCCTGAGACCTCGCGGCGCTCATGGCCAAGAGGCGATTTACACCGAGTGCACTTGCGCTTGGGCCGCGTATTCGCCGCACGCGTGAGGCGAGAATAGGCGTGAGGTAGCCCACACCGTGGTGCGTGGGGTTACCAGTGTGGGACGAGGGGGCGGTGCGAGAGGACGGGTGCGCACAGGATCTGGGAGGAAGGCGTCGTGGCGCGCCGCGCCGGGCTGATCCTCTCTGCACGGCGTTCGAAGACGGGAAGGCGGGTTATTTCCATTTTTTGTGATGGGCGCTCCCATGGCGTCGCTGTCGCGTCTGCTGCGGCTTCGAGTTGGATGGTCTCCAGGCGGGCGAGTTGGCGACTGGTGCGGAGCGAGTGTGGCTGGGAAAAGAAGAGAAGAGGAAGCTTCGGGGCTGTACCTGTCGTCGCAAAAACTTTGCGTTCAACGTTCGTCGTCGAACGTTCTCGCTCAAGGAACAGTGGGACGGGAGAAGGGAAGATTGCAAGGATCGTCAAGTAATTATGTGCTGTGGGACGCGTACGATCGAGCCACGGGTGGTCGATGAGGTGGAGCGGAAGGGCAGAGAAGGCGAGTGTGCCTGGAGCGTGGTGGACAAGGCATGTGGATGAGCAGATCACTTGTCAGGTCTGTCATCCTACAGCCTCCGACGTGAACGGGTCCAGTCTTGCAGCACCCGTCGGGCAACGAGGGAGGAGGAGGAGGAGGTGCGCGTCGGGGACGGAGGGAGATCTGGGAAGATCTTGGGCGGGCGGATAAATACAAATTCCCCAGGTTTCCCCGCGTTCCCCACAGTCGACCGAGGCTGCTCGTCGTCCTTGGCGATCCCGCCGCTGCGTCCACAGTGTCCAACCAGCCGAGCGTCCGACGCCCGACGGCCAAGACGTCGTACAGCGATTCGAAGAAACGCCATTGGACACTCATGACCTGGCGTGTCTCACCGGTTAGTGAGCAATCACCTTCGCTCCTTCGGCCGTTCTGCCGCACGCCAAAAACACCTCCCATTCTTCCCACCCGCTGACCAGTGCACTCGACCTGACCAACAGGCGCCTGACCTCCCATAAGAACTCTCCCCCGTCGCCTATCCCGTTCTCCGACGCCCCGCAGCCACGACCTCCGACGCACAGAAGACACGACCTTCGACGCCCCTGCCATGGCCTCCTTCGATCCCCCAAGTACTCTCAAACCCGCAGAGGTCGCAGCCACGATGGTCCAGCACGGCCTCGCGAAGCACCGCACCCGCGCCGACATCCTCTTCTTCAAGGCCGTCCGTTCCCCCCCCCGCTGCTGACCCCGTGCGCACGCTGACCACGCCCGCAGTTCCTCGCAGGCAACATGCTCTCCTACGGCGGCCTCCTCTCCGAGATCATCTCCGGCGGCTCCCCCGCCCTCACCGCCTCCAACCCCGGCCTCGTCAAGGTCCTCGGCGGCGCCGTCTTCCCCGTCGGCCTCATCATGATCGTCCTCCAGGGCCAGGAGCTCCTCACCAGCAACATGATGGTGCGCCCTCCCACTCCCACCTGAGCGTGGGACCGCCCGGTGCCACGTTGGCTAACGCGCACGCAGATATTCCCCATGGCTATCCTAAAGGGCGCCGTGCCCTGGTGGAGTCTCCCGCTCAACTGGCTCATCGGTACGCGCCCCTCCCCCGTATTCTCTCCGGCGGAAGGCGAGTCTCACACTCTACCCGCAGTCACCTTTGGCAACCTCGTCGGCAGCCTCTTCTTCGCCGCCATCCTCGTCAAGTGTGCGTCTGCGCGTCCTCTCCCTCCGTAGTCGATCCCTAGAGCTGACGCCCGCGCACAGACACGGGCATCATCTCGACCGCGCCGTACGACGCGTACGTGATCTCGTTCGCGCTCCACAAGGCCCAGGAGCCCCAGTGGTACCAGATCTTCCTCCGCGGGATCGGCTGCAACTGGCTCGTCTGCATCGCCATCTGGGTGCGTCCCCCCCCCCCCCCTCCGTCTGTCGTGTGGCGCTCCGCTGACGGTGTCGTTCGTGCTCCTTTTCTCGCGTTTTTTGTCTCTCTGCCTCGTGTCGCGCGGTCCATGCGCGCGTGTTCTGTGTATTCCTGAATACGCGGCGCCGTCTGTGTGGGAATCAGCAAGCGGCGGGCGCGCGCGACACGCTCTCCAAGGTACGTCCGAGCGCCCCGCGCGCGCACGCCCGCGCACACACTGACCGCGTCCCCGGCGCGCCGCCGCCCCGCAGATCGTCGCGATATGGATCCCGATCATGATCTTCGTCTCCGCCGGGTTCGACCACGGTGCGTCCCCTCCCTCCCCGCCTCCCCACACCCACCGCTAACCCTGACCCCACCCCCCCCCCCCCACCCGCACAGTCATCGCGAACATGTTCTCCGTCCCGCTCGGGATCATGTTCGGCGCGCCCGTGCGTCCCCCCCCCTGTGTGCGCATCCACACGCTGACTAAACGAGGCTGACCGCAGATGACCGCGGGGTACTACATCGGCAAGTCGCTCGTGCCGAGCTACCTGGGCAACGTCGTCGGCGCGCTGCTCGTCGCGCTCCCCGCGACGTACTTCTACCTCTGGGACTGGCGCGCGGGCGGCCTGCGCGGCGCCGAGGAGGGCGAGGGCGGGCGGGACAGCGAGAATGGCGAGGAGGGCAAGACGTATGCGGTGAGCGCGCAGGGGGCGTGAGCCCTGCCCCCCCGCTGTGTAGAAGGGGAGGGGAGGGGAGGGGAGGGGGCGGTGTAATGTATTGTTTATTTTGCGCTGCGGGGGGCGGGGAGGGGAGGGGGAGGTTACATGTAACATATTGGATTTTATTTTTGTGCTTGTTGGACGGGACGTGTTCGCGCTTGCTTGCTTTGTACTGTAGTAGACCAAAACGGAGACCGGATGTCGCTATTGAAATATTGACGTTTTACGAACACGGACGCACACTACTGCCTCTGCGGCTGCGCACATCACAGGCCGACTCGGGCCATAGCAGTTCACCGGTCTCACTCGCCGCAGGGTAAGATATACACTGTGGGTGAACGATGCGCGGTGCGCCAGCGCGCAGCATGGTCAAGAACGCAGCCGCATCAATTGCAAGTGGGTATGTCATCCCCCCCAAGCCCAGCTGACGGACCTCCTAACAAATCAGACGCGGAGCGCCCCAGCACCATGACCAATCCAGATAGCCAAGAGCAGCAGCACCTCAGCAAGAATAGCCAAGGGCTCGAGCACGGACGGTATCAACTCATCGCATCGCACCAGAACAAGGGAGGCGGGCTTCCGCTGCACGCAGCAAAGCCACGAATCACGGGGGCGCACCAGGCTAGGGTATGTCAGCCCGACCTCAGGTGACGATCCGCGCGCAAGGTCACGAACGCAGCGCCCGCCAGCCCGGACCCCCCAAAATAGACACACAGCGGCCCCATGGCCTGCAAGAATAGCGCAGGCCGTATCTCCAGCCCGCGGTGCCCTGGCTCGAGGATATTACTAATTTATCACTCGGGAGCAAGTGTACCCGCGCGTCGACAGTCAGCGCTTCGACCTCTACGCGGCTGGGGACCAACACCGGACGAGGTACACCGAGGATACAGCGCGAAGGGGGCGGAGAAGCTCTGGGACAGGGTTCGACGCTTTCGAGGCCGAGCACAGAATAGCATCGCGAGCGCGGTAGACCCCGAACCGTGATTTACCAACAGTGTTTCCCCCATTCGCACCAGCGTGCGCGAGAACAAGGGATACAGTAATATGGGCGCGGAAAAGATCAGCAGATGCCACAGGGGGCACAACATTGCTGCATGCTGAGTTCGTTCCTAGACAGAGCCACAGCTAAAAGGGTACGGCAGTTAATAATTCCAGTGGAACGAAGGAGCCGTCGCACATGTAAGTCCGTACGGGGTTCTACCAGCGACCGATAATGACATCCCCGCGAGCTCAGTTTCCATCAAAATAGGCTATAGATTAGGCCGAAGACCAGCACTGTCCCGGTATTTCCTCGGGACGTCTTCGCAGGCACAGACGATTGCAAGATAGTGGCAGTGAGGCACCGGGAGCACCCACGAAGATCGCCCAGCGAATTCGCAACGTTGGGCACTGCGCGATATGAAGCGGAGGATCAGAAGACCCGAAGAATCTTGGACGCACGGAAACGTTGAACCAAATTCCCGAGTCCCTCTGCATGGCTTTGCGCAGACGGCGACGGCCACCAGATTACACTGGGGGTAAGAAAGGTATTCAACCCATTAAGCATCAGGTGCCGATAACTCTTGGCCATGTTCCAGAACGTGATGTACGAGCACACATACTAGTAGAATATCAAAGGATCGGCCACAAATAATTCAAAATCGTACTTGCATAAAAATCCCGTCACCAACGTGGGCCAGCATGACGGTAAAGTAAAGTCCTCCAACGATCGACGCATTGAGTTCTATAGCCGCTGTTGAGTTGGATTATATGTCAGCATTTTGACACCAGGCGGTTCGAGTCCGAGTTCGGTTGCGCTACACTTTGTACGGTTCTAAAAGACCCTCGAATCATACCAATGCAAATAATCTGTGAGCCCAGGGCGCCCCCCGAAATCATCCCTCAAGGCAAAAGCGAAGCGGAAGAGCGGACCATCCTCAGTCAGCTCATCGAGTTCGATGCCACGCAAGTCACTAAATTTGACACCGCCACTAGCACTCAATGTTCTGCAGCAGCTGATGGCAGACTGCAGATACTCACAAGATACTCATAAGTCCCTTCAGTGTGTTCAGGCGCCAGAATGTCTTATATATAGACCAGGCCGGACGAATTGCTACGCTGCTCACTAAGGAACATACCGACCTCAATCACCTTTAGTGGCACGTGGAGTCTGGGAAGCAAAGACAATTAACCTCGAGCTTCGATGAAGTGGCTACAGACGCACCGGCTCTTGAAAACATCTATGATATCATGCAGTGTGACACCAGACAAGTTGTATATGGCCGGGAATTCGAGCCCGGCGACACTACAGAACTCCATACGCTGCATGGGGGGAAACGTCGCGAACGTGCTCAATGCAATGGGGTGTTCTTCGACTTCAAAGCGTACGAGTCTAACGATTGTATGGCACCGGTGTTCCAAAAACTCGTCGTTGGCATCAGAGAGGAACACGTCCTGTTGTGAATAGGACCAGGCGTGCAATACAGCGTGTGATAGCAGGCAGGTTCCTCTTCAATGGATTGTTCTCCGTCAACGGATTGTTCTCCATCGAAGAATTGGTCTTGCTCCTCCTCTATGAGTTGTTTCTCCTCAATGGCAGCCACCATGCGCCGCGCTGTGAATAGATGGGTGAGCACTTATTGCGCCGATTAAGCGGGTATCTTAGAGTAGTACTCACCGTTCGCCCTCAGCAACTCCGTGCCACATTCACGATTAGTGCACGAGCCATCTTTCTGTATGAGGTTAAACGCGATTGCCTTCCACGAGACCTCATCCGGCTTCTGGTGGCGTGTGAGGCCAAGTCCCGAGAGCCAACATGCACGATGCCAAAGTTCATTTTCATCCTTGTCGGAGCAATACAGATTTGCGACGAGTACATGAGAGTGATAGAACGATACGTGTGTCTGGAGGTCGTCGTCGGGAATTAATTCTTTCACCATGAGCAGGAGTTCGGCCGGTAACCGGCCAAAAAGTGTTCGCAGATCCGTGGGTTTGACGCATACAAGTTCGGCATGTTGATAAAGTCGTTCAAGCTCATCAAAGGAGCTCATGCCTTCGGAGTTCCTGAAGTCGGCGAGTTGGAAGTTGACGGATGAGATCTAAGAGTCGGCCTGGCCTCAAGTCCAACCACGGCTTGTTGAACTATTTTGGATATGGACAGTACGAATATGGTAGTCGTAGTAATTAGCGGTAACACGTCCGAACCTCACTTTGTTCAACCCATTCAAAACTACCTCAGGCCTCAGAAGTCCAACGCTCTTACATACATTGAGGCGGTTCAAGTAGCTTTGTATGCCCGCTGTGGCGGTGGCATGAGTGCTACTTGAATGCGGTTAATGTGCTACGCATGGAGACATTGGAGAGTACATGTACGGTAGGCGTAGCATCGTGGGTGGGATGCACGAGTACTTATGCTCCCGTAATTTTGCGCATAGTGACGAAGTGCAGATAAGCGCAGGCTAGCATAATACATCAGCAGGTCCCTCGTCCCGTCCTACCTCGGCAACGTCGTCGGCGCGCTCCTCGTCGCGCTCCCCCAGCGCGCGCAGTAGGGCTAAGAATGGAGACATCAAGTTGGTAAGCCCGATCCTCTCAAAAATAAATATGTACAGGCAGCATCGGTCCCCATGGCCTGTAAGTAAGAATAGACAGGGAGAAGCAGCTGTATCTGTAGCTCGCGGTGCCCAAGCATATTTTTAGTTTACTTATATCACAGCAGCAAGTAAATCCGGACATCAACAGTCAGCGAGAACGAGAACCTGGGGTGTGGGTTAGTATTCCTGGGGCGTGCAAGAAGAGCATGGACACGTCTGCGCAGCTGCGGACCAACAGCGGGAGATGGTAGTAGGCACCAGGGATACCAACCAGGAGAAACTTGGGGGTATCGTTCTTCAAGCTTCAAGGCCGACGTGCGCACCGTCGTTACGCAAGCGTCCGGGCGCCGACACAGATGCACAGACACAGATGCACAGACGAAACCTCGAGAACCGTACTTGCGTGAGAAGGTCGAGACGGGAATTTGTTCCTCCAAAGGGGAGACGGAGACAGTCAATTTTGCTACAGCGCCAGCCGTACCAATGAAGTGTCCTTGTCCCGTCCAGAGTCTACAATCCAACGCATGCGTTCACGATTATTACCAAGGACCATGCCAATAAGTAGCGGACAAGTTGAACATGGGTGTCAATGCGAGCTTGAGAACCCAAACACCGTGGCCAAGCAATATTCTACCCCGTTAGGCGATCCACAATCAAACTGGGCTATGGCCCGGAGGAAAACTAAATAACCTTGGATGCGCAAAACAATTCAACCAGATTCCCGATGACAACGCCTCAAGGCAGAGAACAGAGTAGAACCAGGCGCGCTGTAGACCTAGAGCCACGATTTACAACAGTAGCTTCCTCATTCACACCAGCGTGCGCAAGAAACAACGGATGCCACTACTCATAGCGTGACCAGCACGGAAAAGAGAAGATCATCGGCTGAGCGCTGAATGCCAAGAAGGACACAGCACTACTTAGACGCATGCTAAGTCCCTTCCCAGAACGAGGCACAGCTAAAATAATCAACGGCGGTCAATAATCCCAGTTGAACAGTCGTACATGTCAGTTCATACGGGGTTCCACCGGGGACCAATGTCATGCCCGCAAGCTCACACACACTCCCCGTCGAAATAGGCGATAAATTGGATCGAATATCGGCTCAGTCCCGGTGTTTCCTCGGAAAGTCTGCGCAGCGACAGAAAAGACATCGCTGAGAGGCACCGAGGATGCCAACCAGGATCGCCCATTGCGCCGTCAGGCACAGCGCGAAGCCGGCAGAGAAGCTCAAGGGCCTCTTTCTTCATTGCCGACGTTCGCATCATCGTCATGCAAACGACCGGGTGCGAAAGCCAGCGGAAACAGACGCAGAGACGGAGACTCAGAACCGTATGCGTGCGAAGTTTGTAGACGGGAATTTATTACTCCACAGGGAAGACGTCAACGCCATGGACGGCGTAATCTGCGTCGGTTGTGCTGGCAAAACGTCCTAGACGTAACGGTCAGTACAAGGTCTATAACCCAATGCAGGCTTCCATAATTCTGATGGAGGGGCACGTCGATGAGTAACGAGCAAATCTGACACAACAGCCGATACGAACCTGAGCACTGCAACACGAAGCAGGGTGCAATGTTCTACCCTGAGACATTCCGCGATCAAAGTGAGCAGAGGCCGGAATACGTCACGGAGGATCGGAAGACTACAGAACCTTGGATGCATGGAAAAAAATTGACCAGATTCCTGATGGAAATGCTTCGCGGCAGAGCACAAAATAGCATTACACGCACCGTGGAATAAGGCATGACATATGTGCAGGAGCGATCAGACCAAAGAATGGACCACAACCATGAGAGCCAACAAAAAAAGGCATTATGGTGGTCACTAATTCCAGTTGAACGAAGGAGCCGTCGCAGATGTCAGTTCGTACGGCATTCTATCGGCCACCAACGTGACAACCGCGAGTCAAGCTTTCCATCGAAAGTGCGCCGTAGGCCATAATCTGCGACTATTGATGACAAGACACATGAGACTTACAGGAGATATAACACTCCTTGCAGCGTGTCCAGATTTTCAAATGTTTCCCGTATGGACCGGGCATGCATCTCGATCCTACGAGGAGTTAGTGAAAATTGCTCCCGGAGGAAACGCATCCCATCAGAGACTTCCAGCCGCAGAGAGAAACTGGAGAACTAGGATGAGAATAAAGCTCCAGATCCGACAAGGCGCACTTTTGATTGGAAAGGACACAACATCTTCCCCAGTGATGCCAGTTGGGTTGCGCATGTTGGAGACTGCCAACCTAATAAGAGAGTACACCTGCATGCGCCTGGGAAGCGTTGCCAAGCTAGCAAGGAGATGTAATGACCCAACCGTAAAGAACGCGAGTGTCGCGTGCAGCACCTCACCGTGGCGAAGAAGGTAAGGACTGACCGAGCACTTGTTCGTCTGTGTTAGGTAGAAACGAGATACTTACTCACCGTCTAGCTCTTGCTCCAGAGCAGCGGAAGAACTAAAGCAGACCTCACCTAGGAGGAGATCTTCCTCCGCCGACGATAGGTACTTGTAGAATAATCTCGTACTTGCAGATGCCGGTCAATAACGCGTGATAGTGAGCGCAAGAGCGGGCCTTCTCGATACAGAACATTACCAGACAAATCACTGGTTCGGACAGATGGCCAAACGTCTCGTAGACGGGTTCAGATTTTTTCCTCGCGGGCACCTCGTCGACCTGTTTTGCATGAGACATTGCTCTATGGACTGAAGTACGGAGTACGGTACCTCAAGAACTTTGCATATTTGGATACCTTGCCTTCGCCATCCAACATCTTGTACATTGGAATTATGCGCCATCCTCGGTCCCGCTATTGAAGGAGCGTACTATACCTTGGAAGTAACGACCGACTGCGGGCCCTGGGCGATGGCTACCAATATCGCATCATGAGCACTCGTAATGACGAGGATAAAAACTTGTAAGGCGCTCTGAAAACACCAGGCGAGGTAAAAACCTAGTGGCAGACGAGCAACTCGGTAGGTAGGAGAAAGAAGCGCTTGCACGCGCCTCCGAGTCTCTTTATTGCTGCCATCCATTCCCGCAGCGTACTCAACCTTCTGGTCATACACGCACGACGGCGAGTACGACAGCGCACCTACAAACTTCGGAGATGGACAAGAAAGACTACATGGATGTCGACGGCGAACGCGACGCGGTGCGCCCTGCCAAACGCGCCCGCCACACTCCCCCGCCAGATCCCTCTGTTCCCTCCACTTCTTACCAACCGCAGAATGGCAACGGGCACACAGAAACGCTCTTTCCACTCTCTCAGTCTATCCTAGGCGCTGAGCCTCTCGACGAATTTACCCGCGAGGTCGCTGACTTCGTCCATGCCATGATCAATTCCCGCCCGGCCGGAGCAGGCACTGTCGAAGTTGAAGCGAAAGTCGGCGTGTTGAGGGATAAGGTGAGCGGCCAACGCCTGCAGCTACCTGTTCTCGTCGAGACGAGTAAGCTTCCCTGTTTTATCTTGAGTCTCGTTGTGGATGACCTCATGGTGAAGTCCTACTCCCGAACTCCTTCGAATATCGTTTCGAATCCAATATGTCTCCGGTGAGTACTCCCGACGTGTCCTTCTGTACTGTACAGGAAGCTCAATTGTTTTCTGATTACCGCAGATGCAGCATAAACATCTTAATACCCTTCTCAACAACCTTATGCTAACTTCAAAGACATCCTACGCGCCAACGCCCTCCCCGCTGACCTACACCCACCTCCGCCTCGTCGATTCATTCTACCAGGCCGATGGCCACGACCGCATCCGTGTGACGCGCGACGAGAAGACCGGTGAAGTACATGCATGCGTGCGCAAGGTACGGTTGGGCGATCTCGACATATTTAGCCCAAAGCGTGCTGCGGACTGGCGGATCAGCGTGAACGTGGAGATACCAGGTGAGTTTTGTCCGTTTCGATACGTCCGTCTCTTGCCCTGAGATGTTCTCGATCGTTTTGCGCTAGTCCCTCCGCCGTTGGGGTTGGCGACACATTCGCGGCGGAAGGACCGCATGAGCTACGCTCACGAAGAGTGCGTCATCGACCTTACCCAAGTAACGTCGTCCGCCGGGCCCTCGTCCAAGGTACGTGCCGCTGAAGTTGTACTTGACGCTTCTCTGCTCGTATTTTTCTCTGTTTGCGGAAGAATACTGACCACTCACTAATTAATTAGCCCGAGGTCCTGCACGAGCTCGAAGTCGAGATTGCACGCCCAACGTACCTCCTAGCAACGTCTGCGAAGCGCGGCGATCCTTCTGCATCGGAAGCCGAGCGCAGTGCTTTTGACGAGCTCGTTCGGGTGTTTGTCAATAATGCTAGAGTGTTGGTGCGGAACGCCGGCATCTCAGGAGGGTGAGGATAACGAGACGATGGAATATGCCGTGAAAGGCCGGTCTGTAACGGTGGTGCGCAATAGCGAGGTGCTTTGTATGTGTGCACTATCTCGCCAGCTTTTGTTGGCAGTGTTTTCCAGGACCAGGATGCAAAGTTTTGCTTTTCCGTTCAACTTGGATGTGGGTGCCAAGTCGGCAGACAAATTATACTAGACGATCACTGAAGAACGATGCAAAGTATGTGCAATGGATTATGTACAGTGACGGATATTCTCGATCTGTTCTTATACTTATGGTACAACCACAACGGTTTGTAGCCAGAGATATGTGAGTTACGTGACTGATTGCATGCTACGACGAGGCTCGAATGATCGTTCCCGTCTTTTCCAGCAAGGCCAATTGATGTTACATCTATTGATCTTTTCCGTGGTCGTATTATCTGTTCTTGTTCTTGCGCACGCTGGTGTGAATGAAGAAGATACCGTTGGCAAACTATTGGTAAATCATTGCTCTAGGTCTGCAGCGCGTGCGATGCTATTATTTTTTCTGCCTTGAAGTGCCGCTGTCGGGGATCTGGTTGAATTATTTTATACATCGAAGGTTCTTTGGTCTTCGTCTGGGGCATATTCGGTCTCTGCTTACTTTGATTGCGAATTCCTAGCTCCTTCCGAAGGTATTGCAGAGACTTCGGAGTTGCGGCACTCAACCTCGCGTTGGCACCCTGGGTTACTTATGGACGTCTTTTTTAATCAAGATCTTGAATGCTGTTGGCGTATAGATCTTGAATGGGGCAAGGAAATTTCGTTGGGACGACTGGCGCTGTAACAAATTTGACTGTCTCCGTCTCCATTGTGGAGAAACAAATTCCCATCTTCAACCTTCTCATGCACGTAGGGTGATTGAGCGTGCCTCCGTGCCGGCGCCCCGACTTTGAGTTGCGTGGTGACGGTCTGCATGAACGATACGGCCGAACTTCTCTGACCGGGTTATCGCTATGTCTGGAGGCCCGAAGCCGACTGGGCGACCCTCGTTAGTATCTCGGGTTCCTACCATCTCGCGCTGCGTGGCTGCGCAGACGCCGTCAAGCCCTTCCTGCACGCTCCAGGAATACACCACGACATACTTACCCACCGGTTCTCGTTCTCGCTGACTGTTGACCCCCGGATTTATTTGCTGCAGTGTAAATTAATCATGTCCTTCTGCACCGCGTGCTGGATAATCGGCAAATCGGCTGCTCCTCGCTTGGTTATTCTGACATTCAGGCCATAGGGTCCGGGGAACATGTTTATTTTTGAGGAGACCGGCCTACCAGCTCGATGTCTCCGTTCTCAGCCCTACTGCGCGCTTTGGGTCGGCCAAGCGGCACAGAATGTTGCAGCCAGGGCGCGGTACGAAATATGCTCCGTTGTTTTCCCTGTTCACCGTCGCCCGGCCAACCGAGCATTTTATTTTCGACACTCAATGTGTTGGAACGGTATGCCATACTCACTCTTCTATTCACAGCGCAGCGCATGGTGACTGACATTGAGGGAAAAAAACTCACAGAGAAGGAGGAAAAACTCATGGAAAAGGAGGAAGAACAATCCATTGACAGAGAACAATCGGCCGAGGAGGAGCTTGCCTGGATTGCACGCCTGGTTTTGTCGAAGGCGTGTTCCTCTGTCGCCTGGATTGCACATAGTTCGCGGCAGACGATACACTAGTGATCAGTACGAGGACTTCGCTCGTCGCAAAGGGGCGATGCATTAGATAAAAAACAAACACTGCAATCCACGACATACAGCGTACTACGCTCACGAAGTTCGTCTCGCCAGTTGGATGCGTAGGCCTGACTCGCATGCCCCATCCAGCCCCTAATGTAAAATTTCTGAACTGCCAACCATAAGCACAACACTGACTGAGATATACGTGCGATTGTTCGAGAAAGGCCGTCTGTTCGGAAGTACTCATTAGTTAAGTTCTGTTTGACATCAATCCGGCTGCGAACTAAACAAAACTATCTTGTAAGAAATACAGAGCGGAAGAGATTAGACGGCTCACTACTTAAGCCACCGGGGCAACTTCACGTATGGCCATATTAGCAACCGATTCCCTTAAGTTTACTGTGGTCACCAGGTCTAGAAAGTCATCTCCGGTGAATGTAGCCTCAGATCCACTCGTGTTATGGTGTTTGCGTAGGACCTCATCTATGAATCTTCCCACTCCGCTCATGTGAAGGATGCCCGCAATAGCTGCATGAATTCTAAGATACAGGGGATTAGGCAGGCTGATACCCTGTCGCGGACCGGACGCAGATGCTCGTGTACATTGGCGCTTGAGAAGTGACGAGGCCTTTTCCTCGGTAGAGTCGATCTCAGCACTATGGTCGCTGAACGTGATTTCGCTGGGCCTCGTGTGCAAGCCATGAGGGCCGCGATAGTAGACTACGTTATATTTGTTCGGAACCTTCATTGTGAATGAGTTACATTGCGTAAACAATTAAACTAGACCGTCACGCACCTCTGTTGCCTTCAGGCACCACGCAAAATTATCAAACCCTCGATGAGCGTCAAAGTTCATCGTAATTCCGTTCGACGGATCGTGGATGGTCTCTTGAAAGTCCGCGATGTTGGCAATTGGGACAGAGGCGTAGTTCCGCAAAATGTCGAACGTCGTGAGTGCAGAGAGGTACTGCCAAGTTGTCGGAGTCAGCAGTGCTTTACGTAGTACGTTATTGAAGGGCCGAAAAATCTACCGATTTCTTATTTGCTGATTCAGGAGGATCAAAGTCGGCGATGGCGGGCTGGATAATGTGGCATGCCTGAGTGAAGACGACTTCGTGTACGCGGTCCTCTGGGTAGTCGGGAAAAGAAATGTCAGGCGCGCCGGAAACAACGCATCGGTAGTCGTCACGCTTCAAGAGCTGTTTCCGCATGAGATTGAGAACGTAGCATGATTTTCGATCATACCTGCAACTTGAATTTCTCCGACCGTGACTTTGGAGCTCCTTGTGTCAACTCGGTAGTAGTATCGTCCAGAATAGGAGTCGCAATGACAGACGGTGTGTCGTTCTGCTGCTTGGTATGTGAACCTTTGACTTTGACTACCAGCATGTCAGTCGTACGTACTCCACACATTGTCAGAGAATCTAATCATCTCACTCACACATGAAGAGCAAATGCGACAGCCATACAGTGGCAAGATCTCGAAGTTGTGACAGAATATGATCTTCGACATTATTTGGAGTGCCCCCATGGTGACATGCACAGATAGCACAAACTGTGTAGCGCCTGCCGGCCTCTCCACCACAACCAAAAGCATGATAAATCATCGCTTCAAGGATGTCGCTGAGCTTAATGCTGCAATTCCCGCTCCTCGTCCAAGGTGGTCCGTCGTACTCGACATTGTCCTTCAAAACGTTGATCAGATCTCGAGCGCGGGTCTCCAGTTCCTCAGAGGGGAAGGTAGAATTAACGAGGTTTTTAATTTGCCGGATGAACCCCTGGGAACGAACAGAGCTCATGCTAGCTTCCGATGAGGGGTTAGCGTTCACGGACCAAGCAGAGCTTGAGATGGATGAGAGGGTAGATATATCAGATAGACAACGTTGGTGAGGGCTTGACGATGACATCTCGGGGTACACCCACGAGCGTTGTGGCCCGAGAGCGAGGCGGGCGAGCAAGCACCGTATGAGTCGCGATCAGACGCGATCGGTCACCTCCTGTCACGCCGTCGCGTCTCCGGCGTCTCTTGGTGCAATTGCTCTGCTTTTTGATTGTCTGGTCGTCCTGGTCCTGGATGGACTAAAAACATTCCGACAGAAACATTTCAAGGTCAGACACTACAGTAGCATAGCACACGCAATAAATTAGTACGGCTTCGTGCGCAATATAAACTACACCGTGCAGTGTCGCGAAATATATGGTAGTACATGCGCGGATGCCGACAAGATGCCAGCGTTAGGCGGAATCAGCATCAGGGAGGGGCGATGAGAATCTGCATGAAACCTATACGTGTGTATTTCTTCGGGAATGTAGTCCAGCGCAGGATGAGCTGAGAGCTCCTCGACGGGGTACCCCGCCTGATCGATGGCAGATCGCATGTTCTGCGCTGTTATAAAGGTTTCAAGGTGTGTACATAGGGGCGCAACCCAGCGTGAGGGACTCACCGTTCACCATAAGCAGATCTCCTCCACACACAGGCAGCTCAGGCTGATCCGACCAGAACCCATCGCGCTCCACGCACTCGAACGCGATCTTTCTCCACGACACCTCCTCTGGGTTCTCGCCGGGCAGGAGGCCGAGGCCAGCTAGCCAGCATGCCCGGTGCGCGAACTGCTCCTGCTCGTCGTCCGAGCCGTACAGAGCGCCGACGCGCTGGTGGGAGCGACAGAAGCATACATGCGTCCGCAGGTCGTAGCGAGGAATCTCCTCTTTTACCATCAAGAGGAGCTCCGCCGGGATCCGGTCAAATAAAAACAGCTGACGTTGGTTCGCCATCCTCTTTCTCTTCAGGGCTGAAACGTCGACTGACGGGTGCAGGACACCGCAGAGGACTTGCACGAAGTCACTGCAGGCGCAAGTTGATCAATGTCCGCGTCTCTTTCTTAGGATGTCCTGGACGAAAATGGCAGTCGCAGTAGTGCTCGCCTCATATGCCCGTCAATTTGCCTGGCCTGACTGTGATCACAAACCCCCCTTCAAATCCTGAGGCCTGAGGCCTGGGTATTCAACGCCATATTTGCGGGCCTCTCACCGTACGTCGCTCTCTCATAGTACACCAGGCACGCCGACGCAACTCTGGCCAGTGAAGAGCAACGCCCCAGCCTCGCTCACAACGATTCGCCAATAACGCAACTATAACTAACCACCGACACCGACATATTACATATACAAAACACGCCACAGCGATCCACATAAAAACTGCACAAGCCCGAGCCCGACATACCAACTAACCCACCACCACCAGCGAGACGGAGATCGAAATCCAAAAATTTCACAGCGGCGACGATCCGCACCAGGATATACAAGTATGCGCGCCGATATCCCAACCCGAAGGCGAGTGCACGCAGGCGCAGGCGGAAAGGCGGCGAAGACGGAGGCGGAGGCTAGATGACGTCCGCCCCCTTCAAGTGGCTCCTCTGGATCCCCTCGCGCACTATCACACAAACCGCATCAGCATCAGCAGCAACCGAGCACAGTGCGCATTACTCCACACCCAGGGGCGGGAGGGGGGGGGGACCGGGGTGCACGAGAACGAGAAAGGGAAGAGGGAAGTGGGCAGGGGGCAGGAGCAACACACACGAGAAGGGTGACCGATAACGAGAGCGGGACTCACCAGTCGCGACCGTGACAGCCGTCGCCTTCGTGTCCTGCCAAAATCCAATCCGAACCCAATCAGCCACCGACTCAACCGAGCACCGCATCAAGATCGAGCCCCCTCCTCCGAACAGTCAACCGCCAACGCACAGCCCGCAGGCGCTCCGAGACCAGTCGGGACAAGACAAGACCCATCCGGGGAGCACGCGACAGCGAAGTCGACGTCGAAGCAAGGCACGCACGCGCGATCCCCCTCCCGTCGCCATCAGCCGCGGAGGGGAGGGGGCTTATCACGTCCAGCAAGAAAAGAAACGAAGACGCGCAGATCTCCAAAGGAAGATCACGCGGTAACGGGGCACAAAAAGCATCGCGATAACGAGGGCGAGGCCGGGTAAGAAAGAGCCAAAGAAGGGAGGACGTACCACGACAGACGTGAGGAACGAGAAGAACCCGCGCGGCTCGGGCGAGTGCCTGATAGAGAGGTCCTTGAACTGCTGGCGGAAATCTGCGTGCGGGTGGACGTGTCAGCGGACAGGTAATAACCATCTGGGGGACATCGAGAGGAACCGACGAGGGAGTGACGAAGGCACGGCAAGGGCCTGGAGAACCAAACAAATGCCAGGAGAAACATCTGAGAGCTCATCGAGAGGAACCGACGAGGGAGTGCACCGTACAGCAGTACCCGCACTGCGAAGAAAAACCAGAACGAACCAAACAACTCACAGCGCGCAACGTGCCGCGACTCATTCGGCCTATCCCCATAGCTCGGCACATAATCCACAACCCGCACCCCGCGGGAGAGCTTCACCTGCAGCAAATCGCACTTGTTCAAAAACTGGGCCCCGCACCCCCATCATCCCGACACACGTCAGCACCCCAGCCAACACCTAAAAAGCACGAAACGGCGCACCAAGATCATCTGCACATTCTTCAACAGCTCAGAGCCCACGACCGCCTTCCACAGCAGCAGCGAGTCCTGCAGGCGGTTCACCCGCCGGTCCTCCGCGAGCCGCTCGTCGAAGCAGCTGATCGGCGCGAGGAAGATGATCGCGTTCATGTCCTCAAAATACGGGTACCACGCGTGGCGCTGCAGAGAGCGCGCGTCAGACGAACGGCAATGCGCAGGAGGAGGAGGGACGCACAGACGAGCGCGCCCCGCCGACGTCGTAGATCCGCCACTCCCGCCCGGCCTCGCTGCCTGCCGCACCGCACCACATCAGCGCCGCTGCGGGCATCAACCACGGAGGCGGAGACGCACCTTTCTCGAAGATGAACCGGTACTCCTGCACGCCCATCGTGCGCAGGCGCGCGCGCACCACATCCTCGTCCGACGGCGCGTACCCCCGCGCAGCCACCCGCGCCACGTCGTCCAAGAAACTGCGTGTGCGCCGCATCAGCACCACGCAGACGTACGGCAACGAGCAGAGAGAGAGAGAGACGCACAACCCGCTCCCCTCCTCGACGCGCACCTTCCGGCGCGCAAGCAGCGCGCGCACGCCCGCGTCGGCCCAGAGCGCCGCCATGTCTTCTGCGCAGGACGCGATGACCTCCGCCGCGCTCCGCACGCGCGGGCTCGCCTCCGCCTCCACCTCCGCCTCTCCGTCTGCGTCGTCGTCCGACGGCGAGCGCGGGGAGGGCGAACGTGCCGTGGGGCGCGTGAGCGAGAGGGACGCGCGGGCCAACCTCAGCTATCACGCCAGCCACCAAACGTTCAGAACGACGACATCAGGCGTAGACAGACACACAAGCGAACGACGACACGCACCACCCCCCGGCGCTCCCCCCGCACGCTCGCCGTCTCGTCGCGCGCCTCGTCCCGCGAGCCAATCGACGCGCGCCCCTCCACCCCCACCTTCTTCTCCGCCTTCGCCTTCTCCGCCCCGGGCCCGAAGCCGCCGACGCGGCGCAGCGCGCTCTTCCACCCGCTCCGGCTGACGACGCCGAACTCGCGCGGGCGCACCCACGGCGCCGCGGTCTTCCCCGCCGTCTCGGCGGTGGGGAGCTCGGGCGCGCCGAGCGTGCGCTCGAGGTCGGCTTGGACCTGGCGCAGCGGGGCGAGGCGGAGGTGGAGGAGGCGCAGGGCGGGCGGGATGGGCGCAGGTGCGGCGGGGTCCGCGTCTGCGTCTGCGTCGTCGGGATCGGGATCGGGGTCGGCTTCGCCTTCTGGGTCGGTCTCTGGGTCGTGCTCTGTGGTGGGGTTGGACGGTCCTGCGGGCGCGTCGGTGGTGGTGGGGTCGTCTGGGGGGTGCATGAGCGCGTCGGGGAGCATGGGGTGCGGGAACGGGTGCAGGTGGGAGGGCGAGGAGGGCGGGGGGGAGAGCGGGCGGGCGGGGGCGGGGGCGGGGCGGGCGAGCTCGGCGGCGAGGACGTCGAGGATGGTGTTGACGGAGCGGACGAGGTTGAGGTGGATGACGGCGCGCCAGGCGGTGCGCTCCTCGAGGAAGGACGAGTACGCGTACGCGAGCTGGAAGTCTGCGGGCGAGCGCGTCAGCGTGCGGTGGGTGTATGCGGTGCGGTGCGGGGGGTGTACGCACTCTTGACGGTGGTGCTCTTTCCGCTCTCGCTCTGGCCGAGGAGGAGGACCTTGATAGGCTCGGGGCGCTTCTTGCGGTCGAGCTTCTCGGCCTTGATCTCGGCGTCGATGCGGTCGCTGATGGCGCGGGCGTGGGCCTCGCGCTGCTCGCGTGCCCAGCGGTCGGCCGGGGACTCGTCTTTTGGCGGGGCGAGGATGAGCGCGAGGGGGTCGGCGTCGCTGGCGCGGGTTCGGGCGGGCATCGTCGCACTCGCGGGTGGGAGAAGCTGAGACTGAGGGGAGAAAGGATTTGAGGGGGGCGAAGCGAGGAAGCTTATGATGGAGGATATATGCAGGTGATGGCTGGGGCGGCTACGCGGTCCCAGTCGAGGGTGGGAAGCCTGTGCTTCTCCGGCGCACCACCGCGGGCCATCGCTGATCATCGCTGGACATCGCGGAGACGACGACGCCGCGATGCTCACGTCAGCAGGCGTCGGCTGGCTGCATCCTCACCCTGCGCTGGACGCGTCCGTCGTCGTCGTTGCGCGCCGCCCGCAGGCGAGCGTGCTGGTCACGTGCACCTCCATCAGAACCTTCCTTGCGCCGCGGCTGCACTGGCTGCTGCATATCAACTTCTTGGCCAGTGCTCCCCAGAGCTCGCGTCGCACGTCCGCTGTCCCCAGTAGCACAAGCCTCTCTTTCTCGCCCCAGCATGATCTGGCGCATGCGCGCAACAGCCTTGGCGCACTCGAGCGAGCACGAGCAGTGCACTGTCGACGTCGTCCACATGGAGTCTCTCGGCCGCCTTCCCCACGCCCATCCGCCAGCAGTAGCAACGCAGCTTCTCCTTCTGCCAGAACTGTCGCGGCGCAAAGTTTGATCATCATCGCTGCGAAGCCACCCCTCTCAGCAATCCCCCCCCCAAGGCATCTCCGTCCCGGCGCACTGGCCACCTCCAATCACTCGGACGAGCGAGCGACGTCCGCCGACGAGTATTTTCCTTTGTCGGCCGCAGCGCTTTGTTCGACCCAGAGGCGATGCCCTTCGCGTGGTCCAAGCGGTCTTCGCCCACACCCTCTTCCGACGCGGAGCCGCGCGAACCTTGTGCTACCGTAGGTCCGTCTCCATGTCCCAGCACTGCCGCATCCCCCTCTTCCTCTCCATTCTGACGCCTCCAGATCCTGCGGACGCTTCAGATCTCTCTCCTTCGCAGCGGCATGGCAAGCACAGCACGCAGCGTTGCGCCCGCTCCTCCATCATTGCACACTCGGCGCGACGCACCCCCTCTCCGATACGCGTCTCTCCCGGCGTTCTTCCCTCACGCTGTATGACAGTCGCCGACGAGCCGGGATCCGCATCTTGTTACACAACAGAATCTTGAGCTGGGGAATCTTGGGCTTGTGGAATCTTGGGCTTGTGGAATCTTGGGCTTGTGGAATCTTGGGCTTGCCCAAGATTGGACTGGGGAATCTTGGCCTTGCGGAATCTTGGCCTTGTAGAATCTTCCTAGGCTGGGGAATCTCGAGCTGGGGAATCTTGGCGTTGCGCAATCCTAGTACTTGCTTCTCTACTCTGCTGCGTCTCATCTCCGCGCGCTTCCTATATCTCCCGCAGCGGCAAGTGCGACGCGCTCCTCGGCCGCCACGAAGATTGCTCCCCAGGCCGCATCTTCCATTACTCTTCCAATCAACTCGAGCGTACTTCGTCCGGAGCCTATACTGTGCGCGGGACAACCTCCCGGCCATGCGTGCAACATCATCTAGCATCGCATTCGCCATCTCTGCATCTGACTAGCCGCGGTCTCGATTCTCCGTTATCCAAATACCCACAGAACATCAACGCTCTGAAAAACTTTTCCAACCCGGATCCCCATGTACCATGTACAGTGACCGCAGGCCCTTGTCCTTCCCACGCGTTCCTATCCTAGACGTGCCTGCGAGCCCGAATTGGACACGTCCCCCCTCAGGCTGTTCAGTCGACATGACGCCTCCTCTACCGTATCTTCGCCCTCTCTTCTCGTTCTGCCGCTCAAGTTCGAACGCGGACGGCAACCGCGGGGACCGGTCGTTGGATGGGGTGGTCCCCGCCCGCTCTTCCCCCTCCGCTGTGAACGCTGTCGCGAGAGATCCTCGCGTGGGGACCCATTCAGATCTTCCTCCCGAGCGAAATCTGCCAGCCGATCTTGTGGCTCCCCTCAGCCCGCGCCGATTTGAACGATAATGATGCGGTGACCGGGCCCAACGCCCAGCGCAACTGCATGCGCCGATAATGGATGGCCACGCGGTGTCACCGCGCGCGTTCTCTCTTCTGTCTGCCTCTCCGTTCTCTTCTTGCCCTCGACGGCGTACGTACAGCCAACGCTGCGCCGGCGGCTCGGTCCCAACCCGCCACGCATATCGAGTACGCACGACTCGCGCGGCTGCGGCGCCCCTCCAGTCTCCAGGCTCCAGCCGACTCCAGCTTGCAATCCAAATTCTGCTCCTCTCGCTGCGCGCTCACTGGCCGGCCTCCGGACGCGCACGCGCGAGCGCTTCCGACGTCTGGGTACTCTGCGCGCGCGCTCTCTCTCTCCTCTCCCCGCTCTCCTCGTGCGTGAGCTCCGGCGATCTTGGCGGGCGATCTCTGTTCTAGTTCTGTTCTGCGGTTTTGCGGTACGGTGTTGTGGTCTGCGGCGTGGTGTGATGTCACCGTTCTGTTCTGCGCGCGCGGTTCTGTGACGGCGTTCCGCACTCCGTTCTGGCCAGCGCCATGCGCGCACGCGCGCTCTCTGGGTCCGGGTGCTGGGTGCTGGGTGCTCCAGTCACAAGCGCGCTTCCCCGGGAGCGCTCTCCATAACTCCCTCCAGCGCGACGCCCCCCACCCCCATCTGCCGCCCTTCCACTCCGTGATCACCAGACTGCGCCCGTCAACTGGGGTCGGAATCTCGCGCGGCGTGTTGCTCTGATCTGTCGTGGGTCGCGCCGATCGAGACGATCTGTGCATTTTGTGCGGCGCTGCTGTGCTCTGTGGGACGCTGATCTATCATGTCTGCTAACAGGTTCTGTTCTGTTCTGTTCTGTTCTGTTCTGTTCTGTGCTGCGTTGCGTTCTGCAGCTCCGCTCCAGGGTGCGCGTGCTCCTCCATTCCACGTGCGCAGCCACACCCTGAAGCGCGTCTGAGCCTGCACCGGTACCTGCAGTCGGAGCCGAGGCGTGATCGCAGCTCGTCACACGGTCCTACTCCCCAAGTGCAACACAGAGCGAGCGGACATCATACGACGCGTCCAAGTGAAAAACGTATCCACACCGCACCTTCTATCTTACATCCCAAACTGGTCCAAAGCCCTCTAGATCCTGCCCGCGTCATCGACGCATCACTCACTGCTCGCCCTCCTCCTTCGCCTCCAGCACCCGCTTCGCATCCTCCACGAACCCCTTCAACACCTGCACGTCTGCCCCACCCTCGCCCGCCCGCAACGAGCGCTCCACGCGCTCATACAGCCGCGCCAGCCCGAGGTGTATCAGCTCCTCTCCGCCCTTGTCCACACCCAGCCCCGCCCCCGGCCGCTCTCCGGAGGACGCCGCGGCGCCCTCGGCGACGAACGCGGAGATCTCCTCCATCTCGCCGACCCAGCGGTACGCCTTGGGGAGCATATCCGGGATCCCGCGCGCCATGCGCTGCAGCACCGCCGGCTGGGACGCCGCCAGCTCGTGCAGGAGCGCCTGCGCGGTGCGCGGAGAGTTGGCGTGCGCGGCTGTGTTGCCGTGTCCCGTCATCAGTGTCGAGTGGTCAGGAGACGGAGAGGGAGCGGGGACGCACCGAGGACCATCGCAGTACAGAGCCCCGTGATCCCCTTCGATATGCCCTGCCCGCCGCATCAGCCCCCCGCACACAACACCAAGACAGGACCGAACACTGAGCGCACCGCGTAGCTCATCTTGAGCGCGCTCGCCCCGCCCGCGCCCGCGCCCTCCATCGCGCTCACGTTCAAGCCCCACGTGCGGAGAGAAGCGAAGTGCGCGAGCGCCTCTGGGGCGTCCGCGCTCGCGTAGAAGACGGGGTCGTACCCCGCGCGCGGCGGCCCGCCGATGATGCCCGCGTCGACGAAGCGCACGCGGAGCGTCGGCCCCGCGAAGAGCGCGCCGATGCTCGTGGCGGTGTCCGGGCTCACGGCGTTGCAGTCTGCGAAGGTCGCCGTGGGGAGCTGGGGCTCGGCCTGCGGGAGCGCGCGTCCCGTCAGCAGCGAGGCGAGGCGGGGACGTTGGGTATACGCACGCTGATGACGCGCGCGCGGGCGGCGCGGTACCCCTCCGCGAAGGCCTCCGCGGCGCTCGGCGGGAGGATGCTGAGCACGAGCTCGGCGTGCTGCGCGATGTCCTCGATGCGGGCGTCGCGGATGCCGAGGCGGGCTGCGCGTGCGCGCGTCGCGGGGGAGCGGCCGGCGAGGGTGGTGAGGAGGGTGCAGCCGTGGGCGGCGAGGCGGGCGGCGACGCCGGAGCCCATGGCGCCGATGGAGACGATGGCGAGCGTCGGTGGGGTGGCGAGGGACATGGTGGGAGAGTGCAAGGTGCGAGGAGGGGGGCGATAGGTGGACGAGCGTCGATCTATTTTTGGCACCGATGACGTTGCGAGAGTTCGTGCCCTTGTGTTGTACGTTGGTCATGGGCGGTGGACATCAATATTGTCCTTTGGTACGCTTGCCTGTGGACGTGGTGTACACTGCTGGCGCTGAACCTTCTGAACGCCCTACGACACTGTTGTATGACTATTGTGCGAGTGTCTTTCTATTCATTCTCAGCTGGTTTAAATTAGGTGGGACGTGCTCTTCACTGGCCGGAGTTGCGTCGGCGTGCCTGGTGTACTATAAGAGCGCGACGGTGAGACGGAGGCTCCCAAGCACCGTTTTGTCCGTGACTCATATCGAGAAAGGCCGCTGAATGCTATGACTCGCAAAGATTGCGTTGAATACCCAGGCCTCAGGATTTGAAGGGGTGGTTGTGATCACAGTGAAGCGACCACTACTACGACTGCCATTTTCGTCCAGGACATCCCAAAAAAGAGACGCGGACATTGATCGACTTCCGCTCGCAGTGACTTCGTGCAAGTACTTCCTCTGCAGTACTTGTCCTGCGCTCGTCAGTGGACGTTTCAGGCCTGAAGGGAAAGATATGAAGGGTTTCATTGGACAAAAATAATCGGCATGTCTGTTATCTTGGGGATCTGTGAGTATCTCCACTGATTAGCTAGTTTCCCCCGAACTACTTCGGGATTTCCCGGGAAACTTCGTGCCTACTAAGTATTGCCAAGTATTGCGGTCTACATCATCTACATCAGCAAAAGTGCACTTCTGTTACCATCGGTTACATAGCATCGTAATCTAGGAAATCCGTTACAACACTCGAAATTATTGAGCAAAGTTGTAATGGATTGTAACTTCTCTACGGGGGTTCCGAATATTTCCCAATGTTTCAAAATATTTGGTAATCCATTCGCAATGTACACAATCTATTCCGAATACCTGGAATGTTTGGGACTCATTACCAAGGATTCCCAGGTCTATAAAGCATCGTGATGGGATTGTAAGCAGTGGCAATGTCAGGGGACAACTTATAATGGCTGTACAAATAGACTTACTCCCAGTGGACAGAGCACAGGACAGGAAATATAGTAATCATTGCGGCAAATACAACATAACATACAACAGGTGTGACTACATATGAATACAGAGAGTTCACCACAGTCCGCATGAGTGCCAAATAGAACAGGAGAGCAGTGCAAAACCTAAAGAGAGCACAAAACCGGAACACCACGAGCTGGTGCGAGAGCAGGATGACCATCGAGAGGTGAGCTGGATGACCATCGAGAGGTGAGCTGGATGTCCGAGAAAGCACAAAGGTTGAGAAAGTGCCACCGCAAGGAGAAGCGGCAGCGAGGAACAGAGGCGGTGAAATCTCAATGACAAGGGCCAACAAGACCATCCAGGAGAGGGTAGCAAGAGTACAGAAATCCAAAGGCAGTCTGTGCAGAATGCTGTGAGATAGTGCTACACTTGGTGCATACATTGAGGTCGGTGAACCTGGGGCCTACCGACTGTAGTGTCGTTCTTTCAAAGTTGACAGACCATTGCTGTCGTTGCGGCAGTCTGAGCGCACATTCCTGCTGGCATCTGCACGAAAGACCTGTCTATAATAAAGGAATTTATTGGGTAAGTTGTCATGCAGGCAATGATACGTGCTCAATATGTCAGTTGAAACATCGCGAGCTTTGCGAAGACGAACCGGTCCAGTGTGGGCAGGCCTGCGGAGAGAGCGCATCAACTATGTTACCATCTAGAGTGCACGATTACTCACTGGCTGGGCATCGCGAGCCCGCTGCTGCTAGTATGGCCGGTGTCCAAATCTTGACTCGGTATATGCACTGTGGACGGTTGCGAAGTGTGAATTCTAGGCAGTTCAAAGGATACTCAATAGTACATGCACCTGCTCAGGCTCGATCTGGTGTGGTGTATGCATCGAGAGCACTAGCTCCATGCATCACGATACGACATGTACCATGATCCTGTTCCCAATTCATGACAGCAAAGACAAGACAAACACATACTGCAGTCATACAGATAGGTGTGTGAGCAGTGGAAGGGCACAAGTGTGTCACTTTAAATGGACGAGAAGCTCCTAAGGCACATCAGCAAAACCCAACTTTTTCTTGCAGAGCTATTTTGACTTTTTGGTCTTACAACCCTTATTTAAGGCGATAAGTCTTCAAATAAGTATCAATAAGTCTGATTTCAGACACTCATGTAATATGCATTAGGCCCTTTTTGACCTTATATCCTTAAATAAGGATCATAAGTCCATTTAAGTCATTTAAGCACCCTTTTAAGTAAAAGTTGGGTTTTGCTGATGCACGTCCTGCAGGAAGGGCACATATGTAGAATGAGAAGAGCAAAGCACTTGGTGGAAACGGTGTTAACATTGGCGAGGCGCGCTTCTGCGGCGTCATTGTCATTAATGTTGTCGTCAGAAAAGCGGCTGTGCCGCCAAGAATGCGTCGACATACAAGGAGGAATCAAAGCAGTGAAAGACACCAGAAGAGACCGACCGCCTCTTATATGGCCAGGAGGAGAGAAGTGTACTACATCATCACTGTTGAGTAGCTTCCAAATTGGGAAGAGTCACTTCGCAAGCCGACTGGGCCGTCACCGTGTGCCTTTGACTTTGACTACTTTGCTACGTACACAAGTTTGTCGGACCCAAGACCGCATGAAGGGGCTGGTTTGCTCAAGGTCCTATTCATATTCCTGCCGGCCACAGAACATAGAATGGGCAGTGAATATCGGAATGAGGATATGCAAAGGATCTCGGAGTCGAAGAAACGGTATGGACGAGCTGGAGTCTGCAGGCAGGTAAATGACTGTCCTAGTCATAGTGGATCATTCCGTGGACGTTGTTCTGTGCTCCCTTGTCGAATATTTCTTGAGTCTCTGCCTTCAGTATAATCACTATTAATCACCATGTTCGCTCAACATTACAAGCTCTTACAACTGCCTTACATAGGTTTATAGTGCATTGTAATGGCATTGCAATCAGTCATCTATGTTACCGAGCATTGCAACGAATTTGAAGGGATTACGAAGGTCGCAACACAGCCCCATTATTCTAATGGCTTACAATGACATTCTAACCTGTTATCACATGCGGGCGAATACTACAATCGTCGGAATCCGTTGTAACAATTGTGCACTTTTGCTGATGTATCTGTGGCCAGAAACCTTGGTGGTATATTCCAATATCCCCCTGTCCTTCTCATTGTTTTTCAGTACTCCAATTTCTTCCAGAATATCTCTGTATCCTCCCGTGTTTCATTATATAAATATATGCCTAAATTTCCGGTGATTCTGCCGGGAGTACTGAATGAAGTTCATGCAACACTATATGCAATAGTCTCGAGATTTCTGGTCCACACAAGTATCGGTATATGGAGCTCAGTCTCCCAACATTCCCTACTTTTCTCAGCGGTCTTCCCCTCTTGTTGTGGGTCCTGCACCTTTTTGCTCAATGGGTGATGCACTCTGTCGTCAATACAGATGCCTTAGAGCCGACTGTCATTGTGTTAGTTGGTGTCAACTCTCTGCTAATCATGACATTAAATGGTGCACTTCAAAAGACCCGTGTTCGCCAAGTCGGGCTTGATCCCCAAGCTGGGTGCGCAGTGCATTTGCACACGAGACTCCAGGACGTGGTAGGCCCCCCGCAGGTTCAATAGCTGTTGAGACATAGCGCTGCACGCGCGCGAGAACTTGAACCTGTGTAAAGTGGATGGTGGTGAGATACGAGAAAGAGAGTTGATTACCTGTCCGGAAGCATGAAGGCATAGTATTCCTGAGGTTCAGTGCATGCAGTCTATGATGCATCAGCGGGAGAAGTCACCAGGAACAAAGGTGGCATTGAATACTTAGATCAGCAGAAGGGAGGAGGACATTCACCCAAGTCGGGCAGGATACTCACAAAAACTAGATTACAAGACCAGAAGTATACTGAATGATTGATATTGCTACGGACATACATGAGACAGATACTTGCTAATATTGAGGTATTCCGAAAGATACTCTAGGCTAGCGAGGATACTGGAGAATACGGTCAAATACTAGAATAACCTGGTGCAACCGACGTGACTGGGCGATTTTTGTCCAACTAGGCGCTCGATAGAAAGAGGATGGCAAACCAACGTCAACTGTTTTTATTTGACTGGATCCCGGCGGAGCTCCTCTTGATGGTAAAAGAGGAGATTCCATGCTACGACCTGCGGACGCATGTATGCTTCTGTCGCTCCCACCAGCACGCCGGTGCTCTGTACGGCTCGGACGATGAGCAGGAGCAGTTCTGGCACCGGGCATGCTGGCTGTCTGGCCTCGGCCTCCTGCCCGGTGAGAACCCAGAGGAGGTGTCGTGGAGAAAGATCGCGTTCGAGTGCGTGGAGCGCGATGGGTTCTGGTCGGATCAGCCTGAGCTGCCTGTGTGTGGAGGAGATCTGCTTATGGTGAATGGTGAGTCCCTCACGCTGGGTTGCGCCCCTATGTACACACCTTGAAACCTTTGTAAAAGCACAGAACATGTGATCTGCTAGTGATCTGGCGGAGGTAGGTAGGTAGGTAGATTACCGGCATTGGTCCCATTCAGGAACGCCAGGTTGTCGCACCTAGATCTCTGCTATGTACCCGTGCACAGTACACTACAGAAATCTAGGATACAACACATCCAGGACAGAAATCGCTCCGATCAATGCGTACTCATCTACACAGCTCCCAGTGCATCGAAGTTGATTTGAGGGCAAGGGAAAACCCAGTGGGAAAAACCCCGAACTCAGGGAGCTGCTTCAACAAGCGCACTGTCCCACGAAATCCATCAAGGATGCATGAGACTAAGTAGGCTCTCCAGCTGTTGTTATATGTGGAAGAAGTGTATGCTTCCTTGTGTGAAACACTTAGGATGTTGTACGCGGATGTGCCAGATATTCTGCACCATACACAAAAAAGCAAGCAGGACATAGCTGCATGTTCACACATCAAGTGTGACACTTCCACAGGTAGCAAAGAGTGAGAGCTGCACGTCATGATTTGAAAGAGTAATTACAGGTTGCGTGAAGAATGCCAGCACAGTCACTGTGCATACTTGACCCCACTCACCACGATGCCCGATGCACGATGTGCACATGGAGCATAATATGGAAGTGCTGCACACTGCTGGATCTCGAGCTGGGGTATACAGGTAGTGCGACGGCTCGCGGACAAGGGGTCGACAACAGCAATGCGATGGAAGAGAATGCTCGCATGCGAAAGAACTCGCGTTACAGGACGGGCAGTGCGGGCACTGTGTCTCAATGCTGACCATAACATCATGTTCTGTAAACACACTTCTCATGTCACGATGGTCCATGGTGTCATTAGAGTAGCAGAGGACGATATTCATGAACAACACAAATAGGGGTAAGGTGAGTGACAGGTAGACCACTACCATTGGTCGGCATTCGCAGTCACAGGCAGGAGCAGCGGGCACTGTGCATCGACGCTGGTCATAGAGCCATCGGTAAACACTTCCTCGCAGTCTGAGGGCATCCACCATCGGTGGGCATCCACCGCCATCGATGGGCATCTGCACTAAAAGGCGGGTAGCAGCGGACGCTGTGCGTCGATGCTGGACATGGAAGGTACACAATAAATGCATGCCTTAGAAGCAGGCGGGAGTAGCGAGCATTGTGCATCAATGCTGGACATATAGCTGCCATCTGTAAACACTTTCCCGCAGCATAAGGGCATCCACCGCCATTAGTGGGCATCCGCGCGAAAAGGTGGGTAGCAGTGGACGCTGTGCGTCGACGCTGGACATGGAGCCATCTTCCGCAAACATGTTGTATACGTTACGATAGTCATCAGTGTCGTTTTAGCAGTAGAGAGCAATATTCTTGAATATCGGGAATAGGGGTAAGCCGAGATGATGGATGTGATGGAGTATCCCATCGAGGAGCTCTCGGCTCATCCTGCGCTGGATTACATTCCCGAACAAATACACACGTATGATTTTCGCCGCAGCAAGGTTGAGCTTGTGGGGAGCTGGTATCTCTCCTACGATGTCCCCTGTATTGTCTCAAATCATGTTGATCGGGACGGCACCAAGTTGTGCAGTGTTTTACGGACTCATCCCGTGGTCGCGCGTAGTTTTGCGACGTTCCCACCAGTCCAGTGCATGTCCTTCGAAGAGTTTATAGGTGTCGAATTACCGGATCTGTTCAATCCTTCTGGAATTACGGTGCAGGATGTAGCAGACACCTTGCACGCAAAGTATGTTCCTCTTCTTGTGACTACTTGTCAACTCTGCATTGCTAGAGCTTGCTATTTCGGCTCCAGATTGGAAGAAGGATTGACTGTGGCAGCTGTCGCGGCTCTTCTCGCGTCTGAATTGTATTCTGAAACCTGCGAGATGCCGAACTGGTGCATAACGGAGGCCTTCCTGAGGTTCACAACTCTGGGAGGCATATTTTCTGTCTTGTGCGCCTATTTTTCTTCCCCCCCGTTGTTATGGTGAGCTCATGGGCGGCGACCAATCAGTGCCGTCCAAAAGGTTATCGTCCGGGAAGATATGGAAGGTCATCGCCTTTTTTACATTTGGATTGAAGTGCGGAAGGACAACTTTGCGGACACAGACATCGATGGTGACCCGATAACAAGCATGTTCCATTGGCGCCGACGTGAGTCGCCGCCAGGATTGTGTTCTGTTTGTCTTGACCTTGACATGAACATTATGACACCGGCTGTGGTTCTAGCATGCTACTACATAGCCCACTAGAGTTGTTTATATGTGGCATCGATTTGCTTCATATCCGGATACGTACCCGGTACGCCTGTGCAATTTCAACTTACTGCGCCACACTATTCTTGACGCTTGATTTGTGGAGATAGATAGATCCGCGCCATCGGGAGTCCATTGTCCTTTGTTCTATCCTATATCGATTATTTTCCTGTCCTCCTACATGCCGCAACGATCAACCGTACGCGTACCGACACCCGCTCGCTACTCCTGCCGGAGAAACCATGTAGGTCTTGGCGTGGAGTGCATGTCTGTGCACTAGATTCCCCGCCTCTCTCCAGCAGTGCCCTCACACTGGGTCAGCGGATGGACTAGAGGCACTAGTGAGTCAGGATGTTGTTTCGGGAAACACTGCACTGCAGGCACTACTATCAGTACGTGACCGCGGCATCCGCACCATATTCTTCTTTCCTTGACTTGACGCTCACACTGTCGGTACTCCTTTGTCTGTATCCTAGTTAGGTTTTAGGTTTTATGCAGATTCTCATCGCTCCTCCCTGATGCTGATTCTGCTTAACGATGGCATCTTGTCGGCATCCACGCATGTTGTGCAAGTGTTGCAAGGAGACACCTGTGTTTCAACAAGATTATGGGCCCTTCGGCCGTTGTGGTCTTTCTATCCATTCTCAGCCGGCTTAAATGTCATTCCATCGTATTCTAAGATCGACGCTCTTTTAAGTGTGTTGGAGCTGACAATCCGAGCGCATGTGTCTCCGATATACCCGAATGTTCAAACGTTTGTCGCTAACTTTGTTCCCGGTTCCCGTACTACTACTATACTTGGTTTAGTTCCCGCCGTGCGTACGGTACATACATTTCTCATTTAAGGAAGTCTCGTAGACGTAGCACACCTCAGACGTTGTTCTCCCGCCCGGAGTGCGAACGGCTGAGGTGAGTAGTTTACATACATGTATTTCTTGCCGTGTTACTTACAACCCTGTACAGCTGACTTCTGTACAGGTAAATACATTTAGACGTTGTTCTCCCGCCCGGAGTGCGAACGGCTGAGCTGACTTCTGTACAGCACGCACTTCTTACAGGTTATGAGCCCCGGCTCTTCATAGCCTCGCACGTCTCACGAAAAATCCCCTGTGTCTATTGCTTCAAACTCTATTCTCGTTATGACTACACTTGTCTCGCTATCCGAGTATGCCAATGCTTTCGAGAAGCTCGATACGACCGGCCGGAACTGGCTCATGTTCCAGCATCGTCTCGAGATTGCAGTTCGCCAGAAAGGCATATGGCCACACTTCGATGGCTCGTCGAAGAAGCCCGTTGCTGCGGATCCAAACAAGCCGACGACGGACGAGACAGACCTCATTCAGGAATGGCAGAAGAAGGAGAATCTTGCTCTCTATCTTCTCACACAGAAGCTATCTGACACGACAGTGATGAAGTACCGTCGGAGGAGTAGCGTTACCGAGATCTGGTCTGCCATTGTCTCGGAGTTCACGCAGAAGTCAATATTGATCAGGTCGAACCTCCGGACGCAGTTCTCGAACTTGCGTTATACCCCCGGTGCAGACCTACATGCCGAATTTGACCGTATCCGTGTGAAGCACGAGGAGCTACTCAACCTAGAGATCAACATCAGCGAAGCCGAGTATGCTTCACTGATCATTGCTTTCCTACCTCCCGACCTCTCCGCATTCGTCTCGCAAATCTCTGCGACAGCCAAAGCCACGATGCTGATGCAGCAGCGTGCCGCGGCGATGTCCAGTACTACCCCCAGTACCACCGCTGTGTCGAGTCAGATTGACCTCGACAAGGAGAAGCCACTCCTTGATGCCGAGACCTTGATGGCACTCGTTCTTGAGGAATGGGATCGCCGGAAGATGTTGAAGGGTGCTATGCCAAAGGCGAAGGATCCCGGTGTCGCAGCCAGCGCGGTGTCGACTGAGAAGCCGAAAGGTGGCAAGGGAAAGGGTCCACGCAAGCCTGTTGGTGTGTGTTGGAACTGCGGTGGCAAGGGACACAAAGAGGCCGACTGCCCGACTCCAAAGCAGGGCAGTAGAGACAAGGACAAGGGCAGCAAAAGTGCCGAGCCATCCAAGTCCACGTCGAAGCCTACCGCAGCGTCAGCAGTCACCCTTGACGACGTTGCGGGTGCCTGGTCAGCATTCATACCTGCCGACTTCTCGGATGACAGCGTGTCATCTGTGCTGGACCTCTGGTCTGTCAGCAATGATGACTCAGATTATAGTGCACTCACGGAGGCCTCCACTGACAACGACGAGATGCCAGACTTGGTGTCCGTGTCAAACTCGTCTGCCAGCGAGTTCGATGATGAGAGCGCAAGTGATGCGCAAAGCTGTGATGCCGGCGATGCCATCTCGCACGAGGACAGTCTTGAGGTTGCCAGGGCACATGAAGCTGCCCGCCACCCCGTGGATGTGTTATCGAAGATGCTGTGGGTCGACGATTGGGTAATTGAGGTTGCAGTGGCCAAAGATGAATCGAACGAGGAAGATGCTCCTCGCGTTCCCGATATTGTCTTGGCACTGGCGGCTACAAAACCCAAGTCAAGTTACCCTACAGACCTGTATGATTCAGGCGCGAGTCATCACATGTCACCATTCCGAGAGGACTTTCTCACCTTCCACGAGACAATGCTGCAGCCGCTGAACGCAGCAAACCGGCAGGACTTTGTTGCTACTGGCGTTGGAGATATGATTATCGCGGTGCCAAATAGTCCCGGACCAACGAAAATGAAACTTACGCGAGTCTTGTACACCCCCGCGATCGCGTTCAACTTGATTTCGATTGGACGCATTGATGATGCAGGCTGCACCGTGACGTTCGGTGGGCAGCGCTGCGAGATCCGCGATCGTGATGGCCATCTTCTCGGAATGATCCCGAAGATGAAGGGGCTGTATACAGTGGTGCGTCAGCATGAGAAACCCTCCGCGTATGCTGCACGACATGTGAAGAAACTTACCGTCATGCAATTACATCGCCTTATGGGTCATATCACGCCCCGCGCGGCGCGCGAGCTTGTGACGAAGGGCCTAGTGCGTGGTGTCGAGCTCGTTGAATCAGATGAGCCCGAACTTTGCGAAGTGTGCATCCGCGCAAAGAGCACGAGGCGACCAGTGCCGAAGGAGCGCGAGGGAAAGCGGGCAACCGAGTTCGGTGGTGAAGTCCATTCCGACTTGTGGGGGCCATCTCGCATCCAAACTCTTGGTGGTCGGAAGTACTACATCAGTTTTACGGACGACTGCACTCGCTTCTCAACTGCTTACCTGCTGCGCCAGAAAAGTGAAGCCTTCATGTCATACAAGGCCTTCGAAGCATGGGTGAAGACTCACATGGGTGTTGACATTACTGTCTTGAACACAGATCGTGGTGACGAGTACCTGAGCGATGCATTTGTCAGGCACCTCGAAGAGCAGGGCACGGAACAGAAACTGTCCGTACATGATACTCACGGCGAGTCGGGCGTCTCGGAGCATTTAAATCGCACCGTTGCCGAGAAAGGCCGCGCAATGCTGATTGCTGCGGGCTTACCGCGATTCCTGTGGGGGGAGGCTGTGCTGCACGCGATTTATCTGAAAAATCGGACGTCAACGAAAGCACTGAACGGTCGCACACCATACGAAGCTGTGACAGGTGACTTACCGGATCTGTCTGGTATCCCCGAGTGGGGTGCACGCATCTGGGTCCACGATACAGCTACAGGGAAGATGGGCGAGCGTGCAAAACCTGGCCATTGGGTCGGTTTCGATACGCAGAGCAAAGGCCATCGGGTGTATTGGCCCGACAAGCGCTCCGTCACAGTTGAGCGCAATGTGCGGTTTGGGGAACCACATGCTGTGTCGCCAAACTCGGATGACGGCCTCGAGCTTGAGGGGGAGGAACCTGCTGGTGACAAGCCCGAAGCTGAACTGTCCGTCAGTGCGCCCGACCTGCCCGTTAGTGCGCCCGAGCCTGCATCAAACGTGCTCGTGCCGTCCAATGTGCCCGCTAAGCCTGCGTCGCACCAGACACCTGCCGAATTACCACATATACCGCAGCGCCCTGTTCGTAACCGCCAGCCGACACGCTATGTCCGCGACATACGCGCGGGGAAGGCAGAGTCAAAGAAACTGCCCACCGGTATGCAAGTGCCTGATGAGGCTGAAAAATCCCGCAGCGCTGAAGCTTCGCTTCAGGGGGAGCTTGAAGAGCCAATAGGAGGCGTTGCGATGGCGGCGAAGATGGCGGATGTTGAGGGACTGGAGCCAAGGACGATAGGCGAGGCGAAGAAAAGGCCGGAGTGGCCACGCTGGGAAGAGGCGATCGTGGAGGAACTGCGTGCTCTTGAGGCACACGGTACGTGGCGTCTTGAGAAGGCACCTACAGGTGCAAATGTTGTCAGCTGTCGTTGGGTCTTTGCCGCGAAGAAGGATGCCGCCGGGAATGTTTACAGGTATCGTGCCAGGCTTGTTGCTCGCGGATTCTCGCAGATTCCCGGTGTCGATTTTTTCGATACCTATGCGCCTGTTGCCAAGACGGCATCCATCCGTGTCGCACTCACGTTCGCTGCTCGTCACGATTTTGAGGTCCACCAGATTGATGTGAAGAGTGCCTATCTTCATGGTGAGTTTGAGGAGAACGAGGTTATTTACATGAGCCTACCTCCTGGGACAAACCTCACAAAAGAGCCTGGGATGGTGCTGCGACTTCTCCGACCTCTGTATGGCCTCCGCCAGAGTGCTCGTCACTGGCACAAGAAACTCCTGCGTGCGCTGCAGGAATTCCTCCGCATGGTACAGTGCGATGTTGACCAGGCCGTCTTCTTTCGCATAGAGGGGACTGACCTCATCGTGATCGTTGTACACGTCGATGACCTGACTATCGTCACGTCGTCGCGCGCCTTGATCGACGAGGTGAAGGCGCAACTCCGAAAGGCGTTCGGAATCTCGGATTTGGGTGAGATCCATTGGATCCTCGGATTCGCCGTAGAACGCGATCGCACCGCGCGCACGCTCGCCCTATCGCAAACATCATACATCAATTCCATCATCCAGAGGTTTGGTTTCGAAGATTTGAAGCCACTCACCACGCCTATGGACCCGAACACGACGCTGTCGAGTGCGCAGTCACCGCAGACGACCGCTGAGGCTGCCGCCATGCGCGACATCCCGTATCGCGAGGCTGTGGGCTCGTTGATGTACGCGTCACTTGGTACGCGGCCGGACATCACGTATGCCGTCTCGTTTCTTTCGCGTTTTTCAGACAATCCCGGGAGAGCGCATTGGGAAGCTGTCAAACGTGTCTTCAGGTATCTGTCCGGCACCAAGGACTTGAAGCTTACCTATGGTGCGCAGGGGCTGGATCTGGTAGGCTATACGGACGCAGATGGGTCGATGCACGAAGATCGGAAGGCGATTTCGGGCTATGCTTTCCTCATCGACGGCGGCGCGGTCTCTTGGAGTTCGAAACGCCAGGAGATTATTGCGTTGTCGACGACCGAGGCGGAGTACGTGGCAGCGACACATGCAGCGAAGGAGGCGCTCTGGCTGCGCTCCCTAATCGGGCAAGTTTTTCAACCATTCTCTGAGGCCGTTACCCTGTATTCCGATAATCAGTCCGCCATCGCTCTCTCCCGCGACAATCAGTATCATGCACGCACGAAGCACATTGATATACGTTTCCACTTTATTCGTTGGATTGTTGAAGAAGAAAAACTCAAACTCATTTATTGCCCTACCGAAGACATGGTAGCTGACTGCCTCACCAAAGCTCTCCCCAGTCCAAAAGTCAAGCATTTTGCCACTGCATTGGGACTTTGCTAGGATTGAGGGGGAGTGTTGGAGCTGACAATCCGAGCGCATGTGTCTCCGATATACCCGAATGTTCAAACGTTTGTCGCTAACTTTGTTCCCGGTTCCCGTACTACTACTATACTTGGTTTAGTTCCCGCCGTGCGTACGGTACATACATTTCTCATTTAAGGAAGTCTCGTAGACGTAGCACACCTCAGACGTTGTTCTCCCGCCCGGAGTGCGAACGGCTGAGGTGAGTAGTTTACATACATGTATTTCTTGCCGTGTTACTTACAACCCTGTACAGCTGACTTCTGTACAGGTAAATACATTTAGACGTTGTTCTCCCGCCCGGAGTGCGAACGGCTGAGCTGACTTCTGTACAGCACGCACTTCTTACAAAGTGGGTGTCGCGTAGCCTCGTGCTGGGTAGCGCCCACCACGTGGAAGGCTTGAATACCTTGCAAAAGTTCGCCTTAACCGTACCCCCTCCCGTAGAGCCAGAATCCCTCCCTAGACGATGGTACCCAGGCCGAGCGTCGTTGACCTTTTCCCGACAGAGCTCTTTCTGATGGTGAAAGAGTACATCCCGCATTCCGACGTACGGACACACGCGTGCTTCTACGGCACCCACCCCCGGATCGCTGCAATTTACGACGCGAACGCGAAGGACCAGGACCTCTTCTGGCGACACGCTCTCTGGCTCTCGGGCATCGGCCTGCTCGACGGAGAGGACCCAGAGAAGATGCAGTGGAAGAAGCTCGCGCTCGGCATCGTCGAGCGCGACGGCTTCTGCACCAACCCCCGCTGCGGGGGCGCGCTGCTCGAGCAAAACGGTGCGCAATTCCTGATCACGGCCGGAGCGCGTATACTAACGTAACGCGTCCCCGCACAGCGGAGGACATGCGCAAGTGCATGGAACATGCGGAACGCCCCTTCGCGCCATTCGCGGCCTACCCCGCAGACGCGCCCGTAGCCCTCCCGCTGCTCACAAACGCCTTCCTCGCGATCGACGCGGAGTTCGTCGGCACCAAACCCAGCGAGCTCGTGCGCATCCCGACTGGCCAGTCTACCCCCGCGGGCAAGCCGATATACACGCCGCTGCGCGCGCACCCCATCGCCTCGCGCAGCTTTGCGACGTTCCCCCCCATCCAGCAGATGTGGTTCAACCCGTATGTCGGGCAGAAGCTCGGGCCCGCTTCCAGGCGCTACGGTGTGACCGTCCGGGACGTTTTGGAGACGATCAACGAGGGGTGCGTTTTTCCCGCGCTCGAATCCGCGATGCGGCTGCGCCCTAACCGTTTGAACCCCCGCACCGCTGCTCCAGCTTGGACGAACCGCTGCAGGTGCCTGCGGTAGCGTTCTGCATCGGCGACGTGATGCGGTCTCTGGCGGATTGGGACCCTGAGACGCCGGTGCCGCGATGGAACATATTCGAGGCGATGGCGCGCCTGGCGACTCTGCGCAAGGTTTTGCGGTACTTCAGGTGCGCGTTACTTGCGTACTGTGCACCCGTCTGCGTACCTCACCTATACGTCTTTCCGCAGCCGCTTCGACAGAATCGAGTTGTTGAGCAGGGCCGATCACGATCCGGTGTTCGTCGTTGTCCTGTGCAAGCGGGACTTTAGTTGGATGAAGGCGGGGGAGCTCACGGATCTGTCCAATGCGTGGTGGGCCGAATGGATACCGAGCGTTGAAATTTGAATGTCTGCAACACCCGCTGCACTCCTCATAATTATGTCTGTTCCTGCTTGGGTCTAATAGAGATTGCGGAGATGGGGCGTACAATCTGTGGGTGTCGTTCTTGCTCTCCTATAGCTTGCCGCCGACGGTCATCGTGCGGTCGTGATGCACAGTCAACTGAGATTTAATTACTCACGGAGCACATACATGTGGATGAACACAGTACTACCAGGTATATTCAGACCTCGATGACGTCATGTCAGGGCTCCTCTTCGGCGCAGCCACAAGAGTTCCATCCCCGCCCAACATATGCTCACCGACAAACCATGTCGCTGCTCTCTACATCTGCACGCAGAGCCCTGCACAGCACGTGCGCGACCCGCGCGCTGTCAACCAAAGCGGCGCGCGCGAGCTCTTCCGCGCCGAAGTACCCCTTCGCCTTCCTCCCCGCAAACTCGCTCCACCCGAAGCCAGGCCGCACAAAGGGGCTCACCGAAATCCGCGGCCCGTACTACGCACCAGTGACCAAGACCTACCTCGACGAGCTCCTCAGCGACTGGGGCGGGTACGTCGACGGCATCAAGTTTGCCGGCGGCTCGTTCTCGCTTATGCCCGAGGATCGTCTCCGGGCACTCATCGACACTGCGCACAAGCATGGTGCGTTCTGCGTATGACTGCTGGCGCAGCGATGCAGTCCTTGACTACCCCGGGCAGACTGCTATGTCAGCACGGGCGGGTTCGTCGAGCGCGTCCTCGCGTCCTCGGCCGGGAACCCGCAGGTGATCTCCAAGTACCTCACAGCGTGCAAGAACATGGGGTGCGTCTTCTCTCGCTTCTCCTATCCCAGGCCCTGCCGCTGACACCCGCCGCCAGCTTCGACGTGCTCGAGCTCTCCTCCGGCTTTCTCTCGATACCCACCGACGATTGGGCAGCGCTGATCGACTTTACCGCGCGGCACGGGCTGAAGCCCAAGCCCGAGGTCGGGATCCAGTGGGGCGCAGGCGGAGACGCGTCCATCGCGGAGCTCGAGTCTGCAGGGACGCGCGACCCCAAGTGGCTCATCGACCGCGCCCGCGCGTTCCTCGACGCCGGCGCGTACATGATCATGATCGAGAGCGAGGGCATCACGGAGAACGTGCGCGCGTGGCGCACGGACGTCATCTCCGCCGTGACGTCCGCGCTCCCGCCGGAGAAGATTATGTTCGAGGCGGCGGACCCGGCGGCGTTTGCGTACCATATTCAGACGCAGGGCGCCCACGCGAATTTGTTCGTGGACCATTCGCAGATCGTCCAGCTTGCGTGCCTCCGGCGCGGTATCTGGGGCGCGGGAAGCACGTTCGGGCGCATCGTCACGTTTGACCAGTCGATGCAGGAGGTTGGATGAAGGGGACATTGTCAAAGTGAGAAAATGAGTCGACTGACGAGAATGTAGGAATATAACGAGAATGTAGGAATATAATTGCTGACTGATCGTGCTTTGTATTTGCGTTCCCTCGCTGGCCCGCGTGGATCTGTACAATCTATCACCTCGACCGCACGTTAATCCCGCGCGCCTTGAACACGGAACCTCGCTGTGTAAGGATGTGGGTAAGTAGGGGAAAGAGAATGGAAATAAAGTAATAGCAAGTCTCGCGACTTGGGACCTTGACGAGTGAACAAAGGAGACCGAGTTCTGAGCCTGCCGCTGTTTGGAGTGGTAGAATGTTGCTCAGGAAAGGCTTTCTTGCGGCGGTCAAGAAGCTGGCTGGGGAGAACTTGACCTGATGCGGGCGGGCAGTTTCGGTGGTGTCTCCAAGTTGGGCATCACAACCATGTGCTCACAGCTGGAGCGCATCTCCTGGGTGCATTCGTGTGGATCATCATTGAAGGTCAGATGGGGATAATGGCCACCCCTCAAGCTCCAAATGGTGCAGGTGGGTTGTTTTGGTACCGTCCCCAGACCTGCTACTGTCTGGCATCAGAACGTCAACCACATGCTAACTGCTGGAGCTCACTGTGCATCTCCCAGCTGCATCATCCTATATATAATTAAGTTAACGTCAACAGGACGCTAAATACTTCGGGAAATATCAGCACGAACATCTGTGAAGGTGAAACACACGCCTGAGGGGAAAAAATGCGAGACACGGTCCCAAAGTACTGCGGTCGATCGTCTAAGCTCACATGGAGAATACATACAGTACCTCTGTGCCTTGATGGCTGGCCCCCTCTCGCTCCCTCGTCAACCTCTCTGGAACAATATGGCAGTGACCTTGACGGCGCGGCAGACCGACGTTTCGTACGACCTAGCGCTCACTCGGAACAGTTCATAAGTAGCATTGATCCCCGCTGAAACGAAGAAAGCCAGGTTTGAAGAATAGACCCGAGGTATTTGAATACGTTCATGGGGCAATCACACTTGACATTTGTGCAGAAGCCGCAAAGATTTGCCAAAGAGACGAAATTGTCATCGATCTCAGATCTAGGTGTGGACCTTACGTAAGTCGGCGGGTTGCACTCGTTCTTTCTAGTACAGCATCAACACTCAGGCTGGGGGCAAACTTCTCATATTTCCTTGTACTGGTATATACTTCCGGTATGTCAGTGGTGCACCGAGGACTTGAATCTAATGGCGAAAGGCAGCATAGTAGCTTCGGCTCGGACAGCCAAGCTTACCGTATCACCAATAAATTTGATGGGAATCACGGACACTCTTGAGGTCCGAGCGCCTCTGGAAATAACTTTGAATTGACTCTGATGTTGATGTTGCTACCGCAGATGTTACTTATACTGAACTCCAGATGTTTGCTGATCACAGCACTGGTCCGTGCCTGCACCTCGCAGCACCATGCTTCGCAGTCGTAGCCTCGTATCGACCCTCCTGATAGCTTTCGCGGCTTTCGGTGTTCGCGCACAGACGGATGATGATTCGTCTTACACTCCGAATTATGTCACTCTTTCCTCGCCTTCCTGGCCGTCCGCCGCTTCGTGGAACGCACTGAACTCTTCTGTTGGCGGCAAGCTGTCTGCCCTGAGACCTTGGACCGCCGTGTGCTATGCCTCCGACCCTCTATTCGACGAGAGTGCCTGCCAGACTGTATTGTCCAACTACAGCTCTGACACCACTGTACGTACACTCCTGTTCTATTGCTTAAAACGACCAGTTTTGTGGTCACACACTCTCCTTCATTCCTTTAAAATGACCAGTTCTGCGGTCACAAAATCTACCTGTCTTCGCTTCGCCGTCTTCAGCGGTATCTGTTCCGTATTGTGTATTTGTTAGCTTTTTTCTTGCCTGCGTCAGTCTTCAGAGGGTTTTGGTTCGGGCCTACGAGGTTCCAAGCCTGCTCATTGATGGGGCACGGGTCTTCTGCCCTTTGGGCGCTCTCCATGGAGTCTCGCTCACGGCATTAGGCACTAGCTTGCATCCGGGAGTGGCGCGCCGAGGTGGCTGCTTTCCCACAGCTCTGAATTTTCTCAGCAATGCTTCTGTCGGTGGCTAAACATCTCCGTGCAGCGCGAGGCCCACGCCGCGGCGCTTCTCTGGGATAATTGGGAGACTTGTGGCTACGGTGACGGCTGCGGTCTGGACGTGTCGGATCCCAAGATCGTGTACAACAAGACGTGCGAACAGGGTGCGATCCCGCCCTACAGCGTTGAGGTATCAGACGCGCAGGAGGTTAGCGCGGTCGTCAATTGGGCCGTGCAAAATAACGTTAAGACAATCGTGAAGAATACGGGTGCGTGCCTTCTGCAAGTGTTTTCTGGATCGGTACGACGTTCGCTCTGCAGGTCATGATTACTTGGGTCGCAGCGCAGCGCCATCCACGTTGCAAGTCTGGACACACTCGATGAATTCCATCACGTACGATGCTGCGTTCGTACCGCAGGGGTCGTCTTCTTCCCCTGTTCCTGCGGTCACCATCGGCGCGGGTGCGCAAGTCGAGAATAGTGTGTCCGTCGATATCTTCTGAGTATTCCCGCTGACGCGTCGATTGTCCCTTTAGTATATGCCTTCCTTGAAGATAACAACATCTCAGCCGTCCTGGGAGGTTGTCTGACGGTCGGCGCAGGTATTTACGTCCTGGCGTGAAAGTTTTAATCCGATTTGAACTCTCTGGATATTGCAGCTGGCGGATTTGTGCAGGGTGGAGGCCACGGCCCGTAAGCAGTGGTATCCTCTCTGTATGGCGCGTCCTGACTGATTGTTGATATAGAATGTCCCCGACTTATGGACTTGCGGTGAGTTCAAGCATGCGGACGAGCGCGTCACTCTTGAACTGATTACATGCGACTAAGGCCGACAACGTGCTACAAGTTGAGGTGAGTTGAAACAATGTCTCCAGTTTGGGTGATATTCACTACTCTTGAGTAGATTGTCACTGCGGACGGCACCATCCGTACGATCAACGTAGTCCAAGACCTCGATCTGTTCTGGGCGCTCCGCGGTGGCGGCGCAGGGACCTACGGGATCGTCAGTATGTAACTCCAGGCTAATAGTGCGTCCGTCTGCTAAAGCACCTCCGCGCAAAAGCCTCCGTTACCCTTGCAGCGCATCCGCCCACGACTGTCTCGACGTCGCTTCTGACAGTCACTCCGGATCCTTCGCTGAACGCATCTGAGCTCGCCATCGGCTGGATCAACCTCACCGCGCAGTACGCCAACGAGTGGAATGAAAACGGTCTCGCGATGGCGAGCGTCGTCTCATCCACCCGTTATTACCTCGTTAGCCCCAACTCTGTACCTTTCATCGTTCTATGTCTGACGCGTGCTCACAGAACCTGTACTGGCCCTCCGATTCCGCCCCGCTCTCGATCCTCGACCCCTTCTTCGAAGCCGTCCTTTCTAACGCAGTCTACACCATTGACTCCAACACGACCGCCGATGCCGCCTTCTCCTCCTTCACGGCCGCAGAGATGCAATCGATCGGCCCCTTCTTCGAGGCTCTCAACATGTACGGCGCAAACTCGCGCATGGCGTCGCGCCTGATTCCGTACACGTACTTCAGCAGTCCGAGCAGCGCGGGGCAGGTGGCGCAGGCGATCTGGGAGGGGCATCAAGTGCTGAACGGGCCGCTCACAGGCGGCGCAGCCGGAACGCCGGGCGAAGTGCCTGTCCTGATTCTGGGCGACATGCCCGCGGCGACGCGGGGCCAATCGGACGCGACGGGCGCGAACCCGGGGCTGTACGAGGCAACGTGGCATACGGTTTATGCGAGGTGCGCTTTCATTTTGGGGGTGTGTGAGCGGTGGGCTGAGTGATGTGGCGTGCGTGCGTGTAGCGTGTGGTTCTCTGCGGCGACTGAGGCTACGATGGAGGCGGTTGTTGATGCTGCCCATGCGGCGACGGGCCCGCTGACGAAGCTCGGGGTCACGACGTCGTACCAGAACGAAGGCGACGCGTATGAAACCGATTGGCAGAACAGTGCGTGCAGTCTCCGAATTACAGGATAGCCGTCTAAACATGCGGGCGGATCGCGTGCTACCCCTGGCAGCATTCTTCGGCTCGAAATATCAGAAGTTGCTCTCCATCAAGCAAAATTACGATCCTTCGAACTGTGCGTATGTTCTTCCGCACATCCCCCGTTGTGTTGCTTGACACTGACGTTCGCCATTCCCCTAGTTTTCAACACTTGGCGGGTACGCATTCATATTTGAAATGTTACAGTGAATTATCAGTATACTAAATCTTTTGCAGGGCGTTGGCTCTATCGATACTCTAGACGCATGGGCGTGTTTCCGCGCAGCGGCACCAGAGTCTTAGATTGAGAATGGGCGTGGAGGAGTAATCAGATTGTTCGATTATCTCGTTATATTCGAAAGTCTCCCCACCACAGCAATGACATACCGTAGTTATGTGGAACAGCGTCTTATTGCGCAGAGTCGAACCTGTGAGTTCACCCTGGTCCGAAGCCGTAGTGTACACAATCAAGCCACGAGAGAGATGATTCTCGTAGTAGTACTGTAGGTTTTCGACCAATCCGGACGGTCACAGGTCACAAGGACCTTGGCCTGTCCGGAATCCGACACTCTGTCCGCGGTCACACAGGTGGTGTCCGGATGTGACTATTAGCTGTTCCGGACGGATTTTCCTGGGCCTGCGGCACGAGGACACTCACAACATGCAGGGAATGCTGCAATGCTAATGACACGAAGGCTAACACACAGTTAGCCTTCAACACCCCCTCCATGGCGGCAAATAGCTGCAGGTTGGCCGGCCTGACGGCCGGCAGGTGTCCGCAATATCTCATGTGTCCGCTGTCACGTCTGACCTGTCCGCCTGTCCGGATCGTTGCAAACCTGTCCGTGGTCACACCCCCGTCCGGATTGGTCGAAAAGCTACAGTAGTAGTCTAGCCTTGTTTGCCCCGGCCAAATAAGCCAGAGAAATCCAGGAGTTTCACGCAATTATGCAACACGCCGTAATCCACGCTGGATGGCAACGCTGAAACAATGAAATCGTCTGAGCGATAAACCCGACATGTTTGACTAGGCCAATCACACTGACATTTGTGCGGAAGCAAAGGTAGCCGATCTCAGATCTGTGGTTTGTAGACCTTACGTAAGTCGGAGGCGTTTAGCTTCGAGTTGCTTGTTACTTCTTTCTACTTGGAGTACAATCTAGGAGTAGCCTTCGCCATATGTCCTTGTACTAGTAAGTATTGGCATGTCAGTGGTGTATTGTGTACTTGAATCATCTAATGGCGAAGGGCAGCATAATAGCTCCGGCTCGGTCAGCCAATATCACCAATAAATTTGATGGGACTCGGAGACACGGACCCTCTGGACGTCCGAGAGCCTCTCGAAATAACTTTGAATTGACTCTGATGTTGCTACCGCAGATGTTACTTATACTGAACTCCAGGTGTTTGCTGATCACAGCACTGGTCCACGTACACGCCTGCCCCTCGCAGCACCATGCTTCGCAGTCGTAGCCTCGTATCGACCCTCCTGCTAGCTTTCGCGGCGTTCGGAGTCCACGCACAGACGAATGAGGATTCGTCTTACACTCCGAATTATGTCACTCTTTCCTCGCCTTCCTGGCCGTCCGCCGCTTCGTGGAACGCACTGAACTCTTCTGTTGGCGGCAAGTTGTCTGCCCTGAGACCTTGGACCGCTGTGTGCTATGCCTCCGACCCTCTATTCGACGAGAGTTCCTGCCAGACTGTATTGTCCAACTACAGCTCTGACACCACTGTACGTACACTCCTGTTCTATTGTTTAAAATGACCAGTTATGTGGTCACACACCCTTTCATTCCTTTAAAATGACCATTTCTGCGGTCACACAATCTACTTGTCTTCGCCGCGCTGTCTTCGGCGGTATCTGTTCCGTATTGTGCATTTGTTAGCTTTTTGCTTCCCTGCGTCAGTCTTCAGAGGGTTTTGGTTCGGGCCTATGAGGTTCCGAGCCTGCTCATTGATTGGGCACGGGCCTTCTTCCCTCTGGGCGTTCTCCATGGAGTTTCCCTCACGGCACTAGGCACTAGCTTGCACCCCGGAAGTGGTGCGCTGAGGTGGTTGCTTTTGTACAGCTCTGAGTTTTCTCGGTAATGCTTTTGTCGGTGGCTAAATTCCGTGCAGCGCGAAGCCCACGCCGCGGCGCTTCTATGGGATAATTGGGAGACTTGTGGCTACGGTGACGGCTGCGGTCTGGACGTATTGGATCCCAAGATCGTGTACAACAGGACGTGCGAACAGGGTTCCATCCCGCCTTACAGCGTTCAGGTATCAAACGCGCAGGAGATTAGCGCGGTCGTCAACTGGGCCGTGCAAAATAAGGTTAAGACAACCGTGAAGAATACGGGTGCGTGCCTTCTGCAAGTGTTTTCTGGATTGGTACGACGTTCGCTCTGCAGGACACGATTTTTTGGGGCGTAGCACCGCGCCGTCCACGTTGCAAGTCTGGACGCACTCGATGGATTCCATCACGTACGATGCTGCGTTCGTACCGCAGGGGTCTTCTTCTTCACCTGTTCCTGCGGTCACCATCGCTGCGGGTGCGCAAGTCGAGAATAGTATGTCCGTCGATATCTTCTGAGTATTCCCGCTGACGCGTCGATTGTCCCTTTAGTATATGCCTTCCTTGAAGCGAACAACATCTCAGCCGTCCTGGGAGGCTGTTTGACGGTCGGTGCCGGTACGTACGTCCTGGCGTGAAAGTTTTAATCCGATCTGAACTTTCTGGATATCGCAGCTGGCGGATTTGTGCAGGGTGGAGGCCACGGCCCGTAAGCAGTGGTATCCTCTCTGTGCGGCGTGTCCCAACTGATTGTTGATATAGAATGTCCCCGGCTTATGGACTTGCGGTGAGTTCAAGCATGCGGACGAGCGCGTCACTCTTGCACTGATTACATGCGACTAAGGCCGACAACGTGTTACAAGTTGAGGTGAGTTGAAACAATGTCTCCAGTTTGGGTGATATTCACTACTCTTGAGTAGATTGTCACGGCGGATGGCACTATCCGTACGATCAACGTAGTCCAAAACTCCGATCTGTTCTGGGCGCTCCGCGGTGGCGGCGCAGGGACCTACGGGATTGTCAGTATGTAACTCCAGGCTAATAGTGCGTCCGTCTGCTAAAGCACCTCTGCGCAAAAGCCTCCGTTACCCTTGCAGCGCACCCGCCCACGACTGTCTCGACGTCGCTCCTGACAGTCACCCCGGACCCTTCGCTGAACGCATCTGAGCTCGCCATCGGCTGGATCAACCTCACCGCGCAGTACGCCAACGAGTGGAATGAAAACGGTCTCGCGATGACGAGCGTCGTCTCATCCACCCGTTATTACCTCGTTAGCCCCAACTCTGTACCTTTCATCGTTCTATGTCTGACGCGTGCTCACAGAACCTGTACTGGCCCTCCGATTCCGCCCCGCTCTCCATGCTCTACCCCTTCTTCGAAGCCGTTCTTTCTAACTCAACCTACACCATCGACTCCAACACGACCGCCGATGCCGCCTTCTCCTCCTTCACAGCCGCAGTGATCCAATCGATTGACCCCCTCTTCGATGCTTTCAACATCTATGGTACAAACTCGCACATGGCGTCGCGCCTGGTTCCGTACACGTACTTGAGCAGTTCGAGCAGCTCGGGGCAGGTGGCGCAGGCGATCTGGGAAGGGCATCAAGTGCTGAACGGGCCGCTTACAGGCGGCGCAGCCGGAACGCCAGGCGAAGTGCCTGTTGTGATTCTGGGCGACATGCCCGCAGCGACGCGGGGCCAATCGGATGCGACAGGTGCGAACCCAGGGCTGTATGAGGCGACGTGGCATACGGTTTACGCAAGGTGCGCTTTAATGCTCGAGGTGTTTGCGTGATGGGCTGAGTGATGTGGCGTGCGTGCGTGTAGCGTGTGGTTCTCTGCGGCGACTGAGGCTACAATGGAGGCCGTCGTCGACGCTACCCATGCGGCGACGGGCCCCCTGACGAAGCTCGGGATCACGACGTCGTACCAGAACGAAGGCGACGCGTATGAAACCGATTGGCAAAACGGTGCGTGCAGTCTCCGAATTACAGGATAGCCGTCTAAACATGCGTGCGGATCGCGTGCTACCCGTTGCAGCGTTCTTCGGCTCGAAATATGAGAAGTTGCTCTCCATCAAGCAAAGGTACGATCCTTCGAACTGTGCGTTTGTTCTTCCCCACATTGCCCGTTGTGTTGCCTGATACTGATGTCCGCTTTCTCCGTAGTTTTCAACACTTGGCAGGTAGGCATTCCTATCTGAAAATTTACCGTGAGTTATCAGTATACTAAGTTTTTCGCAGGGTGTTGGCTCCGTCGATAGTCTGGACGCGTGGCAGTGTTTCCACGCGGCCGCACCAGAGTCTTAGATTGAGGATAGGCGTAGAGGAGTAATCATATTATTGAATTCGCTCGTTGCATACAAAAGCCACTACACCACACCGCGGACATACCGTAGTTACTTGGAATACTATCTTATTAGGAAGAGTCGAACCTGTGAATCTAGTCAGGAACAGCAGCACTAAATGCAAAGTAGCGGCACCGGGCTCCGAAGCCGTAGTACGCACAACCCTCGGGCATCGGGCAATATCAGCATTCAGATATCCTAGGAACACCCAGCGTATCATCTAGCAGCTCATCTAGCCGCGAGAGAGCTAATTCACGTGGTAGTGGTCCATGCCCAGTGTTCAGCCCACCACAACCAGAAAAGACGGAGTGAAGAATCGACTCCGACGGTGTGCGTCCCTCAGTCCGCAGTGTACATCGGCGGCAAGTCCAGTAAGGAATCATCCACGTCTGATGGCGCCACCCCGGGGGAGAATCGGAGGCCCGAGTCGATGTTAGGCGACCGCCGCATGGCAACCGGTGGCTGGGGCGGGTCAGGTATTCGCGAAGATGAGGCAACCTCATTGCCCTGTTTCGCAGGGCCAACGCCAGGATCATCTGGAGGTATACCCTCCAGGAACTCTGCGGAGGGTGGTGGCACGTCTCTGGGGGTGGAAGACAGGGATGCGGACGCGAGCTCCGCGCTCGTGAATGGCATTATCGGCGCCGAATCGAGGGCGGGCAAGCGTAATGATATGCGACTCTGCGACGCGTCTGGGGTTTGCCATGCAAGCAGGGAGTTTCTGCGGGTTGCAGACCCGCCTTCAGCCTGAGCCATCTGGCTGCCTGATCCAGCAACAGTTCTCCCACTCAATGCATGTGCTGCGACAGATGGATTAGCGCATCTCGCGGGTCGAACTGCAATCATCGCGCGTACCGTCATCACCATCCGGCGCATTATAACCCAACGCCGGCGTCTTGTAGAAGTACTCGTCCGGGCACTCTGCTCTGCTCCGCTTATACATGAAAAAGAGAGCTGCGAGCACAAGCGCAAGCCCTACTACCCCACCCACAACACCCCCAATAATCGCACCTATTGGGGTCGACGATCCACGGGAGACGGCAGCAGCGGCAGTGCCGCTGGCTGCCGCGCTGCTGGACGATCCTTGGGAGTCAGTAGCTGTCACAGATAGCGAGCCAGCTGTTCGTCCACCGCCTATTGTCGTGTTCTGTCCACTCCCAGATGACGTGTACAAATGAGAGCTCGAAGGTTGCGATAACCCAGACGAGGGTTGCGACGATGAAGATTGCAATGAAGAAAATTGAAATGACGCAGAGCTCCCTTGTGACTGCGACGAGGGCTGCACTGAGGCAGGCGAGGATGGCGTGGATGGCGTGGATGAGGTCGGAGAGGGTGACGGAGAGGGTGATGAGGGTGACGATGAGGGTGACGATGACGATGACGCTGACGCTGACGATGATGATGACGATGGCTGGCCGGAAGGAGAGTCCAGCATCGTGTATGAAATGTAATCCAGCATGTACTGGCAATTGGCACTGGCCTGGGTAACACTGATGACCAGCTCATGGGTGCCGTTCGAGAGGTACGTGTTCGCCCAGAAGGTCACAGTGTTGATGGCCTCGTTGACACTGGGTGCATTGATAGTCTCCGGTGTTGAGCCATCGACACTGTATGTCGAAACGGGTGGTGTGCAACCATTCGGCGGATATACAGAACCATATACAGCCACAGTTGTTCCTGTGTGCGACAGAGTGAGAACAAACTTCATCAGGATGACTTCTGGAGATAAACTCGCCGACGAATTGCAGCGATGCACCCGCTCCGGCTGATCTTGCGATAGCTAGCGACTCATCGTACGCCTCTACACCGGCGGTGTTGTCGAAATACCAAGAACCCGAGTAGTCAATCATTCCTGGGGTGGTATCGCCTAAGCCACCACTCCCAGAGTCGACTTTGACTAGAGTTGACATGTCGCAACATCAAAGAGGGAGGAAATTGGCCAGCAATGGCGTTGGCATCATCAGGAATATATTAGCCGCCGGCGCATCAGGACTGTGATATATACCAGACAATCAGACCACCAAGTACATATGCATGCGGTATGCTTTTACCATCCGAATACGTGTGCGATCGATCGTCGAACGTTTCGGAGCATCCGGGACTGGGTCCAGCGCAAGAGACGCCTGCCTGGAGGATTGGACGCGGTGAGAAAGATGTGACAGAGGGTGACTGGTGACCGATCGCGTCCCGTCACGTGCAAGCCGCTAGTGGCCACTGCGGCGTGCTGCCGCTCAAGTTGCCGAACCACTCGTGCACCTCGGTGCTCTGCCTACTCAAAGGCGTCTTGCTGATTTCTAGGATTACCGGATTGGCATTGCGGCGCCCTCGGATGTCATTGAGCGCGCACTCTCTGTCTTCCAGGACCCAAACGTCCCTTCCGACTACATGTGTACGCTCATCTAGACGTTCAAGTTTCTCATAGGAACAGCGCTGTTTGGCGTAACGAATGACCCGGTGGGAATCATCCGACGACGTACTTCTAATATAAGTCATCCAGCTCCATATTGAACTGTTCCTACTGGACATTCTCGCCCAATATTCAGATCACCGCAGATCCTGAAATTCGGACGGTGGATATCACACTTTCTTATGTCTTTCACTCCGCATATCTGACAACGTCTGAATACATGTAGGTGCCCCGATTCGGGCACCGAATCAAATAATTGATATCTGCCCATCGTATTACATCAAGGATTACGATCTCTTGCAGTTCCGAAACTCTACTCGAGGATACACAATACCAGCAGTCCGCGACAGAGCCTGTAAGAGGGTTATCTGGGGTCAAATTATGTCAGCCTTCACCACACTACATGTACTTAATGGGCTCTGATCACGACGCGATGCTCGCCAAGCATCTTCAACCCTATTCACTATCTCTGCAAATGGGCTCCGAAGCATGTGTCCTCGACTTCCCCGACGAGCTGCTGTTCATGGTCAAGGAGTGTGTCCCGATTTCACTTGATGTGTGCTTCTGTCGAGCACATCCACGCATCGCGGTACTGTACGGGTCATCCGAAGAGTAGGAGTAGTTCTGGCAGCGCTCGTGCTGGTTCGCGGGACTGGGCCTCTGTGGTCCTGAAACACCGGAAACCATATTGTGGAAGGGAGATCGCATTCAACGCAATATCTCTTGATGGTAATTATCAAGTAAAAAGCTGTAGACGAGCTTTGCTAGAGCAGAACGGTGAGCAAAGCTTTCTAACTCTCATCACTTGCACATGATCATGGGACTTGTCTGCAGCGAAGTGCATGCAAGACGGTTTGGAATATAACCCGGAATGCACCGAAGAAATGACGGCATATCCAGACCTGAGAGTGCCTGATTCCATGGTTCAAAATTTCTCTTCAGCAACATCCTGTCCTGCCCACCTTCGGGGGACTTACCGCGTGTCTGTATCCAACCGGACATCCACCAGACGAACGGCAGGCTGGCGTACGATGATCTTCGCAACCATCTTATCGCAGAGAGCAGCTTTTTCGTCTTCCCTCCGATCCGGTGGATGCGTTGGTGTTGAATTACCTGACATCCTTCGATCCACCGGGATCACAATATCGGATATTGTGAATGCACTTATCAAAAGGTGAGTACTACATAGGATACAGTTCATATGAGTGTTCGGTGACATGACTCGCATTCTAGCGTGGACGACGATCTGAAGGTGCCCGATGTCGCGAGTTTCCCGGGTGAAGAGCTTAAATACTTTTCCGAATCCACTGTGATGCCGAACTGGAGTATTACAAGGGCCTTCTCTAGATTCAAAACACTGCGAGGGTTATTGTCCATCTTGTGTTCGAATGACCGGCGGTTCATTTGAATGGCGACTTATCCCTCGCAGCCCCATAGACACGGTGGAATTCGAAGAGGATAGTGATGATGGGCCTATTTTCTCTGTCACGCTCGATCTACGCGACAACCTCAAGGATTTCTGCGAGGACGGTGTTGAGACATTTTCCGGTGGCCATTGGTGGCCGTAGAATCGACATACGCGGAAGTTAGTGCGGGATGGTATGGTAGACACTTTCGTTCAGTTGGAAACGTTGGCTTAAGACCATGCTTACTACTTCTCATCCATGATGGCTCAATAGGTTTGGATTACTACTTTATGGCTTCAACGTCGCGATTTCTCGTATGTTTAGAAGGGCCTGCACACTTGATCAGAATCCGTGGTCGTTTTATCCGCGGTGCCCTCTGGCATGTCGACAGCTGCAGCGCTGAATATTGAATATTCGCACTGAAAGTCTCTGACCACTTCAACTGCCTTGTATGTACCAAGCACGCCCAAAGGGAGCCCAGCACCTCCACGGAGCGTTGTTACACCCAGGTCAGCTGGGGCAGGCGTGAGGCCCTGAGGTACTACGCCTTATCGTGTACATTGCGAGTATTGGACCAAATTCGTGTCCCCACGGCTTGTCTACGAAGGCTATTCGAATGTCGCCGGCCGACTGATATCTTCATGAAAGCAGAAATCCCCAAGCACGACTTCCGCTCGCATGTGTGCTTCTACAACGTACATCCATTTATCGCTGCTCTATACTACTCGGAGAAGCAGATGCGCTTCTGGCTGGGATACACCTATAAAGTGGGTTTCAACGACAGGCACTTTATGCCGTGATGTTACCCGCTATATATCTCCAGTACCGGTGCTACATGTTACGCAGTCATCCACATCGCAAGAAAGTCGTTCCAAAAGTTTCGATAATAAACAAATTCAGGTCGTAATACTCCGCATCTGGTCATACAGTCCCCCCGGCCCACTCAAGTCCTCGCATAACCCACCGCGCAGCAGCGCAGTGAAGTGAGCGCTTCTTGAATATGAGCCCTGTGGCCCCAGCGGGGCCACGGGCCAGTGTTATTGAGCGGATGGGAAGTGAACCGATTTCGGAGACCTCATGCCAGAGGCCACTTCCCGTTCTTGAGGTGTGGAGCTGTCACTTTCAGCCTGAGGGCGGACGGTCCTGATACTGGCAGGCGAGCTCATCTCGGAGGGCTGAGGCTCATCGTCGTCGTCGTAAGCAGCTTCGTCCATAGCGCTGGGATTCTGTCCTTCCTCGTCATCAGAGGGGAAGCGGACCGCCTTCTGCCGTAGATCAGGCTCGACAGCTTCGACGAGCCCTGTCCCTGCAGCATCGCCGACATCGAGGGAGTCCTTCCGTTCCACCTAATTGGTAAGTGTGCATAAATTATGGCACCATAACCACAGTTGCATCAAACACGCACCTTGCTAGTGCTGGCCGAAGCGGCAGCGTCCTCCTGGAATTGTTTGGACATACCTTCGCCCGCCTCAGTCGCTGAGGGATCTTCCACCACTGTCGTATTCAAGCTGGCGGTCTCGTGGTGGATAACGGTAGAATGAGCCTTCCCGTCGATCGACCTAGTAGCGCTCTCTGTCCCCTGCTCAAGATCGCCGTGAGAAGGCGCGTCTGTGCTAGACTGATCAGGTACTGGGGTGCGACGTGCCCAGAGTAGCCAGTCAGGGGCAGTGGTTCCGCGAGACGTCCATGTGCGGGAAATGGAGACCGTACGGGAGTGTACGCTCTTCCCGAACGAGAAGAACGGAATAGATAGACCATCTACGCAGCGTCAAGAACATGGGATAGCTGATGTAAAAAGAACTCGTACGAATGATGATAGAACCCAGCACTATGAACGAGACAATCGTCTGTAGAGTTGCAGCGAGCAGTTGCGCCTGCCCTTGGGGTGGTGACTCTGGTTCAGGTAATCTTAATACAGCCAAAGTAGAAATGAACACCGCTCCGACACCCATCTACACAAGATTGAGCTTCATGGGGCCGACAGAAGAGAACAGACTTACAGGTCCTGAATGATACCATGAGAATGGGAGTCATGCACACATTAATGCAGGACGCACCGAAATGGCCGGAAAACAGAGCTTCACGCCAAGTATTAATCTCGGGGATCCACTTGAACAGGAGAAGAAGGGGAGGGATACGACGAATGAGCAAAACCACGATCAACAAGACCACGAGGCGCCACGGAGTGATGCCGAGCTCGGGGGAGTTGAATGATTTGAAGGGCAACCACGCTCCGATATACACAAAGCAGGCGCAGTTGAGGATCAGGTCGATCACGGATGCGAATGACTCGTTTTCTGTTGCTTCGTTGAAGTGACCATCCCAACTAATGGCAGTGCCTACGTTCTCATATGTCAGTATGCGTGACAGATGAGTAACTATGTAGACAAGCCTGCTGCAAATGCCGCTAGGAGGTCGTCACTGCCGATGGTGCTGGCAATCCCGATGGTAAGGAGCGTTAAGGCTAGATACTGGGCAACATATGATTCGCGATCAATGAAACCCTTGCGGGATGACAGCTTCATCAGGTAACAGAACAGGGCACCTGAAGAGTGATAAATATCAGCATGAGTTTATGTGTAGTCGATCATTTTGCTTTCCTAGGAAGGCACCAAGGACCACACCTAGTATGACTTGGTCTGCGAAGATCCAACATCAGATAAGTAGATACGTGATAGAACGAATGGCATACACAACCAGCCCACTAGGAACCACTTTCCTACGGCGACACGAACGGAGGATTCGACCGTGAGATAGATTGAGATGCTCAGGAATGGATAAGCAAGACCGTCATTAGCAGCAGACTCGGCCGAGAGAATGCGGCGCAAATTAGAGGGGACGTGTTTCAAAGCGAATTTGCCACCTAATAAAGTTTCAGACCTCTGGGTTTAGCAACGATTCGGAAACACATACCAACGATGGCAGCGCAAATGATGGGATCGGTAGGAGTCAGACAGGCAGAAATGACGAGCGCGGATATGTAGTTGAATCGAGGGAATAAGGCAATAATGATGGCTATTAAAGGACATCAGAGCCTTATCAGAATTCCGTTTTACAATTGTTCATAGGAAACAAAGCAAACCAGCGACAGTGACCCAGCCAAATGCCATAGTAGGCACAACCATTATGAGCAAACCCTTCGCATGGTCCGCCATGTACGACTTCGGCAGCTCGACCCCAATTGCGAATAGTCCCATGGCGAGGACAACACGCATCACTTCTAGAGTTATGGTATTTGTATGCGCTCCCCATGATCGCGGGTCGAAGATGCCTAAGGCGTATGGACCGATGATCACGCCAAAGGCCGTACCGAGGACGACTTCATTGATGTACAGCTAATGCAAATGACAGGTTAGATCGGACCGCAGCCTAATCTGTAACTTAACATAGATTACTCGCCTTCTCTTTGACAAGCAATGATACCAGACTGAACTGAATAGCCCATGATGTTAGTGCGAGGTCATAGCAGCGGCATATATAAGCGAGTGAATGGCATAATGCCAACCGTGAATCTGCTTTTGCATGGACGCACTGACGAAGCTCAGACAAGATCTCAGGGCCACGCATCTACTCGTATCGTAAAGTCGATGCAATAACGACACATACCACGACGGTGAAACCACCGAGCACGATGTATGCCCAGCCCGGATCGGAGACCTGAGAGGGGAGTGGGTGAAATCAACAAGTAACCAAAGGGCGCACGGACTTGCAACAAGTGTAACACCATTTTGCAACAGGGTTCCTTCAAAAATTAAACGCAGAGGGGGGGACTGAGACGTTCAGTGTGGAAATGTTTCTGTTGGTTCTCAACGGCCGGCACTTGTTATAGCTTTGAACGAGAGCAGATGATCACATGATAAATCCTCGAAGTCCAGACAGTGCGGTTCAGAAGCAACCACATTCGAATCCGCCATCCTGATCATAACGGTTTGTATGTACACGAACCAGGAGCGTCTTTCGATAAAGTTTTCGCCGCCTTTCATATTAATTCGACATAGCGCCAATTGCGAAGACACCAAGCCTGCAGCTGGAAGTAGTGAACCAACGTGGGTCAGCGCCGCAGGTCCTTGAGTGGTACAGATACTCAGTGCAGCCCATAGAGCGCCCTCACTGTCCACAATGAGGCTATCCATGACCAGACCTAGAACATCGTTTCATCAGCAGGAACATAATGCGTAACGTCCTGCGAATCCGACCAATAGTCACTACGTTCTTCACACGAGGCGTGTCGTCGGCCCACTTCTCAAAGTTCTCAAGCAGATATATTATTCCTTGCCTTGGACTCCAGGTAGAATGTGTCGCTAGTGCAGCTCATCGTGATGCCGCTTCCAGTGGCTAAGGCGTGTGCAGCGATCTTACAGTCCTCATCCATATGGCAATAAACGACCGTCAACGTTAGCAGCGCGAGGAAAGCTTCCATTGTGAGATACTAGACTTGTGTCAGTTCCACATTCGTGTTCACCCGTAACCTGGTCGAATGACCTACAAGCTCATTCGTCTTCGAGGTGCGGCCATTGGAGAAACAGAGATTCATCCAGTCATTCGAGCCGGCGACATCTTCAGTGTGAACACCAGTGGGTCCTCGACGGTAGTAACGTGCGTCCAGGTCGATCCCGCAACTTTCCCTCTAAAGACCTCGACTGACGAATCCGTCCCCTCCTCCTTCGGCTTTCCCTCTAGCGGTACTCGAATGTTCACCGCGTAGACGAACACCTCTAGAGTGGTTTGCCGCGGAACGCACCATGTCCACGCCGTGCTTAGACAGCCCTCTCGCGAATTTGTCCCCTACAACCTGTGACCTTCCCGGTGTCCGTCGGAAGTCGCGATATAATTCTCGAACGTCTTCCCGCTCGCGTTCAGATGGATAATTGCAGGCATCCATTACGCGACTTTGGAAAGCTTCGTGCATGGTCCGGACTACTCGTCCGGGACTATATCTGAATTTAGATGCGTCAATGCTCTGTGAGATAGCGAAAGAAGCTCAAGATGTCAGATACGGATATCCTGAGGTACGAAGGTTGAAGCAGAGTAGCTACACTGCCTTTGGGAGACTACTCGAGACTCACTTCCACATCCCTCCAGCTCTGGCACCGTCGGGCAATAATTTGTGAAGAGGATCAACGCTCTTCAAAGCGCCAGGATCGCAGACATTGTCGTACATACGCCTCGAAACGTCCGCTAACGCAGCCACGAGCAGCACACTCAAGATGTAGTTTTGTCTGATAATTCTGTTCAAGTTGGACCCAGAGAAACACTGAACTAGTAACCAGAGGTTAAACCAAATTTGAATGCACGAACAAGACTTTACGAGTTACTTGCTACGGAATGCCAGCAGGAGTTAAAGCAGAAGATATCTGTCGTGCCTGAAGAGCAAGCACTTCAGTGCTCCAGCATGTACAGCAGCGAAGCCGCGAGTCGGTCATTTACATTGACTGTAGCAATCCTCGATGCTAGCCAGCTGCTGCAGTCGCCTTCCATGAGATGAGCTAGATTCAAGTTACTTACATAAAGTACTTTTGTAGGGCAAAAACTAAGAATGAGAGCCGTCGCCGGGGCATCCGAATGCAAGCGCCCGCGGTACTCCGGGTCGTTCCCCACGTCTACTGTAGTCGCCAATATAGTGCTGTGCTTATGTCTCTTGAATCCTTCGACCACTCTCTCGCTGGTATCTTAATTAACCTATCTTTCAGAGAGCTGATTTAGGATTCTAACTGATGATTCGAATACTCCGGCCAACGCCCGCACCGCTGCGGCTTGGGCGGCGTTGTCAATGCCTACGACCTACGTACTGCTGCCCACCGCGACGGAACGTCTCCTCCAGCTCAAATCCGTTCCCCTACCCGACGAATGCAAACCCAACGCCGCACCAGATCTTTCACTTATCCCATAGTGCATCACGCGACCAAGTCAAAGCCCGCTGTCCGTCCTTTCCACTGTCCGTTACTTACACAACTGAACAACTAATCGCTCGGCAGACTACGACCTTGTCCGTATCTACCACCCCGATTCCCCCATCAGCCGTGTTGTCCCGCCCGAGACCGCGCACTCCCGCTTCCAGTCTATCAGCTCCGCGTACGCAGTCCTCTCCGGCAAAGCCAAGACGCATGGCGGTCCTGGAAACGACGGTCCAGAGCATGCGACGACGTACCATAACCTCAGCGCAGCGATGTGGCGGGAACGTCAACGCCGCCGCGCGGACTTGGAGGTCGGGTTCGACGAGGTGTGGAAGGACCGCATGATCCTCGCTGCAATATTTCTGGTGCGTGGTTAGCCGTCTTACTTTCCAGGGGGGATTGAGGTAACAGAGAACCGCAGGCGCTCGGCTTGTTCGTTGCCCAGACATATTCGATGCGCCAGCAGGCGATGACAGAGGCCCTCGAGCGCGCCCGACAGCAAGCCCGTGCTACCGCAGCAGTTGGTTCGCGTAGCCGGCCAGACGACAGTCTTATTGCAGCACCAGTCCCAGCAGGTCATGCACAGGAAGAGTGATTTCCCCTCTTGTGCGGCGAGTGACGTGGTGAGCACCGCTGAATTCTCTTCTTGGCAACATCGCTCACTGGCCATGTAAGCTGCTGTGTGCCTGCGACGAGGATACACAGGATGGGAAGAGCTCTATGCTCAAGGTCGTTCCGGACAGAGCGTATGCGCGCGATGCATATTCCTTCGTATATTCACGGCCCAACTGGAGTTCTGCCCCAAACCTAGGGAGTGGTCGAGAAGGCAGAAGGTATTCCCCTCCTGCCGTGAGCCAACTATCTTCCTTCGCGATTTACTAGACACCTACAGCATCTACGTACCTGTGCTCACCAGACCCTAAGCGTAGGTGCGACACATTTATTATCCCATATTCGATGATTTTCTGCCGAATTTACGGTTCCATGTCTCTGCAAATGTACATCCGTACTTTTTGCCCGCCGATCACTTTAGACGATGCGCTCGGTGAGAGTCAAGATGGTCGTGTAAAGAGAAATAGAGAGCCTTGTACAATACACGGTGGCGCACACAGAAGAGGTACTTACAACACAGCGCGGCGCGCGACCACAGCAAGATACACACAATACCAGTAACATTACAGTCATCACTGCCCATATACGAATTGTAAGGCACACCCGTATGGAGGGGCACTACACCAGCATGCCCGCAATGCCCGCGGCCTGCATCGTGCTGCCTCGCGCACATCGCATTGCACATCAGACTTAGCACATAACGACCCAGGATGAACGGCACGCACGAGATGAACCCGCAGAACATGGCAGACAACGCAATGCGCGAGATGATCTTGGCGCGCGACGGCGCGAGCGCGCTGAGCACGCCGATCTGGATGCCCAGCGAGCCGAGGTTCGCGAACCCGCAGAGTGCGTAGGACGCGATCGTGAAGGCGCGCTGCGAGAGCGGGTTATGGCTCTTCATGATCGTCGTGAGGTCTGTCGGGTCGACCTGTGCGGTCAGCGTGTGTGCATGGGAGGACGAAGGGAGCGGCAAAAACGAAGGAGGACTATAGAGGACGGGCCACGCACCGCTATACCCGACGAACTCGTTCTCTATGAGCTTCGTCGCGAGGAGCTCCGAGACGCGGAGAATCTCGTTGCGGGGCACGCCTATGATTAGAGAAGTCAGCAGGCCTCCGACACGGCAGGAGAGGACCAGGACCCATGAAGAACGTAACAGGGTAGAGCACATAGCGGAGGATGAGCTGCAGCGTGAGCTGGTGCAGTCCGAAGCCCTTGCCGATCCACGTCAACAGCCCATTGATCATCGCCACGAGCGACACGACTGTCAGCACGTTCGTGCTATGCCGGGACCCAGCGGTCAGTGGTGCACAAAGATGCGGAGGCACGGTGCTCACAGAATCTGCCCTGCGACGATGAGCCCGAAGAGCGCGCCCTGACTGAAGGCGTGCAACGCGTTCGTCGGCCGATTCTTGTCGTCACCGCGGTCGACCGTTATACGGCCACGCGTGACGGGCTCGTCCGTCTCCGGAATGCGCATTTTGCTGATCGCGATCGAAGCGGGGATGCTCATCACGGAAGCGGTGATGAGGTTCTGCGCGGGCACGCCGAGGTTGATATACGCGGCAACTACGGAGCCAGAGATTGTAGAGAAGCCTGGGCAATCGAAGTGAGAAAGCGAGGGAGGCCACGGTGAAGGTAGCAGGCGTACCGGCGGTCATGGTGAGGTGCAGCTCGGATTCGGTCATGAGGTCGACGTAGGGCTTGACAAGACACGCGGATTCTCCCTGGCCGATGAACGGCGATGCAGCGGCGACGACAGCTTCTGCACCAGAGACATTCATCAACTTGAAGAAAATCCACGCGCTACAGAGGCTGCTCAGACGGATCATCGCTGGCAGCGAGATTGCCGACTCACAAGCCCTTGATGAGCCACTCCATGACACCGAGATAGTACATCATCTGGATGAATGCGATGAAGAAGATGACAGAGGACAGCTATGCAGCACAGAAAGACTTTCAGTATCCCAGCCGTACTCGATGGGCGATGCGACGCGCACCGTGTTGACGAAGAACCAACCCTTCGCGACGGTCTCTGCGTCAAAGAAGAACGTCGCACCCTGCCTGGCCTGAGAGAGGAAATCTGAAGCCAATGTCGCAATCCATTTGAAGATAGAGAAGCCCGCATCCGTCTTGAGCACGAACATTGCAATGACCTGCTGCATGAACAGGCCGACAATGACGGTTGGCCTACACGAGTGGACATAGTGCAATCAAGCATCTTAAACAGGTGGACAGAGGAGGAATACAGACCACGGGATGGCCGAGCGGTTCGTCGAGGTCGCCCAGAAACAGAACTGGAAGACTACGAGACCGAGCACCGAGATTGCGCGGTCGCCGTACTTGGTGTTCTGCACGCAGTGTCAACATTAAAACATGAAGACAGAGCGCGAAGCACAACACGTACACCGATGAGCGGGAAGCCAAACGCAGAGCCAAAGACAATGCCCAGGAGAGCCAGCCAGCCCATGGTCAGTCTCAGCCATCTGGGCAACTTGAACCACGGATCCTGGACGAAGGGGATCCATATTGCGCCGACAGGTCGTGTGACGACGCTGTTCGGTATGAATCGAAATGCGATAACACTGCAAAGAGCGCAATCTATATGCAGCGTCTCCGTTCGTCGATACGGAGAACTTACACGAGGAAGAACCACGCCCAGAACGTCTGGACGACCCTACAGAATCAACTTGTCAAACAAACCTTGTCGGCAGAAAGCAGCAAACAGACCATCTATGGCGGGTGGCAGGCAGGATGGTGGACGTTATCCACCACCCCAGAATCGCACCAGCAAGACCCAAGAGAATAGCGACGCGTAGCCGCAGATACAATAAATGGTTCTTTGAGCGCGCTTTCTCAACCTCTACCTCGTCATGCACGAGTTCTTTCTCGAGTTGGGCCTCGGCGTCGACTACAGGCTGTTTTTCCTTCACAGAGTCGACACTGGTACGCGAGGCTTTTCTCTCCTCGGGGCCTGTCGATGGATCCATGTCGCCACGCTCTATTGGCAGAGAAAAGCAGCAGGAGATTGAGAAGGGTCGGGCACAAGAGCGCTGCGAGGGCCAGCCATGGATGTATAACTTTCCGGCGGGTCGACGGGCGGAGCCATGTGGTGCATGAAAAAAAGTGGAGATTAGGGTGGTAGGCCCGATAAGATGTACACGTTATGCCCGATAAGATGCGTTATCTTCATCTTATCACCACCATCCAAAAGCTTCCGTCCTTGAGCCGCCTTCGTCGAGAACGCCGGTACTAGGTCTGCAGCTGACCACCTTCTGCCAAAATATCAGTCAAGGAATGTGCATAAATGAGATTCCTAAGTTATAGGATTACTTCGTTTTGAGGAGAGAATCACCCTGAGATAAGAGAGAACAGAGGTTTGATACGTGATACGCCCTTGTACTGCGGTATTCCAACTGACAGTCGCAGATACCGCTAAGAATGACACAGACACTCCGCACTCAACGAGAAATCGAATAAGCAGAAACCGATAGCACTGATACGATACAGCAAGCACCACGTACGGTACAATACAACACAGTCTACACCTTCAATGCTCTTATTGATCTCCCCATCGCAATGGCCAGCCATTCGCCTGGCGCAGTCGAGTAGCCATTATGCATTGCCATCCCCGCTATCTGCGGAGACCACGCCAAGTTGACAATCTCGCTCTGTCCGGTGTACGCCATCACCGGGTCCGTCACCACGCGTTTTTTCACGTCCGGCCTTGGCGAACTCAGCCCCGTGCTCGTAGTCCGCGGAGAGGTCGACGGTAGTTGCGTGTAAGACGACAGGTCCCACAGCAGCAGCTGGCAGTCATCGCCTGCACCGGAGCAATCGGTGAGCAGCGTCAAGGCGACTGTGTAAGACTAGTGCACGCACCTGCGGTAGCCAAGAGCGGGCTAGCGGCCGATCCCCAGCCAAGGGCATTCACCTGCGCGCGGTGTCCTCGCAGCTCCATCACAGGCGATCCCGGGCTCCTCATGTCCAGGATTTGCACGTCCGCCCCGTCCATGTGGAACGTCGACATGTAATTCGAGTCGTTCGGGTTGAATGCGATCCGCAGCAGCGGCGACGTCAGCGGGCGCGCAGACGCAGACGGCGACGCGGGCGGCGGTTGCACGTTCTTCGGTACCGGAGTCTCATACAGGATTGTCGAGTGCTCCAGGCTGCGCAAGTCAAACGCACGAAGGCTCCCGTCCGCGCCGACGGACACGAAAATGTCCGTTGATCCCGGCAGCCACGCGACGTCGTACACCTCGCGATCGTGCGCGATGAGCTGGGTGATCGCCGTCGAGGTGTCGATGTTCCACACCGTGCAAGTCGTGTCGATCGACGAGGTTACCACCAAGCTCGGTGCCTTCTCGTTCCACGAGAAGTTCGTCAGTGGCGCACCCATCCCATGGTTCTGTACTTTACTTTGCTGTAGTAGTACAGTGCAATCGTGAGCTAAAGGACTTCTGAGAGAGGGAGCGCATACGCACACCTGCAAGCGCGATCTTCGTCACTAATCGATGCCCACTCGAAGTGGGCTGCCGGCCCACATACGACGACATAGCAGGCTGCCCATCACTCGTATATTCCCAAATCCGCAACGCGTCCCCAGTCGTCGCGAGCAGCTCCGTCGTCGCCGCCTTCTGGCTCCACGCAAAGCTCGGCGCGGTCGCGGGCTGCCACTGAAGGCTCGTCACAGGATACCCATGGTTGGCTTCCACGAGCGTCACAAAGTCCGGGTACTCCGTGTAGTCATCTTCCACAAGTACGCGCTCGTCCTGCAGCCCTGCGATGGCGATTCTGTTCCGGTAGTCCTCCGTGTGCGACGCGAGCCCTAGACGAAATGCTGATCGCGGGCGCAGCTGCTGCCCTGGGGCTGGGGTCTTGCACCAGTCGAGAGCATACACAGGCCCTTGTGACCGTCGCAGTGTTTGCGGGATAAGTACTGAGCGTATAGGTAGTGCGATGTCGTACTCACATGGCGCCTCATACTGAAGCAAGGTCGTCTGGGTCATCGTGGCCGAAGACAACCTGGACAATTGGAACTCCTCGTAGAGGTGTTGAGTTCAGATGTTTCGTTACTCAAGGTCAGAACGCAGAGAAGTCGCCAGCGCCAGATGCTGCAACGCTGACTGATACTCGCCGCAATCGGCTCTATCAGCTATCCAAAGCGCAGACACGGCCTTTATAACGAGTATTTGGGCCTGGTTATTGTCGGCCAAGATGCTGCATGCGGAGGGGGAGCAAGACGCTCGGTTCCGTTATGGGCGCCTAATAATATCTTGACTTGACACGACGACTTCAAGTTGCACTGGGCCATGGGCCAACAAAACCACTGGCAAACGACCGCCCTGTCTCTTCCTTCAATACGAAACCACGGGCGCGCGCGAAGTTCCGCAATATCTCGTGCGGATTTTCTCTAAATTTCGTGTTCATTTGCTGGCTATCAATCATAGCAATGTGACCTCGCTCCATAATCTCCAGGATCCTGACGGTCATCCTTTCGACATAGTTGGACAACCAGAGCGACTCGCTTGAACGCGATCACACCCATGGATGACCGGTGCGGGCCTGCGATGGTGACTGCGATGATGACTGCCGATGGGCCGATGGGAAGGAACAACTTGCCCGTTCCTGCGCCCACGCTCTGCAGTTTTTGGTACGTGTCATCATAACTTTATCTTTGTCTCCTGGCGCATCGGAGAGTGAGAAAGCACTTCTGGGAGCATTGCGTGTTCCGTGGAACAGGGAAGTTCTGCTGTACACGCGATTACTCGAATCACCACGAGCGCGAACACCGTCGGCACTCGCTGAACGAACCACCGTATACCGCAGTGCTATTGATTTCCGTCGCATATTCCTCCCACGCGCGCACGTCTGACACTTTCGCAGACTCTCCGCTGATTTCCGCAACGAGCGTTCGCATATGCCGCTGCCGTGCATGCTCCACAGTGCCCTCTCGCGCTGGCATAGAAGAATGATACAGACGCAGGTCTTGTCGAATAGCGTGCGAGTGCTTACACCTACGTATCACAACCTCGTTTCTGCTCCTCCGTTCCATGTCGAGATATCTGACCCACCCTGCATTCATGGTGGCCGGCATGCTTGGTAAGGTTCTACTGGGCAACTTCCACTGCAATGCTGACCGAGCACCTCGAGAACGAGTCCGAGAACCATACTCGCAAGAAATTGGATAAATCGTGAATATTTGCAGAGAGATTTGGGCGCTACCAAACCACACCGCTGCATGTCCGAGGGAGTTACTGCCCGGTGCCCTTTGTGTGTCCGACGATTTACCGAAAAAACGCTATCCGTTCACTGCGGTAAATGGTGGCGACAGGTAGTGGCCGGTTGGCGGAACATCGAGCGCTCGATCCAAACTCGATCTGAATTTGTACGTGTGCACAGCGAGTCATCGAGAGGACGACTCGAGCCGGTCGCGGAGACACTACGGGCATGTTCTCCAGATTCCTGGTCTGGCCCGTGCGCGAAAAATGGCAGACGCCTCACCGGAGGGGCGAGCACAAGGTTCCTCTACAGAAATACGCTAGTACTCACAAGATACACGTAGCACTCGCAATGCGATGCCAATCTCTTCTCCCATAATGCATCATACGAGCACAGCCCCAACCATCCGAAAGAGCCACTCGGATCTTTCTCATGTGCGTTATTCTGAATCCGATGGTAGCCAGAAGCATGTCATTAGGAATACAAGTCTAAAATACATAGCGGCAGAACCACTCGGATCGTAAAAGATCATTACACTCTTGCGGGTCATCACGTCGAGAGGGGCTGCGCCCGTCAACACTCCCCACGCACAACAGAGCAACGCACAGCGCTCCACACCGGCGCGATGGTGCTCGGGAGAACGCGAAGGCCCTTGCTCATGCATGGCCCGCGCCACCGGGTGCGTAGTGCTTTTCGCCGACGGCGGCCTCAAACTCGTACAGCGGCGGGAGGGGGTCGACCTTCATGCGCAAGAAGTGCTTCTTGATGTTGTATGGGAGCGCCTTGACCTGGTACGCGGCGTGCGTGTGCGTCGGCACCGAGAACACTGCGCTTGCCATCAGAGCCTACTCGTCGGACACGGACAAACGGCTGGGAAGACATACCTTGGTCGAGCTCCTCGAGTGAGAGTGCCTTCGTCTCGGGGACGAAGAGCAGGATGAGGAAGAACCCTATGATGTTCCACCCGGCGTACCACCCGAACGCGCCCTGTGGCTTGAACGCGCCGAGCAGCCGCGGGAAGGTGATCGCGACGACGAAGTTGCTGCGTCGATCGAACGTGAACATATGCGCTTCACAGCGGGAAGAAGGTAACTCACAAGAACCAGAGGACGGCGGTCGCGAAGGACATGCCGACGTCGCGCGTGACCAACGGGAACGCTTCCGCCGAGTACTGCACTGAATGTCAGTACCTCGCACGAGTGGCATACTTATGCATGCACTCACCGTGAACGGTACAGGGCCTTCTCCCGGAGAGTAGCAAATGATGTACAGATAGATACCTAGTGCGACGACCGCCAAGCGACCTTTACCCGGGGGGATCCAAAACGCGAAGCCCGTCATGAGCAAGAAGATCGCCATGAGCGGGAACGTAGTGAGCAACAGGTTTCTGCGTCCAAACGTGTCGATCGTCTTCACCGCGGGAAACGCGAACACCCAGTTGAGCATGCCGAAGCCCCACGAGGCGATCAGCGCGCTGGTCTCGCTGAAACCTCCTTGGGTGAAGATCGAGGACGAGTAGTACGCGATGACGTTGACGCCGCAGAATTGCTGCATGAACATCACGATGAAGGACGCAAGCGTCGCGCGCCGGTTGCGCGGCTCCGTGAAGAGCTCCAGGAACCGGTTGCGCCCGCCCATGATCTGCTCCTCCGCCTCGAGAAGTACGTGGATGTCTTGAAGCCGCGAGTTCAGAGTAGTAGACGAAGATGAATAAGAGGGACTCACAGTAGAGGTCGCGGGCAGCCTGGATAGGATTGTTGCGCAATCTCACGAGGGAGTCATATGCCTCAGGATAGCGACCCTTTGACATTAACCAACGCGGCGACTCCGGGCAGAAGAACACCTGGAACATGATGAAGAGGGCAGGGACGCCCGCCTATGATAGTTCCAATTTGTCAATATACAGTGAGGCAGGCACCACTGAACGTTCTACGCACACTGCCCAGCATCAGTCGCCAGTTGAGACCATGGACATGACGGTGATCCGGAACGTGGTAGAACGCAAGGTCACACACGTATCCGAACATGATACCAAACGCAGTCCACAATTGCCTTGGTCGTGCCCATCAGACAGCGCTTGTATCGTTGATAAGTTTTACGTACCACATCATCACTAGCCCGCCACGGATGGAGGCCGGCGCACATTCAGCAGCGTATACGGGCACGGTAGCACTCTTCGGCCCAACACCAAACCCAAGGAAGAAACGGGCGATGAAGAGATGCCACCAAGTGTTAGTCAAGCCCTGCCAGATGCAGGTGACAAAGGAAACTGTCGCGCTAATGAATATCGTTCCTCGTCTGCCGAAGTACTTGTTCATGGGTGCGGATACCCAGCAGCCAATAATCCCGCAGCACAACTGTGAATTGGAGGTGAGCCTGAATCCGTTGAAAATTTATTTTGCACGTACATAAGGTGCGGAATTGATCAGGCCGAGGAGCCATTGGTTCCTACTGGCGCGGGGCCCCGTCTGGGGTAGGTTCAATTGATCTGGGGCTACGAAGAACAGGTTCGCGCCATTAATGACTGACTCGTCCATCTGAAAGTAAAGAAGAGGGAGCGTTGGTATAAGTTGAAACGGCGAAACGAATATAAAACTCACGCCTTGGACTGCAGCGGCCATGGAACATAGAATTACAAGATAATACAGTTGCCAGGGCTGATGCCAACGGTGTGTCAACTCCCTACGAAGGACGTCCTTGTCCTCATCGGTGAGGATGGTCAAGGACTCGAAGGCGGTGGGATCCTGGGCGATGATAGCGCCCTTCTTGAATTCTTCGGTGAGATGACCCAAGCCGTGGGTTTTCGCGAACTCGGCGGCGTCTTCGGCGAGCTGCTCGTGGGGGATGCCGGCGAGGGGGTTCGCGAGCTTCACGTTCTCATTGATGGGGCCGGCGTTGTCGATGTGCCTAATCTCCTTGGAGTACTCTTCTGAGACCGAATCACGCTCCCGCTTCTCGATCTCGCTCTTCTCGTTCGCGGACATGGCAGGAGACTCGTGGACAACACTGGAGAGGCAGCAGTCAGAGCCAATGGGGAAGTGCGTCCAATGGACTGGACGACTGGCACGGGGGATAGCGAGCGGTACCGCGGTTTATATATGTCGGAGGACATGGTATTTGCTGCATCAGAAATCAGCCACAGCCGAAGCAGCTCCATACTTCGCGTACACATATCGTCCCGATCGGGGAGGTTGGCGCTTGTGGGTTTCGGGGTACGTTCCCACCCATATCGTGGAGCTCCACAGCACCCCAGGTGCCACAGCCAGGAAGACGCAGGCCCGACGGTAAACCGGGGTACACAACAGACCGTAGCGGGTCAGCACACCTCCACCCGTGGGCGAACAAGACTGCGCCTCTATCATTGCCGTGTCCTCGACATGCACCTGCCGTCTCCGGCCCTCTCGAACAATCAGGGTGCTCCTCCTCTGTCGACGATAACTCCATGTCGGGTACCGCCCGTCCGCGCTAATTCACTGTTATCGCCCTCGCAATCAGCGGTCCTGAAAACTACACACCAACCCCAAATGCGTACATGTGCGCTTCCTCCGTAAGAGCCTCGTGTGCCCTCGTAAACCCAACTCCGTCTCTGCGAGACAGAAATTACAAATTCCAGCAGAATCCAGTCAGCTCAAGTGCGGGACGGATCGGTTGCTAGCCTGGTCAGCGGGGCAAAGCAAAGAACCTCAGAGCATCAAGATCGAGATTCGTGCGCAATGGAGCTTCGTGTACCTAACTTGAAGCTCGCAAGGAGGTGAGATGACGCGATGCAGTGCGCTGGCCCCTGGGTCGCATGTAACCCCATCGACCATCGCGGAGCGGTGGGGAGTGCGGAGCGCAAGGCCGGTCAAGGGTTAGATGGACGCGTCGACGCGCCGAACGCGCACCGCCAAGAGGTCATGGTACTCCCGGGGTTGACAACGTCGTTGATCGGAGTAGCGGTACCTCGGTCCGCCGCGCCGAAATGTAGACCAAGGTTCCAAGCTCCGAAGGAGGAACAAAACGGCGGCCGTGCGACATGGGACGTTTCGGAGGTCGGGACAACGTTCGCCGTTAATGCTCTACGCCGTCGACGTCACGGCAAAAATATTGCTCGCAATAAGCACGGAAGAGCGGCAAGCGGACAGCATGCGCTGCAGTTGCCCAAACCATGGATCATCGCGAGGTGTCATGCTGAACAACGCTCAGCGCCGCGTCTCCGCATCACCGGGGACCTGAACATGGTAGACCTGCTCGCTCCTCGACCGTCCACAGCAGTGCACCTCTCAAACGCTCTGTTCAACCCATGCGATCCGAGGAAACTCATGAGCAGAACACTCACGCGTTCATTCCGTCGTACGGGTATGCGTCGCAGCACTATCGGCGCCTCATGGTCCTTGTTCCGAGCAGATACGAATACGATTGTTTCACGTGTGAGGAGCATTGCAATAAGAGGCGCATGTATACTTACGTTCGCGTGTCACGGAGCTACACCACGGATCTGCGACATGAGTGCAGAGCCGGGCAGACACATCGAGGAGGCCTGACGACACACATCGTCGGATGACGAGGATTTCGTAACATGCGAGTGCCATATTCGAACGAGACGATCGTGCGGGGGTGCCACGTTGCTTCCCCACGTCAGGGTCAGGGTCATGGTGGAGCAGCGCGGAGTCAACGCGGGGAACACGGAACTGAAGCAGAAGAGCAGAAGCTGATCATGAGCGTTGAGCTTCCCCCCCAATTGTGCGACAGAGATTCCCTCGCCTCGGGTTTCTCATCTTCTCCGAGCTCGACGGAGTCCGGCGGCTCAAGTGTCAGCGCCTGAATGCATATGAGTGACCGTTTAATTCAGTGAAGAACTTCTTGCAGGCGCCACAGCAAACGGACAACGTTCCGCTACAGCCGGTGTCGCACGAGTGCGCAAAGGGGATGCACGGAGGACGAATGGAAGTAAACCGGAGCGGTCACGGACAAACGAACTCACAGCTCCTGATCAAGGCGCACGGAAGACAAACAGGGGTCAGCTGGTAGCGCACAGTCTGCAGCTAGAGCAGCGTAACCTGCGAAGGTAGTTGCATGCGCAGATGACGACGGAACGGGGGGACCTTCGAGGAACGCGTCCGATACGAGTTCGGACGCTCAAGACAGATCTGGGCATAGGCTTGCGACGCAGATCGCACAATCTGAGTGAAAGTATCGCGGTGCGCCAAGGAAGGGCCGCAGTCCTGAGATACTAGTGCGAATGTATGGATGTGGCAGTTAGACACCAGCGGGTCGACCATGCTGAATCGTGGCTGAGCGCTGGTCAGGCAGAGGATGCGCCACAACGCAAACAAAGGCCAACATCCCCACGAGGCTTTCTGCCAAAGATTGATCGACTCAGAGATTTCCACTGTTTATTCACTCCTTCAAAGCTTCAACGCTGTCTTAAATGTGAGCGACTTTGTCCCGTTTCCAGAATGAGCCAGCTGTGGAGCAACTGGATCGGAGGAAGATTGCTGTGGTTCTCGAAGACTTTGAAGGCCTCAAATTCCATAGCTAGTACTTACATCATCGGGGATCTTTGGACCTCTGCGACTTCGCGTTCTTGAGGTAGTTACCGGACGGAACGGATCTTTGACATGTCTATCTCTGGTTCAGACGTATGTGTTATGCGTACCATGTCACTCCAAAAGTCTTGCAAAGCTGAGCTCGGTCTGGTACTCTCCAATCGTCGACGGCGACATTGCGCAGGGCGCGTTATGCCGCAACGCATAGCGTCGCGGGTTCGCAAGATCGCTGTAGAGGTGCGTGAATTATGTATTTTTTCTGCCGGTGATATTTCCCGTCTCACCGTCGGTGAGTCGGTGAGACGGAAGTCACCGTGCTATAGCCGATGCACGCATGGTGGTGACTGGCCGAGGTTCAGGGCGAACCCTCATCATGATGGCGTCTTCGGTTTTCGTGCACCATGTCCGTTTCATGCCCCTTCGTATATGGAGCTGGTTTTCCCATACAGAGCAGCATCGTACCTGTCATTGCTGTTTCCAAGTCGTCTTAGTTGCATGACAACATACGTTCGGAGCGGTGCAGCGTGGTACACCTCAATATTCAATAGGTGAACGATGTACTTCACGACGAAGACAAAAAGATCACGAAGAATCTCAAGGACAGCAACCCTCACGATCAACGCTAGCCGTCAGTACGGCGATGCTGGTCGGGCCATCATCTCTTCACCGATCAACGAAGGATGCGGCCGAGACCCGTGAGATAAACTACCAGGCGAGCTCTAATCCTCAAGTTCCTGAATCACAGCTCTATGCGGGCTTTTCTCCTCCCTTCCCCTCATGGCGTATGCCACTGAATCCGTCGATTCGTGGCAGAATGCACTCATCGCGTACCATTCAGATACGAGCAAGAGTCCTCAGGCCACCTGGTCGTATGCCACCAATCCGGGAGCGACGTCCCCGCAAGGCGGACTAGCCATGGTTGGTGGCTCGCCCGGGGCGGGGTTCTCGTTCAAATTTACAGGTAAGTGTCGAGTGGCTTCTTTCCATGGAGACGACACTCATCCTTTCCTTGAAGGCGTAGAAGTGTTGGTCAACGGCCCTGTGAATGCGCCCATAGGCGGTTGCTCTCCCCCAGTGTCAGTTTACAGCGTAGACGGTTCTGCGCCGGTCACTTTCACAGCGCCAAACGTGACTACTAATATTGACGACCTGGAGTTTTTCGACAGCGGGCACCTTGCGCTCGGAGAGCATGTGCTCGTTACGAACATCACACAGGCATCTGCCGGGTGCTTATACGCGCTGGATTATATCACGTATATCGCACCACCGGGAGACGTGCTTCCTACAGCATCGTCCACCGCCCCTGCGCCCTCGAGCTCAAGCTCTGCCACGCCGTCGTTAGCTGCTCCTGCACAACCAACATCTCCGTCTCCGCAGTCTCCGTCTCCTCAGTCCCCATCTCCCACACAGTCGTCCCCTTCCTCGCCGCAGCTATCGTCCGCGGCACATCAGTCTTCTTCGTTTTCTTCTTCACAGTCGTTATATTCAGGATCGCAATCTGCGTCATCGTCACCATCATTATCATCCACCGTCTCTCATTTATCATATTCGTCTGGGAGGAATACAACGGCGGCTGGTGGACCTACGGGTGCGTCGCCTCTCGAGACTGCAGCAAGTTCTCCATCGTCCGCTGGCATGGCGGGCGGCATCACCCATAAATCGTCAACCCCGATTGGGGCCATTGTGGGCGGCGTTGTGGGCGGGATCGCCGGGTTAACGGTCCTGCTCATACTGCTCATATTGTGGTACCGACGCCGAAATGCATCGGACACTTTGCCGGATCCTTATGTTGATCAGGGAGACAATGATAAAGGTACGTTACCGAGGTCGATCTGTCGGCGTGGAAACCTAACGCCCTCGTGGGGTGTACAGGGTCTGTTCCAGCAGTTTCAGTTTACAAAAGTGAACTTCATATCCGGCATGACCCTGAGTCGGGAATGCGGATGGTGGAATCGATGCCGAACGAGGGCTCATCGTCGGTCGCACCGCAAAGCCTTGGTGAGACACGGAGCAGCGCGTCGCTCTTGCCTGGCACCTCATCATCATCTGAATATCCACCTACTCCTGATGCTGTCGAAGGAGCAGCGAACGCAGTTCAGCCCCTGCAGCATACCACCACCTCCTCTCTGCCCGCGGCCTCCTCTTCTCCTTTAGTTTCACCGCTAACCGCCATCACCTCACCTCCAATAACGGAGATCTCGGGACAGCGGTCTTCGTTAGTTCACGGCCGTTCGTTGGGTATACCTCAAGATGGCGTAGGCGCTTCATCTTCATCGCAAATGCCCTTTGGGTCTCCATCCTCATCCTCATCGCCCGCGCTCCGGCCACGATCGCCCGAGCTCCATATGGATTCGGGTATGCGCTTCCCCCCACACTTTGTACCCTCAGAGGTGGACATGAACCTCCTTGGCGCGCCGCCGATGTATACGCCGGATTGATGCAGGGCCAGCTTCCACTCATTCGGATATGAGTTCTCTTGGGTAGGGCGATGGAACATCACTTGGTGCGTGGGTTTGGGCGTTTGGTTATGACAGCTTACAGTATGTAGATGTCCCCGTTGGATGTGAGTATTTTTAGTAATCTCACGTAGTGATTTTCCCAGCGCCTGTGGCATGTCGGGACATGACTGTATTATGTGGTGCATGCACTCTGCTGAGAGAAATCTGTTTGGGGTTTCCTTTTGTGGTTGCTGATAACCAGGATAACAGAATCTCTATGAAAATTACAGTGGTGTGTGGTCAAATCATTCCAAGTCTTATAATTTATATTACTGGTGGCTTGCAGGAGTCATTCCGTAGACTTTAGGCACCACTTAGTATGAACATAATCAACAATGGGGAAGAGCCAATCACTCCGATTGTTAATGAATTGCAGCCTCAGCATATGTGTCATCCATTAGGGGACTGCTGCTTCCAGTGTATGCTTACTTATGTTATAAATACACCTCTTCATTTAAACTGACACCCTTTCTCAAGTTCAATGCAAAAAAAATCCAGCAGCACTTACATAAGCTCCTTGGTTTTTTGCAAAATTAATCACATCATTTGGATTAGACCTCAGCTGGTTTTGTGAGATTAGCTCTACCTTACATCTCAATAAAATAACATGCAGGTCTCGAAGTGCTTTATGCGACTTTATTATTATTATTATTATTATTATTATTATTATTATTCTGAGGATACTCTTTCTCCTCATTTTCTTTATTATTCTTGTCTTCATTGTCATGCTTTCCGGCCACCAATAAGCATTGAAGTGGCAATGCTGAACATGTTCAAAGTCAGAAGGAGATTTTATGCTCATATTACCCCTTTATTATAGACATAGGCTCCTCCTTATTATCATTTTCATTGTTATCTTGCTGGCTATCAGTGAGCACTAATGTGGTGATGCAAAGAGTTTTTGAATAGGGGAGGGTACTGTGAGGTGTTGTGAGAGTGAGGACAATGGCAAATTAATAAAAATAAAATACACCTTAGACACCATGCTTAAGTGAGCACAATGCCCAAACCCCTGTATCATTTTTGATGATGCAGAATTTACCTTGTATGAGTAAGATAAACAGTGTGGCCTTGGTATGTAACTGAATTATCATATAAAGTGTATAGCACAGTGGAGAGTTGACAGATAAGGTGCCATGCTCAAGTGAACACAGTATCTGCATGCTCTGTTAAGATAACATGGTATGTATGCCATCTTGCTTGATGCTCTTTTGCATGTGTAAGATGGATAAAGGGATGGGTAATGTGGTTGGAACACTAGCAGAGCTCAAAGTTAATGCAGCGTATGCTGCAAGTTTCTGCTATACTGCAGTTTCAGTTAAAAAAACTTAGTAATTTAATCAAAATGAGAGGTGTAACATTAGATAAGTGCCTCAAGTTAAGGACTGACCAGGTGCCTATCTGAACATTGTCCGACCAGTTATCCTCGTCATCAACGATGATGAGGATGACCACTTTCTGGGACTTTCTCAACTTTTCTATGACTTTATTTATTTATGATACTAAGATTTTTTTTGGCACATCTCAAATATAACCATCTAATCATTATATATATGTTATTGAACTTGTTGAGCTCATCATTTACAACAGCAAGCAAGAACACATCACTAACATAATGAGTGGTGTCAAAGGTCATATCACACTATATCACAAGTGGCATTACTTTGAGACTAACACACACAATTTGTGTCTCACGTAAAGAGTATATCCTACATAGGGAGATCTTCATGCTCAACTTGCAAGAGCAGTGAATGAGAAAGGACAATATCAACTTTTCCTCAAAATATATTGCACCTATATGCCAATCACCCTTAAGGACAAGTACATCACACGAGACACCATGATTCCATCTATTGGCACATACCTCATCTTCACTCTTTACAGCCGCTCAACATAGGCAATTCCCTCATTCATATCAGTGTAAGATTCTGCTTAGTCTCCTTCCCTCTATTCCTATAATCATCATTTATCTGCCAAGCAGATGTTCAATAGACTTTGCTTGTCAAGGGTTAGATGGTGAAGGAGAATATGAGATGAAGACACTTAGTTTGATTGAGGCATAGAGAATTATGTTTGTATCTTTTTACTATTATCACTGGTTGTACTTTTAGTTACAGTGCTCAGTATGTTGTTTGTTATATTTGTAACTTGTTGAAATGTTCTGTTGATTCTATTTGTTATTTGCTATATAAATAAGTACAACAATAGCCTAGCTATTATTTCTATTTATTTATTCCAAAACAATAGCCTACTATTCATAACACATAGAACTATTGTTTCTATTGATTTAAATGGTTATTATTCTTATTGATTTACTTAGCAATTGTTCATCCTTTTATTATTCTTTTCCATTGTTCCTGTCTATTATGCTTGAGACCTTATTGTCATATTTTCTCCACAAGTTTTAGTATATAGAGGCCCTTGCTTGAGTCAGAAATAAGAACATAATTTTATCAAGAAGTGATCGAACTAAGCAGTCAAGCAATTAAGTGCTACGAAGCCAAGTAGTAAAGTCACTGTCTAAGCCACTAGTAATTTATAAGTACATACCATTGTACTTACTGGATTACAAAGTCTATCATGCAAGTCTCTAAGTTTATAAGTCTTAAGGACTGATATTAGAGTCCGTGTACTCATATCAGTCAACTCTACTGAAGTTAGTATTTTATGTAAAAAGGGCACTCTACTACTTTGTTCTTATTTCTAACATCTAATTTACTTCAGTAACAACTGAAATATAATCTGACTTAAGACCAGTCAATGTTGACTCGGGGTATGCATGGGCCTTGGCCGAAGGAGCTTTTGGCTCCAGGTCAAGTGAGTGGTACTTCGCTGTGGTTCACTGGGTGAGACAAAAGGGAAAGTACGCTAGGCTATCACAGTTGTTCGTTGATATCAAATTTATGATAGTGGGTTAGGGATGTCTGAGCTATACGTGTGTTTCGTTGTCTGAAGTCGGGATGGTAGTCTGCACAATACAAATGAGAAAGTGTAGAGGGGGATGCCTAGCAACTGTGTGCAAGAGCTTGCATTCTGTCTTCTTATACAATGCCTACAACCAGTGCAGGGCTTTCTGAGTCTTCTTCGTCTTCTTATTTGTGTGCCTACAACCATGTGCAGGGCTTACCAAGTCTTCTGTGTCCCTATCTGGGTGCCTACAACTGTGTGCAGGGCTTTACTGAGTGCGTATGTTCTAATACGATGTGCCTGACTGATAACTTTCCTACGTGTTGTCCGAGAACTTTTCGAGAACAGTTTGAGTATCTAGCAACCATGTGCTAGACTACCCAAAAGAAACTGGACGAGAGTGCAGTAGTTGTGTTCGTAACAACTCACTGCCTGCGCTGAACTGAATTCATCAGAATCCTTTTGATTACGAGTAACAAGTTACTGGGAGGAGTGGAACGAACTCCTATTCTTTTAGTTTATCACTTGTAGGGTAAGCTATAAGCGGAGGGAGAACTCTTCACTTACAGGAGTCTATAAGTGGGGAGAGAAGACTGAGGGTCGGGGTGCCTCAGGGGTCCTTTTATACCCCTCGAATGTCACCCATTATGACCGTTACATAGTAGTGTTACATGGCAGATTGGCTAATAGCAAAATAAGAGCATCATGTGATCAAAGGGGAAAGTAGGAAGAAAAAATGTCTTAGGACCTTTGTGTTCAATAGCATAAAGTGCGCAGGGAGAAATAGGGAAGACAAAACTCTTGGGACCTCCATGTCCAATAGCATAAAGTGAGCAGGGAGAAGTAGGGAAAAAGCACTTTCTGAGTTTTTCCCATCTAATAGCATAATGTAAGCATCAGGTGACACGCTCAGCCAAACATTCTCGGATTCTGTCTTAGTCACGTGACTTCTTCGTCGAGTGCTTCACCAGTGGTTACATGTTCACAAGCCAAACACTTTTGGTATGTGACATCTGGGTGGCACGAAAAAACGCAACTGACCCCAGTTGCCCTCCTCGGACCATTCAGGTTCTTGATGAAACATCAGAATCTTCTACACTAATGCTTGAATGGTCAGAGTGGTCATCTGAACTGCTGCTTCCATCATTTTCATAATTTTCCATTTCTTTGATGATACACTCCCAGACCTCCTGGCCTCTAAAAATGCATTTTCCAGCGATCACTCAGACCTCACTACTCTATGTCCTAGCCTCCGAGATGCATCCGACCCTTTCGCGACCTTATGCGAACTTTGGCGACTTCGTGTGACTTCGTTCGACTTCGTGTGACTTCGTTCGACTTCGTGTGACTTCGTTCGACTTTGCTCGATTCCTCGCGACTCCTCTCTGAGATTCGACATTCTTTCGTCACTCATGCGCCACTCTTGCATCTCCCCGCTGTCGAATATCACTTACTCGTTGTCCTGTGGTCTAGTCCGATGCGCCCTGGCCGATTGCCTTCTAGGTCCGTACTTTCCTGATGTCACGCCGCCTCTCTGGATGTCGCACTGACTTACTGGTTCATCGTGTCGACTTATCGGTGTCGCATGATGATCACACCCTCCTGTTTTGCAAATCTCATTCCCTTTATCATTTGACCTTCCCCTTCAAGACTCCTACCTTTGTGCTGCACTGGAGATGCCGTTAGAGTGTTCCATGTGGTTCAGGACAAGTAGCATATGTTTTCTGTCAATTTCCCTCTACTTTACCATTCTTTTCCATCGCTAACATATGACATTCACCTCTCCACTCCCTTTACCTATTTTTCCATTGGTCCTAGACCATTGCGACTTTTTCCGATGTCAGGATCCATCTTCCGATATTTCGCGACTTTCACATTTCACTTCTTCATTCCCTCCTCTATAAATACCTGCTGTATCTACATCGATTATCATTGAAGAACCAGTAGGAGACTTCCCCCTTCACTTCAGATCACTGAGAAACTGCGTTTACTGTGATAGTAACTTCGAACTGCGATATACCCCACTGCGACATAGCGACTGCGACTGCGACATAGCGAGACTGCTATACTTTGAGACTGCATACTGCGACTGCGATACCGAACTGCGACACTGCGATATAGCGATATACCACCTGTGTTAGTCTTAATCTGACTTTTGCGTTAAGCTGACTGCAACTTCGTCGAGACAGCGAATACTGTGTTCTCCCATAGCATTCTACCCCCACAGATAGTTCCCTTGCCCTTTGCAATTTAGTTTACCTTCACCTACGAGTTTGGCAATTGCATCGCGACTTTAGCTTCTTACCTCCGACTTTTGCGACTTTGTCGTAGATTGTCACCCGACTTCGCATTTACATTGCGAGCCCTCGTTCCTTTACAGGTTGCATCCCCCTTTGGCTTAGGTCGAGGTTCTGGGACCCACTTGCTTTATTTTACAGTTGTGATGCCCTTCCCTCACACACAGATCGCCCCTGCTTCTCATTTGTTTTAGTTGGGTTTAGGTGTTTGTGTCAGGTGTGCACTCATCATCGGCTAATTCGATAAGGCGTGGGTCATCATGATGCACATATGGCAGCAGGCGAAATGCAGCAATGCTTTGTTTCCAAGGTGTTCCATCAAGATCCTTTAGAACATATGCTCCATTTATTGTCTGGCGTACCACCTCGTAGGGGCCCAAATATCGGTCTTTGTGTTTGTGATCCATCTCCTTTTCGACTGTGTTGTTGTGTACAAGAACCAACTCTCCCTTCGTATATGTGTCCTTGGTAAGGTGGCACTTGAAATGTGTCTCGAATGCTTCTTTGGATTGGAGGTGATGATGACGTAGTGTGTCCACAGCACATGCTAAGTCTTTGGGTCTCTTCTGTAGTTGGTGAATGCACATTGCAAGCAGGTCACTGGTTGTCATTCCTGAATAATATCCTTCCATCATGAACATTGCTTCAGTAAGGTCGAAAGGAAGCACGGGGTGGACTCCATACAGCAAATAATATGGGAAGAAACCAGTTGAGCGGCTGAAGGTGATGCTGTCCCTGAAGACTGCATGATGTATGAGATCGGGCCAGCAGTTGACTTGTCCATTACATGCCTTGATAATTGATTTGCATATCGTGAAGTGTCCACGTTCGACTACTCCATTTGCTTTTGAATTGTAGGCTGATATTTGCACTTGAGGAATTTCATAGCAGCATATTAACTCTGAGAACGCTCCTTTGACTTCATTTCCATTGTCGGTTGTTACTTGTCCCACTGCTCCGTATCGGCAAAATACTTCTTTTCAAATGAATCATACCACAGCTTTAGCATTGGCTTTGCATAGCGCTCATCCTTCGGCTGCTCGAGAAAGATCTTTGGCAGTCGGCATAAACATAATGTTCACATAAACCTTGGTGAATATGATGGATGGGGCTGATATCAGGATGGGCACTTCCACTTTGCGTACACTTCAGATTTGACACTGGTGACATAATCGGACATGCTGCTGTGCATCGTTCCACATTCCTGGCCAGTAGAAATGCTCTCTCAGAGTTTGCATGACAGCATATTCTCCCCGGTGTCCAAGTCCTTTGTGTGCTTGAAACAAAATAGATTGTTGGGATTTTGCAAAGAGGATGACTCACAATGGGGGCTTTCATCCATTCCTTTGATATAGTTTTCCATTGTGCATAAGGAACTGTGAAGCCTTCTGGATAAATTGTCACTTTTCTTGAGTGTTCGGGAAGGATGGTGTTTCAAGGGTCTGCAGAAAATGCTTGTAATCACTGAGGGCCTCATCTTGGTCACTTTGAGTAATAGTGTATCCCTTGACTGCGTCTTCGTGGGTTCCTTTCATGTATCTAACCAGCGCTGATCCATAGCTTCGACTTCGGGCTCTGATTTCCATGTATAATGCGATATCATCGAACCAGAAATCATCATGTTCACTTGCTTCTTTATTGGATGCCAATTCTCATCATGATAGAGCATCGGGTCCTTTGTGTTTGTCGGCGGGCACATGGATGAGCGTAAAGTGAAACAACAGGACTTCTTGTATCCATCGATTGATAGTTGCATTGGGTTGCAAGTCCAGTTCATTCAGCATTCTCTTAATGTATTTTGCATCCACTTCCACTTGCAAGTTCCATACTCCAATCAAGTATAACCGATAGGCATGCAGCACTCGGTACAGTCCATAGAGCTCCAGTTTCAGTTGTGAATATCTTGACTCTCGTTCATTTATGGGGATCAATCCATAGTGCGCTGGACACTTTCAGCCTTCATCATCATATTGTCCCAATATAAATCCAACCACGTACTTGCTTGAGTCCACAGATAGTATCACAGGATTGTCCACCTGATAGTTAACTGGGCGAAGTGCCGGTGCGGAAGTGATAGCGGTTTTCAGCTCGTCAAATGCATCTTGTCACCAGTTGGTCCATTCAAAGTCAACAGTTTGATGAGTCAACTTGGTGAGTGGTCGGGCGATTAACGAGTACTGATGAATCCAAATGTATACGGTTCCACATGCATGCATGTCGCGTACTGTCTTCAAAACTGGCCATTTGAGGATTTTCTCTATTTTCTGGTCATCGAGCAGGTGTCCTTCCAGGGTGCATGTTTGTCCAACAATAAGAACTCACTGGCGGGCTAATTGGAACTTCTTTCCTGAGAACGTGGTTCCAGCATGTTCAATTCAATGCAAAATTTGGTGCACATCCAATGCATGTTCCCATATGAAACATCTGATTCCGGGATTCTCCAATAATACTTCTGGCTCCCCATCTGTGTCAGGGTACTTGGTGTCAGTTTCTTTGATAGGCAGGTCATCAATAAAGATATCTGCTTTGGTCGGGATTTCATCTTACAATATGAAGGTCATGCAATTTTGAAATTCAGCAGGCGAGTTTGTGAAGCCGGTGGGAAGTGATGTGATTCATAGCAGTCCCAAAGGAGTATGGAATGATGTCAGGTCTCGGCTGCTCGTGTCCACTTTGTGTGCGTCAAATCCCCAATGAAGGTCTCCGATGGTGTAAACTTTTCTTCCTGCGAATGGTTCCACAAAGTCATCCAGTGAGGGCGGAAGTCCTGCATCTCGGATGGTGACTTTATTTAATGGCTGTAGGTCATGAACGATGATGAGGGCACACCCAACACAAACACCTAAACCCAACTAAAACGAAATGAGAAGCAGGGTCGCTCTGTGTGTGAGGGAAGGGCGTCGCAACTGTAAAATAAAGCAAGTGGGTCCCAGAACCTCAACCTAAGTCAAAGGGGGATGCAACCTGTAAAGGAACGAGGGCTCGCGATGTAAACACGAAGTCGGGCGACAATCTACGACAAAGTCACAAAAGTCGAAGGTAGGAAGCTAAAGTCACGACACGATCACCAAACTTGTAGGTGAAGGTGAACTAAATTGCAAAAGGGGAAGGAAACTATCTGTGGGGGTAGAACGCTATGGGAAAATGCAGTATTCACCATCTCGATGAAGTTGCAGTTAGTCTAACGCAAAAGTCGGATTAAGACTAATGCAGTTCGCTATTGCTATTTTGCTATGTTGCTATATCGCAGTGTCGCAGTTCGCTATCGCAGTCGCAGTATGCAGTCTTACTATGTTGCAGTGTCGCGGTGTTGCTATGTCACAGTGGGGTATATCGCAGTTCGAAGTCGCTATCGCAGTAAACGCAGTGTCTCAGTGATCTGAAGCTAAGGGGAACTCCTCCCTACTGGTCTTCGATGATAATCGACGTAGATACAGCAGGTATTTATAGAGGGAAAAATGGGGGAGGTGAAATGCGAAAGTCGCAAAATGTCGGAAGATGGATCCTGACATCGGAGAGAGTCGCAATGGTCTAAGACCAATGGAAAATAGGTAAAGGGTGTGGAGAGGTGAATGTCGTACATTAGCAATGGAGAAGAACGATAAAGTAGAGGAAAATCGAAAGAAAACATATGTTACTTGTCCTGAACCACATGGAACACTCTAACGGCATCTCCGGTCCAGCACGAAGGTAGGAGTCTTGAAGGGGAAGGTTGAATAATAAAGGGAATGGGATTTGCAAAGGAAGAGGTTGCGACCATCGTGCGACACTGATAAGTCGGCGTGGTGAACCAGCGAGTCGGCACAATGTCCAGAAAGGTGGTGCGACATCGGGGAAGTACGGACTTAGATGGAAATTGACCAGGGCGCATCAAACTAGACCAAAGGACAACGGGTAAGTGGTATCCGACTGTGAGGAGATGCAAGAGTGGCATATAAGTGACGAAAGAATGTCGAATCTTGGTGCGAAGTCGCGAGGAATCAAGCGAAGTCGAATGAAGTCGCCAAAGTTCGCATAAGGTCGCGAAAGGGTCAGATGCATCTTGGAGGCTAAGGGATAGAGTAGTGAGGTATGAGTGATCACTGGAAAATGCGTTTTCAGAGGCCAGGAGGTCTGGGAGCGTATCAACGATCCGTAGTTTTCCATTTTTCTTCACCACACAAAACCATCATGAGCGATACGAGGACTGACTGGCTTCATATACTCCAGCAGCCATCTTTTCCTTAAGAAGCTGGATAACTTTCTTCTTAATTCCAGAGGGGATAGGAATAATCCTCCATAAACATTCCTCAATCTGTATCTTCAAAAGCCAAAGCTCCTTCGTTGAGCCGTAGGATATGCTTGAATAGCTTTTCTTCTTTCGGGCATAGGAATCCATCTGGGTTTATGTTCATCTCCTCCATTTGGGTTTATGTTCATCTCCTCCATTCGTTCCTGTGTGAGTCGCGTTCCAGGTGTAAAGTCTGGCGCGTGCAGTGTAAGTGGCATACAAGTGGACATTTGTATGCAGGGGTGACATTATCTGCTGATGCTGAGAATAATTATAAAGTAGAAAAGAGCAAGAACTTCAATGTTCAAGATATTGTGGACTTGCAGACTTCGCAAAGTTTACAGACACCTGACATTCTGATAAATGTCACATTTTCTAGAGCCTTCAGAAATTTATTACTGGTTCCTTATTGACAATGGTGATGCACAGCCTCTTGCTGTCTTTGCTTCTTGTTCATTTTAATGCTTTATCTATTCTTTTACTCTGTTTTTGATCCTTGACACTTTATATCAACATTGTGATCAGCTACATTCAAGCTCAACTCCATTTTCACTATCAAATACATTCATTCAATAGTGTCTTCATCTGAGTGCTTAGGCAGAAGGACACAAATAAGAAAAAAAATTGTATAACCTCTTTTGTTGCTGTACTATCTGTCTGCAGAACTGTGCTAGCTGCCTGCATGGTGGGCACCACATAGCTCTTGCTTCTGAAATTAAGAATTTAGTGTATGCAAAAAAAGCATGGCAATTGAGGTATTATACTCACTTGAGTATAGTGTTTAAGGTGTATTTATTTTCCATCATCATTCTCACTATCTCAAGGCACACACATTTACTTTCTTATTAAAAGAGCATTTGAGATGAATCTACATATTATAAAGTGGTGAGAAGGCCCAAATGCCATGCTCTCAAGTACAGGATGATTACCTTTGCATAATGCAAGAACCAGAAATTAAACTGATGCCACAGATAACAGCCTGAGAAAAGCATCAAAGGTAAGTAAATCATGTAGCTATTAATATCTATTGGTAACAATAACAATAAGGTCAGGATGCACTCATACTCATTGCATGTCTATGCAAATCCTCTCTATTATCCTTCATATGGTTAATTTGTATTCCTAGGCCCCACATTCACCTTGCCTGTTGAAGAGAGTACCAGAAAAGGCAGACATATATATTATATATTATTACAGTGGGGTATGCAAGGTGCATCCATCTATTTTTTGTTACATCAGGTTCTCATACATTCTGGGGAGGAAGTTAGGATGATCAAATGATACCTGCACAATGTGCACCATTTATATGATCCACCAGTTATATGAAGTCTATCATTTGCATCTGCCATCTTCCTCAATAGATGTCATGCTAATACACACTGTGCTGTAAATGATAGTGTGACATAATAAGCATACTTGGGGGTAAGCAGTGCTGTGTTCGCACACCATGTCCGATTTATAAGTTGGTAAGGCCGTGCAAGCCCAGCATGGTCCGCTACCTTGAGAAGGAATAAACTTGTGGGGAGTTGGCACTGCATTCGCATGTCAGACTCCAATTTCACTTATTATTATGATGTTACCAGGTATTGTAGTAATTTTTTAGTCTGTTTCAGAATTGTGAAGTTGCAGTACACATTGGTCATGACTTTAAGTTACAGATACAATATATTCATTTCATAAATATATCTTTGATAGTTGTATTATATTGAAAAACCAGCCCGCATCCTACAGGCATGAAATACTGATACAGTACACATATTGAACTCTAATAAGGCAGGCAAGTTAGCTGTAAATTCTCCGATATAAGTCTGCTTCAGAATTGTGAAGTTGCAGTACACATTGGTCATGACTTTAAGTTGCAGATACAATATGTTCATTCCACAGATATAATTTAACCTGAGAAGATGTGCAAGTTCAACAGTTGCAGCTTCAGTGAGACATCCCCCAACCACAGGCCATTTGCTAGTGCTTGCCGAGGAAGTTGTCCTCAAGCTATCATCTTCATACAAGATGTACACATATGAACATCAGCAGTTGTAGACAGATTCAAGTCTGTCCCATATAGGACAGGCCCATTATGCTCGCAAACAGCCTCCTGACCATCTCGTCTCTCCCGCTGAGTTACACCATTACCAGTTCAACAGAGAACTAACATGTTGATAGAATTAGAATGAACTGTATGCAAATCGGCGAGTAAAGTGAACTTACCGCAAACTATACAAGAACTTTCACTCAGAGAAAGTGGACTTATAAAGTCATACCAATTTTGAATGATGTCCATCAGATCTCTGATCTAAGATGGTGATGGAGGAAATGGGATATCTGCTGTCCTCGTGCAGTACAGGTATACTTGTCTCCCCTTCGTCCTTCTTTGCCTTTTCTGAATCTGATAAAAAGTGTACATAGTGGGAAGACTATGGGGCTAAAACCCTATGAGCAGCAGATCCTGTGATGTGCCCTGAAGTGGCAGCTGTAGAAGCATTATGAGGCATTGTGTTTGCCGCAGTCTCAAATATCAACATTATCGGCATTATCGGAATCACATCTGCCTTGGAGAATAAAGTCACCATTTGTTCACATACTGGGTGTAAACATGCAGAAGGCTCAACATGTCGTCCAAATTGTGTGAGTCACACCTGAGTCTAATGCAATGTCAACAACAAGCAAGAGTGTGTAATGATTGATAAGGAAGGCACTCTACAAGAAATCCAAAGGGAATCTGGAGCGCAATATGATTATTAAACAAACACTCCAATTGGACTCACCCTGCAGGAACCTAGTCTGCAAACTTTACAGACTCATTGTTACTCAAGAAAAAGTTGCCCTCTGCTATGGTAAATTGCACAAGGTCCTCTGCCTGGAAGCTGTTGCTCCTCAGACTGCCACCTCTATGTAAGGAAATAACTGTATGTGAGCGAATAAGCAAGCATACACATATGCAATAACACAGCACAACGACCAACTCGGCGATGACCAACAAGTGAAACTGTGACCATTGCCACCAAGACAGGATACTGCACAGGTAATGGGTGAAAGAAATGGAAGCTGTGAACATCAGCATTAGCAGGGCATCTCCGAATGATATTTGAGCAGACTCACAATTACTCACAGGCTTCGTAGTTATACACATATAGCTCGATATGCAGGAGCAACGATGTTCCAACAAAAGGGAGGAGGAGAGAGGAGAAAGAGGGACCTGGTCATCGTTTCAGCACTGACAGCAAGAGCAGAATGTTCAAATGCAGAGAAAAAGAGGCAGATACCCATATCTGCTTGCGGAAAGGCCAATTTGGACTGCAGAAATCTATTCTGAGCAAGAATTACTATATGTGGTGTGAGTACAACCTCCTAACATTCTTCTTATGTCAGTGACCACCATACGTGCACAGACTGATAACTGATTCTTTAGGGAATCAGAATAATGCTCATCTTTGCAATTTGCAGATTTTGCTATATGAATATTTGTTTATATAGTTTATACCTAAGTCTTAGAACTTTCTAGTGCTTTCACCATTTTATCTTAATCACCAAGTTTTAAATCAAGTTAATAAGATTCATTAGAAGATGCAGTAAACAGCATTTGTAGGCTGCTTATTTTCACAACTTTTGTTGCCAGTTCATAAGTCTTAGTTTATAAGTAAGTCTAGTTTTTTGTTTGAGTGCAGTCTTTTCTTTTCTTTGTAGCAGACGGTCAAGCATTACTTTTTGACAGTAGAAAAGAGTTTTTAATATTAGATTATGTGAAGGTACAAAGAACTGTGATGGCCCAAAGATGCAATTTCTAAGCAGCTAAACACTTTACAATCTAAGCTAAGAAGCAAAGTGCAAGAATTAAAGCATTGAGTGCATTGCATACTGCTGGATAACATAGAATGTAAATATGTCAGACAGAATGATGACAGGTCACACATTGTAATGTGGCAGCTTGAACTCATTCTGCAGCACATAAGAGACTTCCTTCTATAAAATGCATTATTTTTTTTCTGTGAAAAAATCTGAGGAAAATAACAAAGTCTATTTCTCAGAAAAAATGTAAAAAATGCATAGAGTAAATCTCTGAGAAAAACTGTGGTTTAAAAAAGGGAATAGAAGTGTTAGATAAAACCCTGTGTTTCTTGGATGGTATTCCCCTCAGAAAGTATAGGTAAATTTTCTCAATAACTCTTCAAGAAAATTCTTAAGACATTCTGAAAATAGCAAAACTCCCTGAGAATTATAATAGGTGAAGAAATTGTACAATCTTTCTCTGATAATTATAGTTTTTCTTCCATATTTTGAGGGGAAATACGTTTGAGGTTTTTCTGTAAGGTTTCAATTCCCTTTTCTGTGCCACAGTTTTTCTGAGAAATATAATCAGTCATTTTCCTCAGTTTTTTCTCCAGTAAAAAAGATGTAATGCACCTTGTGTTTCAATCACCAATCCTCCCTTACAAAAGCTTTTCACATGATGCATCTCTACTGATCCTGGGTTTTGAATCTTATTTTGTTTTCTTACAAGAAAAAATGGGGGAAATTTCATACAAAATCTCAACCATCCCTGTAATGAGGAATAAATATAACAAAGTAGAGCAAAAAAATTTAAAGGGACATCCTTGGTGAATTATCAGACAAAGAGTATTTCTTCTTGGAGTGCGGAAGGAGTTCCGGACATGATCACCGAGTAGCTCAAGTAGGAAGGGAACAAATATGTACAAATATAGCCCGTATCCGTGGCGGGCAATGCCCACCCCCACGTGCTCACACGCAACTCTTCCAACCAGCAAGTCCAAAATCTCTCTACAACTCTCCATCCTCCATACCTCTTTGCTGTCTTTACTCCTCCGTGAACATAGCCAGCCATGGGTCTCTCAGTCTCCCGCCTCCTTTCTGGCCTCTTCGGCAAGAGGGAGATGCGTAAGTGTCCTTTATAAATGATACCTGGCATACCTCGAGTCTGATATTTCTTGTTCTTCAGGTATACTGATGGTAGAGACCACCAAAACTAGTTCTAGCATCCGATATTGACTCATATACCCACTAGGTCGGTTTAGACGCAGCAGGTAAAACGACCATTCTGTATAAGCTGAAGCTCGGCGAGATCGTTACCACTATTCCCACAATCGGTCAGTCGGCCCAGTTTTCGACATTCGCTTGATCTGATGTAATGCTCACCCAGGTTTCAATGTCGAGACCGTGGAATACAAGAACATCTCGTTCACCGTGTGGGATGTCGGAGGCCAGGACAAGATTCGTCCTCTTTGGAGGCATTGTACGTGCAGGCTATCTCTCCCGGGTTGGTGCTTCCTGACTGGCTCACTGCATGCAGACTTCCAAAACACTCAGGGTATCATCTTTGTTGTCGATTCCAATGACCGGGAACGTGTTTCTGAGGCACGCGAGGAGCTACAGCGGATGCTCAACGAGGATGAGCTCCGCGATGCGCTCCTCCTTGTCTTTGCGAACAAGCAGGATCTCCCCAATGCTATGAATGCTGCTGAGATTACCGACAAGCTCGGTCTACATGGCCTCAGGCAGAGGACGTGGTTCATCCAGGTGGGTGCCATTCTATCTTGATTCCGACGTATTTGCCGCTGATCACTATCCCACCAGGCGGCGTGCGCGACCAGCGGAGATGGTCTCTACGAAGGTCTAGAGTGGCTGAGCGCAAACATCAAGCGACGGGTGTAATTTCGTCTCTTCTCGCCGTCGTTTCTGGGTACCTACAAACATTGTCGTATTACGATCCTCACGATATTGAGAAGGGTTCATGTGCCGCCTCGTCTCTGCTCGATACTCAGTTTACATGTCGTAGTCTTGTTAGCGTCGCCTCTTTAGTCTGTCGGTGGTCCTTCTGGTCTTACCACCTTACCTTCTTGTGTCATATACATAACGGAGCTCTTATTCCCTGTTCTCATCTCGAGGTATGGGCTGTGCCCAGTGGGCTTCTAACGAGAGATGGCATAAACGAGGACATGTGTTTGCAGAGACATAACTTCAGATTTCTCGATAGCAAATAACAAAACAGGGACCGCGTCAAGTACCTATACAGAGAACAATCCAGCATCTAACTGGGCGTGGCTGAGGGGGACGACCCACGCCACGCACATAGAGCACACAGAGCCTTCACATGATCGTGCACCCCTCATCCCTCCTCTCCAAGCCGCGCGCGATGTCATCCGGACGGATAACGCGCCCCTGCCCACTAGGCTGCCCGTCCAGGTTGACTATCAGCACGCCCTCATTGCCCTGGTCCAGCTCCGCAATGAGGCCGTTCCTATACAGCGTTATAAGTAAGCTGTATTAAGAGAGCATATAAGAAAAGACGGGGGCGCACTGCTGCATCAGCTCCTCGATCGCGGGCTTCAGCTTCGCAACGCCGTTCGGCGAGTGCAGCCCCTTGCCTGCGAGTGGCAGTCTCAACAGCAGCTACGGTAAGTTTGGGGAGAGAAAAACGCACCGACTATAAGATGCAGCTTAGCATCTCCTCGTCGCCGCGCGCCTTGGATCGCCTGGTCGCTGTATGTGATTGCTTCCTTGACGAACAGCCCGTGTAGATCCACTTCGCCAGGCTCACGACCCTATTCGACGCGTTAATTGATTCATCCAACATCGAAGCGAGGCAGTCACACGCCTTGTTATTCTCTGCATGACAATAATCGGCACAACGTAACGGTCAGCAAACACGGAACAGACGGGCGGTCTCGCAACACGCCCTCACCAGTAAAGATCCACTCGCTCGCCTGTGCGTTCAGCCGCTCCATCTCGCGTTGGTGTGCCTTGCCTTCGTTGGAGAGCTCCTTAGCGCGCGCGCGTTCGCCGCCCGCATACGCGGCGTGGCTCTCCTCGAAGCTGCGCGCCATCTGCGCCCCCGCCTCGCTCGCGCGCGCCCGAAGCGCTGTGTAGTGCTCGTTCTGCTGGTTCGCCTGCGCCTGGTTCTGCACCGCATTCACACCAACGTCGGCATCAGCACGGACCGTCGATTCGTCAGACGTGCGTCGGGTGCAGACCCGCTAGAGGGCACTCACCCGGGGCGGCGGCGAGACGGGGTGCGGGGGCGGACTCGGATGCGGCGGCCGCTGTGTGACGGGATAGGCGGGCTGGTATTGCTGCGTTACCGGCTTGTGTGGGACCTCGACGGGCGGGATGTATTGCTGGCCTTGCGGGGGAGCCGATTCCTCCTTTATGGGCGACCCGCAGAGGATGTCGACGACCCCGCTGACGATTGAGCCTAGGATATTTCCCATTTCGATTGTTGGAAACCTATACGGCAGCTGGGAAGTGCGGGGACGATGTAGAGAGACAAGGAGAGGGAATAGGTGAAGAAGCGCCTGTTCAAACTACAAAGGACGTTCTATCACCTCAATGCGGTGTGTGAGCACGACGTCGACATGTCATCTGATAACAGTGCGGGCGACGGGCGACGTAGACATATGTTATGCAACACGCCATTCAGGTGAGGCAGGGAAGAGAGGAGAGACCTAGACACGAGGGTTTTGTATAACATCCATCCATGTTTTGTCTAATTTATCCGAGGGAGCGTGCTCGGGAAAATTGAGAGAAAACATAACAAGTGAAAATCTCTCCATTGCAGAACTTCGACAGGGCACTAGATACATATCATGAAACGAACCAGAATCTTACCCCAAGCATACCCCCCGTTCACCAACCTAGCCCACCTTAGATTTCCATCCCTACAAGAATATAAGCCGCATCCACCGGGAAAGGCGGCGTCGTAACGACCGTGCCTCCCACGTACATGAGCGAGTGAAGAAGCTCGCCCAGCGCGGGGGAGGACCGCTCGAGAGCGATGACCAATGCAGAGCACTGCAAGCGTTCGTCCGCCAAGTCCAAGAGTGCAACGATGCTGCATGACATATTAGCATTTACAAGACCAACATAACTAGCGCCACACTCACCTCTCTCGCACATTGACATTGGCCGCGCTTTTAGGGTCCACATAGAGCGTCTTCGGCTTGCCAGGCAATTCGAGGACGACGCCCTCGAACGTGGCATCCATGTTCGGCGCGGAAATGGAGACGCTCTTAGCATGAGGGAGCGCACCGAGGGCGTTCCGTGGGAAGAGTGCAGACAGGAAGTCAAGCGCGGCGTTGGCCTGTTTTGCACTGATGGCAGCAACACTGCCGTCACCCTCCCCGGCATCGTCAGGCGTCAGCGGGGGCGTGACAAGGTCGGGGAAGGGTGAGCCGATATGCTTGTGGATGATGGCGCGCGGCGCGCTGCCGTGCGCGAGCGCGCCGCCAAGGATGTCGTGGTCGGGAGGCGGTGTGGGAGGGCACTCTATGGCGTTGGGGAAGTTTTCTGCTCCGAATGATGATAGCGTGGATGAGGTGTCTGAAGGAGAGGAGGAAATCGTAGACGCCAGACTGTCTGTCACCCAGTCCGACGACCCTCGATCTGGAGGGCATTTTGCATTGGGGGCGTTAAAACCGCCACTATGGAACCGTCAGCGACAAACGTCAGGCCAGATGTTGTATTCAACACTCACCCCCGGCCCGCCAGAGAACGTGGTAGAGTAATAGTACATCTCGTCGGTGCCCTGCATCTGGCACACCGCAAGCACGCTAGGAGTCATGTCGAAAGAGAACGCCCCATCTCCAACGGTTTGACGACCGTTGCTGCACCGAGTGTCAACTCATCATCGAACTAGGAGGTGAAGACATGGAAACATACGTGGGGCAAATACTAGATTGGTGTTTTGAATAATTCATAATATTGGAGATCGACATGGGGTGCCAATGCGTTAGTAGCTGGATTTCAAGTAAGCGCTGGGCTGTAGAACAAAAACGTCAAGGTATCAATAATTCTTCCTCCAAATATTTGAGCGGGAAAGACTCACTTTGTGCGAGCAGAATGCTAGCGTTGTGGTCTGTCAGCGAGGAGTTCGGTAGCAAGCCGCGAAGGGCTGCACCTCCTGTCTTATTGTCAGCCTGATACCGGACCCCGGACACCAGAGCACGTGGCTGCTTCACTTGGTCGCCTACTCACGTCCGGAAAGTCACGCCCATAAATTCGTCCAGTTGACGCTTCTGCAGCTGTTCTATGTACATTAATATTTAGCGATGTGCACTAGTTCTAGCAGATGCTGCTGCCAGCGATCAACCAGGTAAGTGAGGCGTACTCTGAGACTCGAAAGCCGTGCCGGCTGACCAGCGCAGACGATCCTTCACGGTCCGTTGGCCAGACGAAAATATGTCGACGACGGCCGGATAGTGTGAAAGTATGACGATGAGCTCACACTAGCACCGATTGAGGACACGGACCCAGGACACGGACCCAGGACACGGACCCGCGTCCAGCGACTACGATAACATACAGTCGCTAAGTGCCCAGACCTTGGTCCTCGAAGCAAGATTATCAGCGCTCTTCATCGACAGTAACCCCAGAATGCAATTTCATACAGCAGACATTTACTGGCGCATGTTGGTGTTGGACTAGTGACAGGTTTCTTCAGTAGACATGACGCACAAGCAGTAGTCGCAGAACTCACAAGAAGCGTCAGTTGCAAGACGAGGTACGTACCGGTGTTTTCTCATCTCGAACGGGCGCCGCGGTTTCGATGAAATACAACCCGTGATCTTCGTGAACTGGGGATAACCACTTTCAGAACTGAATGGTTATTCCCAGTTCACGAACGTCTTGATGGTCAGCTGGCCAAGGGGTAACCGCGCGACGTCCTCACCGAAGGTGCGATATTGATACGACCACAATCGCTATCGCGTGAGTCTCTTTGCATCGTGTCAGAATGTATTGGAGCGACGATAACTTACCATGAAGTTGACAAGAACCATCAGAAACACGGGCAAGACGAGCGATCTTCTAACGTGCTTGTGAGAAATATCGATGTACGCAACGACACGAGACATAATCAGTCAACCATGCAATGAAGGACATGAATGAGAGGAGATATTGAGCGTTCACAAGGGATGCTGCAGGGTACTTCGATATGTATATGAAGGTTCAAACGTTCACTGACAGTGAGAACAAGTTCAGATTGTTGTCAGTGAGGAACGACGAAACGGAAGGGGTCAGTGGGAAACTCCGGGGTCCGACCTTAGGGCCGGTCTCGTCCCGATTGAGCATCTCTTGCGGTGAGGTGTTCAGAAATCTGCAGGCGAGCTCAACTTCGACCTACCTCAAGACGTGAGTGTCCTTCTGCTATTTTGACACCGGGGATCTGTTGCAGATGTCATTATGGATGTCTGCTCAAATTTCTGAATTTATTGACCTATGCTGACGCGATGGATCGGTGGTTTCGCGAGCGGATGATCCTACCTTCTTCTCGGGTTTGAACCAGGGAATTCCTGCTTACGATTTTCCTTGTTTGCAGTAATATCTAGGTGAAAACAAAATGGCTGACGCACATCGCGGACGTGGTGGATTTGGGCGTGGGCGCGGAGACAGAGGACGGGGCCGTCGGGGACCCCGCCGCGGCGGACGCAAGGACGAGGAGAAGGAGTGGTGCGTCCCAATTATTCCTGCTGCAGTTAACGCGATTGCGAACAAATCTGGTTCCCAAAGGGTTCCCGTCACGAAGCTGGGCCGTCTCGTAAAGGACGGCAAGATCAAGTCGATGGAGGAGATCTATCTGTTCTCGCTGCCCGTGAAGGAATACCAGATCGTCGACTTCTTCTTGCCGAAGCTTAAGGACGAGGTGATGAAAATCATGCCCGTGCAGAAGCAGACGCGCGCTGGCCAACGCACCCGCTTCAAGGCGTTCGTCGCGATCGGCGATTTCGAGGGGCACGTCGGCCTCGGCGTTAAATGCGCGAAGGAAGTCGCCACTGCCATCCGTGGCGCCATCGTTCTCGCGAAGTTGTCTGTCATCCCCGTGCGGCGGGGGTACTGGGGTGCGGCCCTCGGTGAGCCACACACTGTGCCCTCGAAAGTCAGCGGGAAGGTCGGTTCCGTCATGTGCCGTCTCATCCCTGCGCCAAGAGGTACTGGTCTCGTCGCGGCGCCCGCATCAAAGCGATTGCTGCAGCTTGCTGGTGTCGAGGATTGCTACACGCAGTCGAAGGGTTCGACTGCGACAATGGGTAACTTCTTGAAGGCCACCTTCGTTGCTGTAAGTATATTTCATTGTATCTTTGTTTACGTCATTCATCTCTTTTTTCGGTTCAGATCACACAAACATATTCCTTCCTCACACCCGATCTCTGGCGCGAGATCCCTCTGTCGAAGTTCCCTTACGACGAGCACAGTGCGCACTTACAGCTTGCGGCGGGCAAGAAGGCGTATTAGATTGTTTATGGCGGCATGTTGCATTTGTATTGAACGTTGTCAAAACTCTAGGATCATATGCCTTCCATGCTCGGCATGATCCATGTTTTCTCGTGTATGAGTATCCTTTGTTCTGTTGGCATCATCTGTGCCGGAAAGCCGGCGTTATGCCGAAGGCTTATCGCAGTAGGTCGTTGGGCACGTCTCCAGCCTGGTGCAGCACCGTGGTGGTGTAACAGGAGAAATTTTGCGTTCAACTGTCAGCCTCTTGCGATTGGCACTTTAGTACCCCTGGGAATTGTGCCTACTCAACGTCAAGTTCGACGCAAGTAATGGCCGATTCGCAACTTGGCTGTTGTACATGGTTGGAGTCAAGCATTCTTCGACGGAGATCGTTGGCTTTAACACCTGTCAGCATCCTCGAGTTAAATACAACGTTCTAGATACCCACCCGGTAGCCAGCTAGCCGTAGAGAGTCTTGCTCGTGCATTTACATAAACTTGGTTCAAACTCTGGTTGCTACAACGTCCTTCTCGGGGTTCAACTTGAACAAAATGATGCGACAAAACTGCGCGACAACTGTGCTACTCGCGGTCTGTGGGTGGCTGCGTTCGCGGGCGTTTTCCAGGTGTACGTCCGACGATTTCTGAGGATTACCAGCGTGTTAAGGAGCGTTAATCCTCTTTGCAACGATAATTGCGGAGTGGTGCCAGAGCTGGAGGGATGTCTATATAGAGGAACGACTCTTTCTTCCTATATACTAGAGGCTGGTTAACGAGCCTAGGAGGGATGTGGAAGTGAGTCTTAAATTTCTCTCGCTACCTTACAGAGCATCGACGCCACATCTGAATTCAGAGATGGTCCTGGACGAGCAGTCCGGATTGCTGTGTCTGGCATGCGCGAACTTCTGAGGTGTCCGTCTACGTGGTGGACCATCGAGTAACGTTGGAGGGAAGGCCGGACGAGGTGGGCTCGGATTCGTCAGTCGAGTCCCTTAGAGGGAAGGTTGGGAGATTGACCTTGACGCACGTTCTACCGTCGAGGATTCACTGGTGTCCACACCGAACGATGCCTCCGGCTCGAGTGACGGGAAGAGTTGATGATTCTCGAATGGTCGGGAATCGAAGACGAACGGGCTTGGAGGTCATTTGATCAGGTTACGGGTACACGAGTGTAGAACTGACACAAGTCTAGTATCTCACAATAGAAGCTTTCCTCGCCCTGCCAAGTTCGACGGTCGAATATTACCACGTCGAGGAGGGCTGCATACATTTTAATCACTGCAAACGGCACCAGCACCAAGGACACGTTCAACATGGCAAGTCCAAGGCAAGGAATGTGCTTAACAGGCCGACAACACGCTTCATGTGAAGAATGTGGCGACTATTGGTGGATGTTCCACATTTTGTTCCCTATGCTGATGAAATATGCTCTTAAGTCTAGCCCTGAACAATCTTAGTGTTGACAGGGAGGGTGCTATGTGGGCTGTAGGTGAGCGTTAGAGCATAAAACGTATGATCCGAGGAGCTGTGTCTCATGTCCGCTCGCAGTATTCCCAAAAGCACCCCACTTCAACACGCGCACAAAGGACCTGACGGCAGCGTGGCGTATCACCAATAAGCCCAAAGGACTGTTGAAGCCTGGGCAGGGATATACGGAGAAAGGGTGAGGAGTATCCTGTTGATGCTTGAGGGTGCTTCCTCATGGTGCAACATCAGTGCAACATCAGATATTCGAGGACGACGGGGGACCACCTCGGGCGTCATTCCTGTGGTTCATGACACGCCAAGGGTCGCTGTATGCACAGTGAGTGCCTACATTCGTGCGCTGTCTCTAGGGCTTACTCGCGTCGGTTCCGTGCCTTACAGGCTCCGTGGCGTCGCAATTGACCGCATGCAAATTGTGAGGCATTATGATGAGACCTCTCTCTTGAATAGTGCAGGTCCTGTACGTATGAACTGACCTCGTGGCAGATTTTGTATGCTATCTTCGCGGTTTAATTCCCTACCGGGTCTTAGGTTTCATACATGAGGAGCTTGCGTGGTAGGTCAACGGCTCCTCTCTCGGCGTTCTGCTTTTGTCACTAGCTGACGTTTATAAGTAAGTTAGACAACAGGCAGAACCTTCCCCTGCTCTTAACTCTCAACCCTTCTCTGACTGTGCATCGAAAAGCGCAGAAAGTTTGCCCAAGAATAATGTTACAATTGTTGCAAGTCCGTCTGCCGTTTTGTAACTTGCTGGTTTTACAAACTAGCTCTGCAGGTCACCGATACGAGTGTGGCTTACATCGTGCTCGGAGGCTTTGCCGTCGCGGTATGTGTCGTCATTATATCGAGATTACGATGCGAGCGCACACGCGTCGCTGAGATCTTGTCTGAAACTGCATGTGAGAACTTATCCCACATGAGGCACAGATCTCCGATTTGGCGTTATCATCCACTCGCACATATTCGTCTGCTACTTAAGACCTTGCACTGATGGTTTCTTTAGTTCAGTTTGGTGTCGTTGCTCGTGAAAGAGAAGGTGCGCAAGCCATGCTGCTAGATAGATCATGGTCCTGATCCAAGCTATCGTTTACGAACCGTTTAGTTGTACATCAATGAAGTCGTCCTCGGGACCGCCTTCGGAGTTATCATCGGTCCCTATGTCTTTGGCATTTTCGATCCGCGGTCTTGGGGATCTCATACGAATGCCATAACTCTTGAAGTGATGCGTGTAGTCCTCGCGACAGGACTATTCGCCATTGGTGTCGAGCTGCCGCAGACGTACATGAAAGATCACATGAAGAGTCTGCTCGTCATGGTCGTACCTACCATGGCATTCGGTTGGGTTGCTGTCGCTGGTTTGTCTCATCTGGTTTGACTTGAACGGCTGCGAAATGAAATTTTACTGAGACGCCGGCATATCCTGCAGCTGTCATTTATGGATTATTTCCTCAGTTTAACTACATATCCGCACTTGTCATCGCTGCCTGCCTGACACCCACGGATCCCATCATTTGTGCTGCCATCGTTGGTAAGTGCCCGCGAAGAATTGTCAGAAGCATCGGTCTGACGCTTGTTAGGCGGCAAATTTGCGTTAGAGCACGTACCCGCTAATCTGCGCCTCATTCTCTCCGCCGAATCTGCTGCAAACGATGGGCTGGCCTATCCATTCCTGAGCATCTCAATCTACCTCACGGTTGAGTCCTCCGTCCGCGTCGCCATCGGCAAATGGTTCCTGGTAGGCTGGTTGTGTACGCCGTACCTTCTCCACAGTCTCTTGCCTTGTCTTATACTAAATTTCGTAGATCAAGTCATACTAGGTGTGGTCCTCGGCACTTTGCTAGGCAAGCCGACCGATACGGGCGGTCATTACACTACATGCTGATGTTTGTTCTTATGCAGGTTTTCTTTGCTGCTACCTGATGAAGCTGTCGTACCGCAAGGGTTTCACTGATCGCCAGTCGTATCTTGCCCAATATCTCGCTGCAGCAGTCTTCACTATCGGGATCGTCAGGACCATCGGAAGCGATGACCTTCTGGCAGCATTCGCCGCAGGTATATCTCTCTATTATTCCCGTTCTCGTGTATGCTGAAGGTTACGGATGTAGGCACTGCTATTAGTTGGGACGGCCACTTCAACGATCGAACACAGAACGAATCGTTCTCTACCGTTATTGATCTACTGCTCAACTGTGCCTGCTTTGTGTACATCGGAGCGTGGTTACCTTTTTCGTCATTCAACTCTCCGGAGCTGGGTATCACTGCGTGGCGTCTCGTTGTGTTGTTTGTCGTCGTGCTACTCATCCGCCGGATCCCTCCTCTCCTGGTCTTATTCAAATGGATACCAGAGATCAGGAGCTGGCGCGAAGCACTATTTTCCGGCCATTTTGGTATGCTCTAGCGTTAACTGCATGTGATGCTCCAATTCTCATGATGTGTTTCAGGACCGGTAACTTTTATCCTTATTGAATGCTCCACGCAGCTGAATTTGGATTAGATGGGAGTCGGGGCAGTGTTCATCTCCACTAATGCTGTGTTAAGACTTCCCGAGCCGGAATCTCCTCCCCAGGGCCAGGCACAACTGCTCGCTGCAACCCTCCAGCCAATCGTTTCGTTCATAGTGCTGGGCTCTATCATCATTCGTACGAGTAGCGTTCTCGCTTTCATCCCATCTTCCTGACGTATCTCTACAGATGGTCTATCCATCCCCTTCTTTTCGTTCGGGAGAAGCGTAGGCTCTCGCACGATCACGTTGACCCGCACATGGACATCCCGTGGACCTGCTGCGCCAGACTGGTTGCTCTGGGCACGACGCGTACCGGGCCCTGAACTGTCCAACTCAGATACATTTTCCCGTGCCGACCCCGAGCAGGGGGTGGAGACAACGGTTACGTCGGAAGACGGGAAGGCACATCCGTCCATCAAAACCTATGAGGACGCCGCCAGCATATCGTTAGACCATCCGTCTTCAATGGAGTCTGTGGTAGAAGGTCTCCGCAAGCCCTTGCAGGACAATGTCGCGCCCTTGGTAAGCGCGACCAGTGTACGTTCACCTTGCATGAACGATGGCATCGTGACTCAGGCATTTGTTCTACAGGCGCCAAACCTTATGCGTTCTGACGTTGATATTGCCAGTGTTGCTGCAAGCCCAGAGATCATACGAATTGTTGAGTCCAATGAGCCCGTAAAGACCAGTCCACTGCAGAAAATGGGCCATTTAATTTCCGATGACGGAGGAAGCACATACTCGAACGAAGGCGCGTACAGCGATGACGACCAACCGCTTCCTTCTAGTATGCAGTCTTCAGCGAGCATCAAGACGGTCCACCTCCCATCCGCTCAGTAACACAAGCTTGTGGTCCAAACGGCTCAAATCCGAGGAGCGCTCACTTCACTATGCAGTAGGTTGTTCTAAGACTGGAATGGAGTGGGCCGCGGGGCTGTGGTTAGAGATTGTGTGTCACCAGGGAGCAAATCGATGAGTCAGTATAGGGTGGGGGTAGTCGCACTGGGGATCTAGGTCTTCTGGTGAGCACTTCGACCCAAGTCTTGGACCATGGGTGCGGGTCCCTGTGATTTATCTATCGCCGCAAGATCTAGACTTACTCTCTTAAGGGTTGACGGCAAAAGATTATCTTCAGTGTGGGTGCCCCTTGCATGCCATGACCTGAGATTGATCAGAACTTTTGGGACGGCTGTTGACGTTCTTGCGACGTGGAAGACTGCGTGACCCTCGTCGCCGGAGATAGCTGGCGTATGTCAGAGTGGTTGCATCACGGCACACAGTCTATTCGACAGTTTGTGCGGTCGGCGGACACTGGTCTGTTCGACAACTTGAGTACTCGGTGGGCGCTCGGTGGGCGATGTCATGTCGTCGAGATCTAGAGCGTCAACTTACGTGTGCGGCGGGGCTGCTGTGAGACTATCGATACGAGCCTTTCGGCGAAGTTTGACTCTTTCGCAATACGGACGATGGATTCGAAAAGACGTTGTCGGAGCGTATCGAATCCGCCCTTCCCACGTCGACGACCAGCCGTGTCTCGTAAGTCGTCCGTAATCATTTTGGACTCTCTGCTATAAGAACAGGAGTACAACACTAATGAGTACAGTATGTACAATTACTAGAAGTACAATATAGCCGACCGCGAGGAAGCATAGTATCACAACACGTAGGACAATAACAGCGGTACAAGTTCAGTGTACTTGCATAAGGGTCGTTAAGAGAAGACATCCTGCTATACTTATCACAACTGAGCTCTCACCATCTCGAATGCTGGTGTGTCGTCGGTGGGAAGACCCACTTTGGCCGTACCCTCGAAGACCTCCAGCGACGCCACGAAATCCGACCAGCGCTCGTCGGATACGATCGGGGCGCTAATATAGGGACCAACATCCATCTCACGTACGAGAGAGCCAAGGAGGGGGAGCGTCTCGTCTAAGGCCTTCGTCTCCATCTCCGCCTGCGCGCGCCGGCCCAGACGTGTATTTTCGGAATACCACGCAGGGTCCAGCTTCACGACGTTGGCAACATAGAGGTCGATCAGGCAGGGCTTGACACCGGCAGCGACCGCCGCGTCGTATGCCATCCTGTGTCCAATTGCCTCCACCAGGGCTTGGCAGCGTGGGAGGATCAGCCTGTTCACTTCCACGCTGCGGTGGTGAGGAACAGACGTAATGATATCACGAGCTTCTTCGAAGATGCCTGCCTCATGGAGAGCGAGCAAACTCGTCGGGTCCTCGGGAGCCGGCATTACATATCGGCCCAAAAGTAGCTCGGTCGCCAACCCTATGGTCAGTAGAACGTGAACACTAAGTCGCGAACTACGGTGGGAACACTCACGAATGGACAGACCAAGGATATCTCCTTCAGCTATCGCAAGTCCACGCATTTCCGCCTAAGGAGATGAATAGTCAGGACAGCATCAACGACCGACGCCAAAAAAACCTCACATGCAGTCTAGTCATCTGATTGTGTGCGAACAATCCTTGTGCACCGCAACGTTCTGAGACGGCCAAGCATGCCTCCTGCGAATGCTGAACAGCAATAGCTTTGGCGATAGCGGCGATACCGCGGCGAATACGGATGTCCTTCATCGTACAGAAGGCGTTCGTCGCCCAACGTTGAAATGCCGACAGCACGGAAACCTGAGCGGCAACGGTCAAGAGCGGCAGTTGTTGCGTCCTGAACTGCAGGATAGGCTGTGGGTGATCTGGAGGGCCAGTTGTTCGCCGCAAACTGTACATTGTCCCGATGGTAGCGTAGCATTGCATGAAGGGGATGCCCAGACAACTTAGTGCCATAGTACCGACGTTGACCCGCGAAGTAATCTGCAGCACATGATTATGAAAGGAACGTGGCTTCTCCAGTGCTCCCAGAAGCGACGTTCGAGGTAGCCGGACATTGCGGAAGGTTGTTATCGCATGGTTAACCGGGTTGGGGCCTTCTCGCGCGGGTAGCTGCCTGGACCTCACTGAGCTGTAATCCACTACTGAGCCAATTTTCACATACCTTGCTTGGACACCAGTGCACATTTGGAAGCCGTCATTCAGTGGCACGACGAAAGGATGAATTCCAAAGTCTTCCTTGTTGACAAGGAGACGAGCGAATACAACTGCGATGCAGGGCGTTCCAGCAGGAACGGTGGGAGGCATGAACCTGTACCAGACTGTGAGCATGAAGCTGGATAACAAGGTATGTATGATCTTACTTCGCTGATTGCGGTGTCGGCGAGTTCAGGAGGAATTCCCCGGAAGGAAGGAGAGTCGCAGTGGTTTCCAGGTTATGAGCGTCGAGGCCATGACCTACTTCTGTGAGCATATATTGCCCGCTATGACGTGAAATAATGCCTTAAATGGAGCACGAGATCATAGTTGTAACACGAGACGTACAGTTTTCTGAAACGCAGCAAATCTTCCACAAGCAGGTGCAGCTCAGGTCTACGCGACGCGTAGGAAGCTATCGTACCAGCGCATAGATTGTAGTGGATGGTCAATAAAGTGAATGCAGAACCGTCTAACAAGACAACGGGATCAAAGTGAAGGTCCCAGAATTTCTGTGAAAGCGAGCTGATGTCATGGAAAGACAAGTCTGGGAAAGAAACAGATTGTGATTACAGATCATAATTCAACGGAGGAAGGGGACATACCGTACGCGAGACCAACGCTTCTCGCCTTCTCGTAGGACAGACGTGAACGATCTCGAGTGTCCAGAGAGTATACAGCAGTAGTGAACGGAGGGGTGCCCACCAAGGGGACGGTTCGTCGTGGAGAGGTCGTCGCAGACATGAAGCGTTACACCGGCACTGACAAAATCAGTTATGTACAGAGGGTTTGTGAGTGGGTGGATGGCTTACCTTCATGATGCATTCTTATACTTCCCTCGTGAGCGTTGGGGCGAAAGGTCGGCGGCAGTCACGTAATTTGTCACCATGCCCGGAATGTTAAATGGGTCCCAGAATTGCAGTTGGGACAAGGCGGCAAATACGAAGCGAGACTGAAGATATGACCATGCATACACAGGTGATGCAACTGTGTCTGAGTCGAATCCAGAATTGATGGAAGGGTGACCCATCAGGCACTAAAGACGCCATATCATTCTAATTGAGAAAGGCTGCTAGAGCAAAACTTCTGCCGGCCATCGTGTTCGCACTGCGTGCCGGTCCAGAACTGGAGGGTACAGGGAGATTAGACATTTCCGTCCGTTCCCTTGTCTCGCGAGAAAATTGATGTTGTGGTTAGTAGGCGCGTGTTAATTTTGCCGCGACGTGGAAAGTTCCGATCGGTCTCAGATACGGCATTGTTACCATGAATCTGAATGAAGGCAACACGTTCGCCACGCACGCGGGTGCCATGCACCAAAATATTACTCGTCAGAAGACGATAATTCTAGTTTCCTTATACCCGAAGACCGTCAAAATCCAGCCCAGGTTGAAGCTTCGAGAAAATCTGCATGCACATTTGATCTATATGTACGTCAATGGATGACGCTTAGAGAGGCCGCCGAGGCACATAGTGAATGTCAGCGGCACGGCATAAACATACGCACCAGTCAACAATCGCTATCAAACGTAGAATGAGTACTTTGCAATGCACAACAACTATCGAAGCCACGGTTCTTGGGAGGGATCTCTGAGACAGCGTTCTACGTCCGGACTGAAGCCGGCCGTTTAAGCTCGAAACGTGGTCGCATTACTCTGAATTCTGATGGATGAGCGCGATGGTGGCCTTGCCCAGGTCAATTCTCTGAGCACGGTCGCAGCACGCGGCAATCACAGTGCACCTAGGCAATGGGAGCACTCGATTTTGAATGCATCGTGCCGTGAATGCACAATCAGCTGGTAGGGGGGTGGCGAAAACGTGGACTATCATAGCCCCACAACAATCCAGGAGTGGATAAGTGGAAAACGCGTACATTGATAGCTAACTAGATGATGGCATGAGTTCAGGCTAGGCAAGAATAAGTGTAGCGTAGCACTCAACGTGTACGAGAAATATGTCGATTAGAGCGGCCTAGAATACCACTGTTCCACCTAATCGCGGCATGATCGCTAATGCTGGATCCCGGGAGCGCGCCGTCGTCGACATCCCGTTTTGCCGAGTAGTCGCTTCCGTTCCGTAGCTGTCCGGATAACACACATGGCCGAGAAATTGCATCAGCACCAACGAGAGCCCTGTGGAGGCGAGAGCCCTGTGGAGGCGAGAGCCCTCGCCCAGCATGGAATCTGTAAAGTTCAAAGAACAGAATGAAGTGAGTTAGACAACGAGATTCATAGCTGAGACGATCCAAGTAGGGCGCGAGATCATTATGAGATTGCACCATCAACCATTGCATGCATCATTATGAAGATCGATCGACATGCTCCCGCGAACCTCCTGAGCTCTGAGAGCTCATCTGGAAACAAATCCTACCTGGAAACTAGAAAGTCAAGCAAGTAAAACGAATTTTGACGTGATTGTGTCAGTAATAACTAACTGGGAATCTCTCACTGCTGCTTCGCCCAATAGTCGGCACGGCAGCGTACACTAGCGTACCCTCTTCGAGCTTTCCTGAATACGGTCTTCGGCACCGCTTAAGCTGCTTCCGTGAAATCTGCCACCGTCTTTTCGAAATGATATCATCGCAGCGGCGGTTCAGGAGCTTCCGACAAATGTTTTGGAGACTCGAACTGCGGCCGCCGTAGAAGAAGTGCTAGAAACGCCGTTTACGAGACCAGCACGCTTTTCAGAGAAGTGACTATTCCAAGCGTCCTGCGGAACCTCCGCAACTTGCCGGATAGGGCGTTTCGGAGGTAAGAAGCTTCTTTCTTGCCCGATACCTGCATGATGTAAGCCATGATCTGCTTCATTCTAAAGAAAGAACGTCAATATCTCTCATCAGTCCACACAGCGGAATTCCGGGGTCTCCGGAAGTAGTACTCGAGGAGTAAAATCCGAGATGGGCATATCCCATACTGCAGACGCTGACATAATCGCTGAGCTTGTGCCTTGCAACTCGGTGTGTCAATGTCCTGGAGATGCGCACCAGCGCGTCCCTGCGAAACCTTCCAAGGGCCGATCACCTTTCACGGGCAAAAAGAGCGATCTCAACGTGTACTTGGAATGCAGTGTAAAAGTCGGGCTTCCGAGGGCTAACGAGAGCCAAGCAATCAGTGGATGTGGCGACGCACTGTGGTTTTCCGTTTTGTCGAAGGCACCTCTGGATATTGGCGGTGCCCGAGGTATCCGCGGCTCCTAACCATCGTTATGACCAAATGGTAGACAAGAAGGCTTCAGTAGAGGATACGACTGACCGCCGTCTTTGAAATTTCAAATTTTCAGCACGGTGAGAATATTTCCCCGAACTTTGGAATGAAGACCGAGAGTGTTTCGCCGCTTAGCTGTGTCACTTCACGAGCTGAAGCTAAGATATACTGAGCAATCTTCCAGGCTTATTGTAGACATCTCTGGCGCTCAAAGTACAGTAGCTGATAACATCCTGAGTTACCAGAAAAGTGCAATCATTCTAATTATTCTTGGTCAGAAGGATGCAAAACAAACCTTGAAGTGAAAATAACTTTACAAAGGTGTGCTGGCATATAAGTCCATGCTTGTGGCGGCATAGGCTTAAATGGTTCAAAGAAGGCATATGAGCTGTTTTTGAGCGAGAGAACGGTTGCCAGCGAAGCGTCGGCCTGCTGGCACTAATCTCACCGGGCCGATCAGCCCCGTACGTGGCTCACAACTGTACCATTCAAGTTCGAAAATTCTTGAGCAGATCCTTCTGTACAATGGCGGTAAATTCACCAGCATATTGAAACGCGTTTCCAATACAGATCTGTGCACCTCGTGCAGTTCAGTCTGATCATCTACGCGTCCTATAAGCTATGTCACTCTCGGAGACGTTCTGCAGGGAAGGCGCAATCTCCTTCATCCATTGCACCTGGCTCACGCAAATGGAGAAACTCCGAAGTCGGATTGGCCACTAGTGTTTTCTGTCTGCTATGGGAAAAATCTGGGTCCTGAGACTTAGGACGGTGATCCTCGGCCTGTCAATGTTAGAATGCAGACGTCGTGATCGCTCTCGATTCCTCTTCAGCTTGTCCCAACCTCGCTCACCTCGGTGAGTTGTATTGTCCATAGGGGAATCTGCATGCTCGGACCGCTCTCTGGCTTGTCTCCGGTCAGCTATTCACATCTTGGATTAGATATTCTCCGGGGCTTTTTGCACACCAAGTGCGGCATCGGGTCGTGCATCCATCGCGTATTCTCTCCTCGTCGAGGAGCTCGTGAGACATACTTCGGAGGCTCCTGATATCACCTTGAACAGCCTCGACTATCCATGTTGTCGGGTAGCTTTCCGGATAGGTGCAAATATACGAAGGAAGGGGCGATACGGATTCGGTTAATGCATACAGTAAGACTTCCAGTCAATTGAGCATGCATCACGTCTGTACGAGAACATCCGCATCTGACATCTGCATTGATGCATGCTAAGGCTTAGCGCTTAGCCCTAATCTCTTTCAAGCTGCCCGATACCGCCTTCACGTTCCTCATCGGGAGATCTTATACTATGAGACATGCATTCGTCTCTCTCGCAACTTCAAGCACACCAGGTACCTCGTCTGTCTCCTGACATCGCTGACAGAAAATCAAGGACTCGTTCACCGGGGACCAACGGCTTCCGGCTGCGACCAAGAGCGGGCGGCATGTTAGTCCGGAACGCATCGCGAGTTGAGACGGTGGTGCCGATAGCACTGTTGCAAGGACTGAGTAAGTCATGTCTACTCTCCACGGTCCCGTGAGTCCTGTTCACGGTATTTCGCTCCTTATCCAATACCCTACGTCTCCGGCGGGACCGAGACCAAAGCCGTGGGTCAATTTGCCATGCCAGATGAACAGGACCCTCTTCGGAATAAAGCATATGAAGCGTTGATGCCTGCGAATCGCGGCGAGTAGCCTTCTCCCTGTCATGTTTGCCATCGTCGTGCAGTCTACTCGCTTGCAAGCGCATGCTGCATGGCAGAGACGTGTAGTGTAACGCAGTGGAGGTGTAGCAGCGTGCTCGCATAATAATTCTCATCTTAGAAATGCACTTCGGAACTGCAGGCAGCTGCCGAGTTGCCCCCCTTCCAGCAGAGTCTCAGATGATCTAACAGCTACAAGTGAAGCAACAATAGCGCTCATTACTGGCTCTGCAGCGTATTCCTCTAGCAACGTCGATAGCATTCTTGGTCCCTATTTCAAATCAGCTTTTCTGCAATCGACCAATTGCCAAAACGTTTGTATAGATATCGACTTCCTAGGTTTTCTACAGAATTCAATCTGAGGTAATCTGCAGTGAGAAATGTTGTGCGGTCGGAGCGTAATAAAATTATTTTTGAGTTTGTTAGGGCTTCTCAGACGCTATGATCAGGGATCTGCACCTTGCTGATGTATGGGTCGGCGAAACGTGATGGAGACAGACATGCTTTTATTTAACGATGGGATCGTTTGTACGATACAATGATAGCTATAGTGGTTCTCGGAGCAAGAAGAATACAGATGATTGATGGCGGGAAAATCGGTACGAATACATAGCTTTGACAACGACTCGAAGGGAATGGCAAATACTACGAATCAATCTCGACCTAATTGATATCCTGAGTCAACACGTAACGATAGCGCACCTTGTTGTGCTTCACTCCTTCAAGGGCCTTTTTGACGTCCTTCATGGGCAGCTCCTCAATCCACGGTTTCACTTTCTTTGCCCTCGCCAACTCCAACATTTCCAAGCACTCCTTCTTACTTCCTACCTTGCTGCCGCCGAGGAGGCAGCCGTTGGAGGCGAGTTGGAAGGGATGTATTGGAGGCAACGGATTGTTGGCGTCTGGGATGCCCACGGTGATGAACTTTCCGTGGACAAACAGCATAGAGAGGTACGCGTCCAACGGACTGTCTGGTTGGAAGACGTCGCGAGTAGAGACGATGAGGTCAAGAGTATCCGCCAAGGGCTATATATGGTAGTCCTGATGAACGTTTGTGCCTGTCAGAATGTCTAGGAAGAGACTAGATACCCAAGTTCGCACCTTTTCCTCGGTATTGACTATGTGATCAGCGCCCATCTTCTTGATATCCTCCATCTTGCTCTTGTCGTGCGTGAAGGCATAGACCTCGGCACCCATTGCTTTGGCCCACAAAATTGCGTAATGTCCAAGCCCTCCAATACCAACAACGCCGATCTTCTTTCCCGGCCCTGCACCGTAGGTTCTCAGAGGAGAATAGACCGTCAGACCGGCACAGAGCATTGACGCAGCGTGACGCGACTCGATTCCATCTGGAATGGGAAAGACGAAACGCTCGTGTGCTCGAATGGCAGTGGAATATCCCCCGTGGGTGATTACGCGATCCGGATATTCGCTATTCTATATATGCGGCAGGAAATGTGATAAATACGGCGCATATAGTCACCGAATACGCACGTAGGTACTGATACTATCCGGACAATAATTTTCGTAGTCGGACTTGCACCGCTTGCACTGGAGGCAGCTGCCGACCTGTGCGCCGACGCCAACTCGGTCGCCCGGTTTGAACTCCGTGACCTTATCGCCGACGCGAGTGACCTTTCCGACGATCTCGTGGCCAACGACGAGAGGCAGATTGCTCTCTCCCCAACCTTGGGTGAGCGTATGGATATCAGAGCCGCAGACACCGCAATGGGTGATGGCAATCTCGACGTCCTCCGGCTGGAAAGTCTTGGGCTTGAGGATAGTCACCTTGAGATCACTCCAGAAGAAGGGATCTAGTTGAATATAGAATAGATATGTCAGTATATGCGATTGAAGATGAACGAAAGGGCCACTGGCCTGTCAGAGCATAACCTTTGGATTCGACTTGAGATGACACGATGGTGGGAAGAAAGAGAGTTGGAAGTCTGGTCTATGTCAGCGCGCAGGGTTTATATATCCTTCGCCATTGTGGAATGACGTCGTCCGGTCCTACCGATGACGTCGTACATATTGACAGGTGAAGGAAATGTGAAGGAAGCGAGACGAGCGACAGAAATAGGCAATCAATGAGCGCTCCATCCACTTTGGGCTGCCGTCGTCGCGACCAAAACGTTGGCGAAAACTGGAAGGTTACATTCAAAGCTTCCAAGCTAGCCGTTCGTAGAAATGGTGTCGGTATGCGTACGTTATTACTGACCCGTTCACATGAAGTTGTCACCGACTGAAAATTTGAAGATTTCATTGCGAGCGTAGTAACCGAGTCATTCACCTACAGCATGTGCAATAGCAACACATAGAGGCCTTGCAGTTGTCCAGGAACATAGCCCCGAGAATGAGGACGAGGACTGAGACTCCGACGGCTGAGATGGTACTGTCACATTCACATGACCTTCTGTCACGCGTTCAAGCTCGTGTTTTGAAATACCGTGCTCAGAGAGCAACAGCGCGCGTTATTAATATTGTTACAACAAGCATACAGACAGTTTAATGCTGACGGGTATTGATAATGGATACACACTTTCAAAACAAACTTGGAAAGGAACAGGCAGTTGCGGCGCGAGAAAACCTTGTCTAGTTGATATCCTGAGTCAATACGTACCGATAGCGCACCTTGTTATGCTTCACTCCTTCAAGCGCTTTCTTAACGTCCCGCATCGGCATCTCCTCGATCCAGGGGCGCACATTCTTCGACCGCGCGAGCTCCAGCATCTCCAAGCACTCCTTTTTGCTCCCAACATGACTACCACCCAGGAGACAACCATTCCCGAAATCAAAGGGATGAAGCTGAGGCAAAGGGTCGCTGGCGTCCGGAATTCCGACCGTGATAAATTTGCCATGGACGAAAAGCATAGAGAGGTATGCGCTCAGCGGAGTGTCAGGTGAATACACATCACGCGTGGAGATAATGAGGTCGAGAGTCAACGCCAAGGGTTTGTGGAAGTCCTGTCAGCGATACGATAGCAAAGACCGGTCAGACAGTGGTGAGGCAGAAAAAGAATCGAACACTAACCGTCTCTTCGGTGTTAATGATGTGGTCAGCTCCCATCTTCTTGATATCTTCTATCTTGGTCTTGTCATGGGTGAAGGCGTAAACTTCCGCGCCCATCGCCTTCGCCCACAAAACGGCGTAATGTCCGAGTCCTCCAATGCCGACAACGCCGATCTTCTTCCCCGGTCCTGCGCCATACGTTTTCAAGGGAGAGTAGACGGTGAGACCTGCGCAGAGCATGGTTGCGGCGTGACGGGACTCGATACCATCTGGAATAGGAAAGACGAAACGCTCATGAGCCCGGATAGCAGTGGAATATCCACCATGGGTGATGACGCCGTCAGGATATTCGCCATTCTGTGTGCAGGAAGGAAATATGTAAAAACAGAGCGCATATAGTCACTCAACACGCACGTAGGTGTCGATGCTGTCCGGACAATAGTTCTCGTAGTCAGACTTGCACTGCTTGCACTGGAGGCAGCTGCCGATTTGTGCGCCGACACCCACTCGGTCGCCCGGTTTGAACTCCGTGACCTTGTCGCCGACGCGAGTGACCTTTCCGATGATCTCGTGGCCAACGACGAGAGGCAGATTGCTCTCTCCCCAACCTTGTGTGAGCGTATGGACATCAGAGCCGCAGACACCGCAATGTGTAATGGCAATCTCGACGTCCTCCGGCTGGAAAGTCTTGGGCTTGAACGCGGTCACTTTAAGATCGCTCCACAAGGAGGGATCTAGTCAATTGTAGTATAGATATGTCAGTATACGGGGAAGACGAACGAGACTACTGTTGACCTGTCAGAGCATAGCCTTTGAATTCGAGTGAAGGCGACATGATGAGGGGAAGAAAGAGAGTTGGGAGCCGGGTCTGCGATAGTACGTCCGGGGTATATATCCATCGCCCTTGTGAATGACGTCGTGTGGTTATGTCGATGACGTAGCACAGATTGACACATGAAGCTTGAAGAGAGAATACAGAAACGGGCAAACCTCCTTCCTACTTTGGGCGATAATTAGTATTCATTGCCGTAGCCAATATTTTGCGGTCAGGCCAGTTCTCCAACTCTAATTATGGCTAGCAGTGACCTACCCACGGGCGTATTCATTGCCGCGGAAGAGGAGTTCAGCACGACAAAACGGACGAATAACGGAAGATGTGCGAACGCGCAAGAGGCCGGTGTCAGCTTCTACATGCAATTTTGGCACCGCTTCGGGCAAAACCCCCAGAAGTACATACACCGCTGAGAGCACCGAATTTTCCCTTTGCTAAAATCTGGGAGAAATTTTGGTGTGTTTTCATCTGGAGCGCCGGTAAATTAATGCGTCGCTATTTGCCCCCAAATTTCAGCAAGAGGGAAATCCGCGGCCGGCAGTGTGATATGTACCATGAGCAGATCCACGGGTACTCTATGCAGACGTTCATGCCGAGGCACGAGTGACGAACTCTGCGCGATTTGGTCAAGCTGCATTAAACAAGAAGGTGAATAGACCTCAGAGTCGCTCTTCGCGTGAGGGAGGGGTTCAGACATATGCTCGCATCGTTGCTCATCGGCCTTGCTCGTTCGAGATATCAATGCCCTATCAGCTCAGGCTGACCAGGAGCGTCTGGTGTTGGCGACAGGATTGAGACCACGATCCGAACTGGATGCGGCGGAGGAAGAGTTCGGGCAAGTGGAAGGACGTGGCTCAGGAGGCGCTTGCAATATTCACTCTGGAAATAACGGATGGGCTAGATGTGAGTAGTTTAGAGTACCCACTCGATTCCCGACCGTCTCTCGCGACAACTTGAATAAAGCGGCAGATCCCAAAGTATCGCTGCACGGCAGAATCACACTGCCAGATATGTGGGTAAGTACTGGCGGTGACTGTCTGCAATAGAGGTAGTCATTGGCATCCATCGCGAATTAACCGGCATATTCATTTGTGTGTGATGCTAGAGCGTCCCCAGTTCCATGACGGACCGATTGTCCCCCAGCACGCTCCTGAACCTGGTCAGACTCGAGAGGAAGGGACGGTGCGAGATAGGCAGTGTCTTGGACCTCCTGCTGGACAGCCTCTTTAGCAAGCTGCTACCAATGAGGGAGGTATACTCACAGTAGTGGAATTGTGTACACCTTTTGGCGAGACGGTAGCTGGAACTTGAGGCACACACTCCTGCGATGGTGCCGCATTCAGTTACGCGCTCTCTAGCACCGGTGGAGAAGCCATGGTACTACTCACGGTAGACCCCGTGCGCTCGCCTTCAGGTTTAAGGAAAATCGCGGGCAGCCCAATACTATCGATTTTGTCGAGTATGGCGGCAATCTCAGGAGGTATTACTAGTGAACCACGACGTTCTCTAGAACGCAAATACTCTGAGATGATTCTGAGGTCGTCTTCAGCAGCCTCCTCCTTCATGCTTGAGACAGATAGTGGGTAGAAGTTGGGAGACACAAATAATAATATTATGGAAACGTGGCGCAAGATAGCAAAAAGAAGCCCATCCAGGCGCGCTCGCCCAATGCGCGCCTATTATTTAAGAATGTAGACGCCCGACCGTTCAAAGACCTTTCGACCCCTCACAATCAGGATGGCGTCGACGTCTGATTCTGTTTGAATCCTCATCACTGATTCCACCTATTTCATGACGGCGATGGATGCCGTTCTATCAAAGCTCCGGCGAAGGGCTCGGGAGCATCCGCACAATAAGCAGCTGCAGGAGCTCTTGTCTCGTTTATCTCAATTGCAGTCTCACACCGGACAATCAGACTTCAATCCTGATGACTGGAATGTTTTGAAGGACTATTTTGACAGATTGACCTCGGAGGGGATATGGGACCCTCGGGAGGGCGAATCGCTGTTGGATGATCTGCGGACGAACCTGCATAGCCGACAGTACAGACCGTCCGACGCAGATGCTACTGACCTTCACACCCCTCCGTCATTCACGGAGGCAGCAAGGTCAGAACTTGGGGCTGCGGAGAGGATCTCCATAGTCATGCCGCCGCCAATATCGACACCGCTTCTCCCCATATCCGCCATTAATACAACCGTGCTCCCGATGGAGCTCGTGGACACGCTAAATCAGGTCTACTTCCTCCATCTCCTCGCAACCGATCCGGATAGTGTCCTCCCGCCAGGGAAATCACTCCTTTCCGTCATGTCTCGTCCGTTGCAAAGTGCAACCCAAGGGCAACTGCCCAGCTTGCAGGAACGCGTCGAAACTCTGGTGCACAAGGCGTTCTGGGACGAGGTGCGCTGCGCTGCCACCTGCCGTCTTATGCCTTAATACTAAGGGATTTCCATGCCGTCATGACAGGCGCTTGAGGCTCTTGCGAGTCCTGTTCCGTCCGTTGAGGTGCCTCGGCTGGAGAGACTGTACGAGGACCTGTACGACGCGCTCAAGCCGCTGCTTCCTTCGGAACACCCGATTTTAATAATGCTGTCATCTCCCTTGTCACCGACGTCTTCGCCTCTCCGCTCCGCCATCGCCCATCTTCGCGAGACTCTCGCTTGCCTGCGCGAACGCTGCGCCCCTGCCCGCGACGCCCACATCGACTCCCTCATACTGAGGCTCGACGATGTGTCGTCGATAATGGCCTCTGCAGGCATGGCAAAGCTCGTTGTAGATACCGTACGTGCGATGCTCAAGCTCGCGGAAGACATGAAGGGGGACCTCTCGCAATTTGTGCTTGGCACGATGGGCGAGGCACAGCTACGCGCCATCGTCACCGCCGAGGCCCACGAACGCGAGCGCGCGCTCGTTCTCGAGCTGTGGCCTCCGCCACGCGTGCACGAGCTCTGGCAGCAGTGGTGTGTGCGTCCCCTACCACCTGACTTCGAGGCCGTTGCAGAACATGCTCCCCATGCTGCCTGGATTGCCCAGCTTGTGCACGCGCTGGGGTCGACTGTGCCCGTCTCCTGTCCGATGCCGACCGTGCCTCTCCCGTCGTCTTCCCCTCCCGAGCAAGAACCACCGAGGGAAAACGTGCTTCCGCCACCATTATTCTTTGTCTGCCCGACCCTCTTGTACATACAGAACGTCCTCCAAGCCCTCATTATCGCCGCTTCGCTCCGCTCTCTCGTCCGTCTCCCCTCTTCACAAACCACACTCGCTACTGAATTCACCACGCGCATCTGGGCGCTCCTGAAGGCCGAAGTCGACGAAGAGCCCGGCGCAGGCGCGACCAAATTGGTCAACCTCGCCGACGAGGCCGTCCGCGTCCGCCGTCTCCTCAGCGAGGGGGAGTCTGTCGATGCGGACGAGGAGGCGCGCTTGCGTGCTGCAGTCGACCGTACGCTTCAGCCGCACGATCCTGTTTTCATCCTCTTGCAGAAGCGGCTGCTGCATGCGATTGCTGCCCGACTATGTGCCCCGCCGCCTTCACGTGAGAAGACGGCGGCGTTGCCAGAGCGCCTACAAGCTGGACGGGGGCAGGCAGGGACCCGACCACGGATTGATTTTCGTGTCGATCATGCCGGGGCTACTCAGGACGAGAATAGTTTCCAGGAGTCTCCTTTAATAGCCAAGGGCTTCGAGGACCAGGTTCTCGTCCGAGTGGTTGGAGATGCGCTGACGAAACTTAGATCGTGTGTTGAATGGACTGAACAGACGTGGAAAGATTTGATAGAGAATGAAGTATCGGCCACTGCAGCGTAATGATATTACTGTGTATCAAACAAGACTTCACTGTATCCACGCAGAGGAAACGCTCTAAAATGTTTATTGTACGATACATTTCTGATAGTCTACCGGGACACTGAATTAAAGTACAACTCGAGCAATTACTACGACAAGTCCTCCGTGATCGAGTTCTGAGTCCGAAACCAAGTCCGCGTCCAAGTCAAAGTACGTCGTCAAGTCCAAATCCAGCCCACAACGGAGTCTGAGCCGTAGGTACAGGATTAAGCCGATTCTAGGTGGCACAGTCAAAGTCAAAGTCGAAATGCGAGAATCATGTCGTCCGAGGCTGACATGCGGGAGTCAAGTCGCTTTCGTCTTTTTCCTTCCGGCCCGCTTCGAAGCTGCTTCGGAGAAGATGCTGCCATCCAACACACGTCGGATGTCTTCCTTCTTCATCATGCCATCTTCGGGCCATAGAAAGATGTAGATGGAAAGCCCTGAGTGGAGATTGAATCGACAGCTCCCGCAGGTTTACACAGTCCACTCACATTCGAAGAACGCGCCGATCCAACCGGTAAAGTCCATGAGCAAACGCTGTCCCTTTAGAGCTTTCAACACGTCTTCCATCGTCAGACCGTCCTTGCCGTCCGCGTACTTGGAAAAGAAGTCTTCAAACCTGCGCTGATAGATAAGTTTCGATTCCGACAAACTATGGCATAGTGATAGCTTACTTCTGCGGGATAAACCGACCCTCATTGTCAAAGATGCCGGAATCGCTGCCGTGCTTCGCCTTGTGGATATTCTTGAGATGCAAGCGGAAGAACGGGTCGGGCAGATATCCAGGGACCGTTGCGTACGAGAAGCTGGCATGAATGATGAACATGGCGGTGACGCTCAGTAGAATGTTGAAGCCGAGATCGTGGAAACCGCGGTAGGTATCCAACGGCCAGACTATGCTGTCATTGTCAGGGTCAAAGAAATCGCAATGTTGCTGCAGGACCGTCTGCTTGGAGTGATCTGACGCCCACTTGTTCGACTGGGTTCCACGCGGCTGGTCAGCGGTAGCGGCGAGATTTGCACGTCCGGTTCCTGCGAGACGACATCTCTCAGATGCAACTTTCAGGATGTTGAATCCTAACTTACCGGGATTGACGAGCTTGCCTGAGTTGACAGGGTTGTAGAGCGGTCTCTCCACGGTGACTGGCTGGGCGGGGATCGCAGTCTGCACCGCGGTATTCTGCTGTTGCATGTTCGATATAAGCTGCAGTACGTGGGGGTTCAAGTTGAACCAGTGCTGGCGAGTAGGAGGACTTTATATATGACTGGCTGTCATTGCGCGTCACCAGCTGTCAGACGGTGTCACATAAGAACGGCGAGCGGGCGCAAGACACGAGTTAGTTTATACCTCGACAACATTTATGCACCTTTATTCTGAGGAATGAGCGCTGCCGTGGATATGGCAGAGCAAAAGACAAGTATTAGCTCCAGACCCGGCAACCGCAAACCAACCATTCAATCGGTGCGCGCGATTTCCAATATTGATATAACGAACCCGTCAATTGAACCTCCATAAGAATACTCTACATTTCGTGACGCGATGCGGTGATGTATATAAGGACGCACCTGTTACTTGTGTGAAGTCAAATGACCGCAAAGACAGCACATACTGGGCATGAGTTCCGTACAAATTGTGTGTATGAAATACCCTCTCAGCAACGCTGTAGCGGTCAAAGCGCTTGAATCATGATGGAGGTGCAAAGTCTGTGGGTTCAATGGAGTCACCAACACGACTGGTAACTCACAAGATCGTTATCATCTAGTCCTCCTTGTCTGCAGAACGTACCTTCCGCGGTCGGGGACACAAAAGTTGGAAGACGAGAATGCCAATCTCCTTTCAAATTCAATGCTTGCAGATATCCTAGACAGTCGAGTTGGGAGTCGAGACGAATAACTCCAGGCTGAGATTGATGCGATGCGCCATAGATGCGATTACACCCTACGATGAAATTCTGGAGATGTCTCCGCCGTATATTGGACCCATCATCTCCAAATATATGCCGCGCATTGAGAGACAAAAAGCAACGGAATTATAAACGCGCTAGGTGACATGTCCTGAGCCCACTTGCGTGGGGCGAAGGCGGATATCGTATTGTAAACATTGTAAACAGCTCGCCAGGGAAGTGCACGTGATGTACAAACATGGAAAGCGATGTATTCACGGTGGCGTCGAGGAATTCAGACCTTCTCTCGTCCCTCACTGTTTCAGCTTGTCAGAACACGTCCGTGTTGCATACATTGCAGGTCATTTGAGCTAGCTCACCGGGCAAGAGCGTACATTGCGGTTCGACCATTCCGTGGATGAGATGCCCCGGCGAATTGGAGACATTGACGGCGACTCAGATTCCGATGTATCCATTTTTGACGACGCTGAAGGGGTGACACGTGGGAAAGGGAAAGGGAAGGGAAAGGCTATCGATCGACGGAAGAAGAACAAAGGAAAGGGCAAGGCTAAGGAGGTGAGCACCACGGTGTCTGTCTGTTTGTCATAACGCTAGACATGATTCCTGAACTAGCAACCGTATGCATGGGAGGCATCATACACTCGATCTTGGGATACTGTGCAGGAGGACGAAGCGGGAAGTCTTCAAGGCGCTGTTGAAGATCTAATTGCGCGAGGTAGACGCAGACGGTAAGCATATTTCTTAATTTCACGGTCTTTCGTCCTTACAGCGAGTAGACTACTGGCCCCGGCTGCCGCTATTCGACGCTCTATTATCCGTCACCTTGTTCTTCTGCTTGACCTCTCCTCAGCTATGATGGATCGCGACATGCGGCCGACGCGCTTTGACTTGATGCTGCAGTACACGCGTGACTTCATCAACGAGTGGTTCGACCAGAATCCTTTGGGACAGATCGGTATTGTGGGGATGAGAGGAGGGATTGGTGAGCGAATTGAAGAGATGTCTGGTACGTCCTCCACGTCTCCCAAGTACACAGGCGATAAACCGTCGTTCTGCTTGGCAAGGCAACCCGCAGGAAATCTTGAAGGCCATCTCCGAGAGACACAAATTGGAGCCCGCAGGTGAGCCAAGTCTGCAAAATGCAATCGAGATGGCACGAAGTAGTATGAGGTATGTATCGCCTACTCCTCCTGACCTATCTCTAACATGCCTAGCCATCTCCCAACACACTCCTCCCGCGAGATACTGGTCATCTTTGGTTCTCTGACAACCTGCGACCCCGGAAACATCCACGACACACTTGACGAATGCGTCAAGGATCGCATCCGCATCTCGATCGTCGCGCTAGCCGCTGAAATGAAAATTTGCAGAGATCTCTGCGAGAAAACTGGGGGTGGGTAGCAGCTTCTCTCCCAACTGACACATCCTCATCGTCAAGGTAGGCCAGTTTGGTGTTGCCCTCAACGAAGGTCACTTCAAAGATCTGCTGTTTGAACTGATCCCTCCACCGGCTCAACGTGCCATGACGCGCACTGCAAGCGGCACACCCTCTAACCCTGCCGCGGACCTCATGATGATGGGCTTTCCGACGCGTCTGCCCGATACCTCACCGCCGACTCTCTGCGTGTGCCACTCTCAGCTGAAGAGCGAGGGCTTCTTGTGTCCCCGCTGCCTGGCGAAAGTGTGCGACGTGCCGACGGACTGCGACATCTGTGGTTTGATGATCGTGAGCTCGCCGCATCTTGCACGGAGTTACCATCATCTTTTTCCGGTGAAGCCCTATCAAGCCATGTATGTGTACTCTCCGCTTTTACATACTTGGAACCACTGTTGATTTTTCCGCACAGCATGTCACTTGAAGACTCGATGGACATAACTTCAACGTGTCATGGTTGCGGTTTGACGTTCCAGACGGCGGGCAGTGGTGGCGTGACGGAGGGCATGAGCCCTCTCGGTCGATATCGTTGTCCAGAGTGTCACAACGACTTCTGCGCAGATTGTGATGTGTTCGTCCATGATGTTGTCCACTGCTGTCCCGGTTGCGGGAAGTGACAATTGATTTTCGTCACTTCCTTAGTCTTGCTTGTCTTTCTTCCTTGGTGCATCGGATCCTCCAACACGGGTGATATTGTCTAAATGATAGTATGGGTATGGTCTGAAAAACGAAATGGTATCACCAGTGACGACATACAACTTTTCCCCAGGGCGTGTCCTTCACAAACGGCTGTGTCCGATACTTCATTGCGCGATGAAGCAACATGAGTGGGTTGCGTCCTCGAGATGCAGGACGATTCCAAATAACAAATGATACAGTATGAGAGGTCCGATGGTACGTGCGACGACAGCATAAGTAAGAGAAGGTCGGACAATAGCATGCATGAATGCGGAATCACTCGAAGGGATTTGTGCGACCAGCCTAGGGGAGTTGGGGGGAAAAGCTCATATCACTCGCTACATAGAAAGGTCGACAAAGACGTACCTGGTGCTCACCACCTCGGTCTGAGCCCTCGCTACACCCGCAAAGCCATTCCGTCCACCACCGCACTGGCGGTTCATCTTCTTGCACTGTCGGGGGTGGGGTCAATGTTGGCGTAAGAGTAGGTTCGGGCGGCCGGTTTGCGTGAGGTGGTGAATTTGGCGGTGGTGGCGTACGCGGACGGGGTAGATTCAATGATTGCGGCGGCGGAGGCTTTCTCGTGGAAGACAACGCTTGCAACGTTGGGTGTTCGGGGGCGGGTGTTGCCGAGACACCGCCTTGCTCGCCGTGGAGGGGCGAAACGGACGTAGATTCGGTCATGATTGCGGATTGTGTGGGCTCGTTGAGCGAGGTGGTAGAGGCGGCGGGGGTTATGAAGGGATTTTCCACAAGCTCAAAAGACGTGCGGGTAGACGTTCCCGGGCTTGGGCTGGCTTCAATGTCGTCTAATGGGACGCCGTCGTCCGTCGTTCGCAGCTCACGGTGCGCTCCGAGGGCCATGGAAGCTTGTGTCATTCTCCTGCTTGGCCAGAGCAGACTTGCTTTCCGGGTGATGTCGCCTACTAGCGTGGTACCGCTTGATGACGCCGCATTGGTGTTCTCGCGCGCAGCTTTCCGCCGTTGACGTTCGGCCATTTCCCACAGTCGTAGATTCTGTTTTAAACGTAGGCAAAACATCGGCATACCGACAGACGCAAGCAAATACGGCGCACCTCTTCAACTCTTCGTGATTCTGCTTCTTCGTCGTTCACTGGTGGATACTCGTCCACGGAGGTAGATGCCCCTTCGGAAAACGCATCCTCTCCCTCGTTCGCGTATAGTGTCTCTGGTGCTGGTTCGACCTCGACCTCCCTCTCCTTTCCCCTTCTCACAGCGTCACTGCTGCTGGAGTGTACCATGGATGTTTCTTCGTCCTCCCACGGGCGGGCTCTGCTGAGATCCTCTTCGACCGGTGAGGGTGGTAGAGACGGGAGTGGTTCAGGGTTACTCATGGCCCGAGCGCACGGTGATGGTGTGCGGCGAAGGAGGACGATGTATTGACGAGCCGAAAAGTGAAAGTTAGTTACTACGGAGCCCAAACCCACGGTGCTCAAACGAGGAGCAGGTGATTACCATATGTGGAATGTGTGCTGTCAACGAGTCCTACACATCGGATCCGGCGGCTAATTGCGTCGTTGGTACAGTAGTGGGTGCGTGAAGAATCAATATTATTACAATAACTGGGAATACTACTGCTGAGTAGATGCGTATGGTGCAGGTGTATATGGGTTAGTCCAATTATTCGAAGCTAGATAACAAGTCCCATCATGATTCCTAGGCGAGAGGGAACGAACGGCAGCTGGTGGGCTGGAGGGAGGCCGGAGGAGCATGACTTCAAGCTATATTCAATGCATACCGGGCAGACTCCTGTCCGGAACGCGTTGGATGATCACGCTCTCGCTGCTGCCAGACGCATCGTCCGAGATGTGGTAACGAAGCCCGCTGCTCTTGCTCGCCCCCTGCTGTGCGGAGGATTGATATTCCTCGTCTCCCTTGGGGATGGCTGCATTATCCAGATACATTGTCGAGTTCCGTGCGCTCTCCTGCAATTGTACGATGTTTTGGCGGTACGCATTCTGCGGCCCGAAGTCAGTGAAGCGGAATTATAAACGAATATATGGCATACCTGTTCCTGATAGTACTGTAAACGCTTGCTGCGCTCAGCTTCGCGCTCTTTCCTGTGCACAAAGTACAAACCGACCAGTGTCCCGATGACACCTATAGCTCATTAACCATAGTGCTGTCCAAGCGTTCCGATGAGCCACTTACCTATGAAGATGAAGACGGCCACGACGGCGTACACCCACTTGCCCACGTCCTTCGCGGCGTCTGCACGGTTACCGCAGATACCGGACGCGAGGCAAATATATGTGGAGCATCTAAACACAAACCCCATAAGCCCCACCTGTACCTTGGTGCGATACATGAGGCTGCTCACTCCTTGTCGGCATCACACGCTTCACCTTGGGCTCTTGATTGCATGCATGTCAGGCTCTGAGAGTCGCAATACAGCCCTGGTCGGCAGTTGCCTCTGTTCAGACCTTGTCAGCTCGGAAGGGTTGTGGGATCAGCAACCGCATACCGAGAAACGATGTTCGCGACCTGCCTGTCCTTTGCGAACGCGACGAAGACTGTGTTTTGTACTACACAGGACTGCCCCTCGGTTACGTTCGCCCACCTAATAACCAAACAACGAAATCAATATGTGTTTCGGAGACTTCAGCATCAGTGTGGAAAAAAACAGGATGATAGGTTCACAACCTGATAGCATTGCACGAAGGGATGTGTACATCTATCTCACAAGATGCATACAGGTTCGCAAACACTCATCGCACCACTTATGTCGCGACCACTTCTACCAAATCTGGGTGAAGGGAGAAAAGATACGCACAGGCACACATTGTTTAGACACACCGAACCGTTGACGTTCAGACCGAAACCAGTCGTGTCCGCGAGATCTTCCCAGTCAGGCGGCCCCTCGCACTCATCTGTGACACACCGTGAGATGCACAGCCGCGCGCAGGAGTTGCTGCGCAAGGGTGAGAATAGCTACCGTCTCTGTTGAACTGGCACGGGCTGCCGACGGCCAAAACGGGCAAGCATTGATCCTGTTCGTCCGGGCAGAACGTCCCCTTACTACACATCGGCGGTATGTCGCTGCTCGTGGTGTACCCGAACGGAAAGATGTCTTTCCTGCAGCCCTTCAGGTCACATATCTGGGACGAGTTGCAGTAGGTGACCGAGTCGCAGTCGGACCTGAATTGGTACGTGCCCGCCTCCAGCGTTTGGTTCGCGAGAGAACATGGCTGGTTGTGCTGCGTCTTGCCCGCACGCGCCCCCCAGAGAAGGAGAAAAGTCGGGAGGAACAACATCGTCGGAAAGCTGAGTAGACTGGATGCAGAGGCAACCCGGAGGAGAGTACACACCGTGACAAGTCACAACAAATATACACGATGAGGCTCGCGCCCGCCACGTGCTACGCGCCTTTCGATCTGGATCTGGAAGTGATCTCGACTGCCAAGCAATATTTCGTTTCCGACAACTTCTGCACTGAAATATGGTATGCAAATGATCACAGACGAATCCTTCTAAGTGGAGGTTTATGGCTGAACCCAACCTTAGTCGCTATAGCTGTTTGTTGACTGAGATTCCTGAATTGCCTCTTCCATCATGCTCGCCTCTCGCGAGTCCTGTACAACGCAGATCGCAAACAACCAGACATTCAATAATGTGCGCAGTAGCCAGATGCAAAGACTAGGGACGAGAATGGGCAAATATCATCAACATTGTATCCCCTGAATTTACAACCGGTCAACGAGCATGAATGCGGTGTCTGAGTACAGTTATCATCAGCTCATATCAAAAACTCTGAAGGGCAACAAGCATACACACCACGAGAATGCCTGCATGGGGAATTCGTGGATCTTCACCGTAACAACCTTCCTCTCAGATAACTCAGGACACCGATCGTCAATGTATGACAGCAGCTTGCTGTCATCTCCCGTGCCACAAATTTCTAACTTCCGCAGGCCGAGAGGTCTCTGACATACCGCCCTCTCTATCATTTCCCAGTCTAAAATACACAAATCATCAAAGCGGGCACAGGTCAGCGTCCGCACTGTGCACTCTGAGTCCAGCGCGCGGAGATCCCTCATATCGTCATTGAACACGGAGAGACTGATCGTCTGGAGATCGGGAGAAGAGAGCTGGGCGACAAGAGGAGGGATCCAACGGAGCGACTGGTTCTCCGGAACACACATCTCGCGGAGGTGGAAAGACAAAGCGCAGGTCTTCAATGCGGTGCAGGGTTCCAAAGTGAACTCCGTTCTACCGAGGATGCCTGCGGAAAGCGCGTCAAAAAAGGTGCGGAGGACAAGCATGTAAGCTAAAAATCATACGGTCGAGATGCGTGTTCGAATCCACGGAGATCCTGAGATGTTTGAGCGTAGGGCCAAGGACTTGTAGCATCGTCTCCAACAGTACCGCGTCTTCTACTTCTTCGATATAAAATGCAAGTGATTCGAGCGATGAATTAGTGAGAAGCCATGTGAGGAAAGGCGGAATCATGTTAAGTCCTAGCGAACGCATTTCTAGAGAACGGAGGCCAAGGGGCTCATGTTTGCCCAAAGGTACGTCTACCATTCTAAAGTAGGGGTCCTCCAGGCAGAGATCCCCTAGATGCGGGAACGCGTGCAAGAACTCGACGAATAGGGCATGGTCTTCAAAGATACACTGGGTCATGTCCAGTCGCGTTACCGTGGAGCCGAGAGTTTGCGGCGATACGTAGAAACTCCGAACAACGATAACCTTGCTCAAAATCAATTGAGATACTGCAGGCAGATGCGTCAGAAACGACGACGGCTCGCGTAACCATCGAGTTGATCTGTGGTCCGAGCTGCACAGTTCCAACGATGCGATGGCATGCCCGAGGTGGGGCGAGACAGATATGAGCTCGTCGAAGGAACGTGCCCTGCTCGCGTCTACTCGCGTCTCGCAGAACAGGTGGTAGCGTGCGGTGGGAAGCCATGAACGACATGCGAGAGCACACGCTCTGAGAGTAGCAACATCGTGGTGGAGGTGGTCGATGATTCGATCGCACATCTCTGGAGGGAGCCTTTTCGGACTCATGCCTAGTGACAAGCTATCAGTACTTGTACCGGGTTGGACTCCAAAATTTATAATTGATTACCTGCGTGTCAACTCGGGTGCTGCCGTACTGTGTAGTAAAAATGGGCCTTCCGACAAACAGTTGCTCAAGCAACGTTACGGACCTTACGGTAGGCAATTGCCAGTAGTAGGCTAACTTGATTACAGGTCGCGGTGCACGTGGATAGATAACCTGTTCTTGTGACACGACGCGTCGTGTAACGCGATTCACTACGGTCTGGCCAACAAGTCCTTGTAAATCAGCACGTCTACGCACGAGCAGTAACAGTCATTAATGAAATTACCAGGCCCTAAATACTACCTGTAGCTGTAGCACTAATACCTAAGATCATCTACTTCCATAAATATTCGGACTGTGGCCCCCAGCCGGTATTACTATTACCGTGTCTTGCTACGTTCCCAATCCTCAAACCCATCGTCCACAAATGCAGGGGAGTTCTCTGGCCGCGCAAGCGTCGCATCCGAGGATGTTGACTCGCGACGCTCATCGCCCTCTCCGCTATGCTCGTCTCTAATCATCGGCTGGTGCTCCTCACGCCCTCTTACGCTTGCTGGTCGCTCACGTCGGGCGAGCGGACTGCGGCGACCACCTTCGTCTTCCTCATCACTAGCGTCCCCGAGCTGCCATATCACCTCGTTCTGCTCTCCGTCTTCTTCTCGCAGTCCCTCCTCCTCGCCGCCTTCTGCTTGGTCGCCCTTGTTCCTTCTTGGCCGCGATGACAGCGGTACATGGTGACTATTATGTGCTCCGGGGCCCGTTTGATCTGGCTTCGTGAATGTTAAAAGCACCACACCGGATATTAGGATGATCATTGAGACAAAGATGAAGAACAGCGTCCAAGATTGGTATGCATCGACCTCGTCATTGAATATCTGGTTTGTAGAAGGAGAGTTAGTGATAAATTGGCAAGGGAGGACAAGGTTCCACGGACCAGGGAGTCAAGGAAACTGAGATTAATAAGGTCAGTGACATCTTGATGATGACGTGACAAGATGCTCACCCTGTAGCAGTATAGACACCATAGAAGACTGGTACAACCAGCGTGGAATCGTACACTTTGAGGGCGTGATTCAGGCAAATAATCTGTAGCACTGCAGTGACAGCGAGCAGTAGGAACGTGAAAATAGTCGATGCATGTCCAAACTGATTGCCGGTGTTCTCGTGGGACAGGCTGCCAGAAATCAGTTTGACGCTAGACGCACAAGTCAACACTGATCGTTGATACTTGAGAACGCAAAATGACTCACGAAGCCTTCGCGAAAACCAAGCAACCTCCAGCAAGCCCTCCACCACAACATGCCCACCCGATGCCTAATGTCCATGCAATCCTCTTGTCGTCATGCGGCTCCATCCACAACTCTAGCTTCTCTCTCAACCACATGATCGCTATCCGCCACACTGCTCCAATTTTCCCTAGGAAGCCTACCGCGGGAACGCGATTCATTCTCGCGCTCATGCCAACGAACGGCTCAGCACTGAGGTCAGAGCGCGCCTGAAGGACCTGGTCGAGCTGCGCGACGAAGATGTACACGGAAACGAGGGTGAATGACATGACGAAGAAGAAACCAAGCCAGTTGCTGCGCGTCCAGAGGTACGTCAGATGCGCAGCGTTGGTCTCTGTCCCGAGGCCGCTATTGATGGAACCAAAGGCTACGATTCCGATCACACCAATGATGACGACGATTGTACCCTGTTACGTGCGAATTTAGTTACCTCCAGCAATGTCGTGTGACGGACTGTACGAACATAAATGTCGTGCTTCGTAACAGGAGTGCTAACGAGGAACTTCGCGAATAGGAAATTGAAGATGAGAGACGTTGACCCAAGCGGTGCAACGTATTCTGCGAAAGAAGGTGGTCAGACAAGCTCTGGCTGACTGGGATGTTAGCGAACCGGCTCGCATGTATTCAAGAGCCAGTGTACTCCCAATGAGTTGTGACAGGCTGCACAGAAAATATATAAGGCGCGTAGCTTCGCATACTCTCAGTCACTCACATATACAAGATCATACCAAGCAGCCATAATGGACGTAACCAATCTCTCCGTCGGGCTGACTTCGGAATCGCACTCGTACGGACCTGAAAACACAATCATATACGCCGTAATATCACCAACAAACGTGCTCAAGCTCACATGGTCCAATTTCGTGAGATTAAGACCAGCAGCATTCAGAATGGAAGCTAAGATGATGATAGCGAGTCCGATGATGAAGGCTGCTACCGGGTTGCCGTGGCGCGGAGCGGGAACTGTGTCATCGGGGGATGCGACAGAGCTTGGGAGAGATGCCACAGTAGATGAGACTAGGGTAGAAGAATCCATGAACGCCCTAGTAAGAACTCCAGGAGGCGAAGGCCTTGAGCGTGACTGCGGGAGGCAGTTGTAGTCTTGACTTGGAAAACTAAGTACTGCATTATTTCCGTTAATGTGTAATTTATGTAAATTTTAACCATCATTTTCCCGATAAGCCCCAGTTGAGCCTAGCTGCTACTTGTTGCCCCACTCTGAGCTTCCCTTTGACAAGTACTGTGCACCATGTCTCAGTCCGATGTGGAGAAAGACTATGATGAACTACAGTCAGACCTCGAAGAGGAGGACTGCGGTGATGGCTTCCACGTTGGCGAACGTCTGGACCCTCCGCAAGCGCGTTTATACACTACTCAAGGTTTACACAGTACGCCAATTTGTCTGTCCTCAGTCCAATTCGCGCTCACCTGTCCTAGCCCTAATCCATGAAGGCGTTATCGACCTTAATCCCCCTTATCAGCGAGGTAAGTAGAAATGTTTGCACGTCTTGCAAACGGGGATCTACTCGATCTACGCGTGCAGGTCTCGTTTGGACGGAGCCGAAGCAGATGAAATTGCTTGACTCCATTTACCGCAACTTTTATGTGCCGCCTGTCGTGTTCGCGGTCTACAAGGACGAAGATGGGGAAGAAGTAATGAAGTGTGTAGATGGGAAGCAGAGGCTGACGTCGATCCAGAAGTTCTTTGACGGTCAGGTGTGTACATCTCAGGTTTGAGTGGCATGTTGGTAGATCTGGCAACACAGCAGGCTACATATACTGATTGATGAGCTTTGTTCGACTTTGTGCATGCTCTTCGGCTTGGTTCGTTGAGGGTGCTCGAATCATTCACTGACCCATTTTGTTTCTGCCAGATTCCATGTTAGTAATTCGCTGTTTATGTTCTACGGCGCAGTGTAGTGACTTCACTACCTAGACAGAGACCCAAAGACAAAAAAGACATATTGGTATACTCGTCCAGAGTCCTACAAGACGACACGACTAGAAGTACCTCCCACATGGAAGCAAGATTTCGCGTCTAAACAGATTACATGTGGTGTGTGCCTTTACAGCTCTTCGGCTATATGTCTGGAGTTCACCTTGGCTCCCAGTCCAGTATCGCAACCTCTCAAAGTCCTTTGAGCGTGATATCTTCCAGAGAGTGCAGCTGGGTATGCCTCTGACAGCAGCAGGTAGCCGTTCATCAATGTCATTGAAATTGAAGCTTGGCTCATTTACATCTAGAGAAGCTACAAGCCATCGCCTCTCCCTGGGCCGAGTGGATTTCTGATCTTGAAGCACGTTTCATCAGCAGTGATGACGGCCTCACAAGCGTCATTGACGTGGACACGAAGCGCGGCCGCGACTTCCAATGTCTCTCGCAGCTCGTGTATTGCTGCGACGGCTACCCAGAGCATCTCCTCCCAACATCTCAGAAGATGGAGTCATTTGTTTCGCGCATGGACGTACCGAATGCGGTATTCAAGACCGCCATCAAGGACGTCCTCACAGAGTTCTGGCACATTGCGAACACCCCACAACTGAATGCCGCGTTCACCAATATTCCTAAGAGGGTCGCACCCGCCGAGTTCGTTTTCATCGGTACGCACCACATTTCCTGAATGACGGCATCGTTATATTGAGGCAGCGCCTTCTCTACTAGGTCTTCTGCTCTACGTGATGCGGGACTGTTCGCACGAAATGCGGGCGACTGAAATATTTGATATGCGGACGTATGTCCGGAAGAAATTCGCGGACGTCCGGATGCGCAATGACATCCTTAAATACTTGTGGGCTTTCGTCGACGACCTCACGAATAGGATGGATGGCGGACGAGGTACCATCCAACGCTCCACACGGAGCAGCGGAGACGCCTCCGGCAGGAAGAGACGCAAGAGGAAAAACGACAGCGACAGTGAGGTCGACGAGTATCGGCCAGTGAGCAACGGAGCGTCGACCAAGCGCTCGAAGGGGCGAGGAAGGTAGGCGGTGAGATAGTCCTTTGGTGCGGATGGAAAAGGTGGAAGAGGTATGCATATAAATACGTCTTCACGTGTGTCGATTCTCGGTCAAATCTTCCATGCATATCCATTGTAACGGCTTTATAGGTTTTACCTGGAGATAAATTACATTATATGGCCATGGCTAATGTTGTTAGTTTTACCCGTTGTATTTCGCCCGTGCGGTGTACCATACCCCCTCCGCGTCGGTGACCGCTCTCGCAAATTTGAGCAGGAGCCTGTCCCGCTCTTTCGAGTCGACAACGATATCCGCGAGGAACGGCGATATCTCCGCCGCCTTCCATCGCGGCCGAGTAAGAAACAAGTCCGTGAAGCGTGCCGCGGAGTCCACAGGGAGGGACGATGAGGGAAAGTAAACAAGCAGCGTTATTGGTGGGTCAGTGATGGGAGAGAGTTGAGACAAATAGTTTCCCTGTTCATAGAGGATCTCAGTTCTAAGTACGACTGCCATGCTTAAATCGTACCGAGAGCAAATCCAGGGCAACTTGCATTTCAAATGTATCTCCGACTGCATTTCGCCACTTCGATAGGAACTCTTCTTGGGGGATTGGATCGTCCTACGGGAGCGGAATGGATCAGAATAAGACGCATGTTCAGCACTGCTGATGTACCTTGAATGCCCTGAGAACACCCAGCCCAACCTCCTTGACCACAGCCGCCACGTCCATCTTCCACTTCTTGTCAGTCACGTCGCCAAACCACGCCATCACCTGCATAGTGACCTCCCTCTTGATCTCATGCCTATCTTCGAGCGCAGCAGACAGCTCCTCCGCGGATGCTGCATCATGGGGAAGCGACAGTGAGACCAGGTAGTTCAGAAGCAACTCTAGGATCGTTGTGAGGTGCGACGGGGCTATGGGTCGCAGAGCACCTGCAAAACATTGCGTCGTGGTGTGAAGCAGAGGGAATCTCGCTGGCTTACCATTAAGCACTAGAACGCGTTTGTTTCTGAGCCCTCGATCCAGCTCAAGGTCGCTCGCCTGTAGCGTTGCTCGTGCGGTGTCGTAAGTCAATTTCTGCCGCTTTCGCTGTACGGACAACGTTAGCGAGACACAAGGACAATTACCCATTTGATCACTTACTGGTCTTTCTTCATCCACATCACTCAATATCTCATCCTCGTGCCCTTCATCGTACTCTTGTCCCCGCAATAGCCCGTCCAGTTTATGCAGTTTAGGCACGGAAGGAACCAACTCGAGAATCTCGCTCAGCTGGTCCCTAATCACAACATCGCCGGCAGCACTTGGGCGCCCTGATTGTTGAGAGAAAACTTCTTCTTCGTCTTGCGGCGGTGTAACGACCAGGATAGAATTGGAAAGGACGACGGAGCGGATCGTGTACGTTTTATCCGGGGTACATAGTACTGCATCCTCATTCGGTTGCCCTTTGATTGCCATCCTGCACAGCACATTTTCATCAGAAAGAATTCAACCCTTCCAAAGGCAATATAGACAATGTCTTCCGAGTTTCGACTTGGAAATTACTAGTATGTACAGTCAACTGGACGCACTCGCCTTGGGTTACTATCCGGCGCTGATTCGATGAGTCTACACAGATCTGGTGGTAATTCCAGTAATCTGAAAGATCCTGTATCCTGCAGGGGTGACGCGGAAAACTTGAGAGTATATTCGGTCATGACGGTGGTTTGAATCAACGCGTCGCGTCGCGCCTCGGCAAGGTCACGCTCTGGCACGGTGCACGTGCCCGTGTCCGCCTTCCGAAGGAATTAAGAAGAAAATTATTTTTCTTTCACTTTTGCAAATGCTATTAGGGCAGTGCGAACGGAAAATCTCAACTAGATTTTTCCAATGGGGGCCATACCGGTCGTCGGTGATACGAAAGGAAACGACGCTTGCGTTCGAAAGCATTCCACTAGGATGAGCCAATTTACAACTGCGCTCCATAAACCGAGTTTGTTTCTTGCACCACCGCAACGAGACCATACTCAGGACATAAATCTACATACATGCATTCAAGGGAATAATTGAAACAGAACTGCGAAGTCCGATAACCACCAGCATTCACCGATTCTCCGCAGCTGGCCGGAACCGTACCTGCACCTCCGCAACCTCCTTCCTCGCATCTTTTAATGTCCGTGCAATCTTCCCTTCCAGCGTGCTCGTCTGCGCCACGCTCAGCGTGCGCGGAACTTCCACTGTCAGGTCGACGAACATTAGTGCACCTGCGCGCTTGGCGCGCAGATCTCGGATCGCCAGCAGCTGCTCGGCGCTGGGCGGTGTCAGTGGTGATGACGACGCTGGGAGGGCAGGCGCAGAGAGGAGAGGACTGAGAGCCTCTGCAAGGGCTTTCCGTGTTTTCGGGGAAACGCTCCCATCCGTGAGTTGGTGGAACGCACCCAACAAGATGCTCCAGCTTTGACGGACGATGAGCACAGAGACGACAAGACCTAACGCGCAGAACCGTGAACAATAGCCAAACTGAGATACGGACGGCGCACCTCCAATCGGATCCAACGGTAGGTGAGGGAACCACCAGCTGCCTAGGATGGCGATGAGCGCGACGAGGCTCGAGTACGCATCGCTGCGGTGGTGTAGCGCGTTCGCGTTCAGCACCGGGCTGTGCTCCTCTTCCGCGACACGCTTCGTGGCACGGTACAGCATCTCCTTCGCGACCACGCCCAGCGCCGCAAACCACGCCGCATTCGGGTCAAGCGAATGGGCGTGCGAATGTACGTGCCCGTGCTCTGACGCGACGACGGGGACGCTGTGCGCCGCCTCTACGACACCCGCGACGACGTCGTGCAGCGTGCCTGCGGGGAGCGTCGTCGCCGTCTGCGCCAGAGCGTCAGTGAGCAAGGACCACGAGTGGAAGCCGATCCCAAGAGCGCCACCGGTCAAGAGTAGTGAGACAGTTACTGTTCCAAGGACCTCGAACTTGCCGAAGCCGTACGGATAACGCTCTGATGGCGGTTTCCGGGAGAGCTTCCAGCAGAAGAGGGTCACGAAGTCACCGACTAAGTCTGTGAAGAAATGATAGGTGAGAAAGCCAGCCCGCACGGGGATATTGGGGCGGAGGAGAGCACAACTGTTCGGACCCGTACTTATGAAAGTATGCGTTCGTGCATTGATAAAATCAAGCAAGTCGTACAACGCCTGCTTATTGGAGAATGAAGCTACTCACCACTTAATCCATGCCCTGCATCTGCGAGAAGTGACGCGGAGTTCATGTACCAGCCTGCGGCACCCTTGGTCGCGGTCAGACACACATTCGCACCGAGGCCAATTAGGGTGATACGGCTGCCCTTGTCCCCTGCACGAGCCTTCAGTGGGCATTACGCCGCGCAATGCCGTCAGACTCCAAGGCCGACTTACCTGAGCTCTGGAGAGCCTCGACTATCTGCTCTGCACCGTGACCATGTCCCTCTTCCCCTGGCGCGTGAGTGTGCGATAGCGCACCCAATATCGAGTGCGAATGCGAATGGTCATCCCCGTGCTCGTGCTCGTGTTTGTGCTCGTGCGACTCGGGCTCCTTACCCTTGGCCTGATTCGAGTGTTGGCGTCGCATGGTCAATGTTGCCGTTGGCATTCGCGGGAAATTCGGTGCGAGCGAAGTATGGCGGTGGTTCCAGCTGAGGCTTGCGAACGTCCGGTCCCGATTGCGATATCTACTGCGAACTGCCTGGTTTGCTACAGAGGTCCAAGGTCCCGCACTGCGAGCGGTTACCGAGCGTCCTAGCATCGTGGCCGAGGATTATTGGCTGATGTCGGACGTCGGACACGTAGGACCTGGCGGTTCTGTTCAACGTTCCACGTCGGTATGGGTAGCGAGCTCGAGGCCCTGACTGCATGAGTGTGTGGGGTAACTAATACATTTATGTTTTTCCTTTTTTTTTGCATGGGGTACGGCACCGGCCCCCCCTCGGAACTAGGCCCAAAATCATGCGTCCCAAGACTACTGTACCAACCTCCTCCGACACCTGCTGCCACTGGCGTGAAAAAAAGCTTGCGTATGGCAATAGGAACGCATGACTCTACGATGTGGCATATCGACTCTGTCATCGCGATGACAGCCAAGCTCATATCCCAGTCTGAATCACCTCATCGAGCCTTATTCGAGTCTCGACCTCGGTATATCTGCCTGAGGCTGTTGGACTACAAGCCACAGTCTGCTGACAGTACTAGTACTACCTGTACAAATTGACTAAGCCAGCCTACAGTGATTTGTGGGTCGTCTACCAGTCGGCGACTAAATAAGCGCCGGTAAGCCAATGCGAAGCGCGCAAGAGTCGAAGATTCAGAAGCAATCCAGCAAAACATACAATAATACACAGGTTGTATTGTTACAGTACTTGAATTCAGTTCTTGGGATACAGGCCTTCCAGCAACTTCACCGCTTTGGGGTACGTCGGATCGTCCCTGCTGCCCACAGCCAGCTCAGCGATTTTGGGGACGTCTGCCGGTGGCACCTTGTATTCCTCCAGGTTGGACTTCAGACCGAGGTCCACCACCAGCCTGCAAGCCCGTGTCAGTGAGTTAACAGTTGAAGTACAGCAGAACCTCACTTGTCGATCAACCCGGACAACTTAAGTATGTCTCCGTCGACGGTGCCCGTGGACGGCTCGCGCAGGTAGAAGAGCGCGCCGGAGAGCCACTCTTTGTCCTCCGCGGACGCTATCTCGGCTTTGAGCGCCACCGTAGGCGCGAGCGTCAGGCACTGTTGGAGAACGTCAGCGCCATCCTTGCGATGCCCGTGAGGTACCCACCGAGGTGATCCCGTGCGGGATACCGTACGCGCCTCCGAGCTTGTGTCCCAGTGAGTGAGACAGACCCAAGGCACTGCCGCAAACGATCTTGTCAGCAGAAACTCGCGACTGGGCGTCGAGCCGCACCTGTATCTCTCCAATTTCAATGGCCAGAGACTCATCCATGCCGCGAGCTGCAGTTTCTGCCGAATGTCGACCGCATCAGGCTTCGCTTTCGACTCCGGAAGATACTTGAAAAGATCCGCTAGGGCCGCATAGCACAGGTGCTTGATGGGTGGAGGAACGAGGGGCCTGTACAAGTTCTCTGCAGAGAGATTCTCAGTTAAGCTACAGCATCTATTGCCTGCATCGATACGCACCGACCGCGTGGTCGACCGCGCGCATTCCGGTGGAGAGCCTGGGGCCGAGCTGAGTGAGATCCGCAGAAGATTGCGTGGTACACACCAGAGCCTCTCCGGCGTCGCGAGGGTGAGCTCGGCATCAAGGATGATCCCAGCGGGCGAGAGTTCCTGCGAGCTCACGGCGACCTTCGCGCCCTGCTCGTTCAAATATCCCGCACCTATCTAGAGAGAGGGACGTCGGCGCTCAGGGGTGCTCGTTCAGCCGCGAGTCGACGTGCTCACCGTGTACTCCGCTGCGCTCAGCGTGGTAGGGACGGCGATCTGGTATAGGTACTGCCCGCCCGACTCCTGCTGGTGGAAGTAGAGGATCGCCTTGGACGCATCGATGGGCGATCCGCCGCCGACCGAAACGATCACGTCCGCGCCCGCCTCCTTGAATAGCTTCAGGCCGTTCTGGATGCCTGCGACGGGGGCGTGCTGCCCGATCTCGAAGAACGTCGCGCCGTACGCGTTGTGCTGCTTCAGGATGTTCTCTACCTTCCGCACTACGTCCGTCTGTAAGGCATGCCCCTCGGTCAGACGGTCCAGACAAGGTGAGATAAACAGACCTTTTCATGCAGACTCCTGCCTGTGACGACGAGTGCCTTCTTGGCTCCCAGGAGATTCAGAAGCTTCGGGAGTGCAGTCACCAGAGATCCTGGTCCGTAGTAGACGCCTTTCAGGGTGTCCGTGTACCCGTAGTAGCCGTGCAAGTTCGTAGACTCGTACTTTGTGCGATCGAGACCAGACATGATGCTCAGAGGGTTGGAAAGAAATATATGGCAAGCTCGACGTCGAGTCGCTTTTTACACGCACTGGATGAGAACACGAAGGAAAAACATACCAAATCGGTGAGGATTGCAGCCACATGACGTTTACGATCGTCCGTTGCGCCCGGATGGAAGCCATGATTCTACCAAATTCTTAGGATGCGTAAGTATAAGAGAAGATGAGAAACTGGTGAGCTCAAGGACATAGCTCTGGAAGCTGAATGGTGTCGCATGTCAGTGGGATGACAACCATGCTACTCACCTCCGCCGGCATCTCGGCATATCCGACGCAGTCAGTTCTAGTCCGGAGAATAAGTAAAGAGTTCGGAGAGTACTAGTGTATGTACTTGAGTCAAAAACATCACCATCCAATGGTAAACGCGATTGACCGTGGAACTGTGGTGCGCCAGAGCAGTATCACAACGGTAGGAAGGGCGTCGGCATTTCCCGACAATCGATGCAGGGGCGGACTCGCAGCCGCCGCTTATAATCCGTCCTCCACCCACTCAATGAGGATTATATTGTAGTCTGCCTACGGGAGACTAGCCGCCGCTTGCCTCACCTTTCTGAACGTTATATTGTCGTCTCGGACATGCACACATAAATCTGGTGCACTCAGAGCATTGCACAGCGGACAAAATGACCGCATCCTATGCAGAGTCACGAGCACAAACTGGCACAATTTATCAATAATAAGCCGAAACGACCTGCCTTGCGCAATTCAAGTTGGTGTTGACCTCAGCGCAGGTCTGGGGCGGCATCGAGCTCAACACGGTTACCGGTGCATAAGTATACTGATGAACGCATGAGATGATGGACCAGAACGCATCACCTTCAGGTTTGGTTGACTCACCTTCAGAAAGTCTTTTGGGAATGCTGTGCACTCCGGACTTCCTCTCACGCAGGCCACGCTGTTCCGCGGTCCATCGTGTTGGCCCATCGCGATCCATCCAGGGACAGCATTGGGCGCCACCGAGAAGGTCACGGTGAATTTGCCGGCCCTTATAATCTCCAGGGACGAAATCTTGGCAGTTTTCGCTCTCCCGTCCACAACCTCTATACGTTCTTTTCACCTCGTAGACACTCACTCTCGTTGATCTTTAAGTATGCCTCGCAGACAGGCTGTACAAGGACCCTCTCAAACCTTCACCTTCTGGGGAATGGTCGGCGTCGTCATGGCCGCTCTAAAATTGAAGGAACACATGGATGATTGTGAGCTTCACAGTCGTGACCGGACTGCAGGAAGATTGAGCATCATGTGTAGACAGACGAGTACCGTCTGAGGAAGAGGGCTTGGGGCCTCTAGCTCTCCACAGTCCCGTCCTAGATGCCAACAATATCGGAGCTAGCGGCGACGGTTTTCTGGACACGGAAATCCCTGGCGCACGGCCGAAGCGAAGCAAGAGGAATTGCTGCGTCTGCTGTGGCATGCGGTTCGTTTGAATGCCCCCAGATAAGACCACTGTATTGACCTTGTCTCAGCTGTGGACTGTTCTGGAAGGCTTTCGGTATCGTTTGCTTACTGTTCTTAGGCTGGCAAGCTATCAAATTGGCTATCTGGGCCGTGACCGTAAGCAAAGTAGTCGTCATTTATCGACGCGTTCTGACCCTTAGATCTAGCCGAAACCTACTGGTCTCGAAGGCATGCCCGAATTTAGCACTTCTTTGGGCTGCTCAAATGCCCCTTACATCTACAATGTGACCGATACCACATTCCTCGTGCCAGTTGGCTTGAACAATGCCGACCACGAGATCGAAATCCTTGGCAAGGCGGTCGGCACACTCACATTCGTGCAGGGCGACTCTGATGCGACGGACGTCAAGTACGACATCACCCTCCGTGCTGACCAGGACGGGCTCTTCGACTCCATTCTGCTGCAGCACTCCACGGCATACGAAATCGAGCACGGCATCTCGAACAGTCACACGCGTCTTGCGACAACTTACGAATCGTCGGCATGCATGCGCTATGATATCAAAGTCTCTGTGCCGCCGACCCTCAAGAACTTGGCTGTAAGCACGCGCACGGTCACCCACATCAAGTTCGACACCGACTCCATGTTTGACTTCGACAAGCTCTCAGTGAGCATGCGCGCAATGATGGAAACCGGCCATCTTCTCCTCCCGCATACGGGCGTTCACGCGGGCATGCTCTTATTCGATATTTCCCGTGGATGGCTCGTTGGCGACGTCGCGATCGTGGACAAGACCACGCTGTCGACATCAAAGGGCGACGCAGTGATGAACGTGCACGTGCACCCCGTCCCGTCAACCGCAGACCGTCCCGCGACCGCTGAACTGCAGACGACAACGGGCACGGGACGCACCGACGTCTTCTTCGTTAGCAGCGCTGGTCACGTTCACCGCCCCATTTCTAGCACTCACAGCTCGTTGCGCGGTGGCGAAATGTACCTGACGTACAAGGAGGCGGAGTTCAAGGGCGAGGTCGACCTCTCTGCGAAGTCGTATTCTGCTAGTGGCCTCCAGGGCTCAATGATGCGCCACGGTGGCATGGGCGGCGAGCTCCCTTGGGTTGGGGACAAGAACGGCGGCGATAAGATCGTTGCGCAGTCTCCCAATGGCTGGATTGGGTTGTACTTCTGATTTGGCTTCTCTATATCTGCTAAGTTACAGGGTTGTCTTCGTTCTTGGGTCACCGCGGTATTTCATCTAATGGGTCAAGGGAAATTTACCGTGTATTCCATCATTCAATCTTCAATTGCGAGCTGCTGCTGTCGTTTCTGTGCTCGTTCCCGGTTGTATGGTATAGGTCGTGATCAATGTCTATGATGCTTTTGGCACATCGCATCCGCGCAAGAACATTGACTGAACTGGTTTGATCAGAGAATCGGCGGCTAGCAGTTGCAAATGCTGTGAGTTGACAGTTGCCAAGTGATGGGTCTTTTGTGGAAGCCATGCTGACTTCCACATCTACCAATATCACAACCGTCACAGACCAGTATGTATTTCTAACTTCGACGTCAACAACCCATCCAAGGGCGGAATTTCCATTTCCTCGTTGTATGGCTGCCGTCAATTTACCGTGAACATGTATGAAGTAGTAGCGGGTGAGATGTCCAAGATCAACTGGAGGGTCTCATGGCTGTCCTTCTGCCGAGCTGGTCCGGCCAGGATATAAACTCAGGGTCATATCCAATGCTTCTTCCATACTCTGCCCAGCCAGTGCAACAGAGCTGCCTCTGTCCCGCCTACCCTTCTCTCTAGAGGTCCATTGCAACAGCAATGTTCCTCTTGCTTCCCGCCGAACTCCTCTATCACATTCGCACCTTCATTCCTTTGCATCAACTTATGACCCATTTAGCTTTCCAGTCTACTTGCCATGCAGTCAGGGCAATCTACCTTGACGATGAACAATTCTGGGCGAAGGTTGCATCGGTATGCGCCGCGCTTGGCTGCCCAGGGCATCATTGGCCACAGCATCCGCTCCAAGACGTTCCATGGAGAGAACTCGTCATCGCAGCTGGGAATCATCGGAGCAACTGTCCTTTTCCTTCGTGTAACAATAATTACAGTTTGCGTGCGTTTTTATTTTGAGCGCCTCGTCACAAGGCGTTTCCACCTAATGACGAGCGTTAGCCATAACTGGGCAGGCTCACCCCGTACTCTCACCCGCCGACGTCCTGGGCAGTAGTTTGACGTGCCAGGGGTTCTATACATGGTTAGAACTTGGGCTGGAACGCGCGCAGACGTGAAGCAACATATACTCTTCAGCTGTGAGGGTGATGGATTGTACCAGAACTCTTTCGACAAACACATTGCAGCCGCCCGCACATTAGCCACAATCCCTCCACTGTCTTGCCTCTACGTCGATATACTTGGAGTCCTAACGGTAGAAATTGAAAACCCGGGGGGTGTGACTGTGTGGGATGTCATTATACGTGTACAAGCTGAGTGCGTTCTGTTTGACTTACACGAGTTATGGGCGTACTGCTCTGTGTTTCAGAATAGCCAATGAAGCCACGAAGCCGTTAAACCTCGCACAACTGGCACGAATGTACATCATGCACCGTGAGGAAATACTTGCTTTGGCGTCATTCGATTGAATGGGAGAATTCACCCTCAGTGAGGCCTTCGAGATGGCACAGGAATTGTACGTAGTCCTGATTCTGGTCGTGGCTATCGAATGTCCATATGTGAACTCTAATTTTCAGCGGAAGGCAGCCTGATTGAAGTAGATGTCACATTCCAGCTGTTTCTGGCCATGGCGGAGGCCTTCTTCCCCCCTCAAAACAGATCACACTTGATCCTCGGACTTTTTCGTTTGTACATATAGATCAATCGCGACTATGTGTATTTCTGCTGATGTTTTGCTCCGGCAGGTTGGATGCGGACCCATTTTACACTCTGAAGATCGCCAATTTGCTGCTGATATTCATTGCAGAACCTCCCGGTGTTGAATTCATGAAGTGGTGTGACAGTCTCTGCGCTCACGAGAGTCTCGTGTCGTTTGTCAGATATTCGTAAGCATCGTCAGTCAAGAAATGATTCTACCCTTCGCGACCTCAAGTTGGCGGGTCGACGAATATTTTCTATGTTGCACGCAGGGATTTTTTTGCTGCAACAGACTCGACCAGGATCAGCGAAGTTCATGATAGAGTGGTTGTTTGACTTACATAGACTAGCAACAACATGAACACCTATTGTTGACAGTAGCGTCAGCATCACTTGCGATGAGGCTACGTACATTAGGCTCATAGATACAGCCTCGTGTTAACGGTTCCTTTCTGATAGAGACTGAGATCGTTATCGATTGCCCGTCCCGTGGGTGCCGACGGCAATTCAATGCAGGAAACTTGACCTCCTCTGAATTCGCACCCACCGTCACATTTTGCTCATTAAAAAATTCTGAATAAAACAGGTGTATTTATGAGTGCTCAAGAAAGCGCAATGGATGCACAGAATACTGTAGTGAAACGACCTTAGGTTCACAGGGTGTGACATGTGAACGTTTGAACTGTGAACTAAGTCAAACAGGCATGTCCCGCGTCAAACGTTCACATGTCAGATGCACGTACACCGTAACTCCCTTCTCTGATCTTGTGTAAACGTGATATTCTGCTATACTGTACTGCTTAGGTAGTACCGTGCCTTGGTGCTCTCTGTTCACCTGCCTTACCTGAGTAGCAAGAGCTGAAACTTTCCCTTTGGCCGGGATAGTTTGTGGTCGTAAGCTGCACCGCTGAGATAGCTGCCATGACGATTCCTGCCAGACAAACTCCATTTGTACGCGGGCCTAAGGTGGGCCTAAGTTTCTACAATAGCTGTCCCCAGTTTTGAAGGTCTGCTGGTTGTTGCCGCATCAATACCACGGGACGCCGGGAAGATAGACGTATCATCTTACACATTAGTCTCCTACTAATTATAAGAGAGGATCCCTACTCGCTAATCCGAACTTTCCATAAAAGTTAGACGTGACATGGTGGGGAAACCGCCTTTTCGCACATCGAATCCCACCATGTTCACCCGCAGTACTTAAACCTGCACACGAGAAATCCAAGTAAGCCGCTCGACTTTTTCCTCAGTTGCTCACCTTGCCTATTTCTCTTGGTTTTACAGTTCTGTGCCGCTGGCGGTTCAAACTGTGCATCGCCGACCTTCTTTCGGTCCAACTTGAACGCGTATTCTCACACGACACCGAACTTCGTGCCCACGATTCGCCTCGAGTTCCCGATCTTGAAGCACTGCATCTGGCAGATACACCATGTCGCAATCTCCAGACGTCGACCGAGACTCGGAGAAGTCTGATGATGAAATAGGCGACCTTGGAGCGACCGGATCAGCGACGCCACGTATATCTGGCAAGAGGGTCCCCCGCGGTACGTCTGCGTCTGCACCTGTATGAAGCCCGCTCATTTCTCCAGCTTGTGACAAGTGTCGGAAGTCGAAAAGTAAGTGTCAACCTTCGGATGCCGGTGCAGACAGATGCAGGAGCTGTCTTGCGGCAGGCACAGGTATGGAGTATTCACGCTGTTAGACGGCTTTTCTGCGGGATAATAAGATGACGCATTCCCAGTTTGTACCTTCTCAGGTATGTCCTTCTCCAGCACGTTGTGCTGCAGGCAGAGTTCAATAGCGGCTCAGGCCCAAGCTTCCGGCGGGGCCCACCCAAGGGGTATATTCAGGCCTTAGAATCTCGTCTCCACCAGATGGAAAGTATGCTTGCGGCGATCATGTCGTCTAAGGATGAACGTGCTCGGGGCGTCATTGCCGACCTTCGAAATGATGCCCTGGCTAAGAGTATCCTGGGTCGAGTCGATTCAGGCCCTTTTGTAAGTATATGAGTAGATCGTGAATGCTCAGCTTTTAAGAGATCTGGGCAGGGACCAAGCGGTCGGCAGCAACGATCTATCGATCCCACGGAGGACAACTTTTTCGCCTCCATCATCGGTGCGGCACCGCCGAAACTGATGAGCGTCCGCTCGCGAAGGCAATCGAGATCTACGCGCGAAAGTGTGACGCAGCATGGTGGGTTTGGCATCACATCCGAGGAGTTCTATGTTGAGAGCGCTTTTGTCTAGATCCCTCGGTATCAGTGCGGCCGACGCTCGAGTGGCAAGATCGCCTGTCGGAGGCTCTTGCGTGTGGTCGGGAGAAACAACCAGGGACCGACGCTTCCTGTCAGCCGTCTTTGAGTTACGCACTTAGTTCTACCGGTGCTGGTTCTTTGGAAGGACGCGCTAGGCAGAAAAGGCGTCTGGATATAGCGCCTTCTCCGTACAGCGGCGTTCTTGCAGCTACGTCGTGGGACGAGCTTCATAGCATACATGGTCCGCAATCTTATTGTCGTTCATGTACTTGTGAAGTTCACCCGCTACAGATCCCGAAGAAAGTGAGCTAGACGATTGCGCGGATGCCTTCGGTAACCTGTCCATAGACGAAAACAAGGAGGTAAGTTGTCCAAGGGCCTGCGTACTCGCGCACTGGTGATGATGTTCTATCCTCGTAGGTGCGATACCATGGGAATTCTACAGGATTGCATATGCTGGCTCAGAGTGAGAGAACGGACGGGCGGAATGTTGGTGGCATGTGGTATGTTTAAGTTGTCTTTTTTTATGGGACGATTATTGATCCAGCTGCATCTCAGGAAATTCCCGATGCCAAAGGGCTGGCTTACTCAATGGACACCAGGGTCTGTTGTACCTGGATTTGACGTTGGGGCAGGAAACTCTGACGGCGACGTCACGTTGCCACCATTGGATGTGCAAGACCATCTGATTGAGCTTTACTTCACATATGTACACCCATCGATACCTGTCCTCGACAGGGACTTATTCATGGCCGATTATAATGCGCAGTACGTCCACTATACTTCTTCGTCGGTGTCTTGTTGCGACCCACGCCTTATTTGAACTTCAAGGAAAACGTGGTGAGTGCCTTGATCGAGACCTGCTCTCCCCATCGCTGGATCACGGAGGGCCTGGTTTAGCTTTCGAGAATCAAGTCACAGCGAAAATATCTATGCTTCGCGCCTGGTACGCCCCGAACAGATGCAAAAACTGTCTAAACTCCTGTTATTCGCGATATTTGCCTTTGCGGCCCGGTACTCGGATACAGAGATTGAAGCTGCAACTAGCCATGGCGTGGATATGGGATCCAGGCATGCGCTGTGTGCACGAAGGGTTCTTGGTTAGTGGTATTCATTGCGCAGATCACTTGTGTATTTTGAATGATACAAACTGATCGAGACCGGGTTCCACAGATACGATGTACCAGGAGAGCCGGACTTCCACATGTCAGGCGTTGGTCCTTCTGGGTATCCGCGAATTCGGCACAGGCAAGATTTGTGGTTCTTACTGATCGTAAGTTTCTGATCACGTACAACTACTGTGCAGGAAGTTTGGAGGAGGGTTGGCTGCATGTCGGTATGTAACTCATTCACAGCTTCAACTCGGCCCTTATGTACACTGTCCTCTAGGAATGGCGATTCGCATGGTAAATCTATCTCTTCATATAAAGCCAATGTATGTTGGCTGACCGACGTCCACAGGCACTAGATCTCGGATTGAATCGGTCTGCCGAAAAGTGGCAGCATGATGGCCGCGAACTCTTCACCCCCGCCGAAAAGCAAATTCGGCGGCGAATATGGTGGGCGTGCTGTTTCGCAGACAGGTGAGTTGGATTCGGGACAAATCTTGAGACATTCGCTGATGCTTTGAGGTTGAAATCAAGATATTCTTCTCTCTTCCTAGGTGAGTGATGTATGGACGAAGCCGGGTGCCTGCCGCTGATTACTTGCCTCAGGTAGACCGATGGCCATTCATGAAAGCGATTCTTCCGCGCTGTTGCCAGACGTCCCGGAGGTGAGGAGTGAAATCTAGCTGTCGGAGCCGAGCTTACATGGTATACCGACGTACAGAATGAGGGAGAGGAAACGTGGCGGCCCTGCCATACCAATTCTCTGGGCCTAGAGGTCTCGCCCATTCCTGCCCGGTTCATGAGCTGCTTCCGAGAAGCAGCTTCTCTGTGTATGTCTCTGTTCGCCCGGTGGCCGTACTGTGACTAGCGCGCAGAAGTGCTGAGATTAGCATGATAGCCGTCATCGTGGGCGAGATCGTCGGGAAGATATACCCTGTCACCCATGTTCTTCCTGTGCCGCGGCGCATCCTTATGGAGCAGCTGTATTCGCGCCTTCTGCAGTGGTCGATCAATCTACCGGAAGCCCTGCGGTATTCGCCAGCGAGCAAGCAGCCTTGTCCTCCGCCCCATGTCCTCGTGCTGCATGTCCAATACTGGGCTGCTATTCTGCTTCTCCACAGACCTTTGTAAGTGCCTTTTTGCATCTCGCTCTGTACCGCTGATTGAGATGATGCGTTCAGTATACCCAAGGAGGCCGAGTGAGTGTCGAAGTCCAAGTATGGCTATACAACTGATCAACATACGATGATGTTAGACTCCAGACTACGCCCACTGGGGAGTCAGTTGCCTCAGATCGCCTTCCATGGAAGGCACTTGATCTGTGTCGGAGTGCCGCAGCGCAAATAACGTCTTTCGGTAAGTTGTGCAAGTGCTGCTGAACATCGTGCATTATGTAGACACTTCACAGCCAAGGCGTTTCACAACAACTTCGATTTGAGGTGGGCTCCCCCCATTATTGGTCCCTCTTTTCAGAGTGCTGGGTAAGTCTCAAATCTCGGTAGCATGATTGCACTGGTGGATTCACCTCTCCGTCAGAATCATTCAAATTATCATTTGTAAGTCAGCGTTCCCTTGCGAGCCGGTGGTGTAGTTCATATGCAACGCAGTAAGAAGCCGGCCATCCGATACACAGGCGATGCTTGGCCTGCAGGATTGTATGGCAGCTCTGAATAAGATGCAGGTACGTGAGCCAGCTTGGGAATGTGTGTGAGCTGACAAAGGTGTGTAGCTTACATGGCCTTCTGCTGCTCGCATGCGTGATCTGCTCCAAGGTGCCAAGATACAGCTAGATAACCGCGGTGCCACACACGAGGATTCCCAAAGACCACCGAAACGAGGTGCAGCTGATGCATTTCCGCGAGAGGATACGCCTCCTTCCCACCCTAGCCCTGTTGGATCTCACGCTTACGCACATCGCGAAGCACAAGGCGCCGGCGCCATCGTACGCCTTGAGCAGAAAAGCCCGGCACATGCTTTCGACAATTTCGCTGATCTCCTCGGATTAGACTTCCACCCAGGACTTCCTCACACGCCCACGGTACCTGAATATTGGCCACCTCACCCTGCGTCTGATGGTGGTGGGGCAGAATCACAACGGGGACACCACGATGGGTTTCGCGGCATGCCTTCGCAGCCTTTCACGTTCGGGCAACAGCAGTTTGCGCCCGAGTTCATGCAAGCCATCCGGGATCCCATCCTGCATTTTCCGACTGCTTATCCGGCGCAAGGTTACTCGTATGGCAGCTGACTGTTTCTGTCTGCTGCCGTCGATGGGATCATGCCGCTGCCAGAGTTATACCGACGGACGGAATATCATGGCTGTACATCAGACGCCGTCGCTACATAATCTTGGAAACATTCCGCATATACACGCGCGGTCTAATAAAATCGCTGCTCCCATATGTGAGTGACATGCATTGATATCGCATGCCCTGGGGGCGGTGAGAGAGGATGGCATGGCGATTGAGGCCGACTGTATTGGCGCACGCCACAAAAGGAAAGGCGTGTGGAGTGCTGTAAGGCAGGTCCAAATAAGGCAAGTAAGTTGGTCATCCCGTGGGAAAAAACATACTGAACCTGAGTAAGAATGTACCCACCGTTGTTCTCAGCCATTCGCCACCGCAGGTCGACCGCACAACCTCGGGGCCCGTAACCATTTTTCGTGGAGAATTATAAGCGTCTGACTGATCTCACGGAAAATGGAATTGCCCATATCTTGTTTTCTAGCTCCCGAGGTCACGTCAAAACCGTGCCGGCACCCAGCGAGCGGCCTGTTTAACAGGAAGTCTCTTCAGCATGCTCTGGTATCTCCGCTCTTGTCTTTCACGAGCTCCTAAACGCTGCGCTCTCGCCCGCCGCACTTTCTTCTCAACACCGATGGCTGCCGAGCTCCCCAAGTTCAACCCTGCGCCTGCGTTCAAGTTCTCTCAGAGCCCGAACCCTTCATACAAGTTCGGTGAGGGCCTTGACCCCAATGTGAGCGAGCTCGCAAAGGGGTGGAAAGAGGACGAAAAGAAGGGCTGGAAGTCTTGGACACTGGAGGAGACGCACGGAAAGTGGGCGGCTACCTATATCGTTCGCGTGCAGATCATCTTTGACACCGCCTGACAGGGATGTTTACACGCTCTTGACGAGCTCGGTCATTCCGCGCCCGATCGCATTTGTTTCCACTCTGGGTGCGGATGGAACTCCTAATCTCGCACCTATGAGGTACGGAATTATTTCAAATGTTGTTAGCTTCGAATCACTGATGTATTAAAATCCATAGCTACTTCTCTTTGGTACTCCTTATGACCATGCTCGTAATTCGCGATTATTTATGAAGTTGTAGATCGCGCACGATCCCCCAATGATCGGTCTTTCTTTCGCCCTGTTTATGGGGATCCCGAAGAACACCCGTGACAACATCCTTGCCACCAAGGAATTCACTGTTAGCCTCATCAGTGAGCCTTTCCTCGAAGCTGCGAACGCCTGCTCGATCGATGCCCCGCCCGAGGTGAACGAATGGCTCGTCAGCGGCCTCACTCCCGTACCCAGCGTAAGTTTGAGCAATGGTCACGCGTCCGTTTGTCGGAAAAAGGACTAATCTCATTATATCAGAACTTGGTCAAGCCCGCCTGGGTCAAGGAAAGCGCGATCAGCCTCGAATGCGAGGTAGATCTGCCAGATCTCTCTGGGAAGGACTTCTTACTGACTCCCTGCGCCCATCCACAGCTCTTCCAGGTGCACCATCTCGCGTCCCTGCACAATTCGATGGAGATCACGACCACATTCGTGATGGGCTCTATCAAGCGCGTGCACGTCCGCAATGCAGTGCTCGGTGCCGACGGCGTGAACGTCGACCCGGCGAAGCTGCGCGCCGTCTCGCGTCTCGGCGGCTTCACGTACGCGCGCGTCGGCGAAGGCATCGATCTAGGCATCCCCATGTGGGCCCAGGACCAGACCGCGGTCACGGAGGTCGTCGAGCGGAAGAGCAAGAAGTAAAACATGTCCTGTCATTATACTTCGCATACTACGCATTTGTTCTTCTATCCCCAAGCATCGTTCGCTCATTCACCTCTCTATTGATCGCATCGTCTGTCATTGCTGGTAGAGTGTGCATAGATACACTTAGAGAGTTTGCACGGAAGATAGTCAATGTGCCTTAGTAATTTATTTTCTGTTCGCTCTGCAGTGGCGTCGCGGCATGCCCGCGAGAGAGTCTGATAACTGTGAGATGGAAAACGGTTGTGGTTATCTAATGCATGGGTACAAGTTGGAAAAGGTAAACCGGGGTAACATGAGGGGGTTACAGATGCGACGGGGAGGAATTAGTAGGCGTAACACAAACATCTCATAGATAACGTCGATTAATCAGTGACAAGATACTCTAGTAAGCCGACGGAGAAACCAGAAAGATATAAGTAAGCGAGCGTAGGACCAGCGAAATTGTACACAGGGACAGAGCAAGGGGGTCCTGGATAGCAAGTGCGATGTGACCTGTAGAACATCAACAAATCAGTATACTATGGTGGGTGAAGGGAAGGGGAGACGCACGAATGAAACAAGTAACGACAAATGCTATGATAGCACGCCGTTCGCGCCATCATGGTCTATTCGGCCGACTTGCAGATACGCGAGTATAGAGGGTATTAAGCTGTTCTGCCGACACACCAACTCCAAGTCCCGGCCCCTCCACAGTCGGCCTTCGGGACGTAGTTGCTGTGATGAACCGGCGAATCCTTTATAATCGTCGTCACCCGCGCTGTCGTTCAGCTCCGATTCCAACTTCCCCGGCCCATGGCGATGATACACCTGGCTGCGAGATTTCGATCTGACGTGGACACTGGAACCGTTCGCGCGCTTGCGAGAACTGGAGGCGACAGGAAGGTCACCGGCGGCGCGGTCACTGGATGCGCTTTCGTTAGGGTGATGCTGTGGAGATGTGCCGGTCAAGCGAGCGAGTGCCTCATCAACCGGGGAAATAGGCTCAGAGGGATGTTCGTGTCCATCCGTGCCGATCAGCGTCTCCTGAAGGACCTTGAATGCCAGGTTCTCGTTTATTTTCTGTGCTTTGGAAGAGGTACCTGGAATGTCTGTGCTGGGAGCAGGAGACGACGCGGATTCAATCTGTTGCTTCAGAGAGACCGTCCAGTGGTGTCGCACCAGGTGATCATCGACGCTGAACATGTACTTCCGTTTGGCCCCATTGTGGTTCACGAACGCCAATTGGAAGGTATTCCGCATGAAAGCACGTTCGACCACCAAAGGACTGCTGAGTGGAAATCCAGAATATGCGAGCGCGGTCGGTCCTGATCGCCACATGATGACCGTCTTCGATCCAAGTGAGGTACCAGTGACACGGAATGACGCCTCCGCCGACTTGGCGAAAGTGAGCACTGGAGGGTCAAAGGCTAAGTCTTGTCCGAACAGCTGGATGGTTAGCTGGGGGTCGACCTGTGGTATCCGCAGAATGACTGGATCTGACTGCACGCGGTATGTGAGGCGTGGAGGGAGAGGACGCTTGATCGTGATGAGAATATCAGGATGGATGCTCTGACTCGATGGGTGGCGCGCTTGTGACAGCTTCTCCCGGCGAATGGAAGCATAAATCTTGTCCAAGAGGTCATCTGAGACAAGGTACCGCGGGTCAAAGCGTCTAAAGGCCTCCACGAAATCGCGAGTGATGATGTTCCGTCGAGGATATCCAGTGATACCAGGTTCCTGAGCGATGCCACTATGCATCACTTCATTGAGCTGCACGATGGCTCGCACAAGACGAATGGCAAGCTCTTTGTCATAAGCGACAACGCCCACATTTGCCTCGTACCACCGGCTCGCAAACGCATCCAACAGATGCTCTAGTGCGCTCAACTTGGGAGGAATGCTGATCGCCAGTAAGAACACACGCAAAGCCTTGTCGATTCTAAGACCAGTAAGGCCGAAGCTATCGACGTAGGCCTTCAGCACCACCTTTGAGGTCCGCCGGGACAAATATTCGCCAAGTCGAGCTCTGTCGAGTTCGAGGGTGTGGAACAGCAGCTGACCAAGTGCAACTGGGTCGTCTCTTGTTTCCGCCTTGCTGAACAGGGTGGCGATTGCATGGTCAGGGTCTTTGGCAAACTGGTGCACGAAGCTTCGTATCACGGAATGTTTCATTGGAGTCGCATGGCTGGGCGCCTTCGAACCGGATTCATCACGATCGCCACTGAACCGGAGCTCGCTAAGCCTCACAACGCTCTTTACGATGTACTTCTTGTCAGACGGACTGGGCTTCAGCGTGTCCAGCATAGCATCCTGGTCCTGCAGTACGGGCTTCGCAATTACCAAGATGTCGTTGAACAGGAAGAGGAAGCGGTCTTTCACGGTGTTGGCATTGGCAACCTGCAGGACAGGCGAACATTGGATCAACTTCCGCGGCGGATCGTCAATAACCGTAGGCCAGAAGGAATTCTTCGATCCTCGCTCAAGCATCTCATCAAGACGATCCATGATGATCGCAGCCTCTCCCGGTTCTTTGGCAGGTGGATCAGGGGAATGATGGGAGGATGACAGCGTGTCGCAGAAAGACTCTGAGGTAGACTGTGTGGGAAAGTCGTCCAGGGAGGACTGCGGATCGGGCGTTGTAGAAGACGGTGGGTCGGGAGGGAGGACTTCAAATGTCTGAGATGGTGAGGGCGCATGATGGTTCCCGACATGAATGTCCGAGTCCATGCGGGAAGATGGCGCTTGTTCCGTGGCGTGGTCATGCGAAGTACGGACGTCTGTCTCCATACGGACCTCTATCGACGACTCTTTCGGGGATCTCCCCAGCCGACCGGCACCGAGGTCTTCCCATTCTGTGGCAAGTTCGTTCTCTTTCCTCCCCAGTAGTAAGTCAGACAGTGAAGGCTTTTTGCCTGCCAACCCCGGTCGGGTCTCAGCGACCGGTGGCGGCGCATGAACGTTCGGAGTAGATGGGACTGATGGCGAGAACAATTTCTTGGCAGTCAGCCACTTCTTGACGCCTTCGCGATTCATGGGGAGTTTTAGTGATCCAGCGACACTAGTAGTCGAGGTCTGAGACTGCGTGGTGAAGTAGTCAGCTTGAGAAGCAGACGAGGGTACAGATGACACTGGAGGTGGAGAAGCGACAGTTCGGAACTGGGCGAGTAGACGAGTATCAGAAGCCTGGTGGGAGAGTTTGCGCTCTCTGTTCGTGTCAGGGAAACGCGTGGCCGTACTCGACGAGCTTGAGCTAGGCACCGCCTCGATACCTGTACCATTCGGAAGGACGACATCAGGTGAAGACGACGACTGCGACAGTCCTTTTGCACGATTTCGCTGTTCCTCCAGCTGCTTCATCCCAGGGAATGGGAAAAGCTTTGAGTCAGCGTACTTCATCATGTCAAAGGGTGACGCAGGGGGTAGCGGTGATATGCTAACTGGCGGGGGAGGCGATGGCAGGGATAACATAGAAGCAGAAGGCGAGTGCACCACTAACGACTGGCCCTGTGGAGACAATGGCCCGGAACCGTCAGTTTTATCTCCCTTGAGGCTCGCACCGCTCTCCCGACTGACACTGGAGTCAGTGTTATTCCGCCGGTCACGAATTCCGATGCTGTTAGTGCGCGAACGACGATTGCTGGCAGAGCCGCTCCTGCTGAAAGTGTTCTTAACTTTCTCCCATGTGCTCGTTGACGTATCGGCAGCCCGTTTAATCGTAGCATCAGTCACCGTCGCGCGAGAATTCTCGTCCCAGTCGGGCTCAGGGAACTCAGCAGTAGATGGGGACCGTTCCACCGGATTTGTAGTCGCGACAGACAGACGCATGGGATACATAGCCGGAGACGCCTCGGCACCTGTGGGTGACTCAGAAATGGTTGGGCCCAGCAGAGCTATTGGCGAAGCAGGCGAAGGAGGTATATGAGATGGAGTTGTCTCGGGCGATGTCTCCAGCTCCACTACCAAGTCTTGAGAAACGGATGGGCGGGGAGGAACACGTTCATACTCGCGAGATAAGCGACCTTCTGAGGGCTCTGGAGGAGGCTCCTGAAGTACCTCTTCTTCAGGCTCGGGCTCCGGAATATCGTCGTCGTCTTCCTCGTCATCGCGCAACGGCATGCGCTCTGGGACTGGAGCATTTGTTAGTGCAATGACACACGGACGATCTCGAAAGCAACCCACCAGGCTCAGCTATCCAGCTGATCTCGCTTTCACGCTCTCTGCTTAGGCTCCCAACTTCCTCATACAGCACTTGCTCCTCGTCCTCGTCTAAGTAGGGCTTCTCCCGCAGAGGTGTAGCAAAAGGACTCGCGGGAAACATCATGTCCTGTCTTAATGCCGCACTCCGCGACAAAAATACAGGAACTCCGATAGCAGATGCTGATGCAGAGTCAGTTGAGGTGTTTGATGGTGCATCCGAAGTATGCGGCAAACGGGTACCTCCGTACGAACGAGCGGGGGTGGTGGGAAGGTTAGAGTGTCGCACAGGGGAAACATGCTCAGGAAGATCATCCTCGTCTTCAACGACCACACCTCGATGGCCCATAGGCGTCGCATAGTCGAAAGAAATGTTACCATTTGCTTTCATAAACGGTGACGCAAGAACTGCATCACCATTCCCGACTCGATTCATTGGCGATGGGAGGTGGGGAGGATCTGGTATATCATCCATTGGTGGTGGTAATGGCGACGGCGGTAAGACGGGTGTAGGAGACGTCGTTGAGGGCGGTTCCCTCTCTTCCCGGTCATCCACGACTGTTGATGCGCGCGAAGAGTTTCTCTTTGACCGCCGCCTCCGACGCTTCGGCGGCAACGTCGGTGGTGCAGCCTCCTCGCCCCCACTTGTCTGGTCCCCATCCGCCTCTTTGATCCTGTTTCCCAACCGGTGCAGCATCAATCTCCTTGCGGCCATTCGCTCCCCTCCTGCAAAGGTATTGTTCCTCGTGAGCCGCCCTCCGGAAGGTGTAGGAGATGATGGAATGAACGAGATATCCATGGGCTCTTTTCCTCCGGTTAGCTTCTGCATCGCCATCGCCCTCGCCGCGCCTGCACTATTTGAGCGGTACAGTCCCATCCCTATGCCCTTTTGGAGTTCATCCAAGGAGGGTAGCGGTGTCGATGGCGAAGTTCCAGGATAGAATAGAGGTGACGAAAGGAGACGGGCAGCAGAAAAGCCGAAATGCGATGGTATCGGCGAGACGAGCGGGGGGGATGGTGGAGCATCCTCTCCTTGGGTCGTGTAGTACTCATCTGCGGAAGATTCGTTGGTATGGCTTGCAGAGCTGACGTGCGGCGACTGCTTCGCCTTGCCCTTCAAGTCTTTGGAGCCTCTCGACCTTGTTCGTGAGCGCGATCGCCGTTTTGCGCGTACAGGCATGCTTTCCGCTACGACTGGTGTCTCCGGAGAAGGAAATTCCGCCTCTTCCGTTTTCGCTGCCGCTTCTATCTTGACTCCGTTCACCGCTTCTGCTTCTGCTTGTGTCTGCAACACTACGGTGGCAATCAATGGCTCTGGTCTCCCGTCGGACTCCTGGGCACTCTCGTCATCCTTCCTGTCGTCGTTCTGGACCCGCTCCCCCTCGCTGACCGCCTCGACGTGCATCGGGGGACGGCGACCATCCTTCATACGTGGTAGAGATGCTGCGCGCTTGAGCTTTGCGACAGCGGTCGCGCGCTGCTCGGCTACGGACGACAGGTCCATAGGTCAATTGGTGAGAATTAGTACAGCTGTAATGATTGGAAGGCTCCAAAGAGAACTTGGAGGATGGTCTGGCGTGGCGCAACGAAAGTATGTCAAACTGATTACTCCGAGAGAATATGCTGCGCCCGAATCTGAAATTTTGGCATTGGGTGATCAGTACATGGTCGCAAAAAATATACGGAGAGCAGGAACGGAGAAAAAACATACTGGAGTGGAAGACATGAAGGGGGGGACGTAAGGGACAAAGGTCTCAGAAGAAGAATAAACGGAACGGGAAAGCAGGTGGCTGAAGCCAGAAATGGGAATTCTCGCGTTTAGGCTTCAGACTTGAGCGCTTGAGCTTTGAACCTCATGCCCCTCGGCAGGTTTTCATCTCCATTTTTCCATCTTCTGGGGGGAAACAACATATCCACCTGTCTCATTGAACGTGTGTTTCTCCATATCCAGCGCAGTTCCTCTCCCAAATCACCGTCGGACATGGCGTTCTATGCGGCAAGCTACTATTAGGGAGCAACTCTGAGCGGAATCTGTAAATTTCACTGTATAATTCCTGCGTCAAAAATTCAATTCCTGGCCTTCAATTGCGAGACTATCTGATGTTCCTGCGGAGCCGTGGAATACTTAACGCGTGCTCAAGTTGTTGCTTGGTTTTCTATGGACGGAGTACCTTGCGCTGACGTCCTGCTTCTATCTTGTGGGCCGCTGATCAGCTGAGGTATCCAGTACGACACGTCTAGACTTAGAACACATTCGTAAGATGAAGTTCTCCGCTCCCCTGCTCCCAGGATCGTCTTGCTACTCTTGCGTTCGCACGGATATAGTGAGACCTACCTAGCGCAATTCTGTCCTAGGCACTGCTAGAAAATATATGGTCACCCTCATAAATAGGGACCATAAATAATTCACCGGTGAGTCCCGTTCTCTGAAAGTACATATACACCTCATTGTCGCTGGAAGCGCTTGTCTGTCATTGAGGTCATACGCAGACGTCAGGTGCTGGCAACATGCCGCAGAATACAGCGCGGAACACAAAAATCTCTCTTGCGCAGTCGCACGTTTTTTTCGACGAACAGATAGAAGTATCTACAGCTCTTATAAAGAACATCCAATAATACGAGCGAAGTTTCATAGCTCCAGCGAGGCAAAGAATACGTCTCACTCGTGAGCTTGTCCCACGTTGTCCAAAGCTAGTTCGACTACCTCGTGTGTCTCTCTGTTAACGCTCATTGTCCCCTCGTCTTGGGCAGGTCCCAATGCTGTCCAATCTCTGCTCTATGACTCACTATATAGTTTGTAGTGCCGAACAGTTCGATCGCCAGCACTTCTTGTCTTCCAGAATCATACAGCAGATCTTCGGTGCCCGAGCCGCGAACTCCGTTGCGCAGCGCGTTGCTACCATAATGATGGAAGAACATTGCTCTGAAGAGTCATTTTCCTGGGCATCCTCTGAACAAGTGCGACCTTTTTGCTGCTGTTATACTTCACGGTCAAAAATGTCAGTTGTAGTATTCTCATTCGGCTTCATGTACCGCTTGCACTCATCGTCGCTGCACTGATCTGTCTGATCATTCACATCTCCCTGTCCTGCCGGCAATTTTGGACCGGGCATTGCTCAACGTGGCCCGGCGAAATTTCCTTGGTCGCATACCCGGATTTACGCCGAAGAAAGCATGCAGAGGACAGGGCTATTATCCAATCTATATTTGCGTGGACAGGAGAACGGTCAGACCGAGTGAGTGTCCAAACTAACCAACATCTCAACGACGATAAAAATTCACAACCTGGGTAGTAGTAATACGGAGTCAAGACTTCGAGGGCTTGGCCCAATTAACGACACCTCGCCAGAAGTTCGGATGTTCACATTCAATGCTTTTCAACAGGCAGACACGCAATGAAGTCGAGGCATGAAATGCCCGATGAAGTAGATTACCATGCGTCGCGCCTGCAATGAAATGCACATTGCAAACACCGCCTGCAGCATTCGAATGGTGTAAGCCAAAGCGCACCCAGCTGGAAATGCGACTGGGAAAAGGCAAATTGAGCTGACATAAGAAGCAGTGAGTCAAGCATCTGCTCAGCTTCGCACCCAGCCCAAAAGCATTACAAGTATCCAAATGCTGACCAGGTGGTCGAGAAACCCTATGGGGGAATATTCACGGAACCACGTTTGTGGGAAGGTGCACACTATCAAACTGAACGAGTGGTGACATGAGTGTTCTGATTAGAGGGTGACCGCGACGTGCAATACACCGTAATATTGTAGCAATAATAATACGGCTCCGGTTACGACGGAGTCGCGGGTTGTGAACGGCTACTCTTGCGTGGAGGAGACTGCATCTCTGGCAACGACGATGGCTCCGAAGTCGTCTGCACAGTCTGCGGGCCTTCTGGTGAGTCAGCGGATGGCGTCGCCAAATCTTCGTCGTCGTCATCATCGTCCATGATATCTGCGGGATCACGTATTGATATTGATACAGTGAGCAGAACGTAACGCATAGAGTAAAACAGCCCCGCAAGGAATGGAAGCGTGGTACTCACCTTCGCCGTAGACATCCGGGTGTTCCCTGAAGCAATCCTGCATTGCCTTGAACCTTTCAATGCACTCAATGCCCTTCGGCTCCTTCTCCGAGAAGACGAAACAGGAGAACGCTTCTCTGAACTGCAAACCACAGGGCCCATGGGCCATTCCGCCCAGGCAGGGACAGTCCCAATTAATCTCGCCGGTCTCGGGATTAAAGGCACCACCGCTGCTCGCCTCTTCCGCGCCTTCAGACGCGTCGGGCGTGTCCGCGGACGTATCTTCCGTCGGAACGTCGTGGATATGTGGTGGATGTAAAGACGGTTCGTGTTGCGTCGCGGTGGAAGGGAAATGCGTCAGAGCATCGGGAGAAACAGATGCTTTAGGCGTAAGCGGTACTTGCTTTGGAGCTGAACGACATATCTCAGACAATTTGCCAAGTACGAGTTGATGATCACTTACGAGAAGCAGCAGAATCCAATGCAATACTATCCTTATGAAGTGTCCTCCAGGCAATGTAAGTAGACACGACCGCAGAAGCTCCCAGTACAGCTCCCACACGACCCGGACGGATTACATTTGCAGGACGAGATGCAGAGTTATGCAAAGAGCGGTGAAATGAGATTTTTGAGACCGTCCTGAGCATGGTGGACGAGAGTGAGGCCGGCGGAAACTTGGTTAAAACTGGGCTTCAAGGGTGAATAATCCGCGTAATCCAAGTGAACAAGCAGAAAATTTAGCGCTCATACGTGTGTATCGGCACCTCGGCACGTGCTCCCGATTAATCATCGCGGACTCGTCCATCCGTTTCGGGCAAGCAGAGTGCCATAACAGGTAAGTAAATATAGCATTCTCTTGGGTGTGACGAGCCATGATCACACGGGTTTCTAGTTTACTTCGTCTTATATGATATATTCATAGAAGTAATTGCAACACCAATTTAGAGTTTTAAGTTCGGCAAACACCATCTTAGTTGACATGGCGGTGTGGCGGAATTCAATAACAGCATATAATTAATCACAAAGGCTCTACTTCGACAACGCAATTGCAGACAACTCTCTGTGTGTTTGGTCAGATAGTACAAAGGGGACAGCCGTGTACGGGTGAGTAGTTGGGTTCTACCGGCAGTCCTATCAGGCCGACTTTGAGTAACACGCCTAGTAGGGAACACCGACTCAAGAACGAACTCAACAGCGGGAAAGGCCATGGCAGAAACAGTCAGGGCCAGAGTTATAGCGACTATGATAGCTTACAAGCTAAACTTCATGGCAGTCGTGTTGATGTATCTGTTTGGGTTGCTAAATTAGTACCAGCGCGAGGATAAAAAGTCATAGTTGTGGAGGGGAGAGGGAAAGGAAATGAGGATTCTAACCTCACAAGAAACACTTTTATATGCAGCCATTTGCATCAGAAATCACAGGCCCACACGGCGAACCGGTTGGGTCTTGAGAAAAAATCACACTTAGGCGTCTTGATCAAACAAAAATCATTCCATTCACCGCTTTGCATCTGATCAAGGAGTACCCTTCGATCTTCCAAGACGTCAGCCATGAAAAGAAGGTGTGCCGCTTGCACTTGATCGCACGGTTATGGTTCAAAATATAATTCAGATCAACAATACGCGTCATTGCAGATGCTCCAGGATGAATAGACTAGCTGCATGTGTGGAAGCTAAATGGTGCAGAGACGGCATCCACCGTCAGGCGGCAAGGTTCTGGTTAGAATCGTCAATTATATGTCTGGAGGACAACAATCTAGGACATACTCGACCGCGGGTAAAGCTTGCATGGAAGTACTCATAAGGAGAGTGACGGAAAGGACGATGGCTTTGAAGTTGAATTGTATAATCAAGATGTGTGCGCTGAGTTGGGTTTCAGTCATGAAAAGTCGTGCAGTGGTGAAAGTTGCCAGTGCTCACTTGTGTTAAGGAATGGCACTGGAGACGGGGACTAATATCTAAGTTCCTTACATTGTGGGAACATCCGGCCTAACATTGTACATGTATGACGGCCCGTATGTAGCTCCGATGGTCGAAAATATGTTTACAATGTAAGGCCTGATGTCTGGGCATGCGATACCCAAATCACACATTGATAATGTGTGATATTGCGACATATACAATGTTCGCAAATGGCTATGTTACCATATAACATTCATCCGAAAATTTTAGGTCTCGTTCGGCATGTCCGGTGGGAAGAAATTCTGATTGACATTATGCCTTTCAGGGCAGACAACAGATTAAATATTGAACTAGTATAAGGGCGACACAAAGTTACAATGTATGATCATTTGACATTTGACATTAGAGTCTATATATGAGGTGAGATGTCAGGGCCTCAAACCCTCGACCTAATATTCAAACTGTAAGGAGGTCGGACACCCATAGCGCCGCTAAGCGGCTTGACGAGTGGCACACTCGATGGCCGCTTAGTGGTTATTGGATCGCCAAGTGTACCGCTCAGCGGCTTTTCAACTGGTTGTGGGAGATCGCACAAGCACAAGCACAAGTTCGATCAAAGGAAGTACATTAACTGTATATAATAAGAAAGCGGCAAATGACAGGACATCGACAAACAGCGCAGGATGCAACGACGAGGGCAAGAGACAGGAACAGCACGTAAAATTACGAGGAAACCACTTATTTGCACACAAGCTGGGCCAAGTCATCCCTATCCACCCTAAGTGTCCTGCCGCCTTCTTCCAGTACTAGAACAAGCGGGTCTGCCACACCCCGCATTGTTTTGCCGTACGCTCCGAAGTTGGGGCCACACTTACACACGATCGCATAATCGCCAGGGCCTGGTCGCAATATGGCGAGGTCTTGGAGAGAGACATCGGCATATTCCAGCTTTCGCGTCCGGTATTCGCATCACACCTTACCGTCCACTGGGGAGGCTCCCTTCACCGTGGTCATCAGCTTGTCTTGGAGTTGACCGGCTGTGCACATGAACTTGAAGCGATAAGTATGGAACACAGGTGCCACAGCCGCATCCAGCATCCATCCATTGGGTCCTGATGTGAATTCAGCGGACATTTTGTGTTGATGATGAGGCTACGCACCATTAGGTTCGACTGAAGATGTCAATCCATCGGGTCCTAATGTGGATTCAGCGGACGCTCGGTAGCGGCAGCGCGGTTACGCACCATCAAGTTTCACCGAATACCCCCACGCCGAATCTGTGTCGTGTGATGTGGGTTCTAATTCGTGGCCCAATGGGGTCCGAGGCCGCTCAGGGAGCGGACCACGCTCCGCTGTGTCGATGTTGCCCCTGCAATGAGGCAGTTAGATATGACCAGAACTACAAGTAATGAATCTTACCTTTCTTCTGACCGGAATGCGATCTTGGGCTTTCGGAACAAGAGGACGCCCCTCGAGGTTAAAAGCTTGGCTTCAAGCTCAACCTCATAATCGCCGTGGTACATGATGTTTCGCAATGTGCCCACAAATCCCTTCAAAGGGCCTTTGATGACACGCACCACTCGCCCGATGTTGGGATTCTGTCGGTCAGGATGCTTGAGGGCAAGCTCCATCTCCACCTCTTCCTCTGTTTGCGTCTCAGAGCATGAGGGGCGCTGCTCTCCCGGCCTTGATACTGTCACCGACGGCTGTATTGAGGTCCATTCCGCCTCAGACTCTGGAGTAAGAGATCCCAGGGTAACACATGATGCTATATCGAGTTTTGAGCATCGATAACATCGCAGGTGGTGGGACATACCTCAGAGGTTTCCAACACAGAAGAAGTATGAAAGACTCCCATTATTGGGTTTCTAGTTCGCTGAGAAAAGTTCAGTACTTGGAAGCATCGTCGTACGTAGAACATACATGCTGAGGAAAGTTCCGCTATTAAGAATTGCAATTGCATGAGAAGTGCACAACGTACCTCGACTTTGTTCGTGTGAACAATTGTGACATCGAAATCATCCACGGCAATCACTTGCCCTTCCAAGCCCGCATGGAGGCCCGTCTTAACTTTGACCGCATCGCCAACTGCCCAAAGGGGGTGTAACTGAGTTACAGGTAGCACGAGAGATGAAAGTTCGTCATCCAACTTCTCGTGGTAGAGATTGGTTAGCGTAGCCTGTCCATTAATGACTGAATGCACGACACCGATGAGGCCGCATTGCTCGCCCTGTATAATGATCACACGCGTGCCTGCAGCCGGTTTGAAGTCAACACAGAATAGAATGAGCTTCGCTATCGCTGTCTTTGGCACGAATTTTGCCGCATTAAAGACGAATACGTCATTTCGAGTCGCGTGGACATCGAAAGTCACCCGGTCCAAAGTGAGTTCGAGCTGCAGGAGGCCGCCTTTGAACTTCTTGCCCTTGAGAATATGTATCAGCCGATCACCTTCGCTTTCTGTCACAGCCTCTCTGAACAACTCCTTCAGTAATGCTGGCGGCATCAGTTGCTGAGAAGTTCTTCCGTGCTGCCGCTTTTTTGTAGTAGGCAAGCGCAGAACCACCCAGATGCGGAGGAGAGAGTCCTCTCGCGACTCCATGAAGGCCACATCGTGCTTATATGTACCATGCGAGATGCACACCCAAGGAGAGAGGAAACCATTTTCCGTGGCTTGAAGGTGGATTCCATCGGGGGCAAGAGAGACGACTGCGCCACCCGACTGCGAGGCCCGCTGTGCACGTCTAGCCACCATGTCTCTCTCCATAATAGACTGGGCCATGGCTTCTGCATCAGCAGCATCATCGCTGACACATGCATTATCAAGACGCGCCCGAGCTTGTTGAGTGCGTTGGACGTCGGTGAGCAACTCGGCTGGAAACAAGCTGCAAGATATATCCAATAACGCAGCTGAGACACTTACCCAGTTCCTCCTCCTCTTCTTCTTCTTCCTCCTCCTCCTCCTCTTCTTCTTCCTCCTCCTCCTCCTCCTCCTCCTCTTCTTCTTCCTCCTCCTCCTCCTCTTCTTCTTCTTCCTCCTCCTCCTCCTCCTCATTGTCGATGATAGCCTCGATATCCAAGTATGGGTTCTTGGCATTCCATGCATGAGGATTGAAAATGTAAGAACCGACTGCAGTACTTACCGCTTTCCGCGCACACTTTGAAGACATGGCAGCATCAGTGGTACCGAGAGGTCAGGATAGTGTCCGTTAGATTTGAGCAATCGTATCTTATGAGACGTTGCTTGGAGTACACGAGGCTTCGACCATGAGGCGTTCATCACCAATCAGCCCACATGTACAATTACTTCCGAGTAACACACGCAATGTCCTTCAACATCGCACTGCTGGTGATGAGGTGTCACCGAGAAGATTTCCGATGTAGCGGCTGCTCCTGCAGTTGTGCGTGAGCATGCACAAGCACCGCATTCTCCTATACATTGAGAAACATGTCAGTATAGCTACACCGCCCTTCGTCCATATTGTGCACATACATTATTGTCAGCCTGTCAGCCTATCAACCTCAGCGTGTACAATCGACCTGGCGCGATCTGGCTGTAACCGCACGGGTGCGTTAATGTCAAGGGTCTTCAGAAATTTTTACGCGTAAGGTAATCAATAACCAAATCAGCTGTAATTCGATTGTATCCCACTCTGGTATGCAACCGGTGCAAAAGGGCGATGAAACAAACTGTCTGGCAGCTTGGCTACCTATACTATAGCTAAAGATAACAAGGACCCCACAAGAATAAATAACAACGAAACTACAAAAGAGAGCGAACTACACTACAATGTTACTAAAGGCTCCAGGCCACATAGCGAATGACAAGCACTACGGCCGAGAGATGGTGGTGGAACGAGAACAAGAGGAAAGAAACGCCCATTCCACCTCCAGCGGAGTTTTGACGCATCCCGTCACTTTGTCCCGTGCAAATAAGGCAGCCACACATCACGGGCCACTTGTCATGAGCCGCTTGTCACGAGCCGCTTGTCACGAGCCGCTTCTCAGCCTCTGTTTGTCTCGCACAAATAGACCGCATGCGCCATCTGGCCGCTGTCCAGAATTTGGGCGCCTTCTTCCTTGCCTTCGAATTTCCATCATCCCTGCGATATCGGCCAGTTCTTCCGTCGCCATGTCTGCCTCCTCCTCCTCGCCATTGTCGTTGTCAACGCCATCGCCCTCTTCTGCTCCAGGACCGTTGTCGCCGCCCTTTTCCTCGCCCACTTTGATGCCCTGAGGGCTTCCTCGTAACGCCCTCTTCTGCGCAGGTGCCCTCTTCCTCGCTGAGCCATTCTCGTGCATGCCGCCGCGCCTGTTTGAATTAGGGGCCGATAGTATACATTGTATTAGAACCTGTATCATAGCCATCCAAGCCACATCTCTGATGATTGAGCGCCATATCGGGTTTGTACCAAACATAAACATAAGAACCGCGAAAACGCACCATTAATTGGCGCCTGAGCCGCTAGAACAACCCACAGGCCAATATTGGTTCTGCTTGAAAGCCCGGAACCGTACGTTGGTGCCCATGGACGCATCGTCCACAGCTCACTCTGGCTATTCAGATATTACAGATGCTACATAACGATCACTCGCAAATACCGGTCCTTTGTCAAGGTCTCGATGTCTCCGCTTTCTACAATACCTGGCGCGTATTCATGGAATGGTCGGAAATTACGAGGATCGACCACCTGAGCATACCATGTGAGTGCTCTACGCACATCGCTTACATGAATTCCGTGCTGACGCCATGCTTCTCGTTGACTTCCGTGACAGGTATTCGTGGAACCATCCGGCACGATGCTTCTAATCCCAGGTATGTTGCCTTTATATATCCTGCCTGCTGCTGCCAGGCTGATAACGCGAACCCATCGCCATCCATCCCGGATTTTGCTGTCCACGATACTCCCTCAGAATTTCGAAAAGTTGCCCGCAAACATGTCAGACAAGGTGGATGCGGAAGTTTGCTGTCCACATTTCAGTTGCTGATGTTACTCGCCTACAGGTCTCCGTGTCCCCGATCCAATGTCCAAAATCTAGTACCGAGATGAACATGGCGAGCACATCCTGTCCGCCTTCATCGGACACGTACACGTCCTTACTGGAGGAGATCAAGGACCTGAGGCATGAGCAGGCGCGTACGCAGGTGAATGCAATGAAGTTAGTTGCGGATATTCGTGCGATGTGGAAATGTTTAGATGAGTCAGAACAACACACGGAGAAGCTCAGCCAAATAGTAGATGCCACAGCCGATGCCGCGGACTCTCTCTGTGCAGAGGTCATTGCCGACAGTGCGTACACGTGTTCAACATTGTACTGATGTAGTCTTTATTCACTTCCTCTACTAGTTCGCTGAGCAACCTTTAGGGCTTAGCTGTTCGTGTGTTGGGTCATGTATAGTTTGTCATCCGAGAACGTATTTATTGTTATCTTGCGCTGCATTTGTCGTCGGAGAATGTATGTATTCGTTATCAAGTTCTTTCATCATGTGGGTGCCGGTGAAGCCTGCGAAGCTCGCGCGTGAGACTCGAAAGCATATGGACCCTCTTCCACTATCCCATACCCAGCACACAATTCATTGTGAATTTAAGGTAAAGATTTATGAAACAAGTTCTTTCCTGGCCATTGAAAAAAAGGGTTAGGTTTTCACACTGCTTCTGTCATCGCTAGAACCCTTCAAAGCTTCACAGCTAAGTAGGAATCAGGATAGTGGGATTTTGTATAAAATTTTGTATTAAAAGTGTCGCGACATGCCGATGATCGGAGGAAATATATTGTGCCATGTTGCCCGACTGTCTTCGGCTTCAGATATTTTTTCTGTAGCATATGGAATGCTCAAACTGCATAGAAAGAAGTATCACCCTTCTGGGGCATGTCGGTCACTAATAGTATTCCACCTATAATTATATAATAGGGTCTCATGACTATGCCTATATATATTGCGGTGTCTCCGAGTCTTTCCCCATCTCACGTTCGGAGCATACCACCACCACCACCACCACCATTCCCCCACTGCTGTCCAAACTGATCCTCATGGCTAGTCGTGGTCGTAAGTGATGATTATACATTTTGACTTGAATCGATATTAACATTGTTTACAGAGAGCACTTACATGGCCTCGGTGTCCTCCATCAGTGACTTACAGGAGGAGGTTCGGACCCTTAGGGCCAGCGTATATCGGACCAAGCAGCTCGTCGAGGATGTAGACTGGTCCATGATGCTCGTTCGCGAGGTCTTCCCTGTCAGCGGCAAGGGAGGTACATCGCTCTCCTTCGCGCCGCGCTCCTGCAATGTTACTGGCATCTAACGTAAGTCTTTGACGAGTCGGTACATTACTTGACTGATCAGATGTGCATGTAGGTGCCATAAGGCTGTTGGGAGGCAGTCGGCTGTGCATGGGGCGTTTCGCTGAGGGACCGTATGGAGATTCTCAGTCGCGTTTGTTGTACTTCTACTTATAAATTCAATGTATTGTCTGCTCCCGTCGTGGAAAGACTGAAGCTCGGTGAAGGTGGAGGTGAATGTGTGCTGCAATCAATACTATGGCTCACAAGATCGTCAGCATGCCCCCCAAGTCGGCACCTCACTCAATTAGCCCTTTCCCCTGCCTCTACCACTTAGTTATCTCTTATATGTATGATTTTATAGTACTACAACATTCTTGAGGTTGAACGAGCTCAAACGGATCGGTATTGGAGGAGTCCCTTCTTGACCTCCAATGTAACGCAGACTCACGCTGGCTAGTCACTGGCCGAAGTCTGCCGTGAGCGTCGGCAGTGGGGTTTCAAGTGGTGGTGTTCACAATGACACGGTCACGACCTTCGCACATTAGGCTGCCGAGCGGAGTAACAAAATGGCACGCGTTACTGTCTGTGACATATGCATTACTTTTGCGTTACTGCCGACTTGGGGGGCATGCCGACGATCTTGTGAGCCTTAGTATCCCCCGTTCAGGCAGCAGCCCGGGACAGCCGACTTATAACTTTACTGACCATTGGTGCAAATGGGGCCGACTCATACGGCACAGATCTGGAAACAACATGGGATAACGCTACATGAGCGCATGTAGGGCGCCGCTCGAATCCAAACAATCGAGTCTACATTCATGACTAAAATCGAGAGCAGTACAACAATGCAGGATATTTTACAACACGGCCAGTGCAACCTGCAGACAAATAAGCATCGGTCATTTGAGGTTCAAACTATACTTACAGATGCGCAGGCCTCCTGCTCCTTCCCCCTATCCTTCTTGGTCATGTAGGTCGTGTTTCCTAACTTGGTCTTCAGAACGTCTCTGACCGGCCAACTCTTCTCGTAGTGTGCGAGCTGGGGATAGAGCTTCGTAGCCTGATGAAGTTCTGTAACCATCAGTGCCGATCGCCTATGCAACTACCCGATGTACCTGGGCATACACTGCGTCCAACATCGTCTGATTCTGTTTCGAGATTGTCTTGTCCAATTCCAAATACCTGACTGCCAAGTCACCGATGTCCTTCTGTACTTGCTAGTCAGCTACAGTCTTTGAAAACATTGCAAGATATGCTTCATACCAGAAACTTGTCATACTTCGTGGTATCCCACCCGTGTCTCCCTAACTCATTGCTAAGTGTGTAACCTCCTCGGCCTGGGCGACCCACTTGGCCATCAGGCTTAGGGATGACGGGTTCTGATGCTGCTGCATCAGCTCCTGGGGAATGCATGTCACTAGCAATGCTTTGGCGTGTGCCAGCCTGAACATCTGATTGAGGCTTGATCAGGTGGAATTTCGACCTTGCCGATGAGGGAGGAGGAGTGAGAAGGCATTCGGCATCGAAACGCATGCGTCCCGATGAGGGTTGGTACTGGCGCTGGATGCGATGTTTTGTTATCGGCAGTTGGGGCATGCTGGTCATGGATGGGGAAGCTCAAAGCCCGGGAGAGGTCGCGCCTTCGCGCTAAGTCGCGGTGGACAATAGAACAATAGTCTTACCAATTCAAGTCGCACACTCCATAAGGATCGCAGGCAACTGACATATACAAAAGAATCAGGCAACCGTAGACCACTGACCATGTTCAACCTCGAATGAGCTGAACAGACACTGCTACGGAAAAAGTACAGTAAATCAACTTTCAGCAGGTACACGATGGACATACTTACGAAACTCTGCAACAAGCACAATTTAACGGTCACACCAACTGGCCGGTCGAAAGCAGTAAAGCAGGACTACATTGATGCACTCTGGAAATATGTGAGTAAATCTCACAGCGAACATAGCAGAAGGCACTTACAGTAGTCAGCGACATGCCCCTGCAGCTCCAACGCTCGGTCCTTATGCACACGAGGATACTGCGGCCTCAGCACCTCTTGAGAAGTCGACGTTGGAGATTGCATGCAAGCGTAAATCGCCCGAAGAGTGCAACGCGGAGTGACGAGAAAAATGAGTGCGTCTGACATACAAGCATGTAAGCCTATGATTGCAATGTTCAACCATGTGGTGACCAATGTAATAGTCAAATGCACCTGCAGACGGCGGGACGGTGGCATGGCCAGCCAGCAAACGTGCTCTCTCGGGAGAGCGGGAGCGATCGCAAAGCCCTAAACGAGCTCACCTGCAACCCTCCGGCATGCCTCCTCCAGCCCCTTCAGGCCTTCGTGACCGAGACGCTTCGTGTATTTATTCCACGATTGGTAAATGATTGGCTCCTGCAGAGTTTACGGAAAAAGATGCGAGAACTAACAAGAAGGCTCGCGAAGATCAGGTATGACCTCTTGAATTGCGGTGAGACGAGAAAACGTACTGACTCACCTATCGCGGAGAAGCCCAACGTAGTCCTGCGCATCAAGATCCCAGCACGGAAGCTGAATGATGAGCAGGCCAAAGTTGTTCATATCAAGCTCTTTGCGAAAGCTAAAGACTGGAAAGCTATACGGGAAATTGAATGCCACTGCTCCCAAGATGGAAGCCTGAATCTTCTTCAGGTCGCAGCACAGCTCAGTGTACATGGCAAATGTCGTGTAAGTGGGGTGCATCGCGGTGGGACTAGAGCACTCACATGGTATGCTCAGGTGGTCGATCCTCGTAATTTCCGACCATTCCATGAATACGCGCCAGGTATTGTAGAAAGCGGAGACATCGAGACCTTGACAAAGGACCGGTATTTGCGAGTGATCGTTATGTAGCATCTGTAATATCTGTATAGCCAGAGTGAGCTGTGGACGATGCGTCCATGGGCACCAACGTACGGTTCCGGGCTTTCAAGCAGAACCAATATTGGCCTGTGGGTTGTTCTAGCGGCTCAGGCGCCAATTAATGGTGCGTTTTCGCGGTTCTTATGTTTATGTTTGGTACAAACCCGATATGGCGCTCAATCATCAGAGATGTGGCTTGGATGGCTATGATACAGGTTCTAATACAATGTATACTATCGGCCCCTAATTCAAACAGGCGCGGCGGCATGCACGAGAATGGCTCAGCGAGGAAGAGGGCACCTGCGCAGAAGAGGGCGTTACGAGGAAGCCCTCAGGGCATCAAAGTGGGCGAGGAAAAGGGCGGCGACAACGGCACTGGAGCAGAAGAGGGCGATGGCGTTGACAACGACAATGGCGAGGAGGAGGAGGCAGACATGGCGACGGAAGAACTGGCCGATATCGCAGGGATGATGGAAATTCGAAGGCAAGGAAGAAGGCGCCCAAATTCTGGACAGCGGCCAGATGGCGCATGCGGTCTATTTGTGCGAGACAAACAGAGGCTGAGAAGCGGCTCGTGACAAGCGGCTCGTGACAAGCGGCTCATGACAAGTGGCCCGTGATGTGTGGCTGCCTTATTTGCACGGGACAAAGTGACGGGATGCGTCAAAACTCCGCTGGAGGTGGAATGGGCGTTTCTTTCCTCTTGTTCTCGTTCCACCACCATCTCTCGGCCGTAGTGCTTGTCATTCGCTATGTGGCCTGGAGCCTTTAGTAACATTGTAGTGTAGTTCGCTCTCTTTTGTAGTTTCGTTGTTATTTATTCTTGTGGGGTCCTTGTTATCTTTAGCTATAGTATAGGTAGCCAAGCTGCCAGACAGTTTGTTTCATCGCCCTTTTGCGCCGGTTGCATACCAGAGTGGGATACAATCGAATTACAGCTGATTTGGTTATTGATTACCTTACGCGTAAAAATTTCTGAAGACCCTTGACATTAACGCACCCGTGCGGTTACAGCCAGATCGCGCCAGGTCGATTGTACACGCTGAGGTTGATAGGCTGACAGGCTGACAATAATGTATGTGCACAATATGGACGAAGGGCGGTGTAGCTATACTGACATGTTTCTCAATGTATAGGAGAATGCGGTGCTTGTGCATGCTCACGCACAACTGCAGGAGCAGCCGCTACATCGGAAATCTTCTCGGTGACACCTCATCACCAGCAGTGCGATGTTGAAGGACATTGCGTGTGTTACTCGGAAGTAATTGTACATGTGGGCTGATTGGTGATGAACGCCTCATGGTCGAAGCCTCGTGTACTCCAAGCAACGTCTCATAAGATACGATTGCTCAAATCTAACGGACACTATCCTGACCTCTCGGTACCACTGATGCTGCCATGTCTTCAAAGTGTGCGCGGAAAGCGGTAAGTACTGCAGTCGGTTCTTACATTTTCAATCCTCATGCATGGAATGCCAAGAACCCATACTTGGATATCGAGGCTATCATCGACAATGAGGAGGAGGAGGAGGAGGAAGAAGAAGAAGAGGAGGAGGAGGAGGAAGAAGAAGAGGAGGAGGAGGAGGAGGAGGAGGAAGAAGAAGAGGAGGAGGAGGAGGAAGAAGAAGAAGAGGAGGAGGAACTGGGTAAGTGTCTCAGCTGCGTTATTGGATATATCTTGCAGCTTGTTTCCAGCCGAGTTGCTCGCCGATGTTACAACGCTCCTCACTTGTGGCGCGTCTTTTCCTTTTTCTTTTCCTTGTTCCCTTTACGTTACCACGTGATCCAACACGTGACTCATCGGAGCGCAACCTCCGATTCTTTACCCAGATGTCTAGAACCCCTAGTCTGGGGTTACACCGGATCCAACTCCGGACCTTCTTCTTATCGCACATGCAAGACGTGCATGTATGCCTCATCTTTACCTCGTTCTGATACACGACTCGTTATCCCCATTAGTACTGATTATCTCTCACGACCTTACTCAGCTTTCTCATACATATTACTTCCTCGCCGTTACCCTGCCCAGATATCGTCTCACCTTATCTAGCCAATGAACGATCCCACATTACTGCGTAGTACTGCGGATACCTTTTGTATAAATAGACGACCTTGTCGAGCTGGATCCCCATCTCGACCTGGTTACCATTAAACCAGCTTTTCACTTGCCTTTGGCTGAAATCGACCGTTAGTAGCAGACAGCTACTACGAGTCATAAGAACGAACTCTGATCGACCTTCAGTGCGAGGACATCGCCAGAAGTGTCACTTGAACGGACTTGTGTCTTAGACTAAGACCTTGTCTCGTGACAACTCGACTTGACGCTCATGTTTCGCTGCCGCGTAACATTAGGTTGAGATCTTATTACTCTCTGTGACTTCCTAGAGTCTAACAACGAACTACCGACCGGACCGAACCTTGAAGACTGAACGATACACCCGATTCGATTGCTAAAGCACCGTTTGAGATTACTCTGTAATCGAGGTAGCTGAAGGGATAGACTGATCACTCATCTTCGGAGAGGGGTCTGTCCGAGAGACCAATAGGCCGAGGAGGCTGAGGTAATCACTCGAGCAATCAGCAAATAGGTGTATCAGTTTGAAGACAGAAGACACTCTATGGGCTTGTTAGCCGACGACGAACGAACCCACTTAGTTAAGGACGGTGTGCAGTCTACGTGTAGACATAGGCCACACAGAAGAATTTATCCACGCTGGATTTTAACTACATCAACCCGACCGCTCTTCCGGAGCAGTACCGCGAGCACCTCCCATCCCAAGCGGAGTGGAGCACAGAACGAAACGTGCATTTTATAGGAGGAAGGCCTGTATTCATCAGGCCAGACAATCACAACTTCGACTACTCCCCAGAGGAATTTGAAAGGACACTTCCCCATAATCTTGGTGGAATAGTACTCCAGCACATCGCAGACAGCGGTATAACGACCTCCTATCCAGGAGAGAGACCAGACGCCCCTTGGAACCCCCCTGTCCAGAATCCTGTACCCCAACCGACTCTTGCACCAATCGTACCTGATTACATACCACCGATGGCTACAGTTACCATGGATGAAGGACGTCACCATGTCAGCCAGAAGGAACTTGGTTTTAGAAAAACCGAGATCTTCAACGGTTCAGACCGTTCGAAGCTTAGGGAATTTATAAACCAATGCAAGAATTACATGGCCGGAAATAGCCATGTCTACCAGGAAGACAATCAGAAGATCACATTCGTGCTATCGCACATGCAAGGAGGAACAGCAGGATCATGGGCACAGAGCTTCATAGAAACGGAACTCACCAATGACGACTTCCTTTCTTATGGGAGTTGGAGAGACTTCATTGCAAGTGTGAACAAAGCATTTGGCGATGAAAATATTGAAGAAACCGCTCATACCTTGCTGCGTAACATCAAGCAAGGAACTCGTACTGCGGACGACTACATTGCCGAATTCCGATCGATTGAATCCAAGGCGAAATTAGAAGATGCTGGAAATATCGAGTATTTCAAGTGGGGACTTAACGACCCACTCCGACAAAGGATATATGGGATGGAAAGCATGCCCAAGACACTTGACAAGTGGTACGAATACGCCTCACAGTTTGATAACCAATGGAGATCTGCTCAGATCTTCAAGCGAGGAGCCACTATGACGATGCGAGGAAAGGGCCGATCTGTCCATCGTCCCTACTACTCGGCTTCTGCAAAGGATCCAAACGCGATGGATGTTGATCATGTCAATATCTCGCGCTTATCCCCGGACGAGCGACAGAAGAGAATGAAAGAAGGATTATGTTTCCTATGCGGAAAGAAGGGCCATATAGCCAACGACAGACAATTTCACCCCCAGTCTGGAAGTTTCACCCGTGCTAGAACGATACAGCCCGGGTTGGACACAGACACGATCACATGGATCAAGAAGATGCGAGAAGACCTCGCACAGAAGGAGACATCGAAGGAAGAAACCAGAGAGGAACAGATCGCCTATGTGCGAAACGTCTTCAACGACATGACTGATGAAGAACGAACCCAATTGGGTTTTTGAGACGATGGCCACTAGTAATGCATGGACCGTCGCATCTTACCGTATCTCCCCTCGTTATTTGTAACACTAGCGGAAATTCAATCACTGTGAATATTTCGTTGGGAGAGAAGGAAGACATTACAACAGAAGCCTTGATCAATTCCGGTGCAGCCGAAACGTTCATGAACATTCGTTTTGCAGAAGAAAACAATTTCATCAGATGGGAATTACCGAAACCGATTAAAGTCATGAATGCAGATGGCACACCAAATCAAATGGGTACCATTACTCATTGTACCTGGAAGATGATGAAAATCGGAGGAAGGAAGACACTTACTCGCTTCCTCTTGACCGGCATTGGCAAAGAAAACATACTTCTCGGCATGCCGTGGCTTAAACGCCTCAATCCGATGATCAACTGGGAAACCGGTGACTTTTGGTTTGGTAAAGACGCCAAATGGCCACTGAAACCCACCGTCGAAGATGCACCAGATGAAGAAGTTTCAATTTTCAAGGAAGATGGACTCCCAGAGTTAATCACCACCAAAACTTCCTCTACCTCGTTTGGGCATTCAGAATCTATCAGAGAAATCATGGCCGATAACACTGAGCGTGGCGAGTTACCCGCAGTGCGGAATAATACCGAACCAGATGACCCACTATCAGAACCCCCTATGGATCAGCTCGATGACAACGATCTAGTTATATCCTATATCGCAGGAGAGCCAATTATTGGGATATTTGAACCCATCAGGAAGGAGTCACCTTTGACGAATGAAGAAACTGAAACCGCAGTCTTCACCATACGAAGAGGCCCTGCCATTGGAAGAATGACACACAGTACCCGATCCCCATTATTCTGTAACGCACAGAATACGGTCTTTTACAAACCATCTGGTAAATCACAAGAATTGGCACAACAGGCACACAAGGAAGCATCAGCTGTAGACAAACCCAAAACTGTCAAGGAGTTGGTCCCCAACTACCTCCACGATCTGAAGTCCGTCTTTGAAAAGAAAGCAGCTGAACGCTTTCCAGAAACCAGGCCTTGGGACCACGCCATTGACTTGAAACCCGATTTTATTCCACGCGACTGTAAAGTCTATCCGTTATCGCTCAAAGAACAAGGAGCGATGGATGACTTCCTGGAAGAAAATCTGTGAAAAGGATACATCCGACCGTCAAAATCTCCCATGGCTTCACCATTTTTCTTCGTAGGAAAGAAAGACGGAGCACTACGTCCCTGTCAGGATTACCGATACCTGAATGAAGGGACGGTGAAGAATGCCTATCTTCTTCCGCTCATTTCTGACCTTATGGATCAATTCAAAGGCGCATCGATCTTTACGAAAATGGATTTACGCTCCGGATATAACAATGTCAGAATCAAAGATGGTGACCAATGGAAGGGTGCATTTAAGACAAATCGCGGACTTTTCGAACCTATGGTCATGTTCTTTGGACTCTGCAACTCCCCGGCAACTTTCCAAATGATGATGAACGCACTCTTCAAGGACATGATCGATGAGGGATGGATAGTCATTTACATGGATGATATCCTCATCTTCTCAAACAATTTGGAAGAACATCACGTTCGAACCCGATGCGTACTCCAACGACTCAAAGACAACGACTTATTCCTTAAACTGGAAAAGTGTTTCTTTGATGTTAAAGAAGTCGAATTCCTAGGCATGATCATTCGAGAAAACTACATTGGCATGGACCCTATCAAACTTAAAGGAATTGCAGAATGGCCTGAACCAAGCACAGTAAAAGGTGTTCGCTCTTTCCTAGGGTTTGGAAACTTCTATCGGAAGTTTATTGCCAACTTCTCGGATATTGCCAAACCATTGACGAATCTTACGTGCACTGCCGCTGGATCTCCACCTTTTGAATGGACAACAGAATGTCAGACAGCTTTCGACACATTGAAGCAACGATTCAGTACCGCCCCAGTACTGTTACTGCCTGACAAGGCAAAACCCTTTATTGTTGAATCCGACGCTTCCAAGTTTGCTACGGGTGCAGTTTTACGCCAAGCCGATATCAATGGAGACCTCCATCCTTGTGCCTACATTTCACAGACGCTCAATCCAGCTGAACGGAACTACGAAATCTACGACCGCGAACTCCTCGGAATCATTCGAGCCCTCACTGAATGGCGCCATTATCTTGAAGGCTCTCCCCATCCCGTCGAAGTTCGCAGTGATCACAAGAACCTCACGTATTTCCGTACAGCTCAGAAGTTAAACCGCCGACAAGCACGATGGAGTCTCAAATTATCACAATTTGATCTTCACCTCATCCATGTCCCTGGCACTCAGATGATCCAATCTAATGCGCTCTCTCGTCGTAATGGACTCGATGACAGTGAGAGTGACAACGAAGATCACATTCTTTTACCCAATGCACTATTCGTGCGATCCATTTCCCCGACACTATTCGACGAAATCAGGAATCATGCAGCAAAAGACCTCATTTTTCACGAAGCCCTCGAAGCGATTGCGCACAAAGGGCCATTCCCCATGAAATCATCGCTTTCCGACTGGGAAGTTCGTGATGGTGTCATCCTCTACAAGGGAAAGATTTACGTTCCACCATCCGAAACTCTTCGTCGTGACCTCGTTCGACTACATCACGACTCCCCTGCCATGGGTCACCCTGGAAAGTTCAATACTCTCGAACTGTTATGTCATGAATTCTGGTGGCCCGGCATGTATACATTTGTCTACAATTATGTTGAAGGCTGTGCCGCCTGCCAACAAATGAAACCGAATACTCATCCAACTCGTATTCCTTTGGAACCAATTCCCGCCGACCCACACGCATTACCATTTTCCTGTTGCACCACCGATTTTATTACCGACCTCCCCATTTCCAACGGTTTTGATTCAATTATGGTCGTAGTAGACCATGACCTTACGAAGGGGGTGATTCTTACGCCCTGCCTCAAAACGATCACAGCCGAAGGAACGGCCAAGATTTTTCATGACAAAGTATATTCGCAATTTGGATTACCCGACCGAATCATCTCGGATAGAGGACCTCAATATGCATCCAAGGTCTTCCAAGAGTTAAATCGACTACTTCAGATCAGATCATCAATTGGCACAGCTTATCACCCTCAGACAGACGGAGAAACAGAGCGAGTCAACCAGGAGCTGGAAATCTATCTTCGACTCTATTGCGGAAACGACCCTGAAACATGGGCAGACCGCCTGCCAGACCTCGAGTTTTGTCATAACACAAGGGAACACTCGGCACGGAAGATGAGCCCATTCCGCATCATGATGGGATACGAACCACGTGGACTCCCTTCTGTATTTCCGACCACGAACATTCCATCGGTTGAATCCAGGCTTGACATGTTGCAGAAGATAAGACTAGAAGCACTAGCCATGCACGAGTTAGCCCGACAACAGATGGCGGACCGAGTCAGACAAGGATCGCCGAAGTTTACACTAGGACAGAAGGTCTGGCTAGACTCGAGGAACCTGAAGGTCAATTACGCCTCGCGCAAGATAGCACCAAAGCGTGAGGGGCCATTCGAAATTGTTGAAGTCATCGGACCAGCCAACTATCGTCTCAAACTCCCGAAGACCTGGCGAGTTCATTCCGTATTCCACGCCGCCCTTCTATCTCCTTATCGCAAAAATGACATACATGGTCCGAATTACGTGAACCCACCACCTGATGTCGTTGATAACGAGGAAGAGTACGAAGTCGAAGCCATCCTGAATCACAAGACATACCGAGGTCATCTGAGGTACTTAGTCAAGTGGAAGGGATATTCTTCAGCAGAAAACTCGTGGGAACCTACCCACAATTTACAGAATGCCAAGCGAATCCTCGATGCATATAAAAGGACCAGGAGAATCCAGTAGAGGAGAAGAAACCCAGAATGACTACCACGACGGTTTTCCTCATCATCTTTCTAATCGTCCTCCACTGCACAACCCTCACTTTTCTTTGGATCATCCATCGAATCCTTATCAGACGACTTGTCGAACACACACTCTTCACGCGAGACAGCCCGCACGCTAATGGCTGGGGTGATCAGAATGATGCCTGGAACTGATCAGGCAGCTCTTATCTCTGTGGGAATACTCTTTATCGTCCAATGGATTTTCATCTATTTGATTATTACCCGGATCCACGACATTCTATTTCACATCACAGATAACCGTGATCCCCTTAACGACCGAAAGGTATAAAAGGAGGAGAAGACGATATATCATCAATGCCCACTTCCGCTATAGATGACCTTGTTCACAATATACTCGCTGAAGTCGCCTCCACAATTATGAGCATACCCGCATCGCCTACACTTGTCAATGGAGTACCCTCTCGAGCACAGACACCCTTTATCCGCGCCTCATCGCCCTCACCTTCTATCGAACTCAGTCACGCATCGGACGAACAAGAATTTGCCACATGTCTGGTCTCGGCTATCCGTGTTCCTGTCGACTTCACAGATATCCTCGTCGCCTTACGAAATCGCCCGCAAGATCGACAAGCAGTGGTTTCCATGCAACGAGCATTAGAAATGGTCGAGTGGATGCAGACGGCCAGACAAGAGCTCATCGCAGCAGAGGAAAGGACGAGTAGAGCCCGAACCAGAGTCGACCAAGTCTGGTCGTTAATGCGCAGTACGGTCACTCATACAGCACAGGAGATTTGGAGGGAGCATGGGGATGAAGACATCGGACACATCCTCGGATACACCACTAATAAAATACCCGCATCCACTCCTCGCTCGTCGCCAGAACCAATTCCCGTTCGACCTCGCCCTCCTCGTTCGCACGTACCCAGTGGACGATCTCCGTTATCCCAACCATCTTTCTCGACCGCATCCACTTCTTCGCGTCGCAGTCATCCCTACAGGGATGGACGTATCCCCGAACAAGGATCACGAACCAGCCGGCGGACATGCTACAGATGTGGAGGAGATCATTATGTCCGCGATTGCCCCCGACGACGATGAAGATCACAATATTTCTTGTGGGACAAGAAACGTTAGATGGGAGCTGATGTTACAACGCTCCTCACTTGTGGCGCGTCTTTTCCTTTTTCTTTTCCTTGTTCCCTTTACGTTACCACGTGATCCAACACGTGACTCATCGGAGCGCAACCTCCGATTCTTTACCCAGATGTCTAGAACCCCTAGTCTGGGGTTACACCGGATCCAACTCCGGACCTTCTTCTTATCGCACATGCAAGACGTGCATGTATGCCTCATCTTTACCTCGTTCTGATACACGACTCGTTATCCCCATTAGTACTGATTATCTCTCACGACCTTACTCAGCTTTCTCATACATATTACTTCCTCGCCGTTACCCTGCCCAGATATCGTCTCACCTTATCTAGCCAATGAACGATCCCACATTACTGCGTAGTACTGCGGATACCTTTTGTATAAATAGACGACCTTGTCGAGCTGGATCCCCATCTCGACCTGGTTACCATTAAACCAGCTTTTCACTTGCCTTTGGCTGAAATCGACCGTTAGTAGCAGACAGCTACTACGAGTCATAAGAACGAACTCTGATCGACCTTCAGTGCGAGGACATCGCCAGAAGTGTCACTTGAACGGACTTGTGTCTTAGACTAAGACCTTGTCTCGTGACAACTCGACTTGATGCTCGTGTTTTGCTGCCGCGTAACAGCCGACGTCCAACGCACTCAACAAGCTCGGGCGCGTCTTGATAATGCATGTGTCAGTGACGATGCTGCTGATGCAGAAGCCATGGCCCAGTCTATTATGGAGAGAGACATGGTGGCTAGACGTGCACAGCTGGCCTCGCAGTCGGGTGGCGCAGTCGTCTCTCTTGCCCCCGATGGAATCCACCTTCAAGCCACGGAAAATGGTTTCCTCTCTCCTTGGGTGTGCATCTCGCATGGTACATATAAGCACGATGTGGCCTTCATGGAGTCGCGAGAGGACTCTCTCCTCCGCATCTGGGTGGTTCTGCGCTTGCCTACTACAAAAAAGCGGCAGCACGGAAGAACTTCTCAGCAACTGATGCCGCCAGCATTACTGAAGGAGTTGTTCAGAGAGGCTGTGACAGAAAGCGAAGGTGATCGGCTGATACATATTCTCAAGGGCAAGAAGTTCAAAGGCGGCCTCCTGCAGCTCGAACTCACTTTGGACCGGGTGACTTTCGATGTCCACGCGACTCGAAATGACGTATTCGTCTTTAATGCGGCAAAATTCGTGCCAAAGACAGCGATAGCGAAGCTCATTCTATTCTGTGTTGACTTCAAACCGGCTGCAGGCACGCGTGTGATCATTATACAGGGCGAGCAATGCGGCCTCATCGGTGTCGTGCATTCAGTCATTAATGGACAGGCTACGCTAACCAATCTCTACCACGAGAAGTTGGATGACGAACTTTCATCTCTCGTGCTACCTGTAACTCAGTTACACCCCCTTTGGGCAGTTGGCGATGCGGTCAAAGTTAAGACGGGCCTCCATGCGGGCTTGGAAGGGCAAGTGATTGCCGTGGATGATTTCGATGTCACAATTGTTCACACGAACAAAGTCGAGGTACGTTGTGCACTTCTCATGCAATTGCAATTCTTAATAGCGGAACTTTCCTCAGCATGTATGTTCTACGTACGACGATGCTTCCAAGTACTGAACTTTTCTCAGCGAACTAGAAACCCAATAATGGGAGTCTTTCATACTTCTTCTGTGTTGGAAACCTCTGAGGTATGTCCCACCACCTGCGATGTTATCGATGCTCAAAACTCGATATAGCATCATGTGTTACCCTGGGATCTCTTACTCCAGAGTCTGAGGCGGAATGGACCTCAATACAGCCGTCGGTGACAGTATCAAGGCCGGGAGAGCAGCGCCCCTCATGCTCTGAGACGCAAACAGAGGAAGAGGTGGAGATGGAGCTTGCCCTCAAGCATCCTGACCGACAGAATCCCAACATCGGGCGAGTGGTGCGTGTCATCAAAGGCCCTTTGAAGGGATTTGTGGGCACATTGCGAAACATCATGTACCACGGCGATTATGAGGTTGAGCTTGAAGCCAAGCTTTTAACCTCGAGGGGCGTCCTCTTGTTCCGAAAGCCCAAGATCGCATTCCGGTCAGAAGAAAGGTAAGATTCATTACTTGTAGTTCTGGTCATATCTAACTGCCTCATTGCAGGGGCAACATCGACACAGCGGAGCGTGGTCCGCTCCCTGAGCGGCCTCGGACCCCATTGGGCCACGAATTAGAACCCACATCACACGACACAGATTCGGCGTGGGGGTATTCGGTGAAACTTGATGGTGCGTAACCGCGCTGCCGCTACCGAGCGTCCGCTGAATCCACATTAGGACCCGATGGATTGACATCTTCAGTCGAACCTAATGGTGCGTAGCCTCATCATCAACACAAAATGTCCGCTGAATTCACATCAGGACCCAATGGATGGATGCTGGATGCGGCTGTGGCACCTGTGTTCCATACTTATCGCTTCAAGTTCATGTGCACAGCCGGTCAACTCCAAGACAAGCTGATGACCACGGTGAAGGGAGCCTCCCCAGTGGACGGTAAGGTGTGATGCGAATACCGGACGCGAAAGCTGGAATATGCCGATGTCTCTCTCCAAGACCTCGCCATATTGCGACCAGGCCCTGGCGATTATGCGATCGTGTGTAAGTGTGGCCCCAACTTCGGAGCGTACGGCAAAACAATGCGGGGTGTGGCAGACCCGCTTGTTCTAGTACTGGAAGAAGGCGGCAGGACACTTAGGGTGGATAGGGATGACTTGGCCCAGCTTGTGTGCAAATAAGTGGTTTCCTCGTAATTTTACGTGCTGTTCCTGTCTCTTGCCCTCGTCGTTGCATCCTGCGCTGTTTGTCGATGTCCTGTCATTTGCCGCTTTCTTATTATATACAGTTAATGTACTTCCTTTGATCGAACTTGTGCTTGTGCTTGTGCGATCTCCCACAACCAGTTGAAAAGCCGCTGAGCGGTACACTTGGCGATCCAATAACCACTAAGCGGCCATCGAGTGTGCCACTCGTCAAGCCGCTTAGCGGCGCTATGGGTGTCCGACCTCCTTACAGTTTGAATATTAGGTCGAGGGTTTGAGGCCCTGACATCTCACCTCATATATAGACTCTAATGTCAAATGTCAAATGATCATACATTGTAACTTTGTGTCGCCCTTATACTAGTTCAATATTTAATCTGTTGTCTGCCCTGAAAGGCATAATGTCAATCAGAATTTCTTCCCGCCGGACATGCCGAACGAGACCTAAAATTTTCGGACGAATGTTATATGGTAACATAGCCATTTGCGAACATTGTATATGTCGCAATATCACACATTATCAATGTGTGATTTGGGTATCGCATGCCCAGACATCAGGCCTTACATTGTAAACATATTTTCGACCATCGGAGCTACATATGGGCCGTCATACATGTACAATGTTAGGCCGGATGTTCCCACAATGTAAGGAACTTAGATATTAGTCCCCGTCTCCGATGTGGGGTGAACGTTGCAACCGGGGAGAAAAAATCTGACTCTGTTTTACATAGGGGCTTTTATATTGAAGCCTACGACTCGAAATACTATGACGTATATTCATCCACTTGGTCCAATACTACGGTCAAGAGCCCACCATGAGAGAAGTGTTGGAGACAGTGATTGGATCACCGACCGCGCCGCGTTGTCCAACGTGCATGATGAACCAAGCGACTTCAACTGCCTTGCGCTTTTGCGACACAGTAGACATTCCTCCAGCGGGCCCACAGTTCCCGTCGCGGCCAGTAGCACCATCCATATCCTCAATCACCGTCGGGAAGGGTTTGTAAGTTAAAAGCCACAGCATCACGAACCTCCCGCATATCCCAAGGCCGCAGTAGACACCGCAGTCTTGCATACGGGTACCTATCTCGAGCGGGATGTCGTCCAACAGCGAGATTAGTGCATCGTGAATCGGTCCGACGAGAGGATGTTTGTTGAAATGGGCGATGAAATTGCGGAATCCAGAAGGCAGCTTCGGCGCCTGCTGCAGGGAGTCACAGTGAAGGCTCCAGCTGAACGCTGAAGCCTGAGGCCGAACACGTAACTTCTCTACGCCCAGTCAGGCCGCATAGGCCATCCAATCAGTAATTCAAAGGATTTGTAGGTGTACCAGCTTTTAGTACAAGAAGACATCTAGTACGGCACATGGACCGTGTTGTACAACAGGACATCGGGTACAACAGTAGTACAACAGTAGACATCGCGTACAACAATGAGGAGATCACGTACAACAGCTGGTGCATACAACAAGATGGATAGCATACAACAATACCAATTCCGCGACAACGATAGCCCAGCTACAGCGGCGCTTGTACATGATGGTCGTCATGTCGTCATTCTCGTGAAGCGTTCATTCGTCGGCCTGCAGGGCCAAAGCCTCAGCCTTTGCTGACCTGGGCTTGATGATACAGTCAAATGGCTCTGGCGTGCTGGCAGGTGTACATGCACAGTCAGTGGGGATGCCGCGACCATGATGCACTAGTGTATCACGAACCTAGTGACGTTCGGCGTAAACGCCGGCTCCGGGATGATTTCCTTACCGTCCTTGTCAAGAGTATAGCCGACAGTGAAGGTGGCCAGGAAATTCGCGATGAAGATCCACATGCTGTTTGCTGCGAAGTCGGACCCTGCGCAACGCCTAAAATACCATCGCCACTTCAGAAGCAGGAGATCATACACTGAGGGAGAAGCATACCTTCGTCCAAAGCCAAAGGAAGCGACCCGATGCGTCTCCCCATATCCTTGAGGCTCGGGCAGGAATCGTTCTGGATAGAATCTATCAGGATCTCTGTAACCTTCGCGATTCATCGCTCTGCAACAGGGATGAGTCCACATCACTGAGTTCAGCGAATTAAGAGACACTTACCGGGTATTGGGAATCACATAAGTTCCTTTCGGAATGAACATCCCGTTGTAAACATCGTCCTCCATGGATCGGTGAGGGACCCCTGGAAAAAGACACATCATTATCAGCCATATTTAGATAGACGTCAAATATGCGAACCTAGAGGAATGACGGGATGCCACCTGTGAACTTGATGTCAGCGCCTGCCACAACTTTTCGGAGAGATGTGCACTTGCCTAAGCGTCTCCTGGATCATACAGTCTACGTAGGGCAGGCTGTCACGGTCGCTGAAATCCGGAAGGCGGTTGGTACCGACGACACGGTCGATTTCTTCCTGTGCCTTTCGCTGCGTCTCCGGGAATAATAATATCGCATAGAGGAAGGTGCGAATACCCGAAGTCACCTGCAAAAATGTCAGCAAAGCGTGCAGACCGGCGCATCTCATTTCTCTAACCGTGTCAACGCCACCTACGACAAGGTCGTCAGAACATCAGATAAACGCAGATGAGTCGATTGACCTATGTAGAGACTGGCTCCAAGAGATTTGATGTCATTAAGCTCTTCTTCAGAGTCGACCCCTTCGCGGTGCACGCGTTCCAGGTGTGCTGATGTGAATGACGGCACGGCAGTTCCAGCAGCCTGATATATCGCGTCAGAGATCGTCCGACAGTCTGTAGAACTCAACGTGCCATCTGCTTCTGCACCATCTGGAAGGGGTTGTTGACGAGCTTCGAGATCAACGGTCGGTACTTGTGGGCAGGTCCAGTCAACGACGACGCTCCGGGCAGCCAATAGGGCACATAACGCACTACAAACAACGCAGTCAGTAGGGGTAGCCAGATGTTCAAGCAGAACACGTACAAATGGGCAAGATATCAACTGGTGCTGCACCAATGTTCACCGCCTCCAGACTATCCAAGGCCTCCTTGGCAATTTGGACAAACTCATCGTCATCTGAACGAACTCGATGTCCATACGCAATATCCATGATAGATGCAGTGGCGAATCTGCGATGAAGGATCTCATATCTCGCCAAGCAAAATTGAGATGTGACGGATATACATACCGTCGAATCGCCCAATCAAATTCCGCTGGGCGAGCCAAAATATTCTTCAACATGAGGTGGGTCTCACGGATATGGAGGGGATAATAATCAGGTAGCTTCTTGATGTTAAGATACTCCTGCATCAACTTGCGATGCCTCCGCCATTTGTGGCCATATTCCAACAGCGTCAAAGCCCAGTCCCACCCCATACTACACACCATAAAATCAATGATGCACGAATTCACAACAAACTGTAACTTACAGCTCGAGCGACGGACTCCTCGGGCGGTCACTGTAGTTTGCACTCCTCCCCTCCAATAGATCCGTTGCAATTTTGAAGGAACTGACCACCAACAGCGATTGCCCGAGAACGTTCAAGTAGAACATATCGCCTGCGAAACGCAAGGTTAATCAACATGTGCGAGATCAGCTATGACTTGGGTGTGAATCACCGTACTCCGCTGCCCACTTCTGGAATATTTCGCAGTGGTGGATTGGTGGCAGCTTTCGCAGATGTCCGATCAGTGGATCAGCAGGGGGGCCGGGTGGTAGAGGCACGGTGCGCTTTGGTCGGCGCAAAACGAGTACAACAGCAGCAACGAGCAGAACAGCCGTCACACAAAAATTCAAAAGCTCCATCGCGTAGAATCGACCGACGTTAACACCGAGTCTTAGAAGACGAACACCGTCGGTGGGTCACATTTTCACCCTTGAAATCCATCGAGCATTTGTAGGCTCGCAGCGCGCAACGAGGCGATAATCCACCGAGTACTGGGGAACTGGAGACATCAAGTGGTTCGATCTCAAACACGAACGGAGATTAGCCTATGGTCATCAACTGATGAATAGTACGTACACAGGATAGACCTTTCGATAAGGAAACACACCAGGCTAGTATGCAATTTGATTACGGCGGAACCGCATCCCGGGTACGTTTCACGCAACCTCGATATACGCAATGCACAGGTCTATGGCTAGTCAGTGCCCCCCATTTGAAGGCGCAGATGGCAAGATCATAAGCATCTCAACGAACGTGAATAGTATCGGATCGCCTTCTTGTCTTAGCCTGAACGGGGGAGATTAGCATAACATGATCTACACTTCCACGTACAAAGGCAAGCAGTACTTACTACGGTAATCAGCAGCGACGCTGTGAGTACGGCTAAGGGTGTCTCTCGACCATCGGATAACTAACTTTGAGGACTTTTCAGGTGCCTTGGAGACCCCAGCCTCGTGAAATCGCAGAAGAGTCGCGATGTCTGCGATGTCTGGCACAGAAACTGTCGCCGTTCACATATTCGATATGACTCAACGGCGTCGACGATGTCGAACAGCGAATCTTCTTGAAAATCATTGGGAACCGACATGCAAGGCAAACGCGAGGCATGTACACAATCTATACCATGAGGAGAAAATCGATCAGTTGGACTGAAGTCAATGTCTCGGGTAAATTTGGATATTCTGCAGACACACCTTATGGCGTCTAGTTTGGTGATGCAGGTATGCGATAGACTCACGCATGATATAGGTACCGGCGTAGCTCTATTCAAAGTGGAGGCGAGGCAGCCTCAAGGCAACAGCGCGGCAATCGCGTGCACTGCACGATGAAGTCACATGACTAACGCGGTCAGATGCTTGAGCGCTTATTTGACGCGCCTGCGGACACTGGCAAGGTTCCGAGGCCGTTGTCTGCAAGAGTCGCAAGCCCCGTGAGAGAATGTACTGGGCGACAGCTGAAGGCAAGCTACTCTCGTTGAGTCCAAGTTATGTAAGCAGTAGTATTTGACATCGTCCTTGTATTGGCGAGGAGAGCTGATGCGTTCTCCCAGGTGGAAATGTACAAGGCTTGGGGTGCTGACTATCATAACAGGTTCAGCGGGTTCGGAAAAGTTGTGGGTGATGACCAAAGCGCCTGGATCACTGTAGCCATATATGTCGTGAAAGAGATGTGTATACCATTTCCGCTGCGACTAGTCAGGCGAAGCTCTTGATGAAGGTTCATTCAGAAACTCGGATGGACACTAGGGCAATACAAGTTGCAGGCAGCCTTTGCTACCCCTTAGGCCTCAACCGGAGCATTGCTCTTCGAATGCGCCAGAGGATGTGGCATCTTCTTCAAACGCTTCCATCTGGATAGCAGAACCAGAGCGTCTCATCAGCTGGCTCAATGCGAACAGGGGCAGTGATGCGACATGCTAGCACATACCAGGTGCACGCGAGTCGACGGACTTAACAAACCGATACTGAAGCAATGAGTATTAGTTCCAGCGCATTGTTGTTACAGTTCATGCACATGTATCGGCCATACGTCAAGCACCGGAATCATGGGGACACGTGGAGGCATGTCAGATCACTGCTTGGCACCAGGTTTCTGCACTGAATATGACATGACTTGGATGGCAGTGCGGGAAGTCAGTAGGTAGCCAGGAGGTGAAAATTGGAGTCTCATTGAAGACGTGTAATCAGGACTAGTTACAGTGCTGTTGAACGTCGTTTCCTCCTGTCGTACATCTAGCCACTTCCAGCACCAACTTACGTGATACTGATCTTGGCGTGAGCAGGTGTCCCTCGAGTATCAACTGCAGATCATGGAGTTGCATGCTTGACGAATTACTTCGCGCTCAAAAGTTGAGCCGCATACGCCGAAAGGCTTCCAGTGGACGGCTGAAGTGTTGTTCGGCGAAGAGTAAGGAGAAAAAATAGGAACTCGACAGCTGCCATGGAGGAGGATCGACGAGAAGTTTGACTAAACTGTCAATTTACAGGTTTCGCTGTAACTGGCGCATAAGTACAGCCGCACCAGATCGGCAGTCTTCGCTGAAAGCGACGTTTCAATCGGGAGCGACCCAACATCTTTAGCGCCCAATTTGGTAAGGTTGCTCACGTGAACGTCTGGTTACGAGACTAGCACTGCGACAGTGCGAGGATAAATCAGATTGCACTGGATGCAATTTCCAATAAATTGGCGGGAGTACATGAATATTATTTGAAAGATAGAGTGAATAAATTTAGTGTAAGTGGCACAGCTTACAAGAGACTTATCTGAAAGTTATTTGAAACCTATTTTAAAGTAGAAATAACTTCATAATAAGTTTTTCATTTCTAGGATAACTTTCAGATAAGTCTCTCCTAAGCAGTGCAACTTACACTGAATTTATTCACTCTACTTTTCAAATAACTTTTGCATAGTCTCCCCAACTCATTGGAAATTGCATCCAGTGTTGTGTACAAGCAGGAATTCAAGAGGCAGAGGTGTTCGCGAGTTATTTTTAAATTCCTAATTTAAAGTCAATGTTATGGTACAAATCCGCACTTCCGCTCGACTTCCACTCTCGCTAAGTATCGTCTATAGCGATTCGCATTAATATTTGGTTTCTTCTATCTGTGAGGCTGCGTACCCTGAGACGTAGCGACTAAAAAAGTCGACGTGTAGTCGATGAAAACTTGCTGGCAGGCGGTTGGTCTGTACATTTGTGAAGTGATTGCGTCGGCTCGTCCAGCTAATTTTCGGAGCTCTCACCTATGTTTGACCAGGTTGGCTCCAGTAGAACGGTGAAGTTCCAACGATAATCCATGTCGTCACAGTAGTTCGGTGCCGTGGTTCGCAATCGAAATTTGCATCCACGAGTCTCATGACCGTGACGCGAGGTGACGATCAATCCGAGTCTTCCAGACAGTTCCGGGTACGCAACTTGGTTTCAAGAGGAAACGAAGATTCCGAAGATGTGTACACTCTTGATGTAGTGACACATTGATGCTCTGAACGGGATCGAATGACATCAAGGTGGAGCTGGGCATATCCTGGGCGGACAGGGTATGTACCAGATGGATACGGACCCACATTCTAAGTGGCCTATGACGTGCGCTGCTCCTATACACAGAGCCCAGGCGCCCTAGCCCACTCACGATGACGCTGCGCCCACGCCCACCCTATATAACATTTCCAACCCGTTGCTTTCAATCCCCACAATTCTATCATGTCTTTTCCGCAGACTAAGAAAGATATCAGCGATCGTCCCGCTGCCTGCTCCGTAGTCGAGCCTGTCGACAAGCAGGCACAGGCTGCTGACGTCGACCGCAAATTCCGTTTCTATGACTTCGTCACTGCTTTGCGCCAGTCTCGCATGCCTACTAACCCGCAGATCGAGAACCTCCTGTCCTATTCGCTCGAGCACTCGCCCGTCCCCATCGACCAGCTCTCACCCGCCGGCCAGACACTCATTCGCGACGCCCGCGAGGTCATCAACACCCTCCGCCAGATTATTGAGGAGAAGAACGCGGACGAGGTGCTCCAGAACTTCGTCTGGCACACTCGCGACGTGGACGCCGATCGCGCGAAGAAAGACCCCAACGAGGTGCTTCCCGTCGGGCAGGACAAGGCGCGCTCCGACGCTCAGCAGGCAACCCAACACCTGCGCACTCTCCTTTCTCTCGTCCTCACTAATTCCGAGGTCCGCAAGTTGATCTCTGACTTCGCTGTCATTGGCCGCAACTTGCTCGCCCGTGGCGCCGTCAAGATTGCAGAGCAAACTCGTCCCGACCAGGAGCGTCTGCGCCAGGTTGACGAGCCTGGTCTCGACAACCGTTTCTTCTCTGAGGGCGAGCACGAGGTCGGCCTTAATGAGACACCGGTACGCTGTCTCTCCTGTCTTCGTATGTAGGTGTTTGATAATTATCCTCCCATATAGATCCCCGGAGCTCGCATCCCGGGAACCGATATTCGCATCTCGCAACATCCTGGTGAAGAAGTTGGCCAAGGTGCGAAGATCCAGCGTGATGAGACGGGCAAGGCCATGAGTGGCGCTGAAGCCATGGGTCAGGCTTCTCAGAGAAAGGAAGAAATAACGGAGCGGACAATGGTTGGTCTCATTTTTTTCTATTCGTAGCATCTCGTTCTCACTAGCCGCATCAGAGCGAAGCCCAGAGTCACGAAGAATATATTCAGCGGGATGTAGTTGATGTTCCTGAAAACTCAGAGGAGACTGCATCTCAAAGCAAGAAGGAGAGTTTGCAGGGCAAGATGACGGGCATGAAGGTGCCATAACTCTCCTCCCATTCATCCCGATGAAGCTGAACGAGCACGATCATCAGGACTCCATTACTGGCCGTGTACCTCAGGAGCACAAAGACCGCGCGAACGAGCATGTAACTCGTGTGAAGAATTTCCTCTCAGATGAATACTTCCCTAAAGAACGTCGTGAGCAGCTCATTTTCCGCGGTAAGAAGGTAATTTCACGCTGTACACTGCAAGGCGTCTTCAGCTCACGTTCGTGTCTGCGCAGGTCATCGTCGAGTGCCAGAGCCATGAAGACTACCAGGGGTCCATCCGTTGGCTGCTCGACACCCTTGAGGAGTACTCGACGCATGGACGCACTATCGCGGGGCACGGCAAGGACTCGTACCAGCAGCTGACTTCCGACCCGTCCCTGCAGCAGTCTACTCGCGAATTGCGTACTCTGCTCGAGCGTTTTGCCAACGGCATGAGCCTCGACGTGATTGGCGACGCGATGCATGTCCTGTACGAGGAGGCGCAGCGAGATGAACAGCTCCGCCACTGGTTCCATGACCTCGATGCGTACATCCGTGAGGTCCTGTTGCAGCCCGGGTATGTGCTCGACGAGCAGTGCAACGAGCAGGCGAGCGAGCTCCAGGAAAATGGCCGCCGCTTCTACGACGAGAGGTATAAGGGGCACTTCGACAACCTTTTTAATGCCTTGACGGATTGGTTTGGTGCAATCGCTCAGGACCCGCTTAACAAGCGGTAACTATCCATATCTTCTAGAAACCCTTTCTTCATTGACGATGGCTCTTAGTTTTGGCAATGATTGCGCCCGCTTGAGCAAGGATCTTCTGTTCGACATTGAGGGCAGTATCAAGTACAAGCCCGAGCTCTGGAGCGACATCAAGCAGGTCATTTTCCCAAGCCTCATCGCAAACGTAGGTCTCATTCTCCCTTTCACGTGCACTTGACTTGATAGCTGCCGACATGCAGATTGGGTATCTCCCCATTCCGCGCATCGAATACACGGACGATACGCTCGACCTCGTTCTGGAGAACCTCGCTCTTTCCGGACGCAACCTGCTCCCCAATGTGGTCAGCTTGGAAACACGTAACTTCCTGAAGTTCAGCCCGTACAACACCCTCAGGCAAGTGCCTCGGACCGCTCCCCAGGCTGCGTGCTGAGTCTTGGCGGACACACACAGGGACGAAAGTCACCATGAGCTTACGCTCACCCTCGCGCAGATCCAAGCAGATATGCGTGATATCGCCTTCTACTATCGCAAGAAGACCGGCATGCCGAAGGTGACCGACTCCGGCCTCGCCGACGTCCTCCTCGGCGGCAGTGGCCTTACGGTAACCGCGCACATCATATCTTCTGACCTCGACCGCTCGTCCGTGTTTAAGATCAAGAACGTGCAGGTGCACATGGACACACTAAAGTTCTCCATCCGCGACTCGAAGCACGACACGCTGTACAAGGCCCTCCACCCGCTCGTGCAGGGTCTTGTCAAGAAGCAGCTGCAAAAAGTCATTGGCGGTGCGGTGCAGACTGCGCTGGAATATCTCGACGGAGAGCTTGTCACTGTGCGCGACCAGATGGCTGAGACAATGGCTGAGACAACGGCGAGCGAGGAGCGTAGCCGGACTCAAGTGTTGCAGGAGGTGAGTGGCATTCCCTCTCAATCATCGCCTCGCATTATTGACACGTCCTTAAGCAACTATTCGCAAAGAAGGACAAGACAGAGGAGAAGGCAGACACTAAGGGCAGCCAGTTTAAAGTCGTTACTCAGCGCGGCGACGAGCTCCTCCCGCAAGTGGGCCGTCCCGAGGGTTGGGTCAACCGTGCGCTGGAACAAACCCAGTCTGCCTCGAAGGGCGAAGAGTGGAGAAGCGAAGCGTAAGTCTGTGCGGTGTTTATTGTTGACGATCGCTCATAATACCGTCCAACAGCTTTAATATGTTGTAATGCTATGCGTACCTAGCGCTGAAGTCACCACGAATGCTATGTATTTGTACGAACGAAATTGCAACAACTCTGCATGAAAACACGACACTGCTCTATAAATCAGATCGTGTGCTGTGGTATGTATGTTACAGACACAAATCAGTACTGCGATCTTGCGCATGAAATCATATCCATGCAGCCGACCATACCTTGAACTATATCCATCCTGGTAAGCCTTTATGAAACGCGCACGTGAAGCACATGTTGATGCCTTAAGTTTCACCGTTTCCGCGATGAATTCGACGAAGTTGGTGGGTGGCACGCTGCAGGAGGTTCTGCCAGAAATACGTTGACCTGACAATGACAATGACCATATGTTACCTGCTAATATTGTAGGCCTAGGGAGATTGGACTTGACGGAGGGTCAAACTGCCTTTGGGAGACCATGATTGACACGCAATTGTTCGCTGACGCCTCGGGTGCGAGTTGATGATGTCGAGGACCTGCGACGGGATTATACTGCCTCGGTCCGGTCAATTGGCAACCCCCAACATACGACGGGGCTTACCTGAGAAGAGAAGACTCGTAGGACACGTCTGACACTGCCAGGAGCGGCGATGTTCACGAACGTTCGTGGGGGTGTCAATTGTCATAAGGTGGTAGTGGCAAAGCTCTGAAAGAACTGCAACTTGATTTCCTGAGCTAGCATATATGACTTAGTATGATCAGTATAAACAACCAATCGCCAACCATTCGTCCACGGAACAAGGTCTAGTTTTGAACGAGGCCCAGACTGAGTGGAAGATGAGGGTCATGATCACGCTACATACTGACCGCCGGCAGCCCTGGGCGACGGGTAGCCCTGGTTGTACTTTTCCTATAACCACCTACCGTCTTACCCACGCGCAATATTGGAACATTGACACGGCTGCGGATTTTGGAAGAACTCCATGAACGTTTTATCCGAATCATGTCGTCGACTTGTCATCGTTGTCAGGAACAGACGTTCTGACAACTCAGAGACGCTCTGCCACCGCCTCGCTATACCAGTCGCTAGCCCTCAGATCCAGCCACTCCTTTCGAAGTTCTGAGGACTTGTGCAACGGCGGCGAACATGCGGCTCGCTGTGACTCTGCTGTTGCTACCGTCGCTGGCGGCGTGTGGGCTTTTAGAAGAGATCGAGCGAGGAATCAAGAAGATGGTAGACTGCGCCTCCTGCTATTCCATGCTGCCCACATTCCAAGCTGTCGCTCTTCTTGGCGATAGGGCTTTCGTCAACACCATTACCACCGCCTGCAACGACCTCCGAGTAAGCACATTCTGCTGTTGGTCGCACAGACGGCGTATCTGAGCAATGTTCTTAGATTGAGGATCGCGACGTCTGCGAGGGTGCTATCGCAACTCAAGGCCCCATCCTCGCTCATGACCTTCGGCACTTCTCATTGAGAAGCCAGACTGCCACCAAGTTCTGCGAGGCTGTATTCGGGCTCTGTCAGTCGCCACCGATCAACGAGTACATTGTTCCGTTTCCGAAGCCTGCGCCGAGCACTCCGAAGGTGTTCAAGTCCTCCGGAAGACCACCCGTTCAAGTCGTTCATGTCAGCGATGTGCATATAGACAGGCAATACACGGTGGGCGCCGAGGCGAACTGTACAAAGCCGATCTGCTGCCGGAATTTTGACGACGCAGGCCCTCACATCAAAGTACACGCAGCGCCACACGGAAACAGACACTGCGACTCCCCCGTCCTTCTCACCGACTCGATGCTCGCAGCGGTCAAAGCGTTTGCCCCAGAGGCACGCTTCTCAATCTTTACTGGAGACGTGGTAGATCGTAAGCCCACGCGCATTGTGTGTGAATCGTCTCGACTCTGAGATGCCTATGACAGATGCGGTCTGGGAAGTGAACGAGGAGTGAGTTGCAGGATGGACACGTCGCTTGTGTCCCCTGCTGATCCTTGCCGCAGCGGTGTCTCCAAGGACATGCAAGCTTTCAGTGAGCAGTGGGCGGAGAAGCTGGAGGGACCACTATTCCCCGCCCTCGGAAATCAGTGCGTGCAAGCCCTCTTCTGCAGACTTGTCAGTCGGACTCATGCTGTCGGTATTTGCAGCGAATCCGCACCTACGAACAGCTTCCCGCGCAACACGACAGATCACCCAATCAACTCGCAATGGGTGTTTGCCATACAGGAAGGCAGCTGGAGCGTACGCATTCCACTCGCTCCTTGAAGTCCCGGCCCCTGACTCTTCTCCTGTCAGCAATGGATTGGCCGCAAGGCAACTGCTCAGATCCGTCACAATTCCGGAAGCTATTCGACAATGGCGCCTGGTCTTAACCTGAAGTGCATCTGACCTGCATTGACGGAACTGCGTGCTGATGGCTGGTCTAGGATCATTTCTCTTAATACCGTGTACTGGTATAAGCAGAAGTAGGCTGCTTGCGTGACCTCGGGTGTTCCGGGACTGACCCATATTCATCGTTACTAGCTTCTGGCTGTACGACAGCAACGAGCATCAGTGAGCCCATTCCTTTTGGTGCTACGTGCTTGAGACTGGAAGGTCGTTTACAGACCGGACCCAAATGGTATCATCGCATACCTCGTGCAAGAGCTGCAAGAGGCCGAAGATGCAGGACAGCGTGCGTGGATTATCGCGCACATGCCCCCTGGCCGGGGAGATGTCATGCGCGACCAGGTGAACAAACTTTGTGTTTGCACCGGTCAACTCACAGTTCATCTCACTTCGTATTCAGTCGTACTACTTCGATCAGGTGATGCAGCGGTACAAGAACACGATTGCTGGTCAGTATTACGGTCACACGCACAAGGTTCGTTTCTCACTCCCTTGGCAAGTGGGGCGTGATATTAATATGTGTTCGTGCCGGAAGGACGAATTCGCCGTTGGGTATTCGAATTACAGCGATCTGACCGCGGGCAATGCAGTTAGTGTCGCGATGATAGGGCCCGCGCTCACCCCGATGAGTATGCTTGAGCCCACAGTTCCTGGATAAACAATGCTGAGCGTATGGCAATGCAGGTGGTAATCCTGCATTCAAGGTGTACGACATCGATGCAGACACGTTTGAGATCATAGATGCCAGAACTTACATGAGTAAGTGTCTAGGATCCATTTATACGTCGCGAGTTCTTACTTGGTACCCTTTAGGCAATATATCTGACCCATTCTATCAGCTCCACCGTGCGTTCAGTGTACTCCGGCGTGTTGGAACGTAGCTGACATATGTATCGGGCCTGCAGCGACGTGGGAGTTGTATTACAGCGCACGTGAGACATATGGTCCCCTTGTCCCCTCGCTCGGCGACCAATCACTCAGTCCCGCATTCTGGCACAACCTTACGGAAGTCTTCTATGCCAACGACACCGCCTTCCAGCACTATATCGCAGCGAAGAGCCGCGGAGCGGAGCACAAGCCATGCCGAGGGCAGTGCAAGAACGGCACACTGTGCGAGATGCGCACACTCAGAGCGGATATCTGTGTGAGTATCATCGAGCGGGTGACTTCTGCCTTGTGGAGATAGCATCGTTGATCGTGTTTCATCCTAGGGGTTCCAATCGGGCCCTGTGTTCCGGATCCCTGATCCTGGGGACCATCTCGAGGAGGCAGAGCACTATGACTCGTGCGAAGGCATTGGCATTGGCCACATCCTGAGGAAGATGAGAACGAAGGCTTCGTCGAGGATGGTACGTACCACTTCATACTGCTTCTCCCGTCGAGTGTCTCACAGGCTCCACTCACATGCGTATTTTCGCTGTAGGACGACTCATTGTCTTTGGACGTGGATGGCCATCCCAACCAGGCCATCTTTGACTTCTGAGTCATTATACCTGTGGCGGTTGGCTCTGAACAGTACATGGCCGCTCTTTCATACGTACCTTCATATCCCCTCGATAACAGTTTTGTAATGACAGGCTGCTGGATTGCCATGGACTAGCGGTTGTGTATGTATGGATGTACTTTCAATACACTGTGACACCATCTCGGAGACTACCGTGACCATACGTCAGGACTAAAATCTTGGTTGTCTATGTATTTGCATATGGTATCTGTTACATTGTACTCTTGGCAAGAATCGACGCATTTTAACAGTTAGATTAGACCTCAAGTTTGTCTACACCTGACCACCGTATCTCACAGTCCAAGGATCAGAAGCACCGGGGTACCCCGTGAAACTCTGAGGAGGGAACGGATAAGCACTCTGGCAATGCTGGCGGTGCGGAGAAGAAACCTGGCCACCGGACCATGACCGCATAGTAGCAATTCTGTCTGCGCCCTCTCTAGGTGAAATCGCTGGAATTATGATTCAAACTCGCAAGGACAAAACATCACTTAGCCATCGAATGAACAGGTCGGCGCCCGTGATAATCAGGATAGTTCATGGGCGGTGTTGTTGACAGCGATCATTTCCAGGAGCACGAGGAGCAAAGAGGCTTATTGAATCACCTTACTGGCAGGCTGAGACATGCTGATGTTTATCAGAAACAACGAACTTCACAAAAGCCGTATCAGACAAGAAGTCGAAGCCTGGGAATGCGCCTCGGGGAGCTTTCGCAGGCCTTCAGGTGACCTTTTTCCCAGAGACTCGAGCAGCATCAATTTCGGTGTTCCCCATTGCTCACGCATTCAGTGAGACAGAATGAGCGAGCACTGGTTGGTTCCAGGCGATGGTATGGGAGTACGGGGACTTAGTTTCCATATTTCGACTAGGTTGCCTTTCTGGATTGAAGATGCCTGTGTCAATCAATATTCCGCGAGCTTGGACCACCCACTTCGAGCGCTAGCCGCAGCGCGAAGTTCGCCGCGAACATTGTGCTCGCGGGAGAGAATTCACCTAAGAATAACAGATGTCTCACACCCTTATTGAGGTAGATCTCACTATGACTGTCTACACATATACAGCCCTCCGCACATTCTTCGTGAACCGCCATGAAGTCCATCCAAATCGCTCTCGATGTGGGTAGCCACAACATGCTTTTCCCTAGTACGGGAAAACAGGTTCTCAGTCTTATTATTCATTTCCTTGGTTCGTTATTTGTAATGCAGCCGTAACTGTGTCTTGTATTGAACGGAAACCCTCACAGGAGTCTCGATACTGTCGTTCCTCCTTGCCTTGAAATTCAGCCGTATACAGGACCTGACGTCGATATACGGACTCAGTCAGTTGAATGTGCCCAGGACTTTGATCCTTTTACTCTTTGTGGATTCGTAAGTGACAACATATTCGTTCAGAGAATTGGGCTCATACAATACCATTTGTTTCTCCAGATGGGCATTTCTGCTATCATGTCCGAGCTCCACATATTTAAGCGTTTTAATGCTTACATGACTTCGTTTCTAGCTGGCCTTCTTCTCCATGGTGTGGGTCTGGAACTCAGCGTCGGTGTGTGCGCCCTAGGTATATACATATGCATGGGATTCTACTGTGCATCGAAGATATTGATTTACCTGTTCCTCGGTACGGCTCACTCGATGTTCCACTTCGTGTGTCACCTGACGCTCGGGCTTCAGCTGAAAAGATCCATGTGGTATGGAGTCCTTCCAATCGCAAACGGTTCCAGTCGCCGATGTATATAGGCTGCTTTCTTGCCATATCCATATATGCAGCCGTTGTCATTCTCATTTTTATTGGTATGACGCAGTGTATCATACGATGCTTACGAGACTAACTTGCAATGTCTCAGAGCGCATCGCTTTCTTCAGATCGGATGGATCCTGTGTGACAGGTATCATGAAGCCGGGCTCCATCGCGCTTCTTGTTTACGACTTGCACGTATCTCTCATTTTTCTGTACCCACCTTTCTCATGTGGCAAACTTTACAGTCTGGTGAACATCCTCTTTACATCCCTCTTTTTGTGGCCTTTATTCCGAGCTCGTTTCCGCTCTGTCCGTGTGAAGTATATCGCGAAAAGAAATCTATGGTGAGTCGCGCTGTACCCACACTATGACATTCGAGCTAACTTAATGGATCAGGGCTGCAGTCGTCGCTCTATCCACATCTTGCATCAATATCATGGTACTTGTTATCATGCATGGGAAGCAACTTGGCTGGGTCTGTCTCGGCAGCTGCGGCACAGATGTGCGCATTTAGTTCTCCTTATGAGGTGCCCTTACTCAGTATCGACACAGATTGTTATCAACGCTATGGTGATGTACTGGGTGACATCTGGGAGAATCTCAAAGCCTGTGGAGATTATAGCCAACCAACCCGGAACCGAGAAGGACGGCGAACGTGAAAATACCGCCAGCCTAATGATCTTTGACTCACTGCATGACCATGAACCTGTGGTGGAGACTAACTCCACTCCTGACGTTCCTGACGATAAATCTACTGCTGTTAGCCTTAGTGCCGGTCCGCCGAGGAAGTTCTCACTGGCAGAGAGTATTCAGGGAGCGGCCGGGCAGGGATCTCCAGAGACTACTGATCGCGGGAATGCAAGGAGTTCGGTTGGACTGTCACTACATTCTCCTAATCACTCTGCGGGGCGATGTGCGCTCGAGGCGTTTGCTGCCTTCTTCAGAAGTGGGATCTCCCAAGGACAGGTGCAGGATGTGCAGGTAACGTTATGATCTCCGATTATTTGACCGGCTCTCAAGCAAGATTTCAGATTTCTGTCACTACAGAGTTGAGTGTGTCTAATAACGAAAGGTTCAACATTTCCTGTACCGACGCTTGACGGTTTCTTCAACTAGATGGACTGTATCGCGCCGCAGTGCGGGACATGTTGTACTTATTATAAATGCATGGGCAAGTTGGTTATTTAGGCGCCGTCGGTCTAGCGCCAGTTGCACTCATGTCCTTATACATCGTCAAATATCTCCATCAGGACGATACCCCTTCAATAAGCAGTGCTATGTTCATTGGTCTGATTCACTTGGCATATCCACAGATAAAACGGTGTACACTGCTTGGAGCCTACAGTCAATTGTACGTCGGTAAATTGACCATCAGATACACAATGCCAGCCTGGCATGCAGATAAGATGGTAGATATTGACCATACACACCAACTTTCATGACCACGTTGTCTGTGATACTGATCGCCAATGAATCGGCGACATCACGAAGCTCAGGTGGGTAGACACACAACGCACTAGTTTCTTGCTTTGGTGATCTTTTCCTGCAAGGTCAGGTGCAGCCCTTGTTTAGCGCATGTTCGGTCAACAGATAGTACTTTCTTTCCTCGAACAAAGCATATTGCGAGCGACACCATGGATGATCATTAAATAAATCCACGTTCCTACTGCACCTCAATCGCCGATCACAGAAATTTCCGTCTCGATCCATATTTTCGTTGCTAACACAGACCGCAAATAATACTCCTTACAACACTGATCCTTATCTGTGTTCCTCGCTCAGGTAAGAGATACATTGCCGCTTGCGCTCATCTATTCGCCGTTCGCAGGAAACTCCTGAGTGGCCACGATCTAAATCCAAGTAAGTAGAGGTCGCACATCGAGTTTCTATTTTAGTCTCACTTCTAGGATAATGCCTCTTCGCGCGTACCGGGGATGAGACCCTCATCCCCTCGCTCAAAAGCAATCGGTACCGTCTCTACCGCCGCAGCCATCGTCCTCTCGAGTGCTGAGAATGAGACCGCCGTCTCCGATGACATTGAGGGTGAGAGTACCGTCACCGCGATTCCTGGGAATGGGCTCACCATCACTGGGACCGGCAAGCGGTAGGGTGCACACGGTGGTGGCAAGGGTAATGATACACACGAGCGAAAAGAAGTTGGCGCGCATGGTGAAGGTCCTTGGGCAAGGAAAACTGGGGTCGTTTATGTGATTCTCCCTCATTATATACTAATTCCCCTTCCCCTCAGGGAACCTCAAAATGATCATCGGTCCTAAACAGGTGCAGAGGAGCTCCGCTGCCCGGGATTTGTTTCAGGCTGGTCAAACCATATCCCAAATCTGATGTCAAATTTAAGCAGATACGGACATTACGGGGCTTCCATAAACTCTTGACGTGCACCTTTTCTTCTCTGGCATGACATCCGGAATGCTTGCCGAAGCTGTTATTCCATACTCTGTTGATTCCTCGAACCCACAACCGATGGCTACGTGCTCGCGTATGCACCCCAGAAGGACGATGGATGCGTAAGGAGAATGAGAATTTTTTGTCCTTCCCATGCAGCACAGAATCAGCTACAGGCGAGACAGAAAAAAATGGGACTATCTGCGTACCTCCTCCCCTCTTTTTTGCATCTCGGCCGCGGCAGCACCATTAACAGGAAGAAGGTTCGGGGTTGCACAAGCATATGGCAGGATTCCATGATTGAGACTTTCGGTCCTGAACAGGTGAAGAAGGGTTCCGCTGCTCGGGTTTTGTTTCAGGCTGGTCAAACCATACCACAAATCTGATGTCAAATTCACGCAGATACCACGGACATTACACGACTTCCATGAAACCTTGTTGTGCACCTTTTCTTCTCTGGCATGGCATCTGGTTCTCGGAACGCTTGCCGAAGATGTTATTCCATGCTCTGCTGAGATGAGGAGACACTATCTGGTCTGACCCAAGCAAATACTCCTCCATAGAGTTCACGAGTTATAAGAACAGGCTACCAGTGTTCTTACGCCCCCGTTGCAATTGTACCAGGTGCGTTAAAGTGTATGATGTCATGCCCCTCGACTCGAGTCTCCTGGCGCTACTCCTGCCACAGCATCATCATGTGCTCACACATGTTTCATACCTTCAATGATGTGCTGAATGAGGAGAGCCAAAGGATGCACAGAGTCCACATTAACAGTCAGAGCTGAAGGCCGCCGAACGTCGCCTCGTCGCGATCCGAATCTCACATGGGATGGCCCTGTCGCTAGCAATGAGTACATATCGTTTGAGTTTCTACCGTGCGATCCGTGCTTATCTACGTACTGTCCGTGGGGCATTCATCTAACTTGCGCTTCGTAAGAGTGCCAGTGTAGATTCGCTGGTGCTTGTATATTCGTCCAAGATCTGTACTTCAAGAATCAAGTCACATTCGTGCTGCATGACACACAGCACGTAGATCACCGCCCGTATTCAATAGTCTCCCATTTAAAGGCCGTAGTGCAGCTACTCAGCTTCGGCCTTCGACTTTGGTACCGCAGGATATCTGCGGTTATTCGACAGTTACTCCAATTGAGTAGCTGATGATCCAGACAGCGACTTGCACCGGTATCGTTATCGCTGATCACTCATGTATACCCTCAATCCTGGACCCGGAACGCCGCACCGCATGGACTATGTTGCTGTCCCGTTGTAGATTAAACACAAGCCATATGTCCTTTGCTTTCCTCTATAGCATGCTGATATGAATTGCAAGGAGAAATCGACCTCACGTCCCCGCATGCCCACTGCAAGTAATAACAACAACAGGCGGGCGGCGGGGGATTTCTAAACCACTACTTGAATAAGGATTGAGGTTCACTCGCCAGGGAACCGCAGAGGGTGCGCGATATTTGCCAGTGCCTTGTCGACCTCGATCCGAGCTCGGGAGTCACTTGGTGTGTCGCTGGGGGAGGGAAGTAGACAAATCACAACCCTCCATGAGTGTTCTCCCGAAAATCACCTTTTGTCCGAGTACATCCCATAACATATTCGTGTGGTCCAAAGCACTGACACTGGAGGCAAAAGTGGATGTTCTGCCTTGGAACAGTGTCTGAACATCCAAGGAACAGATTACGTTTTTGGACATGTCACATGTTCTGAACATGGTAAGGAACATCTAATATGTCTCGCACAATGTTCCATTGGAGAGCATGCTGGAGACATGTTGCATGTACCATTCTGGAACATATAATATGTCTCACACAATGTCTCATTGGAGAATGTCCTGCAGACTTGCTGCATGTTTCATTCTGGAACATTTATCATTTTGCTACTATATTCTGGGCTTGTCTCTTGGTGCAATATGCTTTGTATAATAAGGATTTCCCATGGCCAAACACATTACATTTCTGGCCGCCGTTAATCTTCAGAACATTGTGAGAAGATGTTAAGTGCTCCTACTCCAAACATACAAGATGTCCTGGGCACCAAGAACATTTGCAGTACATGTAAAATTTTAGTATGATTTTAGTATGTATCATACATGTACTGCAGATGTTTTTGGTGCCCAGGACATCTTGTATGTTTGGAGTAGGAGCACTTAACATCTTCTCACAATGTTCTGAAGATTAACGGCGGCCAGAAATGTAATGTGTTTGGCCATGGGAAATCCTTATTATACAAAGCATATTGCACCAAGAGACAAGCCCAGAATATAGTAGCAAAATGATAAATGTTCCAGAATGAAACATGCAGCAAGTCTGCAGGACATTCTCCAATGAGACATTGTGTGAGACATATTATATGTTCCAGAATGGTACATGCAACATGTCTCCAGCATGCTCTCCAATGGAACATTGTGCGAGACATATTAGATGTTCCTTACCATGTTCAGAACATGTGACATGTCCAAAAACGTAATCTGTTCCTTGGATGTTCAGACACTGTTCCAAGGCAGAACATCCACTTTTGCCCCCAGTGTGAATGACCTTCGCTGCATTTAGCTTGGGTATCCGAAATCTCCGGTCATCCATCAACCTGTACATCAATCGTCCTCCTTCCTTGCTACCGCCGGGGAACAGCGGCTCCTCCGGATGCAAGGCATTGCGAAGGATTGACGAGCAAAATACATACACCATGGAAAGCGATAAGTAGATACAATGTGGGTGCGTGCAAGAGCAAGCTACAAACAAGAGCTGAGACTAGTAGAGTCTGTCCGGGTCCGCGCCACGGACGCCATGCGTTGTACACGTACACGCAGTCGTACGTAAGAAAATAGTAATAAACAGGGGGGGACATCGGGTATACCTGACGCAAGACCGAACGAGTGATTGGAACGAGAACATGGAGAATTCGTCGGAATTCGTCCCAAGTCCAAAAGGGATAGCAAGTCGGTTATTCAGAAACGGTCCTCTGGTCATCTTCCGTCGTCATATTTTGTGCTGTCATGAGGACGCTGCGCGAGAGGCTCAATTCGCTACATGCCTACTGCAGGTCGTTTGGATTTTCAGAGTCGATTGTGTCAGCGGCCCGCGACAAGGCCTTTGGTCGTTCTGCGAGGTCCCGTCTCGACATATAGCTCACCCCCTACCCGTGCATCATCTTCCCACTTAGTGTGCGCGTCAGAGCCAGGGACCCCTCTAGCGCGCGCATCATCGACGACCGCCGGGATCTCCCCACTCCTCGCGAGGTGATGCCAGAAGAGCACATCACCTGCACGCAAAGCTTGCGGCTGCGGAGCTGGCGGAGGAGGGGCACTCGCAGGAGGGGAAACGAGCGGGCTGTGCGGGGTGGAGTGCGGCGGACGAGTATCCGCGTCAGCGGGGAACGGATCGGATGGTGGACTAGGCGAGATGGGTGCTGGGACGTCTGATGTATCTGGGGAGGCATCGCTCCGGAACGAGTGCTCCACCTCTGGCGGGGGCGTAGGGAGGTAATCCGTGTGCGAGCTGCGAGGCGTGTACAACGGGGGGACCATGACGAGCGAGTGGCGGGGCGGGAGAAACACTTGCGGTGGCCGATAATATGATCTGGGAACTCCATGCACCAGCACGCCACGCTCACCGGTGATGTAGCGCCGCTCGCCAGCGGTAACTTCGCTCGAGTAGAACACGAAACGGTGCCCGTTCGTCGCGCGGTTGCTCGCGGTGATCGAGGACGTGCAGCGCTGGCACGGGATCACGATCATGTACCCAACAGAGCTCCCGCAGCCGTGGCAGCACAGCGTCTGCGTGAGACACTCGCAGCTCCGAGAGGGCACGTGCTCTGCGGCGATCGATTGTGAGGAAGGCAGAAGGGTAGACGTTGAAGATCCAGCCGACGGGGTATCCTGCGCAGCAGAATCGGCAGAGCAATTGATAGGGAGCGCGTCAGTTGAGTACAGCGGAACATTCGGCCGCAGAAGCAGGACTGCCTAGCGATAGCAGAAGTCAGCGACTGGCAAGGGAAAACGGCGGGTGAGAGGAGAAATTCGTATAATCGAGTTCACCTGATTATACAGGTCTGAATAACAGTCTCTCGACCAAGAATACACAAGCACTCAAACTCACAAAATACAGACGACACATCAACCTAGTGTTTGCAGTAAGATCTGCCGGATCCAGTAATCTAGCACAAAGTAAGGCTCAACCCAGTGTGCTTGTGATCCTCGGTACATGCTCTCTGATAACCTCGGAAGTATTGTTACTGGCAACAGATGGCCCTGTGAGCCAAACAGAGTTCCTGAAGGAACGGAGTCGTTAAAGTAGGCCGACGAAGTAAACATCCGGGAGCGATGGTGCTTGACCTCATCGTAACTCGAACAGACAAACGATTTACCGTAGTTCCGTGCCAGTGAAAAATAAATCGGACGGCGTGACGTAGAGTAACATAACACAGCGGCAAACTCACCTTCATGCCTCTATTTGTGAAAAAGGTTCCGCATGACATACAATCCAGGATCCGGACTTTGTGCAAGATCGGAGGCGGCGGCGGCGGCGGAACTGGAACAACTGATTGTACACGAGCACGATGGGGCCATGGCGGACTTGATAGAGTTGGATGTAAACCGGGATACAGGTGAAGATGGCCGGGAGGGATAAGAATGTAGTTGGCTCTGTAGGACGGCAGATTATAGTGATGGATGTGCAATGGCGGGGGTATCGATGGGGCGGGGTATACGGCTGGAAAATCTTGCGATACTCGAGGAGAGGTCGCGGAGTGATCGTCGGGTAACATGTCGACGTGAGGGGGAGCGTGAGGGGGATGAAAGTGAGTTATGTTGAGAACTCGGTCAGGATACGTCCTGCCGGGCATCGAGGACGACGTGTGCGATAGCGGGTACGACGAGGGTGAGCACGTCAAGGACGGGGGAAGATGGTGGCCGTCAAGAATGAAGAGGCGAGCGCGGGGACGGGGAGCGGACGTGCCTGCATACCTCGCCCAGTCGGACTCGGAGACGGTCAATCGTGATGAATCTCAAGCCATTATAATGATGATTGACGTGAGAGTGTCATTTTACCCTTTCTCAGTTATCTAATCTCTCGCTGTCATCGATTCAAAAACGTTCATGTCAATGGTGCGCATCGCGGGAGTCACTGCCTGCAAATTCCATGGACGACAGTATTTACTTACTAACCTCCACTTTTTGTTCTCTTGAGGTATGTCTGCTCGCGGTCTTGACCGTCATCGATTACCTCTTGCCGAATTTCCCATACGACCTCGCATCACGACAAGGGCGCCATATGTATTCTTCCATTCTCGGGCAAATCGACCTGGTAGTATGGATGCGACTCGGAAGGCGACAAACTCACCTCAAATGTATCCTATCACAGATGTGCCTGCAAAGAAATTTGCATAGTGGCGGCTAGTGGCGGCCAGTAGCAGTTGAGTAGCGGCGATGGAAATAAGCCAGGGATGTCGTGCATATAGCGTGTACACTACACCGTTCAAAGCTTCAGCTATGTTATGACCTTACTGTGTCGCAACATCCCGCAATTGATCTAATGGGTTCGTACAGTACTACTTGCCTGTGAATATTTGATGATATTGTGGCTCATCAACTTATCACCGTCAATATCAGGTTAGTGTCACAGATGTGGGAAGCGATGCCATCGCTGTTGAAAACTATGGAGCAACAACTGTGGTAACAAAGCCCCCAGCCCGTTCCATCTCAGATGCTCAGGTTGTGAAACTTCCTTCGGCCGTTTCAAGTTCAGCGACCAACTGCAACTGGGTACGCATGATCTGCATCCGTCAGACGTATGTCGCGGCGGCGAGTTCCAAATGGGGCAAATATCTTCGTTCGTCATTCGGCGACCAAGTATCCTGCGCAATCGTCGCAGCGATACTCCCTTCGACCTTCCCTCTGAATCCAAGTGGCCAGAAGTTCAAGGTACTGTTGGCCATTTCTCTTCGCGGTCGTATTGGCAATGAGTTGATGGTTGGAATAAATTCAGTTCTCCAAAATCACCATTTCTAATTCCACGCTACCTCAGCTGTGACGCAATCTCAGTCCTTAAGTCTCAGTAGTATGTTGTCCAAATGAATGACATGCTCTGAAATTCTGCTGGATTATCTTGCAGACACAATGAGTCTTCCCACACCAGCTCCTCAGCAACCGTACTGGGACGTCTCCGCACTCGATGCAGGGCATCTGCAAATCCACTCATATGGATCTTGGAAGATGCGACGAAAGGACAGACCAGCTACTTGCCGGACATGGCCTTCATTCTGTACCACTCTGTCACTCGGGAGAGCTTGTATTCGACCTGGGGATCCGCCGCGATTGGGAGAAGGGTCTCCCGCTTGTAATCGTGTACGGCCTGAAACAGGTGGGATTCGTGCTCGACGTACCCCAAGATGCGGCCGAGGCCCTGAAGAAGGCGGGTGTGACCCTGCCCAGGTCACCTGTGTATGCCTCTCGGGCCCACGTGCATGTTGACCACATCCAAGTCGGTGACACCGCCCCTTCACTGGTGCGACCTCCTCCCTGCGGACCGCACGAAGTACCTCAATACAGCAGAGTGGGCGCCCGCCGCCGCTGGGCCCATTCCCTCGCGCCCTGGACTTCTTCGGCGATGGCAGTCTGTACCTGGTGGACGCGGAGGGACACTGCTCGGGGTATATTAACCTCCTCGCGTGCACTTCGGACAGAGCCTGGGTGTACCTGGCGGGGGACAGCGCACACGACTGGCGGCTCGCTCACGGGCTCTCACAGATTGCGGACGGGAAGCTGGGGTGCGCACATGGCGACAAGGCAGCGGCTGCGGAGACGATAGCGCGCATTGGAAAGCTATCAGAGCTGTCGCGCGTACCGTGTTGCTCGCCCACGACACGCCGTGGTATGAGCAAAACAAGGACAGTGGCGGCGGCCCCGTGCCGCGTTTTGGCCGGGAAAGATCGACTCTCTTTGTGTCGGACGTGTTGGACATAACTGTATGCCAATGATTTCGGAAGAAGGCGAAGGTGTTGTGGAATTTGTGTTGTACAACTACAGTCATATACTCGGCAATGTTATCGTGACAACCTTACAACCCGACCGCTTATTGTACACCATATGTAGAAAGATCTCTGTTGTTACATTTACCAAGTGCCCGGTCTGGACATGCAAAGTAGCGGTTAGCTTGCTCACCACATCTCGAAGAGGAACTTACCCGAAAGCCCCACTAGAAGGGAGGGGTAAGTAAGGGGTCCCGAGACCGTCCGCGTTCGTGAACGATACGGTATTGCCCCACCACTTCTGGATGGTGTTTAGTCCGATTGTACCGTTCTTCGGATACTGCAGCGCGAAGAAGATGACGATGACGGAGACGGCGACCCCAGAGTCCAAACCTGCAGACAGGACGTCTGCCACGAAATGACGAATGTCAGTACGAAACCGACAAAGACGTCTGGAACGCGTTGCACGCACAGTTGTACTTCGTCCACCAGGAAAAGTGGCGCCTGCGAATAACGTAGTTGAAGATGAAACCGACGATGGCCCAAGGAACGTAGTTGACGGCGCTGGCTGGCGGAATCGCACCCGTTCCGCTGAAGATAACGGGGAAGTTAATGTACTTCATGAACGAATTCGGCCACTTGAGGCTGATCAGGTATCCCCCCAAGGGACACAAAGCGCCCACCAGGAAGAAGAACACGAGACCGCTATTCCACGTCGAGAGTCAAGACTAACGTCCGCTTCCAGATGCTCAAGGACAACGTACTAGTATATCTGACCACTTGAGAACTGCCTGACGGGTCCGATGACACCCCAGATGATGGATGCGGTGCCGAATACCTCAGTCGAAGGGCACTTCAAGTGGATGAAAGTCAGATTCACGATATCAAGCTTCACAAGTTAACTTACAATGAAGCTGTCTGACTGCGTGGGCGAACACATGTCGTGGATGTTAGTGAACATCCAAGCCTGTACGCCAAGCTGGACCGTTCCCGCAATCACAGTAGCGACAACCTGCGACCAGAACATCGGACGGGGCGCAATCTTCATGTAATGGCCAAGCTTGAAGTCAGATGCAAACTGGAGCGCTTGTGCCATGGTTATGTAACCCCAGGTCTTGAACATCATCATGGCAATAGGCCTTCCAGGGAGGGCATATCCAATGATCAGCTCCGTAATGACACTGTGTGGCACATTGAGCAAACGACGCCAGAAGAAATAAATCGGCTGGGACGTACTTCAAACCGATCTGCTGGTTGGTGATGGCTTGGATCATACCGATCGGAACGACATACGCGAATGCTAGAGATAAGTGTATCAATCCCTGTAGTTTGAAGATGGAGAGTGGGTACATACAGATAACGAGGCTCAGAACGAATGCCCAAACCGGGAAGTCAGTGTGCCAGACCTCAATCGATATGACACCAAAGACAAACATAGCGACTGAAGAAAGTACTACTTAGAGGTGCGCAGCGCGATATTTGGAAGGATCTCACCTAGAATGACAGCATACCACCACTCAGGTACCTGACGATACTTGGACATCAGACGGGCGTGGATATCGGGCTGCTCATGCATAGATCGGCGGGACTGCACCCAGATCTGCTTTCTGAAGTAGAGAATGGTGTGTGTAATGGTAGCCGTGATCGAAGCAAAGGAGAGACCATAGGACATTGCGAAAGTCGTCGACAGGAACAAGGGGCTGTACTGCTTGTACTGCTCTAAGTTGAGAGTCGCATCGGCATTGGTGATACGCGTGACGTTATAGCTCTGGCCGAAACGGTCGTATGAGGTACGCGAAGACATCCTGAAAGTATGTCATTGGTACGCATAGAACATACCCCAAAAACACGGTAGGCTTACGGGAGATACGCGCTATACCAGACGTTGGTGAAATGGAGAATGGGTGTGAGAACCCCTGATCCGCGAAATAAGTCAGACTCGGCTAAGGAATGAATCATGAAGACTTACAGAAGAAGAAGACGAAGCCGATAGCAATGTTCGCTTCGGCCCACCAAGGAGTAGCAAGGGGAGAGCCGATGTATGATATCTATGATTCATTTGGTTAGTTACTGTAAACCTTAACCAACTCAATTATTGATTCACTTGTGCCCAGTCAAACGTGATCAGAGACATCCCCTAGCAGACAGGAGAAAGAGAAGTCAGCCCATCAGTTTAAAACTAATAGTAACGTGTACCTCACCAGGCCAGTGCTATAACCGAACAGTTGGTTGACCACAACATTGTTCGGAACGATCCAGCACACCCAGTTGAAATACGAAAGAGCCGCGAAGATGTAGTACGGGAAAAAATACCAACAGAACGATCCGAGGAAGACGAAGAAGAAGAACCGTTCACGGCTGATGCCACCACGATTACCAATGCCAGCATACTGCTGAGAGTGAAGTGTGTTGAACAGCGCGCAAGTGACAAGATTCGCAGGCCAGACTAAGAGTGCATCTGAGTTAGCATCTTAAGAGAGAGGCAATTAATTCGCTCACTCATAGAAGAGGGTTGAACAAGGAAACGGCGCAGTATTCCCCCGATCGAGAAGCCGATCTGTGGATGATACGATGTCAAATGTTTACAGCATGCCAAGGCACACGAGATCGTCACCGACAAGCTGTGTACTCATCACCACCATCCATTGATCTGCCAATACATAATTTTAAAAAAAACGGAGACTTCAGTGCACAGCTCTACTTACATCCGAAATTATATGTCTGACTGTAATAGACACGTTGGACAGCTACAATGTCAGTCTAGGCAATTTTCCTTTTAGCGCACGATTCAAAACGTAGTCAACTGGAATCTCACAGCATACGCTGAGCCTGCTCCTACGCCCGCCATAATCGTGATCAAGACGTGTTCCTTGACAGTAAATGGACCTGGATTGACGGAAACACCGAATATTTTCACTCTCGGCATGAACTTAGCCCACGCACGGCCCATCGGAAATGATATCAGTTGCGCTACAAACTGGAACAGAAATGACTGAGCTACTGTGGGAATAGGACAGGTAAAAAAATCTTACCGATCCGACGCTCACGGACGGATAACGGAAGAAGAAGAATTGATTCACTCCGGGGATGATGATTGCCCAAATAATACCAATGACCCACGTCCGCAGCGTGTTCGCGGGAATCGATGGATCATCAGTGTTCGCAACGGCAGAACGGACCTCGGGATAGGGAGAGTCCTCCTCTGAACGCATTCATCAGTCAATAGTCTTTTTCAACTTGGTCAAACTGACCGAAATAAGCCGCATCTTTGCCGACATTGGGATCATCGAATTCGTTAACTTGCTGTACATCGACGGCTGCAGACGCTCGTTAGTGTTCGGAATTGGAATCTCAGTATCGTTCATAACATACCACCTTTCTCGACGTCCGCCTTCTCCTGTAAGGAGCCGGAGCTGATGCTTTGCTGCTCGACGGACGCCATTGGGGATTGGAGATAGAGGCGTTGCGGCACGTCTCGGGGTCAAGTAGCTGGGAAGTAAGGCCTTTATTGCTTCTGAGTCAGTGCTGGACCATGTAAGCAATCGCATTATCTCCGGAACGGCGTGCCTTAGGCTTATCGTTGAAGTCTAACGGACCAGGTGTACGATAGCACACGTCCACCATCCCCATTGATGAACTTCTCCGCATGTCTCGATTCATTAAGTCACACGAGGTCCACTCGTAACATGCAATGCTGATTGCGTTGGAGCGCTATACATGATCCGGACAACTAGAGAGCAAGTAATAATTAACTTGCGTCACGGAAGGAGAATTACACACCACACCCAGCATGGGATATACCGAACGGAAGTTATCCGCGGTGCTACTCGCCACGCGGGAGAGGAAGGTCTCCTGTACGTTTAGAACTTCTTCCCGTTCGACGGGTGAGATCTGGAGCCTCTGCAGTCCTTGCCACGCCGTTAGGATGACTTCCCGGCCTGCATCAATCGACGTCCGGGAAACGTCGTGAATAGACGGATTATCTCGAGCGAACAGTCAGGGGAGACAATGACATTGCCTTCAGTTCAGGTAAGCATGATAAGCGTAAGGCGTGACCAAAACTAAAAAAAAACCTGGTTTTGATAGCCAGCGAGAAGAGCATGCGGCCCGTGGCGACACTGATGATAGACATGAATCTAAACGAGACGCGAAGTGTAAACCACCACTTACAAGAGATACACACAAGAGATGCTGTATGTATACCACTGATGATCACCTAAGTGCGAATGCCAACATCCAGCTCATGTCATTCTATTGGCGAACAGAACCACACAAGATAGTGAATTGTCGAAGAGGAGATATTTCGGGACGGGAGCCAGGCTCTATACAACTTGAACTCCGATGTCAGAACCTCGTAAAATTCTGTGGTCTCGACGTAATAGATGACGGTGAAACGAATGGGCCTATGAGTTTGACATTAAGTTCAAATCTTGTACCGGCGAACGGGCCATTCATGATGTCCGTGTTCAGGAACGGAGAGTGAAGGTCAGCAGAGCGCGGGATAAGACGAGGAACGCCAGAAGATGCGCAGCATGTGCTCTCTGCAACAGCTCGGGAAAGACTTGGCCCACTTCGGAGAGCAGAGACGATAGCGTGGAAGCGCCGAGTGTTGAGTTTTGCCGGCGGCGCATCTCAACCACAATCACTATTTTAGGACGGCGGTGTTAGTAAACTACTGATCGATCACGTGGTGGTGGTGGTGGCGGTGGTACAGAGAGATTCCGGACCGCCCAGTTGGAAGCGCTTCCGAGGCGTACATACGTCTCATGGCTTCCTCGAATCTCAAAATCCTCACAAAGTCTCACATTATTGTGGCGGCGAAGAAGCGTGCTAAACGAGAGCAAGTCAAGGAAGTTGTGTTTGATGACGAGGCTCGCAGGTACGCGAAGGACTGATCGTTTGGAAGATACAGACACTTGACGTTTACTTAGGGAATTTCTGACCGGATTTCACAAGAGAAAATTGCAGAAGAAGGAAGACGCTAAGAAGAAGGCACAGGAAAGAGAGAAGAAAGTGCGGTTGGAAGCTAGACGTGAGGTGAGAATTGTGTGCTTACCCCGCGACTGCCCTGTGTAATCGTATCCGCCCACCAGCAACGCCACATGCTAGCCCAGCGTGCAGCACTGAATGCTGCGGAGACGGAGAAGGCATACGGTGGCCATATAGGTAAATTCAATTTTCCATAATCATCTAGCCTGCGTGACTCATGCTCTCCAGACGACCAAGACAGTGAGACAGATTGGACTGGACTTGCAAACAGAAGCAGGAACGGTGCAAGAAATGAAACTGGGCAAGAAGAACAGTATGAATATGATGAACATGTCGCGACCGTGACCGTCGTAGAAGACTTTGACCCCGATGACCTCATTCATGGCCCGGACAAAGCTGAGCGCACAGGCGATCCAACAGATGACCCATCGAATTCCGACGGTACTATTCTTCGCACGCGTCACACGAGAAGTTCATTGGGAGGCAATTCAAGGACAAAACACACGAGGCCCATCGAGCGAACGAAAGCTAGGATCAAGAATACCGTTAAATCGAAGGATGTTAAGTATCAGACCAGTGCGGCTCGAAAGGCAGAGCGAATGAAGCAAGGGAGAAGAAAGACAGAAAAGGCGGAGCGAGCTGGAGGGAAAGCGTCGAGGAGAAGTGAGACTCTGCGGAGAAAACGGTGACGATCGTTATGCGTCTTGTTCGTTCGCTATCGACGACGAGTCTGTACTCTCTGTCGCATGTCAAGTTTACTGACACTCTTCGGTACCAATTGAACCTCGTATCTTGCTGATATATTGCAGGGCTAGCCCGCTTGGCGTCCTTTGATGATCTTTCTGCTGCAGCATTACAAGGGATCCATTCTCGCGCGCTCGTCTAAGGGGGACCCTCGGCTAATGGCAAACACTTCCAACCAATCCAGACTGCATACGGACCCTCCATCACATCAGGTACACTCCATATCTCCCAAAGTCCGTTTGGAGAGAGATTCAACCATCCCTCCAGAAACTCTCGGACAACATCCTCCGCCCTCAACTCTATCACGACCAGAACGGCTGTCTTGCTGGGGATAGTCAAGTAGTCGATAGTAGCGAGCAATGCAGGGAGGAGGGATGGGTGGTAAATGCAATCAACCACGAGGAGAAGATCAACAGGTGCGAACGGGCAAATGAAATGGCGCAGGTACGGAGACGCCGTAAGCAGAGTTTGCCAGTCCAACGCTTCTGCTGTCACTATCGCACCGGGGCGGTACGGGATCTGCTTCCGAGACTGAGAAGGATGTTTGGCTGGGGGAGGGGAGAAGTTCGGCAGATTGTTTTCAAGGTTCTTCTGCATCAAGGGCACTAAGGCCTCGATATCTGTGACAGTATAGCGAGCCACAAGCGAGGAAAAGACAATTCCCAGTAGCCCGGTGCCAGCTCTTCAGATAATATCAGCATTGGTGGTTCTCAATGTGTTGTGGACAAGGCAAAAGCAGCTCACCCTAGCTCGAGGATGTGGGTTTCGGAAACAAAAGCGGGATTAAGGAGAGCCTGAGGATCACGGGTATGATACTGTCGCAGTATCAGTTGCGCGAAATCCACACTAGATGATTGCCAAGTCGTTGCGACCATATGGAAGGGTACGACCATACAATTATCTGTGATTGCGTACCTTGCCCGCCATACCACGCTTCCGGTGTCCCCTTTGCGAGTGCGGAACGCGGTCTTATCCTGAGCTAGTTCTACCTCGAAGACCTTTTCGATGACTTCTGTTCCCGACCGATGCGACCGTCTCTTCGATCTACGGCCAATAGTTGCATTTGCGTCGCCTTCCTTTGAAATGTCCACTTTGAACGTAATCGTTAGAACATCCTTGCACGAGTCGACATGGCCAAGGCCACGAAAACCATCTGTTATATCCAGAGGTCCATGTGTAGCTAGATTCGTGTATTGGAGAAACACCTAATAGCCAAGTCAGGCGGCCTGAGCAGTCGCCTAGAGTCTTGACAGTGTGCGAACCTCTTCGTCCGCATCAGACACGAGAGTAGATCCTGGGGGAAGCTGGACAGGTCCTCGAAAGATACATACCTCCCTCGAATCTGCAGCCATGTTCGCTTGAGTGACGAAAGAGTCCGAGCGATCACCGTGACCGCTGCGCCTGGTGGCTGGAGTCCCTGAATCGAACCGCTCAGGAGACTCTATTTTACACTCCCTGCAATAGTCTGCATCGACCTGCCATCATTTCTGAGCTCTAGCCATTCATACTGCGAGAGTATGATTTTGTGTTCCGCAACCAGGAAGCGCCACTCGACGTGTAGCGGTACCCAAATATGGCTAATATGGCTATGATTTGTCAGTTTCTGTGCTTGCACCACGTTGAAGTAACCCCAATTTCGACTCACTAACTTTTGCTTTCCCTGCCTTTTCTACTGAGAAATGAACTCTTTGTATACCCTTGGAGTGCGGCAAACCAATTCTATACAAGCAGACCTCGAGAAACTGCGAAATGGCGACAAATCTGCTTCCCTAATAGGTCTGTACACCCGTGTCGTGGACCCTCCAGGAGGGTTTGGCACAGGAGAATGTTGAAGCGGTGTGAACGTTCCTAATGTTTGACAGGGCAGATATCTGCCTCTTTGGCAGCGATGCACCGTACAGTGGAGGACTACGACTCGATGGCTAAGCGTGAAATTATGAAGGCGAAGCAGGAGAAGGCTTTGATGTATGTGAGAATACTTCCTCCGTGACTGCAATGCGTCTACCGTCCGGAAGGCTGCTATTGTCGCTTTATACGAATAGCGAAGACTGATACATCTGAAACAGGCGGGTGCAGAAGTTTCGAACAGATTACACCGAACTGCGGGGCCAATTTGAACGGCTGAAGTCGGAGGTCAGTTTATTTAGCCTACTTTCCTTGTCTGCCCCGAAGTTTTCATACCTGTCAACCCTGGAATATATCAGTACGATGCTGTCGCTCGGGCAGAACTATTGTCAGCATCCTCCTCCTCTACTGGCCCACTATCACCAGCACCGGGGGACACGCGAAGACGCTTTATGCCCGGCCAACCCCAATCTGTGGAATCTGACGTCTCAGAGTCTCCTTTCCGCGGACCAACACCGATGCCACTGTCTAACCTGCGGGAACAACATGCCTTGCACGAACATACGTTCCTGCAGAACACTGAGGCCAAGCTCGACGACTTCCTCGCACAAGGTCGTGCGGTATTGGACGACCTCGTGGACCAGCGGAACGTGTTGAAGGGCACCCAGAGGCGTCTGCTGGATGCTGCAAATACACTGGGTCTTAGCAAAGACGTCATTGGCTGGATTGAGAGGAGAAGGTATGTTGTTATACCCAGTCCATCGTGCATCGCTAAGAGGTTACCCTGCAACCCAGTACCCAGGACATGTATATCTTTTTTGCGGGCGTGATAATTACTTTCGTTTGCTTCTATTTCATCTGGAGATATTTCGGATGACTGTTTGGATCCGTCACCGTCGATGGGTTTGGCTCGCAAGGACAATTGACACGTCTGTATTCTAGTAGTGGGGATCCTGTAATTTTTTTGCTATCTATCACAGTGTGACATGCTTTCCCGTCCAATTACTGCATTGCACTACTTTTTAACGCGCCAGCTTGTCAATGTGGTGGACTTTCCAGCCAACTCGTCGTGTTCTTCGAACTGAGATCTGAGAGGTACCGAGTGGTGGGGCGCTTATTGGGGCGCTTAGAGAGAACAGTCCGCGGACAGAGTCTACGAGCTTGACGAACTTTGACTGCAACTCCCCTCAGATGCAAACGTTCTTGAGCTGACTCTGACAACCTGCTGCTTTACGACATGGCCTCGTCGTCTAAGCAGGACGGGTACGACTACACCGAAGGTGCTTCTGCAATCGACATCCAACAGGCTCTAGCGAATAATGCTCGGCGAGGTCGGCGAGATTCTCGTTACGGTGCAGAGGGGGAGGGCGCTATGTTTGACGGTCCTAGTCACTCGGTGATCCCCAGCAGCGTGTCGCGAATGTCTCTGGACGGCCGGCGCAGCAGCGATGCCTGGTCGAGGGGTAGCAGATCCCGCAGGCGCAGCGAGGCGAGCGAGGCGAGCACGAGCGCAGGAGTCGCGCAGAGTCCTCATAGCAGGATCAGCAACGATTTCTCATACGGATCTGTAGACCGTGTCGAAGATCATGGTCATGAAAACGAGTACTCGGGAGACGAAGGTGAGGATATCGGATTGCCTAGCCGGCTGAAGCGAAGAAAGTCACCGTCCCCTTCCAATCCACACAATCGGTCTACTGTCTTCGAGAATATTGCCCATATCTTTGGCAGGAGTGCTCCCGGGCCTGTGACAGAGTCTCCACCGCGCAGCCGTCGCCTGTCCGTTGCCAGTCGCACGTCGAGGACTAGGCTGCTTCGGCGCACTAGCAGCAGGCGTTCAGAAGCCAGCTCTGACTACTCTATGGAAAGGGACGAGGACAACGAGGAGCGCTGGGGCTACTCTTCTGGAGAAGAGGACGAAGAAGCATTATCCGTCGAGTCCGATGTCGGTAGTTTGCTTCCCAGCGGCAGTGAACACGATTATGGGTCCTATCCTCCGTCGCCAGGGCCATCACTTCCTTTGCTTTCAAGCGATGCAATCTTCGGAGCGGAAACTCGCATTGACATGGTGGATTTTGAAAACCTTGCACCTCCTCCCCCCGGCCCTCCAAGTCGACAGACCATCTACGTCGCGGACGAAGATATTGATATCCGCATGATTGGCTATGAGGTAATACCTCTGCGAAAGTGGATCTGGCGACTGTCGTGTGTCGCTACACTGGGCATACTTGCATTGCTCGGTCACTGGCTTCCGCGTATGTGGCTCCGCTTTGTCACTCGAGAAAAGGCATTTGTCGAGATCAAGGACGGCTTCGTTGTTGTTGAGGTGGGTAACATTGTACTATATGTGTGGATCATCAGGTATGCAATGAATCGAAGTCTCCCTACAGAGATATCGCCTTGTTTCCACTTCACAGAATAGACTACCCGTATGATTTGTCGACGGTATTCTCTTTGCCCTTAGATGCCTCAGCTCGCCTCCCAGTGTCGAGGACATCAGCACGTTCGCATTTGCAAAATGGCGATGCGAATGAAAAGTTACAAAGTTTGCTTGTCGTTGACTACCGATATGCTCGCTTTGCACTCGACCCCAGAACTGGTCTGTTCAGCACGGTCAGGTATCTATCTCTTTTCTTTTTATTCCTGCGTAGCAAGTGTTAATATTATTTTCCCCAGTGATTGGCGAGACTCTTCGTGGACAACGATTTCGTCTGTTCAAAACGGCTTAGAAAAAGCTGTACAGACGCAGAGAACGACTCTGTTCGGCCTGAACGTTATTGACATAGAGGCGAAGTCGACAGGCTCGCTTTTGGTAGATGAAGTACGTTCCGCGGTGTATTTGCACAGACAGTGGCTAATGCAATACAGGTCATACATCCGTTTTACGTTTTTCAAATTGCCAGTATTATTTTGTGGTCCATGGACGACTATTATTATTATGCTTTCTGTATCGCCCTCATTTCTGCAATCAGCATCATTACAACGTTGGTGGAGACGAAGAAAGTAAGCAGCGGAAGTCCATTCCGTTGAATTATTTGCTAAGGACATATCAGACGATTGCGCGTATGCGCGAAATGTCCAGATTCATGTGCCAAGTCAAAGTTTTTACCTCCGGCGCATGTACGACTTTCCTCCCTGAAGCTCCAGTTCGCTGCTCAATGATATCACATAGGGACAGAATGTGACTCCTCCGCACTTGTGCCCGGCGATGTAGTCAACCTCGTAGATCCTCCTCTGACAACTTTACCCGCGGATATGTACCTCCTTTCCGGTGACGCTATCGTTAACGAAAGTATGCTGACGGGAGAAAGTGTGCCAGTGGGCAAGACCCCCATTAAGGACGAGGATCTCGCACGATATAGAGACGCTAAGGATATCACTGGCGATAGCTCCAAGGGTTTCCTGTACGCTGGTACTCGTGTCGTGAGGGTCCGAAGCAACATGGCACCGGATGGAAGTCCGAGGATCCCTGCATTAGGTCTTGTAGCGCGTACCGGTACGTAGTGACTATGGTTTATGGCCGGGAATAATCTGAGATCTGTTCCTCTTGCAGGCTTCAACACGACGAAGGGCGCCTTAGTTCGGTCGATGTTATTCCCTAAACCGGTTGGGTTCAAGTTTTATCGTGACTCGATCAGGTTCATCCTCTTTCTCACTGGCATTGCGGGACTTGGGTTTTGTGCGAGTGCTGTCCAGTTTGTCAGACTGGGAGTACGTGACCGGCAATACTGCTCTGAGGACGTTTACGAACTATCATCCACAGGTGAAATGGCACACTATTCTCATCAGGGCGCTCGACCTAATTACTGTGGTCGTACCCCCTGCGCTACCTGCAACGCTCTCCATTGGTACCAGCTTCGCAATTGGCCGTCTGCGGAAGTTAGGCATCTTCTGCATTGCACCAAGTCGCGTAAACGTCGCTGGCCAGATCAATGTATGCTGCTTTGACAAGACGGGCACATTGACGGAGGATGGATTGGACATCCTCGGGGTGCGTGCTCTGGAACGGAACGTCGACAGGTTCGGTGAGCTTCTCGAGAATATCCACGACCTCCCAGCGAGCACAGAGAAGGCAAACTTCCTTTATGCCCTCGCGACATGTCATCAGCTGAGGTTGGTTGATGGAGAGTTCATTGGTGATCCTCTTGATGTCAAGATGTTTGAGTTCACTAAGTGGACTCTGGAGGAAGGGGACATCTCGGTCAAAGGAGTAGTAAAGAACAGGGCAAATGCTGACCGGCCGGCTGCGCTGGTACAAGTTGTGGTGCGTCCTCCAGGTACGGCTCAGTTCAGCCTTGAAGATGCCCTCAAAGGGGCCGGGAGAGTAAGTGCTCTTGATTCGAACTGCTGTTCTGATCACTGATGCGTCTCTGTTAGCGTGCACACTTCCTCGAGTTAGGAGTCATCCGGACATTCGAGTTCGTCTCGGCGTTGCGGCGCATGAGTGTCATCGTTAAACGCCTCAAGAGCAACAGTATGGAGGTTTACGTCAAGGGTGCACCCGAGGTTATGACCGACATCTGCGACAAAGATTCCTGTCAGTAACGTTCGTATCCTGCATCATTAATTACTGGCTTATAAAAGCCATTAGTCCCTCAGGATTATGACGATCTTCTTTCGTACTACACTAAGCGCGGATACAGAGTAATTGCGATCGCGGGGAAAAGTATCGAAGGTCTCTCTTGGTTAAAGGCTCAGAGACTGAAGCGGTGAATACACCGAAGGCGATGCTGCTTGTCACAGGTATAACTGAACTTCATCTTCTAGTGAACAAGCAGAGTCGGGTTTACGCTTCCTTGGCCTGATCATTTTTGAGAACAAACTCAAACCCGGAACGACTCCTGCAATCCAGGCCCTTCGCAGCGCGCACTTTGCGTGCCGCATGATCACTGGAGACAACCCTCTTACCGCTGTCAGTGTCGCGAGAGAGTGCGGATTGATAAATCCTGCTGCTCACGTGTTTGCACCGTCCTTCCTTCTGGGTGGGCATATCACTCTGCACACTTACTTTGCACTGACAAGTATCTTCCTTTAGGGAATTCATATACACATTTGTCTAAGCTCGAATGGTCGGACATGGACGAGCCAGATTGGAAGCTCGACGACTACAGCCTAAAGCCGCTCCCTTCGCCCCATCATCTTACTGAAGCCCACGAGCTCGAGTATCAGGACTATGCCTTGGCCGTCAGTGGAGATGTTTTCCGATGGATGATCAATCACGCGCCATTGGAGACCCTTCAACGGGTGAGTCCATGGCAAGTGACGCAAGGTCTGTTGCGGAGCTCAGATTATGTTCGCCCTTCTAGATGCTTGTTAAGGCGCAGGTTTTTGCGCGCATGTCCCCAGACGAGAAGAACGAGGTCGTGGAACGACTGCAAGGCTTAGGCTATACGGTGCTCATGTGTGGAGACGGCGCGAACGATTGTTCAGCGCTGAAAGCTGCCGACGTAGGGCTTTCACTTTCAGAAGCAGAGGCGTCTGTTGCGGCTCCATTCACCAGTCGCACGCCGGACATCAGCTGCGTTCTGGAGGTCATCAAGGAAGGGCGTGCTGCTCTGGTGACGAGCTTCAGCTGCTTCAAGTACATGTAAGAATCATGTCCTGTGTCTTATGATGAATACGTTTTGATGAGGTCGACAGGGCCCTATATTCGCTGATTCAGTTCACGACTATTACGCTGTTGTACTCGTTCGCGTCGTCTTTGGGAGACTTCCAAGTAGGCAACTACTTAGATTTTGTGTCGCTTACAGCAACTGATACACCTGCGCAGTTTTTGTATATCGACCTCTTCATCATTATTCCTATCGCCGTCACCAGTGAGCTTTCGCCATTACCGCAGCCTGTATTTGATTTACGTCTATTTTAGTGGGTCGCACACTCCCGTTCCCTCGCATCCACCCCAAGCGTCCCACTGCTAGTCTGGTTTCGAAGAGGGTATTGTCGAGTATCATTGGTCAGATATTGATTACAGCAGCTGTTCAACTCTGGGCGTTTGTCTGGGTCCGTAGACAAGATTGGTGAGCTCTGTTCTCCACTGCAGCCTCGATTGTGATCCTAAAGTGGCAGCAGGTACACTCCCCCTGCTCGCTCAGATCCCAATGGGGATAGCGATCAACTTGAGGCGAGCAACTACGAAAACTCAGCACTGTTCCTCGTGTCCTGCTTCCAGTATATCCTCGTCGCAGCTGTCTTCAGCATCGGCCCTCCCTATCGGAAACCAATCTGGACAAATGGTAATTTGTCTTCGTACGTTCTGTGTAAACTTGACTTACTTATGTCGGACAGCTCTGCTTATGTTTTCGATCACCGCGCTGTCACTGTTCAGTGTCCTTGTCCTATTATTCCCACCTGCACCCATCGCAGCTGTCTTGGAGTTGATGGAGCTCCCTTTCGCGGCACGCTTGACACTGCTTGTCGCCGTTCTCGTCAACATCGTGTTGTCGATGGCATACGAACGCTGGGGCACCGCAGTCGTGACATCCGTGATCGGGTACTTCTTCCAGCTGCGTCGCCGGCGGCGCGTCAAAGAGGGCAAGACTTACAAGGCTGTTGAAGGCGGTATGCGATGACACCGATCTGATTGTTGGTCATCTGGGTGCTCTACTTATAATTTGTGTTAACTCATTACGAGTCGGTCGTGCGTATAGTCTCACGGCCTAAACTCATACAAATGAGCCTATATGTGTATGTACTCGATATTATTCCGAGAATCGGAATGCTCCACAAGGCCACACAGCTTGTGCGAGGCTTCGATAGCATTTTTGGAGTGGATGGAACTCCCACTGGATGGTGATGGTTGCCAAGTGTATTGCTGGACTGCGTGCCAAATATAGAGACTGTAACAAAGTTTACCTAGGGCTTGTAAGTCTTTCCTACTCTTCGTAGAAGCTGAGTCTGAACTGCTGTTTGATGGCCTTCAACCCTTCTTGATGAGCTTTCTAACAGCTGAAAGCTGATTGATCGACGGGACAGGCCGTGCCTCCAGGCCCGCATCTAAAGGACGGTCTTTTGTAGGGAGAGCATCCAGCTGCGACCTCACTATCCTCCTCCCACATCCTTCACGGTCTGTCGACCTTTCTGCCCCGGGGGCTATTCCGTTCTTTCTTTCCTCCTCTCCCTTTTCTCCTGCAACACGGGGAGCCAGTCTCTCTCTGGGCGCGCACCCGATTTCGTTCCTACTTACCCGCTGGTTCAAGATGCTCGGCTCATCTCGGTTCTCATTTGCTGTCCTCCTCCACCTCGCGGTCTGCTTCCTGGCATGCGCTAACGCGCTCCCAGTGCTCCTGCCTCGGCAGGGCAATTCCACTACTATCCAGACAACCAACACATATGAGAGGTTCGTCCACATACCTTTCCCGCAAAATACGGTTGACATCGAACGGATATCTTCTAGTCCATCTGGCCCGATGACTGAGACATGTTCCATCACTCTCACTCCTATGGCTCCCGGCCCAAATGGAGAATCCGTCGTGCAAGAAGTCAAATCGTGCTCAGTGGCTCCAGCATCTTCCAGTGGCTCAGATTCAGGCAGTGCTGGCGTCTCAGACCCGTCTGCGTCGTCACCGGTTAACCCTTCCACCCCGTCGGCCGCAGAGTCTACCATGGTCGTCACAACGCCGAGCGTAGTTCCAACCACTCCAGCCATGTCAGTTGTGGTGCGTATGGTTACTGCCGCGTAACGAGGGCAGACACCTATTCGTATTAGCTGTATGAACACTTTCTCACTGCTTCCTGCAGGGCCTGACCACCGTGCCAGCCTCGGCTGTCCCCACCGGGGCTTCTGCGGCAACATCCGCAGCTACCTCTAGCCCTGTTGCTGCGTCACACACTGCTTCTGCTACCAACAACAATACCAGTCTGTCTACGCCGGCGGCCGCCAACGCCGAGAACGCGGTCGTGACGCCCTTCGCCCTTCCTGGCACGAAGATCCTTGTCCTGCCTGTTGGGTTGATCATCTTCTGTACAGTGACGGGCATCGGTTTAGTCGTGTTCTCGGTGGTCACGTTTGAACGGTCCAGATACCGCAAGGTGAGGCTCGTGTCTTTTATGAGTGTCGTTAGATACCTGACATACGGTTCACAGACGTTCAGGAAGCGCCGCCTTGCGGAACAAGGCGCCGCCATGGGTTGGGGTGGCATGGCGTAAGCTCATCTCCTGCCGCATTGCGAAGCTCGCTGAACTCCTTCGTTCTCACAGACCTGGCATCAAGAATTAGATCGGGATGTCCGAGCGGATTCTGAGTGTTGCCAGGAGAAGGAACGCGGACCTCTCATTTCCACATAGTTTATTCACTTCGTCGCTCTGGAAGCCATATCTGTTGGTCATCTATGCGATACGTACCGTCTGCACATTTGCTCCCGCTGGAATGACTTTACTCTGCTTCTTGACGGTAATTCTGATATGCAACTCGTTGCAACGCCCTTGTTTCCTGTATTGGCACATGTGTTTCAATTAGGCATGCCGGCGTCAAGTCCCAACATTATTAGACAGCCTCAGCGTCTCCTGTCTCCTCCGATGGCATTCATAAGCCGAGGGGCTCCTGTTCGGCGGTGTCAACGAAAACAATTGACCCAGGTGAAGCCCGATATATAATCAGAGTTTTTACTACTGTAAAACATTTTACACCCCGCGAGACAACATGACTTCCACGAAATCTGTGGATAGGCTAGTAGTGAGGTTCGTGGTGGATAACTGCATAGAATGGTGCGCAGCACTCGTTCATCTACATGTATGATTATTGTCCACTCATTGCTACTCCTGTGAGATCAGGATGACGAAATTGCCACCGGGGTTCACGCATGAGATGAGGCAGCATTTGGCTGAGCAGGAACCCCCGGTGGACCCCCTCACTGGCGTGCCGTTCTTAGATCTCGAGCATTACTGCTGCGGTAAGTGCCAATGAAAGACCTCGTGTATAGTCGAAGACTGCGTATTGAACGTTGAACGGTTACTCTGATCCTCAGGGGCCCACGGATTCTCCGCACTTATCGTACGTCCCACTTTTGTCGCAGACTTCGGACTAGAGGGCCGACAGATTCGCGCAGGAGACCCAACTCGAAGGCTCACCCCCACACCTCACGCTCTTCGACACGGGCCCTGACTCACGCGCGATCGCGCGCAACCTTGACTCGCTGCAAATTCCGATAGAGCGCGTGGAGCGCGTCATCCTCTCGCACTGGCATGCCGACCACAGCGGTGGGATGCTGACGTTCCTGCGACTCCGCGCCGCGGCGCAGGTAAAGCAGCCCGAGTCAGAACGTACGCCTTGCGCGGTCGATCTGCATCCCGACCGACCCATTGCTCGGGGGATATCCTACCTCGACAAGATCCTGGGACGTCTCCCCGACGACCCGAGTTTTCAGCAGATCGAAGCTGAAGGTGGGGTTGTCGAGAAACACGGTGAGGGACATGCGGTTTCTGGGGATACTGTCTGGGTTAGTGGAGAGATCCCTAGGGTGACACCTTGGGAATGTGGCATTTCAGGAGGGCTTAGGTGGGTGGGGAGTGAAGGCGTGCAAGGAAAAGGGGGCGAATGGATCAAGGACGAGGTGCAGTTTTTCTAGTTTGGATAACACAACCAAAATACTGAAGCTCATTCTACAGGAAATCATGGACGAACGTTACGCTGCTATCGATGTAGCCGGGAAAGGTCTCGTCATATTCTCTGCGTGAGTGGAATATCTGTTGCAGCAGACTTATGATTCCATGGCTTTGTAGTTGTTCGCATGCAGGTATCGTGAACGTCGTTCGAGATGCAATATCCAAATTCTCCAGGCAAGTGTACATGGTGCGTTAGTACTTTTTCGTCGATTTTGACCATCCGAATCCATCCCCCCATAGATCATTGGCGGCCTACACCTTGCAGGTCCCGAATTGACAGAGCGCATTCCACCGACCGTGAAGTTCTTGACGGAGAAGATGCGGCCCGCACCAGCATACGTCTTGCCAATGCATTGTTCCGGTTTCGCTGCCAAGGTGGCGTTGGAAGCTGCGCTGGGCGAGGGATGCGTTCCTGCCGGTGTCGGGATGAAGGTTGAAGTGCAAGGCGATCGGGATGCGGAGAAGATGATGATGCTCCCGACAATTTCGTGAAGCCAGAATATTGGTCTCGATGCTTAAGCGCTTTCTTGCGATTCTGGCCATGGAATGTTTGGATCACATGGCCGACTCGGGTCTACCGTGCTCGCTGGGCCTCCGGGTAAGGTCCGTATCCTTTGACGTATTCTTCGTGTATTCGTAGCTTGATCACGTTTGCTGCAACATGCTGTGAAATTTTCCCCTGGCTGATCTCGGGGCTCGATCGTGACAGAGCTCAAGTGCTCTTCGTGTATCGCTGACTCTCTCGCTGCGTATGACTATTTTTCTATGACGGCAGGGCACTATGTAGTCGACGCACGTTGAACACTCACCCTGAGGCTCGAGTTGCTGTACGCTCGCCATTAGCGACGGTCACTTAGTCTCTGGAAACAGTTCACAGGTCCACTGGCGGGCGGCAGCTACAGTCTTGTCCCGCTCAACTTCAAGTAATGCTTAGTGATGCAGTTTTCCTGGTACATCAAATGCATATGGCCTGAAACCGGCGCCGGAAGTTGTGCATAATTATTCCGAATGGGACACTCATTTTTTTCAATTTTGGACGCCGGCGTACAAAATGACTAGGGTTGCATCGACATGGTGCGCACATAATATCCCACCTTTCAAACTCCCCATCAATTGGCAAGGATGTCCTCCATCACCGTCCGTCAATTAGTGGATCCCAGTTGTAAGTGTTCCGCTGAAGCCATCGGTCATCCTCAGCTCACAAGGCAGAGTCCCCTTCAGCTAAAGAATTGGACCGCGTCGCCGCCATGCTAACAGAGGCGTACAGAAATGGTATGCTTTTTGTATGGACTGCTACACAATGGTTGACTTGTTGCAGACATGTTCGCAAATATTATGCTCGGAGGGGACATGTCGTCACTGTTCAACCTTCGGCGCGCCTTAATTACACATAGTGGCAAGGCGGGCGAGCTATGGGTTGCGGATCACGAAGGGGAATTGGCAGGCGCTGTCCTTTTCATAAAACCCGGATGGGAACGTATGGATGGCTCGTACGCAGCTCTATCTGACGCGCGGCAACAACCTACTCATATTCATTGGCAGTCAAGGGCTGAAATCTGAATTCGCTGCGATACTCCGCAAGCTTTCCCCGGAGACCCAGAATTGGTGGGCCAATTATGTGTCCGCTCATTATAATGTTTTGCGGTGGCGTCTAAACTGTGCTGTAGATGGTGCCGAAGATTGACGAACACCTTGTACGGTCGCTGGGCGACGAGACATGGAAAGCTGCGTGGAACGTGTATTCGTTGGGTACTCACCCAGATCACCGGAAACGCGGGGTTGGCAAAGCGCTGATAGATGTGGTCATCCAAAAGGTGTGATTACACACTCTCTTGGAGAAAGTTCGTCTCATGTTCTCCGTAGGCATCTGAGGCTGGCAAGCTCGTGACACTGGGTGTCATGGAGGAAGCTCCCGTTACGGTGAGCATGTCGAGGTGTCTCTGTATGCGATTCTGGTGTGCTTACTGAACCTCCTTCTCAGGTCGAGTTGTACAAGGGATGGGGCTTCGAGGTCAGAGGAGAATCTATTCCACTCACAGCGAGGCTTGGTACATGCTACTTTTCGCTGATGGCTAAGACTCCTTGACCACCTGTCTAGCTCTAGCGCACGAACACGAACGGTGAAAAAATACATGTGCAACAGAATTAGTACGTCGCAGCCGAGCAGTGGCTGCTAGCACTGCGTGCCTCCCGTGATGACGCTGATGATGTATCGATGGCTCGAAGTGATCTTCAACGTCAACACCTACTTTTTACGTGCGGTCGAGTCATGTTGATCTGATGGTGACCAACGAGCACTAGTCCTGGCGAAGTACTGGTGCTGCCAGCGCGACGTTCTATTCGGCGATGTTCCAGGCTCCAAATTCTCTTGCCAATTAGAAGATATCGGCTATAGGGCCACCGCAAAATTTAGTAATGAGCCCAGGAACGAAGCGTCCTTCCCAGCAGACTTATGACCGGCCACAAGGCGGTGTAGCGAACTTGGTAACCACCGTTAACATTGGCACCTAGTAGTGGAACGCGTCTAACGGCAAGTGCAAGCTGATCCTACAGAGTGCTCGCCCCATCCAGGATGATGCAAACCACCGGGGAGGGAGGGGAAGCTGTGTGCCTGGCTTCAGATCGTGTGTGATGATTACTCGCTGCGGACACCGGAAAGTTGCATACATTATCATATTCACATCAGTACACAACTGCCTTCAACATCCTTCCAGCAACATACATCTATGCAATAGTCTTCGCACCTTCCAGATAATCGAAACTCAAGGAGCTCTTCAATCGTAGAACACAAGCAAACGCAACTCGATAGACTCCCTAAGCGGGGCGTCTTTCGGAGTACTCGGATCCACGAAGGCGGTGTGAGGCGTAAGGATAGCAGTGTTCCCATCATCCTGCGAGTCGAAACTACACCAAAAAGAAATCAGGATCTGTGTGCAAGTCCAATTTTCAGCCTCAATCAACTTACCATTTGATTAGCACAAGCTCCTCGGGTGTCATCCCACGCATGTACTTCCACCGATGATTCGGGTTGTACTTCACGCCAAACGTCTCGCCGTCGCGATCGGGGTATTTCAGCGTGGTAGGTTCGAGGTCCACCTTCCGGTCGACATGGCGGTAATCGCACAGGGCGAGCGGCCAGTCGAGCGCTGGGTATGCGATCGGCCTCCAGAGGTTGATAATCTGGAAGCGGCGGCGGAGGCGTGTGGGAGCATCACTCTCCGGCAGGTGACGATGCACACGTGCGATGGCGGACGCGGTCGTCTGGTCGACGTGAACCTGCGCGACAGGCTGGCGCTTCTGCGGCGTGTCTTCGATCTCGCCAGGGCGACGGCGGCGGATTGCTGATGCAGCAATCTCAGTATGCTGCAGAAGTGAGTGTGAGGCATCAGATACTCACTGTGGTCGAAGATGACGGCATGGCTTGCGCCCGTCAGCTCCTTCACGAGCGCGATACTCTCAGGATAGTACTCGCGCTCAACCTCTTCGTCATTCACGAAGGTGGTGTGCTGGGCGGGGCGGCGGAAGAACCGGAAGCCAGACGTATCGAGTGTGAACGAGTCCTCCTTCCCGCGAATATTCTCGACCTCGACTGCGTGAGCCTCTGGCTCCCAGTTGCCCCTGCGCTGGCCAGTGATAGGATCGGCGTTAATGTAGTTGTACCCCTTCGAGCCGTCCTTGGGGGGTGAGTAGTAGAGAAGGTCTGCGGTGACTGTGCTGGCCATGCGTGTGAAATTGATCTCTGTGCGATAGACTTGGGGCTACGATGTACTTGCTCTGATTCAAGTGGGGCCTTTTGTACCATCAGCAGACGGGATTGCGTGCTTGGGCGGACTCGAGTGAAGGCTGACAAATGCACTTTCAAGGCAGTGTCACTGTGAGGGCTATCGCTGACTGATACGACCCACTGCAGGCGGAAGAAGTGAGAAGTCTATTTGACTTACTGTGCAGACATCCTTGGCCAGACTCATCTAAACTGGGGTGTACGCACACGGCCCGGAAAGAATTCGCGTACGCTGACAGATTTTTGACCCGACACATACCACCGCCACCACCTCCGAGACGAGGGGAATCACTTCATCGGAGCATTGTAAAGCAGGAAGATTAGGCAAGGCAGACTCGTAATCATCGCTGTCATCCGAGCTCAGACATTTGCCAACAGCGATCGTAGAACATAGTAGTGACCAGAATTCGCCCGGAGACAATCCTAGGCTGCCAGAGAGAGAAAACCTCCGCGAAAAGTATCATGGGCACTGAGACAACATAGCGATTCTTCCGACAGACCGATGGTCAAGCACATCCAAGGAAGAAACAGCACTGTACGCTACCGTGACGCTACCTGCTACATACATAGTAGATAAAATTCTGGAGATTCAAAACATAACGCTCATCACGTGCCGCTTGGCTTGATAAGGCTTGATAAGGCAGCAAGGCGCCCTCAACTTCTTACTCTCAACTACCATCATTCACAAACCACATCTACAGCTCACTCCCATCAACGTGAGTGCGTCGTGTACGGCGAACGTAGACCGATTTGGGGTTGTTCTGACGCATTCTTTACAATGTGTAGGATGCAGATCTTCGTGAAGACCCTGACTGGCAAGACCATCACACTCGAGGTCGAGTCCTCTGATACCATCGATAATGTAAAGGCGAAGATTCAGGACAAGGAGGGGTAAACAATTTCCGACCTAGTTGACCTATTACATAGGCTGACGTGGATGTCTCTTCACCATGCAGTATCCCCCCCGACCAGCAGCGTCTTATCTTCGCTGGAAAGCAACTTGAGGACGGACGCACCCTTTCGGATTACAACATCCAGAAGGAGAGCACCCTCCACCTTGGTAAGCATTGCATTACGCGCGCCATCGGTGCACGTATTTTTCTTATTGCGCGTTGTAGTCTTGCGTCTCCGTGGCGGTATGCAGATTTTTGTCAAGACGTTGACTGGCAAGACGATCACCCTTGAGGTGGAGTCGTCCGACACCATCGACAACGTCAAGGCCAAGATCCAAGACAAGGAGGGTATTCCTCCTGACCAGCAGCGCTTGATCTTCGCTGGCAAGCAGCTCGAGGATGGTCGCACTCTTTCTGACTACAACATTCAGAAGGAGAGTACCCTCCACCTTGGTGAGTACAGCCACATGTTAGCACAACACTTTGTCTCTGATCATTGGATAGTGCTCCGTCTCCGTGGTGGTATGCAGATTTTCGTCAAGACGTTGACGGGCAAGACCATTACGCTCGAGGTGGAGTCTTCTGATACCATCGACAACGTCAAAGCGAAGATTCAAGATAAGGAGGGTATCCCGCCCGACCAGCAGCGTCTCATTTTCGCTGGCAAGCAGCTTGAGGATGGGCGCACGCTCTCTGACTACAACATTCAGAAGGAATCCACTCTTCACCTTGGTATATGATGCGATGGTTAGGCAATATAACATGGAGCTAATATCAATTGCTAGTTCTGCGTCTGCGTGGTGGTATGCAGATCTTCGTTAAGACCTTGACCGGCAAGACGATCACTCTTGAGGTCGAGTCGTCGGACACGATTGACAATGTCAAGGCGAAGATTCAGGACAAGGAGGGCATTCCTCCCGACCAGCAGCGCTTGATTTTTGCGGGCAAGCAGCTTGAGGACGGTCGCACTTTGTCTGATTACAACATTCAGAAGGAGTCTACTCTCCACCTCGGTATGTAAACATTCATTTGAGTGGAATTTCCACGAAGCTGATGATGCTCCAGTCCTTCGTCTTCGTGGAGGTATGCAGATCTTCGTCAAGACCCTGACGGGTAAGACGATTACCCTCGAGGTCGAATCGTCGGACACGATCGACAATGTCAAGGCGAAGATTCAGGACAAGGAGGGTATTCCCCCTGACCAGCAGCGTTTGATTTTCGCCGGCAAGCAGTTGGAGGATGGTCGCACTCTTTCCGACTACAACATTCAGAAGGAGAGCACCCTTCATCTTGTTCTTCGTCTCCGTGGTGGATTCTGAGCGCGGGTGGTGTCTGGTTTCGTCCTCGTGTATCATTGTAGCACCATTCGTTTGTGATGTTCCGTGATTTTTCTACATTCTAATGACGATGACGATGTGTTTGTTATGCATGTCGATGAGCCTTACAATTGGCGAGGTCTTGTTACATAGGCCCTGGTATGTTGACCAACTCGTGGGTTGCTTCGCTCTGCTGACATGCAGGACGGAATATAGAATCCAACGGTATGCTGTGAGGGTCGATCAGTACGCCGAGTTTCACGATTCTGACTCATCTCTTGACTTCGCACTTTCTTCCCCTTGCAACTGGATCGGGAGAAGGAGGTCTAACCCAGTGCGGGCATTACCACCTCCCCCAGTAGAGCTCATCACGGTGACCTGCCAAAAGACTTGCATATTTACCAACCAATCCGCATTCGACACGCATAAAATATTCAGCAGAGTCGGCTCGCTTGCAATTGTAATTTTGCTCAGCCATGTGCTTAGGAACTTACACTCCGGATGTTATTATCCATATCTACGGTGTCCCGCCGCCATGGCGCGCACCAATATCCTGGTGTTATTCGAGGGGTTGGACACTGATGGGACGGGGCCACCCCGCGTGTGGGGGCGGGGCACTACGCGGCTGGTTCTGCCCCGTAATGCAGACGTAAGGTGTCCCTTCCCTGTCTCAAACCGGAGAGATTCGGTGGCTGTTAACTGCTTGTCAAGTGAGTACTCACGCCGCGTCCCAACATGTGTCCGAGGCTCTGACTGCGTCTCTACCCCTGTTTTCCGGTCTGCGATCACGGTGGCGTCTCTTAGCTCGCGTTGTTCCAGGTGATTTTGACTCGGTTGGCTCGGTAAGGAGACGCGATGGTGGCGCGGTGCCCAATTCGTCGGAAGCCTCTACCCGAGAGACAGTCGGCTTGCAAGCCCTCAGCCCTTCAGCGGCCCGCTCAGCAGCATTTCCTGGCGACTTGCAGTGCTACGTTTCCTGCGACACGTCAGTCGGACACGACCGTGAATTGGCGTGCAACGCGCGTTCCGACATGACCGCAGACCTTATCAAGTCAAGGTACTGGATGTATGGTGTGCGTGGCTGTTCTTCAGGTGGTTGAGCTCAATCAGCATCTGTGCAGGAAAGAAGAGCTGCGTGGCGTAGATGTGCCAACGAGGCCCTGCATAATGTGCAGCATAGTCAAGGCGTTGTCAGGATACGATGAACCCCAACGCCACAATCAAGGTCACAGACGGTTCTGATAATTGGAGGGTGCAGGGTCACTGCACAATCAAGCTCGGTGTCAGTCTCAGTGACCTCGTGTCCCAAATCCCAGCCGAAATTCGCATCACGGACAAGTTTCGTTTCGCAGCGATCGAGATATAGATTCTACCGGCGATCCAGTGAAGCTATTTTGTGCCATCCGCGGACACCACCATAATCTACCAGTGCCGTGGGTGTGGGTACCCTGTGCTATACTGTATATGTGGGGTTGCCTGCCGTAGATACGTCGTGCTTTCCCTCCCTGCGTCCTTGCATGTTCCAGTTGCTAGCGTCGATTGAGACGATGGCCCTAGTTGTGACGCCCGGAAACCTACATGCGAGTCTCGGTGCCTTGACGTTGGGCGCCTTGTTCTCTACGATGTAAGCGCTGCCCTCCATCGCGTCTGGAGACCCCACTCACCTGCGTGCTTACCCCTTCCTTCAGCCTTTCGGGTGTGGTAATCATGCAGTCCATCCTGTATTATCGATTGTTCTCAAAGGATAAACGCCCCCTGAAGATAGTGGTAATGTTTGTTTCTCATTGCCGTCACAACATGTTCTGATTGCCATGTTAGGTTATAACAATATTGTGGGTCTTGTATAGCGCTTTGGGTCAAGACTAGTGGCTGTTCTGATGCCTTCTAGTTTCCTCGACCTCTTCCATACGGCCATGGTATGGACCGCAACCTGGAAGTACTTTGTAGAAGGCTTCGGCGACATGCAGGTTACTGATCGTGCCTTCTGGTGAGCCATGTTTCGCAATGGCTTCATGATTTGTTATTTACAGTTGCTCATTATAGGTCTGTGGGGGTGCGTAATGGCGTCATGTTGTGTTGACGGTTTGACCGACCTACGTATGGCCCAGCTTTCGATTGCTTTAACGGTGCTTTTTCCTGTCATTTTCAGAACACTTTGAAGTGGTTAAGAGTAGTTCGTTCGCGACAGGCAATAACCACTGTCGTTGTTCATTGGTTTGTGCTTCCTTTTAGTGATAGGTTCTCTGTCTGATTGTTCTGATCGCACTCATTCAGTTTCTTCGCTTACCGTCTGTACAAGCGTGAGTCATTCAAATCTGTTGGATAGGGCTGGTTTTCATTCACGTGCGATATCAGTGAGCAGGGGTAATTACTTCATCACGATCCCTCTGGTAAAAGTCTCTGCCTCTTTGTCGTGTCTTCATCTAAACCGCGACCTCTAGGTCATACTCGCCGTCTGTCGTTTGGGTAAGATTTCACTGGACTGTTTGCGATAAGGCTCTACAATCATGATTTCACGCACTGTAGCTTCGGCCCTCGGTGAGCTAGAAGGCATCACTTCCCCGCATTGAACTCACATCCCCATGGTTGGCAGTGACGGCAGTTGAGCTGTGAGCATCCTTGATTCAAGTACCGTTGACGCTTGAGATCTAACGTTGATCAGGATCCGCGTTGGAAGTTTTGCTGATTTCTATGCAAAATATCGGGTGAGAAGAATATCTCATCGTTCTCGTATGCAATTTTGATGCATGTCAATCTACTAGTGGGTATTCACCTTAGGCTTGTGTTTGTCTACTGCGCTGGATATTGTGATTACGGCGAGTTTGTGTCTCTATCTGCGCAAACACCATGGTGGAGGTTCTAGAAGGTTCGTGCTTGTGCACCTGATCGCTATTCAACAGCCTGACCACCCGGCATGCTTGGACAGATTGGACTACATTCTCGATTCCGTTACACTCTACACCGTTGAGAACGGTTTGATTACCTCGTGAGTTCCCGCGTGTTGTGTGCGCCATTAATCCTTACAGATCTCCGTAAGCGTAATCACTATCGTGTCGCTCGCTTTCGTGGGTGGACTACTACTTTTGTTTGGACTGTGTTGAACTGAGGTCTCTTGCTCAGTGGTTAGCTAAGCCACATGCATTGATCTACCTTGGGTTCCACTTCGCCATCAGCAAACGTACGTTTCCTTTGCTCCACGTTGCACGGAGTTCTCAAAGGACCTCGCCCCGCAGTCTACTCCAACTCCTTCCTTGCCTCGTGGGTGCTCCATTGCCCGTTATTGAGCGCTGCTCCGGATCATCGTGTCTAATCTCATTGCATTTTCCCAGCATGAACTCCCGGAAGTTGCTTAGAGGGCAGTCTCAGTCTCAGTCTACCTCGGGGCATCGCCTTCCTGTTATCTTTGCTCACCACCTCACTGGTGGCAGGCACAACTCCGTGAGTGTTCGTGGTTTCATGAAGGCTTGTTGAAGCTCACTGCGCTGTTAAGAAGGCCATGGCCGTAGAGCCGGTTGACCTGACCGGTACAAGAGTGAGTAGAGGTAGTTGTCTCAGAATACCGCGATATATGATTGACCATTTTGTAGCTGCATATTACAATTGATAAGACAGTCGACGTAGTGGAGGACGACCTCCGGGACCTGTCGTCGCAGCACAGCAGCGGCAACACCAAAACGCCTGTATGAACATGAGTATGATCTGTACGGTGCGATCTTGGCCAATTCGGCTTATACGATTACTATCCCTAACCCTTGGGAACTGTTGTGTCATTTGTACCTAGAGTCGAAGCATTTTCAGACGCAATCATACACGCGCGCGACCGCGCTCCTCGATACCTTCTTTAATATCGCTGATCGCCCATTCTTAACTTTGATTTCCTGGATATGACCACAACGTGGAATGTGAGCCTTAGGAAGCTGAGCTGCCGGTGGGCTCGTGTGTGATCCTCGTGCACTTCATGTAGCATATCTTCCGATAACAGCATCAACATCTATGGTCAGTGGTTCAATGAGTTCATCCGTCAACACAGCATGGAAGCTACAGCGCTAGCACTAGCATGGCCGCATTTTGCCGCCGCCCAACGATAAAGGTGTAGTAAAAGTTCCAGCCACTCTAGCTCGAGCAAGTAAACAACTCGGTCATCACACCCGTTCTTTCTGAGTGTAATTTTGACAAGGAAGCGTCACCAGATTGGAGTAGTTAATCGAAACGATTGCGCGGCTGAAGCACTGCGCTGGAACACCTCCATTTCCGGCACGAGTAGGCATGGAGGCGGCCTGCTGGACACGACTGCAATCCATGCTCCCCTATCATGGATTCAAATAGCGTCCGAACCCTAGTACTTATGTATGGTGTTCTTTTGTTCGTGAGATCTTCCGTCTGGTCTTGCCCCCCGCTCCAATCACACCACACCAAGGTTTCACAACATGGATTGTTCTGCAGCGCTCAGAGGAATGATGGAGTACATCGAGCCTATTTATTACTACCCGCAGTATAGCCAGCATGACTATTATCACGAGTGCAATCGCCCCCCCTTCTCGCCAAGAAGAGCCACTGGTGCTGAATTTATTTCGCGCCCCCCGCCTTCGAGACGATCGCACACGTCAAGCGTACAGGAACACCGCCGTCGGGAGGAACAGCCGTGGGACCATATGGCGCAGACATACGCGTGGGTGCTGGAGCAGGAAATCGTGGAGATGGCGAAGAAGAACGAGGAGACCGTGCAGTGGGTACACAAGCAGCAGGATCGCGACCGCCACCGAGACCGAGGGGCTTTCAGGGTCTTCGGGGATGTCGGGAACTCGAGGATATTCCTGGAGCAGGTTCACAGCAGCGAGTTCGAGGCGGACATCGGAGGGTCTTTTCAGGACAGTTGGAGGACGACATTGCGGAGGCATAGGAACAGGGAGAGGATGGTCCAGGAAGAAGTGCGACGAATTCAGGCATCGAGACTCGAGACAGAGAGATGCAGGAGGGTATGCGAGAGACGGAAGTTGGAGGAGGAGGCGCGAGTACGGATGGAGAACGAACGAGCGAAGGCCCGTCGCGACGATGCAGAGCGAGAGGCCTGGAATACGTACGAAGATCGATGGACGACTCTTGGGGGCGATTCATCAGAACCGCTCTCGTTCCGCGACATTCCTTGGCCAATGGTCTACCAACCGCAGGCGGTAGCAGAAATCACGCCCGGACGGATTGTGATGTTCCTATTGTCCCCACTTCATTCAGATACTTTGTCACGGAAAGACCGCATACGAAAAGCGTTGCGGAGATGGCATCCAGATCGACTAGTGAGAGTACTCGCACGGGTGGCGGAGGATGATAAGGCGAAGGTGGAGGAAGGCGTTGGTGTAGTAGTGCGCTGCCTCAACAATCTGCTGGAACGAGAGAGTTGAGATTGGTTATCCTGGTGAGTACCTATTTGGACTAAGGTCTGCATATTGACTGACTGTCAGAAGTATAGCGACGCCGATGCAGGCCATCAGGTCACTCTACTCGCTTTATGACAAGCTACGTGTCAGGAACGACGAAGCTTTGCACATCAGTCTGCGACTATGGTCATGAGTAATAGGACTCTATGTTGTAAATATGACAATCGCACCATTGCATGAATCTTTCTTTTTTCACCAGGCGATTCCTTCGTTCAGATGCAGAACGCTGGCAGCAGTAGTGATTGGCGTGAGAGTCTGTACATCTGTACAACTGCATGTCGGCCAAGGCTTACATGTTCAAGATGTCTGCAATCATCGTGAAATTCTAAGCGTCCACACAGACCGACGAGATGATGGAGGGAGAACCGGGGGCCGGGGCTAACTTGAACAAGTACAGCATGACAGGACACGCGATACCTGAAGTCGTACCTCCGAAGTCACTTGACTATCCTCCACCGTCTCAGTTTCCGTCAAATTGAAACCATGCCTCTCGCACGTACGGTGACAAAGCCTGACTTGAAGAACTTTGCGCTAGATGCCTACCGTAACGATTGAGACGAAGGTCGCGATGCTGGACGCAAGGGACAAGGCCACGAACTCACAGTATGCTCTCAAGTTTGTGAGCGCGGCGGTAAGCAGTAGGTACCTTACTATCCAAGAGCTCAACCGCAAGGCTTACATTTCTTTGCTCAGATATGTTCGCATCGGCGGTCAGCAACCCGCTGGATATGTACGTTTGAGACATTCCTTTGCCTGCCCGTAGCTGAGGACAAACGTAACAAATTTCTGCAACCAGCATCAAGGTGTGTGATTCATCGACATGAGTGCATGCACTTGGAATTGAGCTGCCAGTGCAGGTTCGCCAGCAACTGCGGACCCAAAGTGAGTTGTCATGTTGTCCCTGTGATGCTGCCGCAAAACAATTTATTTGCGTGTACAGCTCCTGGTGCCAGACACAACTCTTTCTGGTCTGTAGGACTCCAGATGGCGCGCTCAGAGGGCGTCCTGAGCCTCATGAACGGCTTCTCTGCAAGCATGTTACGTGAAGTGGTGTATTCGGGTCTGCGGATGGGCTCTTATGAGTACTTCAAGGACACGTGAGTTTGGTTCAAAGATATCGGGTTATAGTGAGAGAGAACTCTTGTAGATTATTTGATGCCTCGAAGGGTGCACTAAGCCGCGACGGTTTGGGTCTCAAAGTCGCCGCTGCTACAATTGCGGCGACGTTAGGCTCGTAAGTTCCCATGAAGCGACACTTCTGTACAGAGCATCAAATGCTGACTACGAGAACATATATAGCGCGCTCGCGAACCCCGCTGATTTGGTGAAAGGTCTGCTTCCTTCCGACAGTACTCTTCCGATCGCCGTTGACACGTTCCAGTGCGCATGCAGGCATATTATCCAGACGGCAGTCCATACCGGCATATGCGCCATGCGTTCACCGCCATCTGGAATGAGGGTGCGCACTCATCCAGCAACACGAGCTCCATGTCGGGTGGTCTTCGTGCACTCTATCGGGGAACGGAAGCCACGACTCTTCGTGGGGTAGTGCTGTCCGCAACCCAGATTTGTTCGTATGATCAGATCAAACAGGTGTTTAAACGGCAAGGGATCATGGAAGAGGGTATCGGACTCCATTTTACGGCGAGCATGTTTGCTGGGTAAGTCTTCCGCGCTCACCCAGCGCTCACCATGTCATGGCCTCCCTTGCACAGGTTGTTCTGCTCTATCACATCAAATCCTATTGGTTCGTCTCTACATCTACCATTTTTCATCGGTACCGTGATCATTTACCTTCACTGTACTGCATAGATGTGGTCAAAGTACGATTAATGAACGACAAGGCTCGCGAGATAAACGGCACGTTTGACTGTGTGAAGACTATCATGGTACGAGAAGGCCCGATGGCATTCTACAAGGGATTTAGCATGTGCTGGGCGAGGGTAGGTGCTCATCTTATGCACTATCTGATTATTTGACAGACTCTGTTTGATTAGCTGGGGTCTCATACCATCCTCACATTCGTCATGTTCGAGCGATTGAGGTTGCTATTCGGAATAGATGCGCTGTAGCGACCTTGAGGGGAAATGATGTCACCTGTAACGTATATTGTCCGTCTATGCATTGCAGTAGGCACGAGGCCTGTAAGTACGAGGTCTGCACGAGGAGGTACGGTGGCAGTAGTCTCGAATCCAGACGGCATGGTAGTAGGTGCGGCATAACTGCATGGCGCCGTATTGTTGTTCGCCACTCTTTTGCCCCTCGATTTTTGCCTTGTATTACACTATAGCATTGCAAGTGCACGGTGCATCGTGGTGACCGGAAACAAATACCTCGGTAGCGGCAACATTACCATGTCCTTGTCGGGAGCACGTGATCGTGATTTGTTCATTGTTGTTCTGTCCAGTGTCCTTGCGTTGAGTACAACAGCTACTCGAAAGCAACCGCATACATGCCAAGGGTTGCACAGTGCACATGCCACGTTTTCGGAGTCAACGCCCGGCGTGTAAATACGCACTTTCTACTGTCCTTCTGCTCCGTTCACAACATCCGAGGAACCGTCTCTATTCTGCATCTCAGGGCTAACTTATTGCTTCCTGCTTCATCTTCATCTAGCTGTCCTCATCTCTCCGAGTCGTATTTCAGCTACCGGGAGATAGCTGAGCTAAGTGTATACTATGAGCAGTGATTCCTCGTGAGTATGTTCAATCTGTTATCTTCTTCGAACACTTCCACGTACGATGAGATATGGAGCTTGTATGGCCACACTGGCTCTCGGATCGCGGCGCAGTCAACATTTACATCTCTTTCAAGCCATTTTTCCTCTTTGTTTTCTGCTGTACGTTATCTTTCTCCGTAGAAATAGTCAGGATCTGTCTACTTTGCTGCTGCTTGCTTTAGTGAGACACACAAGCATGTTTCATTCGCTGGAGGCGCGTAACTTCACTTGACGTTGCACGTCCTTGGGAATTAGTTGTCGCGGAAAACCTTTGCTTCATCCATATAATTTCGTCCGACATTTGTGGACCCATGTTGAGCCCCATCCGCTCTAGGTCACTGAACTTAAGGCTGTGGATATGAGATAATGCTTTACGCCGCACAGTACAGTCACGAGTTTTCGTTTTGCTTCATATATAATTGACCAATATCTGACAATCTACATTTCTGGCCGTTTCTAACAGTCGCGAGTCATCTCCAGTAAGTCTCTTAATCATATTAGTTTGCAGTTGCACTGAGGAGACCTGATAAAGGCTCGTCGTCGCCCTCCTTCCCCAGGATCCGACTCTAATCAAAGTGCATCATCTGGAGGTTCGTCGCAACCTCGCCACGAACCATCGGCTTCTTCTGGATTTCAACAATATGCAGGCACATCGGCTTCCGCCTTCCAGTCATCGGCGGGCACGTCTGCATATCAACCGCCGGCAGGCACGTCACTGTCTGCCTTTAAATCATCCCCGTATACCTATAGTGCGAAATCTACTACGACAACACCCATTCTCCGCCAACCTGTTGGTTTTGGCGGGACCGTACCGAAGGCTAGTTCAACCTACAGTGCATCTGCTACAGCCGCACCAGCGACCGAACACACACCCGATCAGGGCACAGCGGCTACGTCTTCCTCGAAGTCGAAGTCGGAGAAGACGTCCAAGAGCAAAGACAAGGAGAAAGTAAAGTCCGCCTCTTCGGGAAAGGGCAAGGAGAAGGCAAAGCCTAGCTCTTCGCACAGAGGCAGGGAAAAGGAGAAGGAAACTGCTCGTCACCCGTCGGATGGTCTACCTTCTGGTGCCCCGCCGGTGCGGAAGGGAGTCGTACCATCAGCGAACAAGACTACCTTTCGCGTGCATAACTACACCAACGATCCCAGCGCTGCGAGGCCAAGTCCCGTACCTACTGACGGGCCGTATAAATCTGATTATCGCGCTGTACCAGCACCACACGGACGAGAAGCTGCGCATCCGACCACTGCGAATCCCGACCTTGAGCAGGAGCCTCGTCGTTCGTACTATCGCCATGATTATGAGAGACAACGGGACAATGCGCCTGCTCGTCGTCGCGCCAAGGTCGCTGCTGCCGAAAATGATGCACCGGTACCGGTACCCACACCAGCACTCATAGAGGTCACCTCTCCGACACCTATAGTTCCACCATCACCAACGTCTGTCCCGGCTGCAGCTCATGGATACGCATACCCGCCGACGCCAGCATCTGCATACTCGCCAGCAACGCCAGTAACACATTCGCATGCACAGGTCTCAACGTCAAGTCATAGACACAGACATGCGTCACCAACAGGATACGCCCGTGTATCGACACCAGCACCCGCACATGTACAGACTCCTTCACGAACATACGCACGAACGCCAGGTCTCACTTCAGAACCAATGCAAGCCTACGCAACGCCATCATCCATGTCCTCACCAACGCCAGCATACTCACAGCCACCAACACCCATGGCTGATCGCAGATCATTCGACCATTCAAAACCGTTAGAAGACAGTTACAGGCCATCTTCGCCTCCCTCTAATAGAGCGTACAGTACACCCGAACGATATCATGGCACTGACTCACATGCTCACAGCTCTCATTCACACTATCCTTCAACTTCCCCGTCAAAGTCATACGTCCCCCATACTCCCGTACCCCCATCGCTGCCTCCCTTAGCTAGCATAACTTCACAGCAACCGATCCGCTACCTCCGTGTGTTGACACTTCTCATAGAAGATAATCGTAATGGTCAAACCGAAAATCAACTTGCGGAGCTGCGAGTGGAACTCAGAGAATCACCCGACGGTTGTTACTTGGCTGACGCCAAAGACATATGTGACGCACTTCAAAGTAGTCCTTCCAGGATCGATGGTGAGATTTGTTTTCTAACGGATGACTGGTCGCTAATCGGTCTTGTCAACGTCGTTCGTGCAGGTAGCGCGAAGGTGTTTACGATGCGCGGGAAGTATCGCCATTATTTCCTTAGGCTCACGTCGGAGGGAGAAATGGAATGTAGCCCTGTGAATTTGACAGTGACTATGGACAGGACAATCGAGATATTCATTGAAGATGTGAGAATGGCCGTTTACCTTGTGTTACGGACTGATGATACTAACTTTATTGGGACCGTGCCTTTTCTCTGTGTAGAACCCTATGCCGGGGGCGAGCAGCCATCTGCGTTTGCCTTCGCTAGTAGAGCGCGATATGTTGACTCCAATCACCGACCCCATGAAGACTCCTTCGCCAGCAGCTAACTCTCAACTAATGGCACCCCTCCGGGTGGATATGGTCGCTGAGCGCGAATACTCCGATCAGCGGCATCGCAAGCATCGCAAGAGGCATAGGTCATCAAGTTCGCGTTCAATTGATTATCCCGCGCTGCACTATCCATCTCACGAACCTCCACCTCGATCCCTTGAATCTACCCCCTTTTCTCATGCATCCTCTCCTCCTATATCTTCCTCCTACTCTTACATGTCTTCTCCTCAGCCTTCACCTACCTCGCAGACGTCGTCTCTTCCACAAGCAGCATATCTTGCACCTACGTCTCCGCATTCGGCGCAAGCTGGGATGCGACACAAGTCTCCGACCGCGTTCGGCACTACGCCCACTCAACAAGATCACTTAGGCCATCAGTACGACGAGTCTTATCAGCGCCGCCCATCATCTCCGAAGAGGCCTAGGATCGACCACGCTCACCTCGGAGTTTCCAACGATGCACGGTATGCATGGGACGACTCGCGCACGCGATCAACATTGAGCAGCTCACTGGCACCGCCTACCTCTATGATACCAGTAAATCCTCGATCAGATTCCACCAGCATGCTCACCCCGCAGTCTGAGGGAAATCGGACTCCTTCGTCTCATGGAAGAATCCCTACATCTCACGAGCGGACTCCTTCAACTCACGAATGGACTCGCACATATTATGACAGGTCTTATTCATCTCACGAGAGAAGCAACGCACCGATCCCATCCGAACTCGTCGCAGAATCAACAACGGCAATGGTTGACTCCGTCGGCGCGTACCTTCGCTCGATAGTCAGCCAAGAACCGCAATGGCAAACATTTGTTGATATGAGAAATAGAATATGTCGCATGTCAGAGTTGCTGGAGCAATATCGATACATGAAGCGCATGTTCGACCGCTTCGTCTCTCAGTATACTCCGTCCGACTTGAAGGATGCTCCAAGTGTGCAAATCACGCGGGTGCGTTATTCCCACAATGCCTGTGCAGTCGAGACTGAATCCCTTCCCCCTTTCAGGCTCAAGTCTTGAAGGCGTACAACCTTCCCACGAGTTGGGGTGATAATTGCATGGAGGTGCTCTCTTTGGTCGCTTTGTACGGGCCCAACGGCAAGCGGTACGAAGATCGCCGAGTCGTGGATATGTTTGACGAAGTTCCACCGGTAACCACTAAACTGCAGCTAGAGAAATTCTTGGCGCTCCTAAGGGAATGTCACAGTCGATGGACTATAGATCATCCTGAATTCTAATATAACACACTCAGGGATACTCATACTTGCTCAGCTTCGGTGCTGAGGACTCCCGCTGCTGCGCTGCTGGAAGTAGGATTTCGGCATGTGAACAGTGGATGGTCTTCTTGGGCGTTACGGATAGGCTGAAGACTCCGAGAATGGCCCGCGACCAGGTGTGCCCTTTGATACTCGTCAACGTGAGGTTATTTATCTTATGTTGCTTGCCTGTAGTATATGAAGTTGACGTATCTGGGCTGGGTTTTGGGTCTGGACCTCATTACTTCCTACCGTTCTGAACGTCATCACAATCCGAACGCTCTCAATCGAGGCCTGGCATAAATTCATGAACATGGTTATCGTTCATGAGGTTTCGCCGAGAGCGTAATTAAGGAGCTTTCGGTCGTTCGTGAAGTTCGAGAGATATCGGTCAGTCCTTCTCGTGGGTTACGGTCACCTGCTGCTGTACGGACCGTCGTCCGGCATCCTTCATAAAGGCGGTTCTTGTGGAGCTCCGAGCCTCCTGGATGCAGTCGCCTTCTAGCATTCGTCTTTTACATTGAAATTCTGCGATGGCAATCGACTACAAATTTCTGACTCCGGAGCAACGTGCTCATTTCCTGGAAAACGGATGGGTCAGGATCACCAAGGCCGTACCAGAGAATATCATCCGTCGATTCACTGAGAATGTCTGGGTCAGACTCGGGTACGATCCCAATGACACGACCACTTGGCAGAAAGAGAAGGTCTGCAGTCCGATCTGTGCTTCAACTATTCTCAGTAGATTTTGGCATCCATTTTTGCAGATCCATATGCCCAGGCACCGTGAGATACCCACCAGAGACTTCATGCCGAGGGCGTGGGGCGCGATGTGTATGGTTGTAGTTTTTTCAAGAATGTGCAAGGTGTAATGACCGCTCGCAGGCGAGCTCCTCGGGGGAGAGGACCGCATCGATCCTACCCTCTTTGAAAGTTGCGGGGACAGTCTGATCGTCAACCTGGGATCTGAGGAATGGACTAAAGTGAGCTTTCTACTCGTTCGATGTTGTATATTCGCTCAATCCCCCTAGCGCAATATTAATCCGAAAGACCTCGGAAATTGGCACATGTGAGCTCAGAATTGTTCCCGATAACTTCAAACGGTGACAATCTTATAACGTTCCAATTTCAGAGACGGCGATTGGTGACGTCTCCACGACCGCTCCATCTGCCTGTGATCTGATTATTACCCAGGTTCACCCATTTCCTCGATTCGGGCGAGCAGGGGCTTACGGTGATCGTGTTGTACAATGACATAAAGCCCCGCGGCGGCGGTACATACATTGCACCCGATGGCATCAAGAATGTGGTAGAATGGTACACGGAACCTGCCGTGTAATGTACAGATTGTGGGGACTCACAGCATGCGACAGGCTCCACGAACATGCCGAGGGTGCAGAGTCCCTTGCACAGGACCCCGATGGCAGTCGATCAGTCTGCTCAATCCAGCAGTGCAAGGATTTCGTGGAAGTAAGTCATTGATTCTCAGGAATTATCGACGTATGATATATTTGTCTTCAGTTAACGGGCGATGCGGGAGATGTCATCCTACTCCACCCTTTCATGGTAAGTTTCCGTTGTGATTTGTGATTTGTGCACCTCTCTAATTTTTGTATTTATCTGCAAAGCCTCATTCGGCGTCCAAGAACCATCTGCGGATCCCTCGGTTCATCACCAATCCCCCAGTGACTCTTAAGCAACCTCTGAATCTCAATCGCGCAGACCCTACAGACTATGTAGGATTTATTTGCTGTCCTATTTACCACAATTCTCACCCGTCTGTAGTCACTTGTCGAGTTGAAGATATTGCAAACTCTCGGTGTCGACTCTCTACCGGATTGGAAGATCACGAGAGATCGCAAACGCTTCACACCGCGAACTCGCGCTGGCAAGGACACGATGATCATTGAAGAAGTAGAAAGGATGAAGGCGCATGCATTGAGGACGGGTGGTATTGTCGACAGCATGCATATCAACGGTCCTGTCCCGTACCAGGTAGTGGTCAAATGAATATGAATACTCCAGGAGATTCCTCTGCAATATTATCGTGTCTATCTCGCATAGTTGACAGCAAGGTTCCGGTTGAAGGTCTTGAGGTAGCAGAGTCTATGACACATGCCAAATCGGGACAGAAATGCAAGTGACGTCGTGCTGGAATTGGACAGCTCCGCTCCCACCGGAGACGGGGACTAATATCTAAGTTCCTTACATTGTGGGAACATCCGGCCTAACATGTATGATGGCCCGTATGTAGCTCCGACGGTCGAAAATATGTTTACAATGTAAGGCCTGATGTCTGGGCATGCGATACCCAAATCACACATTGATAATGTGTGATATTGCGACATATACAATGTTCACAAATGGCTATGTTACCATATAACATTCGTCCGAAAATTTTAGGTCTCGTTCGGCATGTCCGGCGGGAAGAAATTCTGATCGACATTATGCCTTTCAGGGCAGACAACAGATTAAATATCGAACTAGTATAAGGGCGACACAAAGTTACAATGTATGATCATTTGACATTTGACATTAGAGTCTATTTATGAGGTGAGATGTCAGGGCCTCACACCCTCGACCTAATATTCAAACTGTAAGGAGGTCGGACACCCATAGCACCGCTAAGCGGCTTGACGAGTGGCACACTCGATGGCCACTTAGTGGTCATTGGATCGCCAAGTGTACCGCTCAGTGGCTTTTCAACTGGTCGTGGGAGATTGCACAAGCACAAGCACAAGTTCGATCAAAGGAAGTACATTAACTGTATATAATGAGAAAGTGGCAAATGACAGGACATCGACAAACAGCGCAGGATGCAACGACGAGGGGCAAGGGACAGGAACAGCATGTAAAATTATGAGGAAACCACTTATTTGCACACAAGCTGGGCCAAGTCATCCCTATCCACCCTAAGCGTCCTGCCACCTTCTTCCAGTACTAGAACAAGCGGGTCTGCCACGCCTCGCATCGTTTTGCCGTACGCTCCGAAGTTGGGGCCACGCTTACACACGATCGCATAATCGCCAGGGCCTGGTCGCAATATGGTGAGGTCTTGGAGAGAGAGACATCGGCATATTCCAGCTTTCACGTCCGGTATTCACATCGCACCTTGCCGTCCACTGGGGAGGCTCCCTTCACCGTGGTCATCAGCTTGTCTCGGAGTTGACTGGCTGTGCACATGAACTTGAAGCGATAAGTATGGAACGCAGGTGCCACAGCCGCATCCAGCATCCATCCATTGGGTCCTGATGTGAATTCAGCAGACATTTTGTGTTGATGATGAGGCTACGCACCATTAGGTTCGACTGAAGATGTCGATCCATCGGGTCCTAATGTGGATTCAGCGGACACTCGGTAGTGGCGGCGCGGTTACGCACCATCAAATTCCACCGAATACCCCCACACTGAATCTGTGTCATGTGACGTGGGTTCTAATTCGTGGCCCAATGGGGTCCGAGGCCGCTCAGGGAGCGGACCACGCTCCACCGTGTCGATGTTGCCCCTGCAATGAGGCAGTTAGATATGACCAGAACTACAAGTAATGAATCTTACCTTTCTTCTGACCGGAATGCGATCTCGGGCTTTCGGAACAAGAGGACGCCCCTCGAGGTTAAAAGCTTGGCTTCAAGCTCAACCTCGTAATCGCCGTGGTACATGACATTTCGCAATGTGCCCACAAATCCCTTCAAAGGGCCTTTGATGACACGCACCACTCGCCCGATGTCGGGATTCCGTCAGTCAGGATGCTTGAGGGCAAGCTCCTTCTTCACCTCTTCCTCCATTTGCGTCTCAGAGCATGAGGGGCGCTGCTCTCCCGGCCTTGATACTGTCACCGACGGCTGTATCGAGGTCCATTCCGCCTCGGACTCTGTGAGTAAGAGATCCCAGGGTAACACATGATGCTATATCGAGTTTTGAGCATCGATAACGTCGCAGGTGGTGGGACATACCTCAGAGGTTTCCAACACAGAAGAAGTATAAAAGACTCCCATTATTGGGTTTCTAGTTCGCTGAGAAAAGTTCAGTACTTGGAAGCATTGTCGTACGTAGAACATACATGCTGAGGAAAGTTCCGCTATTAAGGATTGCAATTGCATGAGAAGTGCACAACGTACCTCGACTTTGTTCGCGTGAACAATCGTGACATCGAAATCATCCATGGCAATCACTTGCCCTTCCAAGCCCGCATGGAGGCCCGTCTTAACTTTGACCGCATCGCCAACTGCCCAAAGGGGGTGTAACTGAGTTACAGGTAGCATGAGAGATGAAAGTTCGTCATCCAACTTCTCGTGGTAGAGATTGGTTAGCATAGCCTGTCCATTAATGACTGAATGCACGACACCGATGAGGCCGCATTGCTTGCCCTGTATAACGATCACACATGTGCCTGCAGCTGGTTCGAAGTCAACACAGAATAGAATGAGCTTCACTATCGCTGTCTTTGGCACGAATTTCACCGCATTAAAGACGAATACATCGTTTCGAGTCGCGTGGACGTCGAAAGTCACCCGGTCCAAAGTGAGTTCGAGCTGCAGGAGGCCGCCTTTGAACTTCTTGCCCTTGAGAATATGTATCAGCCGATCACCTTCGCTTTCTGTCACAGCCTCTCTGAACAACTCCTTCAGTAATGCTGGCAGCATCGGTTGCTGAGAAGTTCTTCCATGCTGCCGCTTTTTTGTAGTAGGCAAGCGTGGAACCACCCAGACGCGGAGGAGAGAGTCCTCTCGCGACTCCACGAAGGCCACATCGTGCTTATATGTACCACGCGAGATGCACACCCAAGGAGAGAGGAAACCATTTTCCGTGGCTTAAAGGTGGATTCCATCGGGGGCAAGAGAGATGACTGCACCACCCGACTGTGAGGCCCGCTGTGCACATCTAGCTGCCATGTCTCTCTCTGTAATAGACCGGGCCATGGCTTCTGCATCAGCAGCATCGTCGCCGACACATGCATTATCAAGATGCGCCCGAGCTTGTTGAGTGCGTTGGACGTCGGCGAGCAACTCGGCTGGAAACAAGCTGTAAGATATATCCAATAACGCAGCTGAGACACTTACTCAGTTCCTCCTCCTCTTCTTCTTCTTCCTCCTTCTCCTCCTCCTCGTTGTCGACGATAGCCTCGATATCCAAGTATGGGTTCTTGGCATTCCATGCATGAGGATTGAAAACGTAAGAACTGACTGCAGTACTTACCGCTTTCCGCGCACACTTTGAAGACATGGCAGCGTCAGTGGTACCAAGAGGTCGGGATAGTGTCCGTTAGATTTGAGCAATCGTATCTTATGAGATGTCGCTTGGAGTACACGAGGCTTCGACCACGAGGCGTTCATCACCAATTAGCCCACATGTACAATTACTTCCGAGTAACACGTGCAATGTCCTTCAATGTCACACTGCTGGTGATGAGGTGTCACCGAGAAGATTTCCGATGTAGCGGCTGCTCCTGCAGTTGTGCGTGAGCATGCACAAGCGCCGCATTCTCCTATACATTGAGAAACATGTTAGTATAGCTACATCGCCCTTCGTCCATATCGTGCACATACATTATTGTCAGCCTGTCAGCCTATCAACCTCAGCATGTACAATCGACCTGGTGCGATCTGGCTGTAACCGCACGGGTGCGTTAATGTCAAGGGTCTTCAGAAATTTTTACGCGTAAGGTAATCAATAACCAAATCGGCTGCAATTCGATTGTATCCCACTCTGGTATGCAACCGGCACAAAAGGGCGATGAAACAAACCGTCCAGCAGCTTGGCTACCTATACTATAGCTAAAGATAATGAGGACCCCACAAGAATAAATAACAATGAAACTACAAAAGAGAGCGAACTACACTACAACGTTACTAAAGGCTCCAGGCCACATAGCAAATGACAAGCGCTACAGCTGAGAGATGGTGGTGGAACGAGAACAAGAGGAAAGAAACGCCCATTCCACCTCCAGCGGAGTTTTGATGCATCCCGTCACTTTGTCCCGTGCAAATAAGGCAGCCACACATCACGGGCCACTTGTCACGAGCCGCTTGTCACGAGCCGCTTCTCAGCCTCTGTTTGTCTTGCACAAATAGACCGCGTGCGCCATCTGGCCGCTGTCCAGAATTTGGGCGCCTTCTTCCTTGCCTTCGAATTTCCATCATCCCTGCGATATCGGCCAGTTCTTCCGTCGCCATGTCTGCCTCCTCCTCCTCGCCCATGCCCTCCTCGCTGTTGTCGTTGTTGATGCCATCGCCCTCTTCTGCTCCAGTGCTGTCATCGCTGCCCTTTTCCTCGCACACTTCGATGCCCTGAGGGCTTTCTTGTAATGCCCTCTTCCACGCAGGTGCCCTCTTCCTCGCTGAGCCATTCTCGTGCACGCCGCCGCACCTGTTTGAATTAGGGGCCGATAGTATACATTGTATTAGAACCTGTATCATAGCCATCTGAGCCACATCTCTGATGATTGAGTGCCATATCGGGTTTGTACCAAACATAAACATAAGAACTGCGAAAACGCACCATTAATTGGCACCTGAGCCGCTAGAACAACCCACAGGCCAATATTGGCTCTGCTTGAAAGCCCGGAACTGTACATTGTTGCCCATGGACGCATCGTCCACGGCTCACTCTGGCTATACAGATATTACAGATGCTACATAACGATCACTCGCAAATACCGGTCCTTCGTCAAGGTCTCGACGTCTCCGCTTTCTACAATACCTGGCGCGTATTCATGGAATGGTTGGAAATTATGAGGATCGACCACCTGAGCATACCATGTGAGTGCTCTAGTCCCACCGCAATGCACCCCACTTACACGACATTTGCCATGTACACCGAGCTGTGCTGTGACCTGAAGAAGATTCAGGCTTCCGTCTTGGGAGCAGTGGCATTCAATTTCCCGTATAGCTTTCCAGTCTTTAGCTTTCGCAAAGAGCTTGATATGAATGACTTTGGCCTGCTCATCATTCGGCTTCTGTGCTGGGATCTTGATGCGCAGGACTATGTTGGGCTTCTCCGCAATAGGTGAGTCAGTACGTTTTCTCATCTCACCGCAATTCAAGAGGTCATACCTGATCTTTGCGAGCCTTCTTGTTAGTTCTCGCATCTTTTTCCATAAACTCTGTGGGAGCCAATCGTTTACCAATCGTGGAATAAATACACGAAGCGTCTCGGTCACGAAGGCCTGAAGGGGCTGGAGGAGGCATGCCAGAGGGTTGCAGGTGAGCTCGTTTAGGGCTTTGCGATTGCTCCTGCTCTCCCGAGAGAGCATGTTTGCTGGCTGGCCATGCCACCATCCCGCCATCTGCGGGTGCATTTGACTATAACATTGGTCATCACATGGTTGAACGTTGCAATCATAGGCTTACATGCTTGTATGTCAGATGCACTCATTTTGCTCGTCGCTCCGCGTTGCGCTCTTCGGGCGATTTACGCTTGCGTGCGATCTCCAACGTCGACTTCTCAAGAGGTGCTGAGGCCGCGGTATCCTCGTGTGCATAAGGACCGAGCGTTGGAGCCACAGGAGCATGTCGCTGACTACTGTAAGTCTGCTATGTTCACTGTGAGATTTACTCACATATTTCCAGAGTGCATCAATGTAGTCCTGCTTTACTGCGTTCGACCGGCCAGTTGGTGTGACCGTTAAATTGTGCTTGTTGCAGAGTTTCGTAAGTATGTCCACTGTGTACCTGCTGAAAGTTGATTTACTGTACTTTTTCCGTAGCAGTGTCTGTTCAGCTCGTTCGAGGTCGAACATGGTCAGTGGTCTACGGTTGCCTGATTCTTTTGTATATGTCAGTCGCCTGCAATCCTTATGGAGTGTGCGACTTGAATTGGTAAGACTATTGTTCTATTGTCCACTGCGACTTAGCGTGAAGGCGCGACCTCTCCCGGCTTTGAGCTTCCCCATCCACGACCAGCATGCCCCAACTGCCGATAATGAAACATCGCATCCAGCGCCAGTACCAACCCTCATCGGGATGCATGCGTTTCGATGCCGAACACCTTCTCACTCTTCCTCCCTCATCGGCAAGGTCAAAATTCCACCTTATCAAGCCTCAATCAGATGTTCAGGCTGGCACATGCCAAAGCATTGCTAGCGACGCGCATTCCCCAGGAGCTGATGCAGCAGCGTCAGAACCCATCATCCCTAAGCCTGACGGCCAAGTAGGTCGCCCACGCCGAGGAGGTTACACGCTTAGCGATGAGTTAGGGAGACACGGGTGGGATACCGCGAAGTATGACAAGTTTCTGATATGAAGCATATCTTGCAATGTTTTCAAAGACTGTAGCTGACTAGCAAGTACAGAAGGACATCGGTGGCTTGGCAGTCAGGTATTTGGAATTGGACAAGACAATCTCAAAACAGAATCAGACGATGTTGGACGCAGTGTATGCCCAGGTACGTCGGGTAGTTGCATACGCGATCGGCACTGACGGTTACAGAACTTCATCAGGCTACGAAGCTCTATCCCCAGCTCGCGCACTACGAGAAGAGTTGGCCGGTCAGAGACGTTCTGAAGACCAAGTTAGGAAACACAACCTACATGACCAAGAAGGATAGGGGGAAGGAGCAGGAGGCCCGCGCATCTGTAAGTATAGTTTGAACCTCAAATGACTGATGCTTATTTGTCTGCAGGTTGCACCGGCCGTGTTGTAAAATATCCTGCATTGTTGTACTGCTCTTGATTTTAGTCATGAATGTAGACTCGATTGTTTGGATTCGAGCGGCGCCCTACATGCGCTCATGTAGCATTATCCCATGTTGTTTCCAGATCTGCGCTGTACGAGTCAACCCCATTTGCACCAATGGTCAGTAAAGTTATAAGTCGGCTGTCCCGGGTTGCTGCCTGAATGGGGGATACTAAGGCTCACAAGATCGTCAGCATGCCCAGTCGGCAGTAACGCAAAAGTAACGCATATGTCACAGACAGTAACGCGGGCCGTTTTGCTACTCTGCTCAGCAGCCTAATGCGCGAAGGTCATGACCGTGTCATTGTGAATGCCACCACTTGAAACCCCGCTGCTGACGCTCGCAGCAGACTTCGGCCAGTGACTAGCCAGCGTGAGTCTGCGTTACATTGGAGGTCAAGAAGGGACTCCTCCAATACCGATCCATTTGAGCTCGTTCAACCTCAAGAATGTTGTGGTACTATAAAATCATACATATAAGAGATAACTAAGTGGTAGAGGCAGGGGAAAGGGCTAATTGAGCGAGGTGCCGACTTGGGGGGCATGCCGACGATCTTGTGAGCCATAGTATTGATTGCAGCACACATTCACCTCCACCTTCACCGAGCTTCAGTCTTTCCACGACGGGAGCAGACAATACATTGAATTTATAAGTAGAAGTACAACAAACGCGACTGACAATCTCCATACGGTCCCTCAGCGAAACGTCCCACGCACAGCCGACTGCCTCCCAACAGCCTTATGGCACCTACATGCACATCTGATCAGTCAAGTAATGTACCGACTCATCAAAGACTTACGTTAGATGCCAGTAACATTGCAGGAGTGCGGCGCGGAGGAGAGCGATGTACCTCCCTTGCCGCTGACAGGGAAGACCTCGCGAACGAGCATCATGGACCGGTCTACATCCTCGACGAGCTGCTTGGTCCGATATACGCTGGCCCTAAGGGTCCGAACCTCCTCCTGTAAGTCACTAATGGAGGACACCGAGGCCATGCAAGTGCTCTCTGTAAACAATGTTAATATCGATTCAAGTCAAAATGTATAATCATCACTTACAACCACGACTAGCCATGAGGATCAGTTTGGACAGCAGTGGGGGAATGGTGGTGGTGGTGGTGGTATGCTCCGAACGTGAGATGGGGAAAGACTCGGAGACACCGCAATATATATAGGCATAGTCATGAGACCCTATTATATAATTATAGGTGGAATACTATTAGTGACCGACATGCCCCAGAAGGGTGATACTTCTTTCTATGCAGTTTGAGCATTCCATATGCTACAGAAAAAATATCTGAAGCTGAAGACAGTCAGGCAACATGGCACAATATATTTCCTCCGATCATCGGCATGTCGCGACCCTTTTAATACAAAATTTTATACAAAATCCCACTATCCCGATTCCTACTTAGCTGTGAAGCTTTGAAGGGTTCTAGCGATGACAGAAGCAGTGTGAAAATCTAACCCTTTTTTTCAATGGCCGGGAAAGAACTTGTTTTATAAATCTTTACCTTAAATTCACGATGAATTGTGTGCTGGGTATGGGATAGTGGAAGAGGGTCCATATGCTTTCGAGTCTCACGCGCGAGCTTCGCAGGCTTCACCAGCACCCACATGATGAAAGAACTTGATAATGAATACATACATTCTCTGACAACAATGCAGCGCAAGATAACAATGAATACGTTCTCGGATGACAAACTATACATGACCCAACACACGAACAGCTAACCCCTAAAGGTTGCTCAGCGAACTAGTGGAGGAAGTGAATAAAGACTACATCAGTACAATGTTGAATGCATGTATGCACTGTCAGCAATGACCTCTGCACAGAGAGAGTCCACGGCATCGGCTGTGGCATCTACTATTTGGCTGAGCTCCTCCGTGTGTTGTTCTGACTCGTCTAAACATTTCCGCAATGCACGAATATCCGCAACTAACTGCATTGCATTCACTTGCGTACGCGCGTGCTCACGCTTCAGGTCCTCGATCTCCTCCAGTAAGGACATGCGCGTGTCCGACGAAGGTGGACGGGATGTGCTCGCCACGTCCGTCTTGGTACTAGATTTTGGACATTGGACCGGGGACACGGAGACCTGTAGGTGAGTAACATCAGCAACTGAAATGTGGACAGCGAACTTCCGCATCCACCTTGTCTGACATATTTGCAGCCGATTTTTCGAAATTCTGAGGGAGTAGCGTGGACAGCGAAATCCGGGACGGATGGTGATGGGTTTGCATTATCAGCCTGGCAGCAGCAGGCAGGATATATAAAGGCAACATACCTGGGATTAGAAGCGTCATGCCGGATGGTTCCACGAATACCTGTCGCAGAAGTCAACAAGAAGCACGGCGTCAGCACGGAATTCATGTAAGCGATGTGCGTAGAGCACTCACATGGTACGCTCAGGTGGTCGATCCTCGTAATTTCCAACCATTCCATGAATACGCGCCAGGTATTGTAGAAAGTGGAGACGTCGAGACCTTGACGAAGGACCGGTATTTGTGAGTGATCGTTATGTAGCATCTGAAGTGCAACAACAAGCGAGGCTCAGGGTCCTTCAGCAGGAGGCATCGAAGGCTGATCAAGTTGTTCTCCTTGATTTTGCGCGAGTTTCCAGCATCCTCACGGTCCCCTATAGGTACGTCCATTCCAATCACTTTTCTGCTGTGGAACTGGGTTACTCCGAGAAAGATGTTATGCATCCCATCGATGACTATGCGCTGAACGGGATCCCAATACGGTAGGCGATTAAGTTCGGACCATCGAACGCCAAACTCCTTAAAAATGTGTTTTCGCTCTTCCTGCGTGTCAGCGTCGCGCCAGCGGACAGCGGCTTCCAAGATCTCTTCAGCCGTTTTCATCTTCCAAGTCGTCATGTCAATGTTATTGATACTCTGCTTCTTCAAATGGCACTGTGAGCAAAAGCACCCTGCACTATGGCTAACTAATCCGCCAACCTTACGAGATCCTGGCAAGTCAGTGATGATGAGGGCGAGCACTGAGCGTACACGGCGACCGCGAGGATAGTCGTAAGTTCTGTTGTACCAAATGCCGCGCTCCCAGGAGACTAACAGTTGGTCGACCAGTGGGCAGAGGAAGTGATTAGTGCACTCGAGCTTGGGCTCCTTGGGTCCGGGAATAATGCCCGCGAGATATAGATTATCGGTTTTGTATCGCATGCTCGGCGGAAGGTATAAACACAACATAGCCATCGACCCCGTCGAAATCGACAACCCTGCGATTTTGTTGAGATATGGGTTGAACCAGTCCACCGAAAGGGCCCAAAGTAAGCGTAACTCGCCCTCAGCTGCATCGGCGAAGGGTTTTCTGTCCGGTCCCTGCATGTTGGCGACGGCGGATCCATTGGTAATGTCACGTAGATTGTAGCGATCTCGTATTGCCTTCCCCTGTCGGAGGATCTCCTCCATCCCCGGTCGGCTGATAAGCCCACCCACAAATGCATGGAAGTCTTGAACAATGAAAGGGCGTATAGGAGAGCGAACACTTTCGCCGTCCAGAACGCGAGTAGTCATCAATTGTGAGTTGCAAGGTTTGCTCCGTGGGCCACTGCGATGCTGACAACGACTCGGATAAACAGGTATATCGTCTTGATATGAAGGCACATATGTGCAGCAGCATGACGGACAAGTTGCGTAAACTATGACAACAGCCTCCAAATCGAAGGCTTTCTGCACACCACGAATGTCGCGGGGGAAATGATCTAAAATCTGCTCCTCACGGTAGGATAATGACCGTGTGCCTTGGCGCAGCGCAGTGTCCAGCAAAACCTTCAACATCTGCAATGCGAAGTTACAAGTCGTTCGTGGCACCTGACCGAGCAGCTTCAGGATCAGTACTATGAACACCGCCAAGAGCAGAAGGGGATCTCCGCGCTGCAGCGGGTGGTCGAAATAGTGACCTAACGTCGGTGAGTGATACTGGCTTGAGTGAGCAAGAGAGACCACTAACTTGTGGTGATCGCATCTGGCAGTGCTGCAGGGTCCTTCACCTTTTCAATCCATTCTTGCACGTCTGAAATGTTTGAGGTGAGCCATTCTAACATTGCATCGCGCAAAATAATTGTTGATTGGTCGCGCAACGTCAACTTCTCTAGCTTGGCGCAGGTTTCCTGAAACCAAGCCAGCTCCTCGCACAGTGTAGTGCAGGCAGCCGCAGCAGCTTTGCTGTCTTGGGGGGCCACAATACCCTCATCTTTTACACGCGAAGTGCTCAAGAAACAGTCTCAGATCTCGTAATCGACAATCCAGAGCCCAGGTAGGGAAGTGAGCGGGGGTGGAATGGGTGGAAGGGGGGACACTGTAGGCTGGGAGGAGGGCACTGTTGAAGATGGGTGCCGGGCCGGTGGTGGGGGCGGTGGCAGCAGTGCAGACTCTGTGGTAGGTTCATCCGTGAGTGCGTCCTTCAAAGTTAATTCAAAGATCTGGTCTGCTAGTTCGTCGCCTTCGAGCACAGAAGATGTCTGGTACTTTTGGAAGTAAATATTTCTTATGTGTTTTTGTTAATTGCTTACCTTCTTGCGTCTTCTGTCTGCTCTCTGATGTGCGTGGAGCATATTCCAATCTCTAAACTGACCCTGACAGTTGAACGTTTTGCAGTAGCACGGCTGTGCTCGGCCTGCACCCTTCATCACGGGCATGGGATCAGGGCTGAATCACTAAGGGGCAGATGCTCGTGATGTTTATAGACAGGCAGCAAATATAGCGTAAGTTTTACATGATTGCATTGTGATATGAAAATCGCTAATCTCGTTACATCCATTGTTCATGGAGCGGCTGAGAAGGTCGAATAGACATGCGAACTTCCGATAAGTTCCCCATTGTTGCGTTGTAGTTTGACAGTCGCTGGTCACAAGGCACAGTGTTGTGGTGCGAGATATGAGCAGGCAAACGTGAGAGGATGGGCAAGTCACCTGCGATGTCGCAGCCTTCCAGTGTGCTCACTGCTGACAAGGACGGCTGGTATAGGCCAGCCGTCAATACAGACGCAGGAGTCCAGTCAACTTTGTGAGTGTAGTCGCATATCGCGTGAGTACGTTGGCTTACATTTACGATAGTATGGCTCTGCGGAATGACTTGGCAGAGGAATTCACCGTAGGTAAGAATATTTTTCTTCTACGACCTTGTCAAACTTAATGCTGTTCGCCCCTGGTGTAGAGAGAATGCTCTGTCCCCACCCTACAATTCCCAGGTCGTTCATAGATTCTCGCGAGGGACTCGCCGCCAGCACTCATATGGATGAAGTGCAGCCTGCTCCCCTTCAGGTGGATAAGGCACAAGGCACTCCTCCTGGCTTGGATGGTTCAGTCCCTCAGCTAGGGTCTGTCAGTCCTAAATCCCTGCCTTTGCTTGCCCCTACGCATCACATTGAGCCACGGCAACCTACTCCGCCCCCTGTGAACATTGGAGGAATGGCAAAGGAATCCCTGGCGCCTGCGCTGACAGTTGAGGTCACAGCCATGCAACAGCTGGTCGAATTTATTGGCCTCACTGTCGATCAATCGGTGCAGAAGGCACTTTCCAACTTCACTCCGGTACTCGAATGCCAGAACGAGATCATTAGGCAGTTGGCCCCTCTGGCTACGCTTTTACCGTCGGTGCGGGCATCGACATCTGCCAAGAATGAAGGGCGGTCCACTGTCTCCCACTCCATGCCGAATGGTGAATATGATGGCAGAGAGGAGGATAACGACGATTGCGATGATGCACTGATCTCGCGTGTCAAGCACTCCAGAGGAGAATGTGATAACGTCTTTCATGTGAGTAGCACGCTTATAGCTTATTCTCATTCTGAATTAACCTACAGGATTGCTTTCGAGAATACCTGAAGGTGAAAGGTCTTCTACCGAAGGCTCGAGACAGCCCCCTCTCTCCGGTCCCGAAGCCGGAAATCATGCAAGCATGGCACGATGGCGAGGGGGATGGTCCCGATGTCGCTGCTCCTCTGATTGAGTGGTCATTGCCGCTGAGTTCTGCGTGGAACAAGGAGGTGATCCACATCGTCACTGAGGAGTTTCTTAAGCAGGTAGCAGGAGGCGAGCACCCACCGCTTGTGTCCGATCCAGCGTGGACAATCACAACGGCATCACAGTGTTGCCTGTGCAAGCTGCAGAATGGGCCTCACAAGCGATTCACAGAAGTGGAATTAATGGAGGACGAAGAAGTGGAGTCAGCGAGGAACACTGCGAAGAAGCAACATAGGAAGAACAGTCGCAGGGAGACGATACGTCATCTCAGTCTTTGATTTCGATTTGACTTATATATATTTGAAGGTGTATAAACAGCGCGGTGACATCATCGAGGTCAACCTTCAAGACAATCCGGCAATCTGGGGAAAAGTCAAGATTATCCACATGGCCTTAGGTCAAGGAGGCATGAGTTTGGATGAGACCGATGGCGAGTATACTCGTCACAATGACAAGAAAGTTCGACATGTTTGCTTGCCATGGCGCCATCCCTCTCTTGCTGCATTTTACAGGAACGTTGATTCTTATGAGGATGTGCACCCACTTCATCTCACGGAACAAGGCAATTACTCGCTATCTCGCATCTTTGAAGCAAATGCGTCGTCATCGTCCAAGAGAAAGCCGATCACGCAGTTGCTGAAGAACTTCTACAACCCCAACTGGATGAAGACTATCACTCATGCTCAGCGCAGTACCCTACGGTTCAAACTGGCATTCGAAATACCTGACCTCGTAAGAAGCGTCTTTGTGTGTCATCGTTTGCTGGCTCACGTGTGAACCATAGCCAGAATTCACGGCGAGGAGAAACTAATGATACGGACTTAGGCAAATTACCTTCCACGGTGATCGTGGATGCGCTGAGAGATCACATCGGTTGTAGTAATTGATCGAAATACTATTGTCATGTGTAGCTCCGTGCAGAGAATTCTGAGTTCTGAAGCTTCCCGAGCTGCCAAGCTGATCCGACGGTCAATGATTCTGCGCACATCGCCATCTCATTATCCCTTATCGGTCCCGTCCAGATATGCAGCATTATTGTTCTCGTCATTGGCTGAAACATGATGGTGGATCCCCAGGTGAGCTGATGTGCCTGTTCACATGCTCTGTTCGTGAACTAATCATTCAGTGCCACCATGGGCACTGCTGGACCGGTTGTGCATTGTCCGCAGTGAATCAATGGTAAGTCTTCCATTGTCTGCTTCAGATCTCCATTGTTCTCACTGCTTCGTCACTCACCCCACTGAAGTCTCAGATGCGCTATGCGCTGGTCGCTCTCGAGCATATTTAACTTCAAAAGAATCTCCATCCCACACTGTCCCATGGGCTTGAATTATAGCACGCTTTGCTCCGGTTCCCCAAGCATACTTGGGAAACGGTCTACTCTCAATGATGCTCTTGACGCACCACCAGCGAAAAGGCTCATGTCAGAAGTAAGCTTTCTGCATCCTCTGACCTGCAAGCACATATACCAATGATCACAGTTCTTGCGCACCTTGAACCGTTGCACAAAGCAACAGCGCTGTGGATTTGTCGAAGATGCCCAGGTACGAGTTCTATGCTTTTCATGCCGGTAGTGTACTCATTGTTTAACCTTTAGGTTTTGTCCAAGCGTCGCCATGAGGAGGACGATTCGCAGTGTCACAAGAAACTTAAAGAAGACGATTCCAATTCACAGACTGATAAGAGGGTTGTTGTGCATGTGATACGGTCTGCATCGTGCAGTCAGTATTCAGACTGATGCACTTTCTCAGACACATCGTCCAGTCAATTCAAAGCATGTATTTCCCTTTTTGATGCTCCCGGTCGAGCTAGGCAATATCATTCTCCATATTTTGGTGAACGATCATGACACGTTATACACACTTTCACTTGTGTCTGGGCTTCTCCGAGTCTACGTACTGCTGCTCTATCTAAAGGCCGCAGGCTTCATTGATTCCTCGAACAATGTCAGTCCAGTCATAACTTATGAGCACACACAGCCCGTCATCGTGTGGTGTGGCATGCAAGGCCTTCCTACTCCCCCATCTATGTGGATCCGTACCATCATGAATGCAGCAATGGCCAAACGCCAGCTTTACAGGTTGGCGGGATTCTTCATCTCGAGTCGTACCCAGCTCACTATATCCAACATTGTCATCGAGCTCCACAATGCGCGGCTCACTCTAGCCACATGCAAGTTCCTACAGACCGTGGCCGCGTCAGGGGTGTCACACCTATGTCTGAAGTCACGCTTGTCTAGTGATCTTCGAGCTATCGAGTCTCCTGAAGACATCCCTGTCGTCAACTCCAGTCTATTTTATCCTCGTCTGCAGAAGATGCAGGTCAAATCTGCCATATTCTTCTCCGCGGAGTACATTAGTTGGACGGTTCACACCCTCAACAGCGCAGCGCTCACTGCGCTTGATCTCCAGCTCGACAACAGAGGTTCACCATCGTGGCGTCTTATTTTACCTCACCTCCACATGGAGCATCTGGAAACCCTCTACATCGATGGTGCGCTACCCATCAACACAATTTTCCATTTCCTCCTTCATCATCCCAGCATACGTGAGCTCCAGATTGGTCGCTTTACTCGCCCTGGTTTCCTCCCCTACGCCACCCGTCCACCTAATATGGACCACCTCGAAGTCCTCACGGGTTCTCACGACTACATAATCCCCTTACTTGCGCAGGGTCTTCCTGCACTGCAGCGTCTTGCAGTCATACCGGATCATCCTTCCACGATTGGCCTATTTCTCGATTCCGAGCTCCGAGGGGTGATAAACAGTGCTCGACGCTGTACGCGTCTCCAAGAGCTCAACATTGCCCTTTTCTGTGGTTACATCGCACAGCCAGAATCCGACTCGTTCTTCATTGTAGACGACCCACAACACCTTCGCACGGAACGCGGTCTTTCGAACGTGCGCACGATCACCATCCGCGCTACATGGGACGCAGACGAATTTACCTTATCTTCAACTGATCTGAGTGTTCTTGTAAGTTGCCCATTTCATTCATTGCTTCGCCGCCATTCACATCAGCACAGAACAGCTTACCGGGGTGGCTAGATCTCTTTCCTTCAGTACAACACTTGCGTATAGTCGAGGGGCGCAGCGTCAAGTTAGACGCTGATCGACGTGCACAAGTCACTCAATTGTATCGTGCTTGTCCTTACCTAGAAGATATATCGATGTATGCAGGGGATAGGCACCTGGCGGATTGTTGGAAGCGCGAGATCTGATGTATTTCCATGTCATGTATGTGTAAAGAAGTCAATGCCATTGAGCTTGCTGACGATTGTCTTGCGAGATCAGCCTCCAACCTGAAGACTTTCCACGACTTCCGAAGGTCATTTCAGGCATAGTAAATAAAAGTACAACAAATGCGGCCAACAATCACGATGATTGTCTTGCGAGATCAGCCTCCAACCTTAAGACTTTTCACAACTTCCAAAGGTCATTTCAGGCACAGTAAACAAAAGTACAACAAACGCGGCCGACAATCATACAGAACCCCCGCGGAATGCCCCACACCCGACTGCCTCCCAGTAACCTTGTGCACATCTGATCAGTCAGGTTATCTACCGATATAAATCACTTATCTTAAGGACTTACGTTAGACCGCCTCAGTAACATTGGAGAAGGGTGGCGTGGAGGAGGGCGGCGCGGCGGAGGGCGGCATGGCGGAGGTTAGGCGAAGGGCGGCGTGGAGGGCGATGCCCCTCCGGTGTTGATACCAAGGGCCGCACGAATGATCTCCATGGCCCGCTGCACCTTCAGCGCGATAGCCTCAGTCTGACTTACGTCGGCGCTAAGGGCCCGAATCTGGTTCTGTAAGTCACTGATGGAGGGTGCTGAGGCCACAGCAGTGCAAACAATGTTAATATCGATTCACGTCAAAATGTATAATCATCACTTACAACCACGATTAGCCATGAGGATCAGTTTGGACAGTAGTGAGGGGATGGTGGTGGTGGTGGTGGTGGTATGCTCCGAACGTGAGATGGGGAAAGACTCGGAGACACCGTAATATATATAGGCATACCCCTCATGGGTCCCACGTGCCACGAAATTTATAATCTGACAGATCCAAAACAATAGACGCATTTCCTCGAAAGGTAGCTCCAGACTTATGGTGGCTTCAGACTTATGGTATAGTTATGTCCACTTCAAACGAATTTATTTTCAGCAAGGATTATAGAAAACTTATTTAATCTATCTTTAAATGTCCACATCGCCGAGCGGCACTTTGCGCACGCATGTACCTCGCCTCGCCCATCTTCTCATTGCGAGTCACGCAGATGGCCTGGCAGAATGAATTGACGAGGTCCTTCGTGGTTTATACTTATCCTGTCGAGTCTCACACGCAACCTTCGCAGCCTTCGCGGGTGCCCGCCTAATGGAAGGACTAGAGATAATTCTCCGTCCGCAAACAGAGCGCAAGATACATTAATATTGAGCGAGGTACACGACATGAACAGCGAAACCAATGCCCCCCGCAAGCAGCTCAGGCACCTGGGAATAGTGAATACAGGTGTCATCAATAGGATTTTGATCCACGTACGCACCGTAAGGGGGAGGGGGAGGGGTGCTCAATGATTCTCGCTCGGCGTGGACCAGCGCAGCCAGGTCGGCTGTAGCCTCTGCAAACTCTCGAACATGAACTGCACGTCATTCCGACTGTTCGACTCGGAGCTTCATGGTCTTCACCTCCTTCTCTAAGATAAGGATCAGCTGCATTAATTTTTGTTATTCATGCTTCAGGTCCTCGATCTCCTCCAGTAAGGACATGCGCGTGTCCGACGAAGGTGGACGGGATGTGCTCGCCACGTCCGTCTTGGTACTAGATTTTGGACATTGGACCGGGGACACGGAGACCTGTAGGTGAGTAATGTCAGCAACTGAAATGTGGACAGCGAACTTCCACATCCACCTTGTCTGACATATTTGCGGCCGACTTTTCGAAATTCTGAGGGAGTAGCGTGGACAGCGAAATCTGGGACGGATGGTGATGGGTTCGCATTATCAGCCTGGCAGCAGCAGGCAGGATATATAAAGGCAACATACCTGGGATTAGAAGCGTCATGCCGGATGGTTCCACGAATACCTGTCGCAGAAGTCAACGAGAAGCACAGCGTTAGCATGGAATTCATGTAAGCGATGTGCGTAGAGCACTCACATGGTACGCTCAGGTGGTCGATCCTCATAATTTCCAACCATTCCATGAATACGCGCCAGGTATTGTAGAAAGCGGAGACGTCGAGACCTTGACGAAGGACCGGTATTTGCGAGTGATCGTTATGTAGCATCTGTAATATCTGTATAGCCAGAGTGAGCCGTGGACGATGCGTCCATGGGCAACAATGTACAGTTCCGGGCTTTCAAGCAGAGCCAATATTGGCCTGTGGGTTGTTCTAGCGGCTCAGGTGCCAATTAATGGTGCGTTTTCGCAGTTCTTATGTTTATGTTTGGTACAAACCCGATATGGCACTCAATCATCAGAGATGTGGCTCAGATGGCTATGATACAGGTTCTAATACAATGTATACTATCGGCCCCTAATTCAAACAGGTGCGGCGGCGTGCACGAGAATGGCTCAGCGAGGAAGAGGGCACCTGCGTGGAAGAGGGCATTACAAGAAAGCCCTCAGGGCATCGAAGTGTGCGAGGAAAAGGGCAGCGATGACAGCACTGGAGCAGAAGAGGGCGATGGCATCAACAACGACAACAGCGAGGAGGGCATGGGCGAGGAGGAGGAGGCAGACATGGCGACGGAAGAACTGGCCGATATCGCAGGGATGATGGAAATTCGAAGGCAAGGAAGAAGGCGCCCAAATTCTGGACAGCGGCCAGATGGCGCACGCGGTCTATTTGTGCAAGACAAACAGAGGCTGAGAAGCGGCTCGTGACAAGCGGCTCGTGACAAGTGGCCCGTGATGTGTGGCTGCCTTATTTGCACGGGACAAAGTGACGGGATGCATCAAAACTCCGCTGGAGGTGGAATGGGCGTTTCTTTCCTCTTGTTCTCGTTCCACCACCATCTCTCAGCTGTAGCGCTTGTCATTTGCTATGTGGCCTGGAGCCTTTAGTAACGTTGTAGTGTAGTTCGCTCTCTTTTGTAGTTTCATTGTTATTTATTCTTGTGGGGTCCTCATTATCTTTAGCTATAGTATAGGTAGCCAAGCTGCTGGACGGTTTGTTTCATCGCCCTTTTGTGCCGGTTGCATACCAGAGTGGGATACAATCGAATTGCAGCCGATTTGGTTATTGATTACCTTACGCGTAAAAATTTCTGAAGACCCTTGACATTAACGCACCCGTGCGGTTACAGCCAGATCGCACCAGGTCGATTGTACATGCTGAGGTTGATAGGCTGACAGGCTGACAATAATGTATGTGCACGATATGGACGAAGGGCGATGTAGCTATACTAACATGTTTCTCAATGTATAGGAGAATGCGGCGCTTGTGCATGCTCACGCACAACTGCAGGAGCAGCCGCTACATCGGAAATCTTCTCGGTGACACCTCATCACCAGCAGTGTGACATTGAAGGACATTGCACGTGTTACTCGGAAGTAATTGTACATGTGGGCTAATTGGTGATTAACGCCTCGTGGTCGAAGCCTCGTGTACTCCAAGCGACATCTCATAAGATACGATTGCTCAAATCTAACGGACACTATCCCGACCTCTTGGTACCACTGACGCTGCCATGTCTTCAAAGTGTGCGCGGAAAGCGGTAAGTACTGCAGTCAGTTCTTACGTTTTCAATCCTCATGCATGGAATGCCAAGAACCCATACTTGGATATCGAGGCTATCGTCGACAACGAGGAGGAGGAGAAGGAGGAAGAAGAAGAAGAGGAGGAGGAACTGAGTAAGTGTCTCAGCTGCGTTATTGGATATATCTTACAGCTTGTTTCCAGCCGAGTTGCTCGCCGACGTCCAACGCACTCAACAAGCTCGGGCGCATCTTGATAATGCATGTGTCGGCGACGATGCTGCTGATGCAGAAGCCATGGCCCGGTCTATTACAGAGAGAGACATGGCAGCTAGATGTGCACAGCGGGCCTCACAGTCGGGTGGTGCAGTCATCTCTCTTGCCCCCGATGGAATCCACCTTTAAGCCACGGAAAATGGTTTCCTCTCTCCTTGGGTGTGCATCTCGCGTGGTACATATAAGCACGATGTGGCCTTCGTGGAGTCGCGAGAGGACTCTCTCCTCCGCGTCTGGGTGGTTCCACGCTTGCCTACTACAAAAAAGCGGCAGCATGGAAGAACTTCTCAGCAACCGATGCTGCCAGCATTACTGAAGGAGTTGTTCAGAGAGGCTGTGACAGAAAGCGAAGGTGATCGGCTGATACATATTCTCAAGGGCAAGAAGTTCAAAGGCGGCCTCCTGCAGCTCGAACTCACTTTGGACCGGGTGACTTTCGACGTCCACGCGACTCGAAACGATGTATTCGTCTTTAATGCGGTGAAATTCGTGCCAAAGACAGCGATAGTGAAGCTCATTCTATTCTGTGTTGACTTCGAACCAGCTGCAGGCACATGTGTGATCGTTATACAGGGCAAGCAATGCGGCCTCATCGGTGTCGTGCATTCAGTCATTAATGGACAGGCTATGCTAACCAATCTCTACCACGAGAAGTTGGATGACGAACTTTCATCTCTCATGCTACCTGTAACTCAGTTACACCCCCTTTGGGCAGTTGGCGATGCGGTCAAAGTTAAGACGGGCCTCCATGCGGGCTTGGAAGGGCAAGTGATTGCCATGGATGATTTCGATGTCACGATTGTTCACGCGAACAAAGTCGAGGTACGTTGTGCACTTCTCATGCAATTGCAATCCTTAATAGCGGAACTTTCCTCAGCATGTATGTTCTACGTACGACAATGCTTCCAAGTACTGAACTTTTCTCAGCGAACTAGAAACCCAATAATGGGAGTCTTTTATACTTCTTCTGTGTTGGAAACCTCTGAGGTATGTCCCACCACCTGCGACGTTATCGATGCTCAAAACTCGATATAGCATCATGTGTTACCCTGGGATCTCTTACTCACAGAGTCCGAGGCGGAATGGACCTCGATACAGCCGTCGGTGACAGTATCAAGGCCGGGAGAGCAGCGCCCCTCATGCTCTGAGACGCAAATGGAGGAAGAGGTGAAGAAGGAGCTTGCCCTCAAGCATCCTGACTGACGGAATCCCGACATCGGGCGAGTGGTGCGTGTCATCAAAGGCCCTTTGAAGGGATTTGTGGGCACATTGCGAAATGTCATGTACCACGGCGATTACGAGGTTGAGCTTGAAGCCAAGCTTTTAACCTCGAGGGGCGTCCTCTTGTTCCGAAAGCCCGAGATCGCATTCCGGTCAGAAGAAAGGTAAGATTCATTACTTGTAGTTCTGGTCATATCTAACTGCCTCATTGCAGGGGCAACATCGACACGGTGGAGCGTGGTCCGCTCCCTGAGCGGCCTCGGACCCCATTGGGCCACGAATTAGAACCCACGTCACATGACACAGATTCAGTGTGGGGGTATTCGGTGGAATTTGATGGTGCGTAACCGCGCCGCCACTACCGAGTGTCCGCTGAATCCACATTAGGACCCGATGGATCGACATCTTCAGTCGAACCTAATGGTGCGTAGCCTCATCATCAACACAAAATGTCTGCTGAATTCACATCAGGACCCAATGGATGGATGCTGGATGCGGCTGTGGCACCTGCGTTCCATACTTATCGCTTCAAGTTCATGTGCACAGCCAGTCAACTCCGAGACAAGCTGATGACCACGGTGAAGGGAGCCTCCCCAGTGGACGGCAAGGTGCGATGTGAATACCGGACGTGAAAGCTGGAATATGCCGATGTCTCTCTCTCCAAGACCTCACCATATTGCGACCAGGCCCTGGCGATTATGCGATCGTGTGTAAGCGTGGCCCCAACTTCGGAGCGTACGGCAAAACGATGCGAGGCGTGGCAGACCCGCTTGTTCTAGTACTGGAAGAAGGTGGCAGGACGCTTAGGGTGGATAGGGATGACTTGGCCCAGCTTGTGTGCAAATAAGTGGTTTCCTCATAATTTTACATGCTGTTCCTGTCCCTTGCCCCTCGTCGTTGCATCCTGCGCTGTTTGTCGATGTCCTGTCATTTGCCACTTTCTCATTATATACAGTTAATGTACTTCCTTTGATCGAACTTGTGCTTGTGCTTGTGCAATCTCCCACGACCAGTTGAAAAGCCGCTGAGCGGTACACTTGGCGATCCAATGACCACTAAGTGGCCATCGAGTGTGCCACTCGTCAAGCCGCTTAGCGGTGCTATGGGTGTCCGACCTCCTTACAGTTTGAATATTAGGTCGAGGGTGTGAGGCCCTGACATCTCACCTCATAAATAGACTCTAATGTCAAATGTCAAATGATCATACATTGTAACTTTGTGTCGCCCTTATACTAGTTCGATATTTAATCTGTTGTCTGCCCTGAAAGGCATAATGTCGATCAGAATTTCTTCCCGCCGGACATGCCGAACGAGACCTAAAATTTTCGGACGAATGTTATATGGTAACATAGCCATTTGTGAACATTGTATATGTCGCAATATCACACATTATCAATGTGTGATTTGGGTATCGCATGCCCAGACATCAGGCCTTACATTGTAAACATATTTTCGACCGTCGGAGCTACATACGGGCCATCATACATGTACAATGTTAGGCCGGATGTTCCCACAATGTAAGGAACTTAGATATTAGTCCCCGTCTCCGGTGTCCGCAGCATAGGGTTCCCACTCTCCTGCTATAATGGCTCCTGCGAAGAAGCGGCAGTCAAAAGGCAAGCAGAAAAATGGTAAGGCGAAGGCGAAGGCGTTCGGTCTACCCTTTGAGATTACAGCAGCAATACTGGCTCTTCTCGACTTCCGAGATATTTTGATGTGCCAGCGGGTGAGGAGGCTGTGACAAAACAGCTCAATACGCGCGTTCATACGTCACTTTTGACCTTCAGGTGTCAAAAGACTTTAACCAGGTCATCCGAGAAAGCGTTCAGCTGCAATACACCATTGAATTAGGCGTAGCGAATTATGTGGATGGTCCGGCAGAGGCCAAGCTGGCCGTGGGTGACCGACTCAAGCTGCTGAAGCAGAGTCAGGAGACGTGGAAAGATTTTGACTTTAAACTGAAGAAGCTAATAGAGCCGGGGAAAGCTGTCAATCAGTGGGCTTTCTGCGGCGGGGTGCTCGTCCTCACCTATTTGGATGACAACACGCAAACCACGAACAGAAATTACCAGTATTTCGACAACATTATGGTATGCTATGTCCGCAGTGGGGGACCCGAACCCGAATTTGAGACTTGTTGCTTCGACGAGACGTTCACGGATTTCGCCATGGACCCTTCCCAAGATTTGATCGTGCTCTGGGATCGTAGTTCCGTCTCTGATGAGGATGGCTTATCGTGCGTGTCTCTTGTACTTTTATTTTGTCCCAGGCATTTTGTGTCCTGGTTAACCGCTCCTGTAACGTTTGCAGCATCTCTTTCCGCACACTCTCTACTCTTGATCCTCACGACCGTGCGAAGGACGGTTATGTGGATTTGCCCTTTCACGACCCTGGAGGCGGAGAATCAGTTCAGATATTTGGTGACCTCGTCGTAGCAATTGGATTTATGTCTTCAAAGATCATTCTAATGGACTGGACCACCGGAGCGAAACGGGTACGGCTGTCTTAATAGAAGGATATATGTGAATCATACTGAACGACTTTGTCAGACTCTATCTGGCTGTTTTACTGGTGGCTGTCTGCTGTCCGACAGTTGTCTAGTCGTCGCGAAAATGGTTGCCGAGAAAAAGGACCTTTGTCTCGATGTTTACGCCATCAAACGCACAAAGAAGCATGCGCTGACTCTTACCTTGGCCGCTCATTTTGAGCTGCCCGCCCTCCGAGAACAAATGGTCTGCGATATCTCGTTCGCCTCATTTGGTTCCAGCGCTTCGAGTGGAATTCCTGCGTCAGATGGCGAGCCTGATCCAGCCCGTCCGTTCTCCACCTCCCCTATACCGTCGATGGTGTTACTAAAGCTTCGAGTCGACCATGAGTATGGTCACTGGCTTCCGGGGAATTACGCTGTTTTCGCGGAGACAATATTATTCCTGTCTGTCGTGGGGGATGTCCTGTCGCACCGCAAGAGGAAGCCTACTACATTTTCTTGGGAAGAATGGGGTCCAGATTCGACGTGGTGGTTCGATGGGAACACTGTAGGGTCGGATACGGAGTGGAAGGAAGCCAGATGGAAGGACGCCATGCATGGCTTCCGTGTGATGCTTCCCGACAGCATCTTGGATTTCAACGTCGTCGATATTATGCGCTCACTGGCCGAGTTATCGGCGGAGGACGAGGATTCGGATGCCGAATTTATGTACGAAACGGACTGGCACACCACTATAAAGAAGGGGACGGTTGCACCAGATTCGGATACCTATTTCGTAAAGAAGGTCCGGACGTATGCTCCCTACCGTCGAACGGAGCTCTCGGAGACGTCGTTGTCAGAGAGCTACTACTTTTATATGCTGGACGAATAGATGATCGGGATTGAGGTAAGATTTTGATTGCATCCGCCTATTAATGTATTCATGCGATTTATGCACGATCCATAGACGGACAGCGACGACGAGTATCCCTCCGATTTCTATGTGTACTCTAGCTATGGATCAGACTCACTGTATCGTAGCGGTGGTCATTGCTGCTTCTGACCACTGGATTGTGAGTGTTGGCGTTTTCACCGTGGATCTCTGCTCAAATGAGTTGTTAGCTTGTCATCTCGATTGGTTGGCCCATGTATATGCTGTGTATTACTTTGAAGTTCCAGAAGCGGTCGAAAATGGTCCTTGTTCATAGCTGCGGTCCAGTCATCTCTAATTCCCAGTATATAGGCCATCCGTAAAGATGAGAGTTCCCTTTCGGATGCGGGCGTTGGTGTTCAGGAAGATGTTCCGAGCTGTGTGCAGTGCTCAGGAACCTTGAGCTGCAAGTTCCTCGCGAGGTAACGGATCTGCGTATAGAGTAAACGCACAGCTGTGGAAGATGTGAGACGAATATGAGACGCTACGGTAGTAATAATATGAATGTGGCAACCCCAGTGGGCGTGCACACCGCACGTGCAACCAGGAGGTGTTGTGCCCGATAGGGCGGGACCGACCTTGAGTGACGCGCGCCTGTGGCACTGTGGCATATAAGATCGCCCCCGTCTAACACCACCGCCCAGCATCCTCCAACTCTCTCTCAACGACCATGTCGACCTCTTGGCTATCTCCGCTGGGCATCACTTTTTTCCCGACGTTAAAAACGCTCAGTAAGTGAGTCAGGTGCGCGTGCGTGGTACTCTGACCAGCGCTCTATCGACAGTCACGGATTGTCCCTACGTGTCACTCTTCCTGCTTGCGCTGGGCTCTATCTCCTTTGCGAAATTTGCTATCAAGACAGTTGGTTTCCTCCTCCAGACGTTTGTGCTCCCAGGCACCAATGTGAGTCCGACAAATTCGCGTCTCTCACCCTAGAGGTGTTGCCGCGCATCAAGCGCTGATAGTGCTTCGAATGCGATACAGCTGAAGAAATATGGAGCTGGCAAGGGCGCATGGGCTGGTACGATTCTTACAGTATTCCATCAGGTGTCTTTAGGAGGAACTTAAACCTGGTGCAGTCGTTACAGGGGCTTCCGAAGGTATCGGTCGTGAGTTCGCGTTGCAGTTCGCGCGCAAGGGCTTCAACGTCGTAGTCTCCGCAAGGAATGCCAGCACACTTGCGACACTGATTGCCGAGATCGGTCAGTGCTGAATTCTGTTCGCGTATGACTAGTTTGCCCTTATAGCAGATTCATCTGGATTCAATACCGATGCAGAGTCCAGCACTCCTCCTGGCGAGAAAGTGCAGGCAAAGGCCATAACTATGGACTTTTCCAGGTTGCATGACGAAGGGTCGTGGAAGCACTTCGAGGCAGAGTTACAGGGTCTTGATATCGGCGTCCTCGGTATGTCATCACCCCTGTGACTATCTCGTCTTAAGTTGTTGATGCATCCCCCCAGTCAACAACGTTGGCAAATCGCACCATTACGTGGTTGACTTCGTTGACGCACCGAAACAGGAGGTCGAGGACATCATCGCGATCAACGTCGGCGCGACCGTGCGCGTTACAAAGATGGTGCTACCCGGGATGATCAAACGGTACTTTTTCGTTCATTCTTATGGTGACGCGGTCTGATCTCGCGTATAGGAAGCGAGGCCTGATCATGAACATGGGTTCATTCTCTGGCGTGAGCGTCGCGTCGCCAATGCTCGCCACGTACGCGGGCACCAAGTCCTTCATCGCGTCGTTCTCCGCGTCGCTCGCGCAGGAGGTCAAGGCCAAGGGCATCGACGTTGAGTGCCTGAACACTTACTTTGTGGTACGTCCTGTTGCCTTCGTGCCGTTTGCGCCGTTTCCACTTACCCGCTCTCGTCGAGCAGGTCTCGAATATGGCAAAGATCCGTAGGGCAACGATGATGGTGCCCATGCCCAAGGCGTACGTCCGCGCCGCGCTCGCGAAGGTCAATCTACCTTGCGGCGCCCTCTGGACCGGCCGCCCGTTCGTTGTCACGCCGTATTGGAGTCATTCCGTGTTGGACTATTTAATGGTGAGTGCCCGTGGCTCCGTTGTACTGCCCGACTGACATTAGTATGAAATAGAACCTGATAGGGTGGAAGATGTTCTTCGTACGCTATACGCACGACCTTCACCGTGGAATTCATAAGCGTGTGATGAGGAAGCTGGAGCGGGAGGGGAAGAAGCAATGAATTTCTTGACATCATGCTCGTTGGTTATCTGCATGTGTTTACTGTTCTGTCCGGATTAATGCTAATCGTAATAGGATGAGATGAAGATCTTTATTTGCATTCCCTGACTCTTGTTAAGCAAAATTCATAGGAGCCGTCCGACTATACCGACCGTGTTGATATCAGTGCGTGATAGCGGAATCTCATCCTGTGAATCTACTATGTAACTCTAGATGGAGGCCGCCTGTGGTGCCTCTGTACGCGACCTTCCACCCCCAGTGGTTTGGGGTATTCACTCTCAGACGGCGACAGTGAATACTTACCATATCAATAAACAAGAGCCTCGTGGTGCACTGCATTTTGCTGGCATGCTTACATGGGGGAGCTGTGGGTCTAAGGTGACGGCTGTTGCTGTCCTCGCTATTAACTTCTCAATCTCTTACTTATTGACCGGCCAACCACCGTCAGAATGACTTGTCCGGGTTAATGACCACCAGCAGTTCCAGTCATTGTGAATTTGCTGTAGATGGCACAGTCTGAGGAGATACCCCGGAAATTCCATCGGTTTACAGAGAAGGAAAAAGGATCCGGGGCCTCGCGAGTATGAAACGAAATCAAGGACATGCCTGGGCTTGCGAATTTAACTCGGCAGACGATGCTACGGCATGCGCAGATGCAAGACGGGGGCATTGATAGAATTGTCGACACCGTCTTGCGCAGATCGACTCGTAAACATGTCGGTCCTGATCGATCTTGATAAGACATGCCATTCATACACTACCACGTGGCCGGTTTTGGCCATTCTATACAACATTCTGAAGAATCAGTTCCCCAGGCTCCTCCTGGCCACTCGTTCCATGTCCGAAATCCTCGCCGAGAAATCCGAAGGTGTTCAAGTCCTCTGGGAGACCACTCGTTCAGGTCGTTCATGTCAACGATGTGCATATAGGCAGGCAATACACGGTGGGTCGAACTACACGAAGCCGATTTGCTGCTGGAATTTGGACGATGCAGGCCGAAGGAACCACTGTCTTCCTGCAGGTAACTAGAGGCTGTCTATGAGTCTAGATGCAGGCCCGCACCCCAAAGTGCACGCAGCGCCACACAGAAACAGCACTGCGACTCCCCCGTCCTACTCACCGACTCGATGCTCACAGCGGTCAAGGAGTCCGCCCCAGAGGCACGCTTCTCAATCTTTACTGGAGACGTGATAGATCATAAGCCCACGCGCATCGTGTGTGAGTCGTCTCGACTCTGAGATGCCTAGGACAGATGCGATCTGGGAAGTGAACGAGGAGTAAGTTACATGATGAACACGTAGCTTGTGTCCCCTGCTGATCCTTGCCGCAGCGGCGTCTCCAAGGACATGCAAGCGTTCAGTGAGCAGTGGGAGGAGAAGCTGGAGGGACCACTATTTCCCGCTCTCGGAAATCTGTGCGTGCAAGCCCTCTTCTGCGGACTTGTTAGTCGGACTCATGCTGTCGGTGTTTGCAGCGAATCCGCACCTACGAACAGCTTCCCGCGCAACACGACAGATCACCCAATCAACTCGCAATGGGTGTTTGCCATACAGGAAGGCAGCTGGAGCGTACGCATTCCACTCGCTCCTTGAAGTCCCGGTCCCTGACTCTTCTCCTGTCAGCAATGGATTGGCCGCAAGGCAACTGCTCAGATCCGTCACAATTCCGGAAGCTATTCGACAATGGCGCCTGGTCTTAACCTGAAGTGCATCTGACCTGCATTGACGGAACTGCGTGCTGATGGCTGGTCTAGGATCATTTCTCTTAATACCGTGTACTGGTATAAGCAGAAGTAGGCTGCTTGCGTGACCTCAGGTGTTCCGGGACTGACCCATATTCATCGTTACTAGCTTCTGGCTGTACGACAGCAACGAGCATCAGTGAGCCCACTCCTTTTGGTGCTACGTGCTTGAGACTGGAAGGTCGTTTACAGACCGGACCCAAATGGTATCATCGCATACCTCGTGCAAGAGCTGCAGGAGGCCGAAGATGCAGGACAGCGCGCGTAGATTATCGCGCACATGCCCCCTGGCCGGGGAGATGTCATGCACGACCAGGTGAACAAACTTTGTGTTTGCACAGGTCAACTCACAGTTCATCTCACTTCGTATGTATTCAGTCGTACTACTTCGATCAGGTGATGCAGCGGTACAAGAACACGATTACTGGTCAGTATTACGGTCACAAGTACAAGGTTCGTTTCTCACTCTCCTGGCAAGGAGCGTGACATTGATATGTGTTCGTGCCGGAAGGACGAATTTGCCGTTGGGTATTCGAATTACAACGATCTGACCGTAGGCAATGCAGTTAGTGTCGCGATGATAGGGCCCGCGCTCACCCCAATGAGTATGCTTGAGCCCACAGTTCCTGGATGAATAATGCTGAGCATACGGCAATGCTGGTGGTAATCCTGCATTCAAGGTGTACGACATCGATGCAGACACATTTGAGATCATAGATGCCAGAACTTACATGAGTAAGTGTCTAGGATTCATTTATACGTCGCGAGTTCTCACTTGGTACTCCTCAGGCAATATATCTGACCCATTCTATCAGCTCCAGCATGCGTCAGTGTACTCCGGCGTGTTGGAGCATAGCTGGCATATGTATCGGGGCTGCAGCGACGTGGGAGTTGTATTACAGCGCACGTGAGACATATGGTCCCCTTGTCCCCTCGCTCGGCGACCAATCACTCAGTCCCGCATTCTGGCACAACCTCACGGAAGTCTTCTTTGCCAACGATACCGCCTTCCAGCACTATATCGCAGCGAAGAGCCGCGGAGCGGAGCGTGCACACAAGCCATGCCGCAGGCAGTGCAAGAACGGCACACTGTGCGAGATGCGCACGCTCAGAGCGGATATCTGCGTGAGTATCATCGAGCGGGGGACTTCTGCCTCGTGGTGGATGGCATCGTTGATCGTGTTTCACCCTATGGGTTCCAATCTGGCCCTGTGTTCCGGATCCCTGATCCCGGGGACCATTTCGAGGAGGCAGAGCACTATGACTCGTACCAAGGCAATGACATTGGCCACATCTTGCGGAAGATGAGAGCGAAGGCTTCGTCGGGGATGGTGCGTACCTCTTCATGCTGCTTCTCCCGTCGAGTGTCTCACAGGCTCCACTCGCACACATGTTTTCGCTGTAGGACGACTCATTGTCTTTGGACGTGGATGTGGATGGCTAACCGAACCAGGCCATCTTTGACTTCTGAGTCATTATACCTGTGGCGGTTAGCTCTGAACAGTACACGGACGCTCCTTCATGCGTACCTTCATATCACCTCGATAACAGTTTCGTAATGACAGGCTGCTAGATTGCCACGGACTAGCGGTTGTGTATGTACGGATGTACTTTACACTGTGATTCCATCTCGGAAACTACCCCGCGTCAGGACTAAAATTTTAGTTGTCTATGGATTTGCATATGGTATCTGTTACATTGTACTCCTGGCGAGAATCGACACATATTAATGGTTAGGTTAGACCTCAAGTTTGTCTACATCTGACCAACGTATCTCATCGTCCAAGGATCGGAAACACCCCGTGAAACTCTGACGAGGAACAGATAAGCACCCAATGCGGGCCGTGTGAGAAACCTGGTCACCGGACGATGACCCCGTAGTAGCAACACTGTCTGCATCCTTTCTAGGTGAAGTCGCTGGAATTATGATTGAAACTCGGAATAACAAAACATCACTTACCCATCGAATGAGCAGGTCGGCGCCCGTGATAATCAGGAATGTTCACGGGTGGTGTTGTTGACAGCAGTCATTGCCAGGAGCACAAGCTGAGACATGCTGATGTTTATCAGATATAACGAACTTCACAAAAGCCATATCAGACAAGAAGTCGAAGTCTGAGAACGGGCCCTGGGAAGCTTTCGCAGGCCTTCGGGTGCCCTTTTCCCCAGAGACTCGAGCAGCATCAATTTCTGTGTACCTCATTGCTCGCACACTAGAGACAGAATGAGCGAGCACTAGTTGGTTCAAGATAACGGTATGGGAGTGAAGTGTTCTTACTTAGTTTCCACATCTAGACGATATTACCTTTCTGGGTTGAGGCGGAGATATCCGTGTCAGACCGATCAAGTGAAAGCGGTACGCCTCCATTCGAACGTGGCTGACGTCTTGGAAGACCGAAGGATACTACTCCTTGATCAGATGCAAAGCGGTGACTTGAATGATTTTTGTTTGATCAAGATGTCTAAGTCTGATTTTTTCTCAAGACCCTACCGGTTCACCGTGCGGACCAGTCGGGAAAGCTGACGAGATACAATATGCTCAGCGAGGGTCAAATGCTGTGATTTCTGATGCAAATGGCTGCGTATAAAAATGCGTCTGGTATTGTTCAGCTCCTCAGCCTCTTACCTTCCGTCTCCCTTCACAACGGTGCGTCGCCTTTTATCCTCCAGCTGGTACCAATTAAGCAATGCCAAACAGATATATCAACACAACTGCCATGAAATTCAGCTTGCAAGCTATCATAGCTACAGCAACTCTGGCCCTAACCGTTTCCGGCATGGCCTTGCCCGCTGCTGAGTATGTTCTTGAGTTGGTGGTCCCTAGGCGTGTTACTCAAAGACGGCCAAATAGGACTGCTGCGGTTGTCGGCTTTAACCCAATGCACGCCGATGCTACCGGCTCGGCCTGAAAGCCGGAGCTACGAGAGGTCAGGCCAGGCCGTTGACGACGGCTCAGGCTCGGCTCCGGCTTGAGTCGGCTAAGGCCGCTCATTGTAAATATTAGCACATGTACACCCCTTATGCAATGCAATCAGCACAGTAATGCAATTGCATTAACTGTGTCACTCACTCCTTCTGTAAAATCATGAATAAATCATTGTCAATGTTTATTCACATGCTGAACATGACCGTGAATTTTGATAATAACCATGGGCCCCAAGAATGAGACAAGATGTGAATCAATGCTCACTGATTGCAAAGCTGGTTCAACTTCAGCAGACCCTCTTTCACCAAATATCTTCAGTAAATTTTCAGTAGTGATTTCTGCAGTAAATAAATGCTCTTCAAATTGCTCCATTACAAAATTCTGCCAAGTATGGACTTCGGGAGACAAGAAATGCTGAAGAGTCGCCAAAAACGGCTACCCGCTCGGAGAAACTACAGCTGCAATTGCATTACTGTCTCGACAATTATTGTTTGCTCTCAGCCACCCTCAAACCTTGGCTGGTTGGCTTCAAAAAGTTGTGGAAATAAGCTTATATGCGAAACTTTCCATCTACAAACAGTGGAAGAACTTGAATGGGAGGCCAGCGGAGATAAGATTTCCATTCGGGTTTCCTGATGTGAGGCCGAGCGCAAATGCGCGCCTCACCTCTGCAGCCGGGCTACTTCCTTCCAGGCCGATAGACCCTTCAATAAAAACCGCCACCATTTACAAATGATCAAGTACAGTAAGAAGTTTCTTTCCAATGAGGTCGTTAACCTTCTGCCATGCATTGGATTCTGTGGTCTCTTCTTCGTCGTCGTCAAGATCCACCGTATGTACCATCGTGATGTTCGGAAACAGGTACGACAAGAAACCAGCCACTTCCTCCGGTGCCTCTGGCTGATCGGATTCGCCGACACGCATTTCACGGAGGGCCTGATTCTGACAGTCATCTCCCCACGCCGAGTTAGGATATTGCGGCACGGTGGATGCATCAACGACCAATCCTAGTACTTGCAACTTCTGGCAGGTTTTCGCTAGGGGAACGAGGCCTTCCAGGGTAACCAAAGGCATTGTACCTGCATCCAGAGATCCAAGCACGAGCTCATTGAGGTTCGGCCAGGCCGTCGCCATCACTGCCAGAGAGCTGTTGTCCACGTTGACCGGGTAGGCAGTGTCGATGTGGAGGTGCTCGAGGTTGCGGAAGGGGTACAGCGGCTTGAGCTTTGCGACGTCGAAGCAAGGGTCGATTTCGAGCAGCTCGAGGTTTTCGCTGAGCTGCCCATGGAGCTCGATGGTCGTGAGGCGCTCGGGCACGCGGAGGTGCTCGAATGCCTTGAAGAACGTTGTGAACGATAGGTCACCCTCTCTCAAGTAAACCTGCATATTGATGTAGGTTAACGGAGTCTCCTGCAGCGCCTTCAGCATCGCTACGCCGAGTGTGACGTCTCTGACAGTCATTGTGATCCCGCGGAGGGCGGGCATAGCCGGAAGGACGGTCTCGATCGGTTCATGGAAGTCGAAACCGACGGCATCTACGATGCTGATATCCTGGAGAGTGCGCAGAGATGGCAGCTGGTTCATGAACTCCACGACCACCTTGCGCACTGGGGGAAAATGAAACGCCAGGACCTGCAGAGCGCGGAATTTCCCAATGGCTTCAATCACTGCCAATGCCTGTGGGGTGGTGAGGTTCTGATAGAAAGTCAAAACTCTGATGTCCGGAGAGAGATAGGGTGCGTAGGTCAGCACATTTGTTGCACGATCATCCCTCTCGCTCGGCGGTGGCCACTGCTCGTGCTTCACGAACAGGCTCTGCAATTTTGGTCCCAGAAGCATGCGGTCGAACGATATGTCTGATCTTTCGGGCGAGCAGCCGAGCGCCTTGAGGTTGGGAAGAAGGGGTTGTGAGCCCCGATGGAAGTCCAGGATGACGAAGACATCCGGACTCAGATCATAAACTTTCGTCAAGGATTTCGGTGGCGAGGAGTGTAATTCCATACCGAGATTTTTCACGCGCCTTGCAAGACTATCAAAACGGGTGAAGTCATTGGGCAGGAGCGGGCGCGTGAAATGCTACCCGTCCAATGCACTTCGATCAGCACCGTGGTCATATAATAAACGAAAACCATACCACACAAAAGTTGTCTGAGTTTTCTGCCGTCTCTACTTCCTTCCACGCATCAGGCGGCATGCATTTTACTAGATTGACGAGGTCCCACTGCGTGACCCACAGCGCGTCGGTCGCGGGCTCGTTGAACGTGTGACAGCAGCGCGCGATGGCTGCCATGGAGCTGTGGTACTCTGACTGCTCCTGGACGAATTCTACGACTTTGCGCACAATTTCTTGGATATATAGGCACGGGTGCATCTTGTCTTCCTCGCAGCTCAGCTGGGAGTTCAGATAGGAGGCAGCTCGCAGCCCTGGCACCTGTTGGTAAGAAAGGTAAGCCTCGGAGCACGATCCGATGTATGTGTGGGTTAAAGGATGCTGCCATTTCAAGGCAGTATACGATGGACCGTGGCTAATCACCTTGTGGTGAACGTAATATCCGTCAGTGACTTTGAAATGAGTCTTCCAAATCTAAACATCAGTGGATTAGTAGAAGCAACAATGCTATGCCAAGGAAAGGAATACCGCAGTCTATAACTATTTCCCTGCAAAAGTTGCGGTCGTTGTGCGAAACTCGCTCTCGAAAGGCGCACGTGCGTATTTGATTCGGCGACCGAATTGCGGACCAGGTTGGTAGCCTCATGGTCGCATTCAAGTCGAACACCACCGAGTCCGGAGCTCTTTCTACATTCTTCTGGCTGGGATTTTTTTGACTGAATAATGGACACATTATCGCTGTGTTCTACCCCAAGCGGAACTAAAACTAGCGGTAGAAGTTCTGTCGCAGGCTCCGCCAGCATACAAAGTCATGTGTCTGCGGCCAGCTCTCAGCATCGTCTTCGCACCTCTTCGTACGCATCCGACACCACTCAGCCATTCGACTATCTGCATGATGAGATACCGTCTAGTGATATCTGGAGTTCTCCTTTCTCTCGCCTCTTCTCGCTGACTTTTCCGCTGGAGAATAACGCCTTACGCCAGCCTTCGGGCTTCATTCCGTGTCTCAAGTGGATGCTCTTGGTGTATGCTGGTCTCTGCGTTGTCTTTCTGTCTGTCACTCTCTGTGCCAAGTGCCGTGGTCACTATTCTGTCGTACCGTCTTCCATTAATACTAGTATGTTACTCTTCTGCGCACATGACTGCTGATTTGAACCATGTCCATGGAAGCTCGGTCACCATCTCCTCTAGAAAGTCTCCCAGCCGACCTTCTCCTGTCTAAGGCATCATCTATTTTTCCACCCCCAGAAGCACTGGATCCTTATGTGCTGAAGGCTGTCGTCGAACCTAGCGCTGTGACTGGCTGTGTATGGTCTAGCGATGACGAATTGACCTCTCTCAATAACTGGGCGACCCGTTGGAAAGGTATATTTGTCATCTCAAGTACTACCTGACTTCGTAACGATCGTGCGCAGGACCAATCTCACTCCTTCTGACAACGACCGCAGTTCCTTCTTCCCCTGAACATGAAATGCTTCTGCGAAGGCTCTCAGCTCTGCAGACTAAGAGCTCGCTGCTCAACTCAACCCTCTCCGCACACGTCCTCCACCTCGCACCAAACACGCCGGATAACCCCAACGCCTTCCTCAATCTGGCGCGTCTCTTCGCACAAACGGCCCGCGTCGCGCTTTTCCCGGGGAACTTCACCACCGCGCCACCAAAAACGCTGTACGCATCCGTACTGACACAGCCGACCGTATCCTCCGCGGCCATGATCCCACCGCCGCAAGCGCGCCCACATGCGCAGCGTCCCGTGGTGCTTACCACGCGCGGTCAGACCGGATTCCCGTTCTCGCCGCTCGCGCCGCTTGTACTCAACCGTGACGACCCGTTGTGGTGCACCGAGCGCTTCTTCCCTGCCCTCTCGCGCGCGGCAGATTGGGAGGAGTGCCTTTGGCAGGTCTGGCTCGAGAATTTCGGCGATATCGACGTGCGCCAAACACGTGGGTGGCTGCACGAGGCGCAGCCTACGTCCGCATCCGTGTCAGCCGATTTGACTGTTGTGGTGGGTCTCCTGTGTGTGCGCTGAATGTCATGCCTGACAGACTGGCTAATAGGCCAAGCTTCGTCGCCGGTTGGTCGCAAAGTACCGGAGCGAGACGTGCGTTCTCGCCACGAGACAGCTCGCAGCACTGAAGGGTCCCGACAAGGCTCTGGATGCGAAGAAGAGGCGATGGCTCAAACGGGTCTGCCGTGCATGGACGTCGGCGGCGCAATCGTGAACGAGTCTCTCGCACGGGTTCCGGATGGAAATACAGACAGCATATATAGATTGGGTGTAAAGATACAGTATAATAATGCCTTATTACTCGACTTGTACATGCAGTATGATAAGCCACCATAAATGTTCTAGAGATAGTTAGGTCACTCTTCGGCGTCAGGAGGATGCAGCATGCGTGCCTCACTCTCCTCGTCGTTGTCTTCTTCCTGCTTGTCCACGGCCATGTCCTGCATCTCCTCGTCGGATTGAAATGCTGCCCAAATCAACTCAAGCTCAGGGCCGTCCGAGTTGAGCTCTAACAGCTGCCTAGCCAGGTCTAGAAAGGTAATAATAAATGTCATCTGCTATGAATGCGACGAACAAATCGCGCACCCATCACCTCTTCCAGTGCATGGCGTTGCGAAGGTTCAAACCACTGAGGGACGTCCGCATAGCTGAGCCGCCCCAGGGCAACGTTGAACATGTGCATGATGCCGTGAAACTGACGATACTTGATGCTCGTCAGCTTATGTCGCAGGCCAACTCTTGTGCTGTTCCCGCCGAGGACGAGTGTATGTAGTAGGGACACCGTCCTATTGGTCTTTTCACATAGTCTGCCGGATAAAATGCGTCAGACGCCAATGCGAGTGAACGACTCGTCGGGAGGAACCCTACGCCGTAACCAACTCAGGTGCATTCATCAGGCCCTCATCTTCCTCGTAGATAGGCGTTGTCAGATTGTATAGGAACAGAATGATTGAAGGAATGAGTGTCTCAGTTTCTGCCAAAATCCCCTGAGCTTCCGGATGGGCGACTACGAGTCCTGCGACAAACGTGAGGATCGACTCTCTCAACAAGTCCGCCTGACCACACAGTGAGTAGGAGGGTGCCTAGCTTGACCTGCGGGGAACACTCACCTCAGGCCCTTGTCGTGTAATATCGGTCAGGTAAAACGAGAGCTGCTCGATGTATGGAATGTGTCTGAAGCCTTTCTCACCCAACGCCTCTCCAGCATTTGTCTCTGGGTATAAAAGCAAATACCTAAATAGGCTAGGATCTGTGAACGAAGTCCTTCGTCAGTATTAACATAACGAGAAAATCACGGCGGGCGCACGCGACGCAAGGAATGCAAGAAGACGAGCAGATCGATGCAACAACCAAGTAGGCTGGGACGGTGCCAGTAGGATCGAAAGTACATTCGGACTCTTCAGGATGAATGACAGTCTGAGTTCCAACATCAGAGTCGAGGGCGTCAAGAACAGAAATTTTAACGAACCTGATCGCAAGATCATCCGGGGCACTCCAAGCTAGCATTTCAAGTAGTCGAAGAGTACGAAGTGCGAGCGGGCTAAGTTCTTCACTCATAGGCTTATTCGGGGGGTTCAGACATGTGCGAATGACATCACATAACAAAGCAATGATTGTAGGAGGTGCGTCGTCATCCGTGGTGGACAGAAATAACCTAGCAAACATACGTTGCCACAGAACCACCTCACGCAGTAGGGAGAAAAGCGCAGTCAATGCCGGAATCTGTTCAAGATATCAGAAATATCACATGTTCGTATAAAGTAGGAAACCCACTGCTCGAACATCGGTCAAAGTTCTGGCCATTTGCACTAGAATATCCGAGAGGACCTCGTTGAGATAGTCCCCACCATCCATTTTGGGTACAGTAATCCCGAGATTCTCGAGCAGTCGATCACACAAAGCAGCATACGATCGCGATTGCTCTGCTGAGGCTGAATCCGGAAGTGGAGAACCCAAAAGAAAATGGAACGTCAGCGGTTCCGATGATGATAATTTGTGAGAAAAGATAATCCGTTGGAGCTATACAATTGGGATCGCAAACCGTCGTGAGTTCAATGAAGAGAAGCCGGCACCTAACGAAAGCACTTGCCTCCGCTCTTCGATCTGGCGGTTCAACCACATCGTACTCCTCCACCGGTATCTGATCCTTGACTTCGTCAGTCATTTCAACATCCGCACCAGTCCCTTGATCATCGGGTCCCAATGGATTGAAATCCTCCATGGGTCGTAAGAATTGAATAGGACTGCTCGGAGGAGATGAGTACTGTTGACGTTGGCTAGGATACGGATCCGAGTCGGATAAATCCCTGCGAACTTTGCTCTCCTCTCGCTGCTTTCCCTTCGCTTGAACATTCTGTGATGCTCTCGGAGGCGAATAGTCGAACGCGTTCACGAAACCTGGGAACAGTGCACTCTTCTTAGGATGATCAGAGGTATATTTCCTGCTTCTTGAGGACTCAGGGCTGCCATTCGAGGTGATTTGACGTGTACGAGAGGGTGTTCGAGGTGCACGACCGGCATCGCTGTTCCATTCCCGCATCTGCGAGGGCATCCGCACTGGGGTGGGAGGTGGCTGGTCGCGGATTCTCTGAGACCGCCCTGACGATGGTGGTCGCCGTAAGGTGGCTTCCTCATTACGCTACGCGAGGAAAGGGATGTTCAGAGGAACCTTGATTCGATGTCTGCCAAGCACCGACCTTCAGTTGTAATTGGCCCTTCAGCCGTTCCACCTCTTCTCTCATGTTCTTTTGTGCTTGAGCCTGAGTGGCTTCCGCTTGCTCTTTCGCCGCTCTCAGCCTAGCAATCTCTGCGGAATACTCTTGATTTTTCTAGGTAGTAGCAGTGATGAGTACACGAAGCATGATTCACAATCCAGTGGACGAATAGACCTTTTCGAGACCTTTTCTCAAAATGGTGACTTCACCCTCTTTAGCTAGTCGTGCATCGCGTTCACCTTCATACTCCTGCTTCGTCTTCCCTCTTTCCTCGGTTAGCTATGCAAATACATCAATCAACCAGAGGGTTCGTAACAGAAAAAAACATTACTTACTTCTTTCAACTGAGCACGTAGTACCTCCAACTCTGCACGAAGCGTTGCGTCTTCAGTCTTTGGGGCAAGCATCGCAATATGCGCATTTGAAGCAACCGAGCTTGATGAGGCACGTCTGGAAGGTGCGAGGAGTGGCTGGTTTGGTGCTGCTCTTGGAGGGAAGGAACGTTGCACGTTCGCTGCAGAAGCATCATGACGCGTGACATACTGTGCATGATGTTGACTGTTCACAAGTACTATAGTAGCGGGAGACTGGAGAGTAGAATAAACACGAACTTCGGCGATTCTACGCGTGCTGACACGTTGCGACCTGCAGCGTTCCAATTACTCCCGGATGCACGTCTGCGGGAAGCAATATCATAAGCTTGACTGCCATGAAGAGATACTTCTGGTAGCTGCAATTCATCTAAGGATGCTGTCCGGAGAGGGAGTTCATGGTAGAGTTTCTGGCGCTTGGCAGGAGGGGGTGAATTAGGATGCGCCTGAGCTTGCTGTGTGAGACGTTGACTTTCTACGAACTTGCTCTCTTGCTCATCAAGCGCAGCAATGACAGTATCATCGAGCACGAGATCGTCGTTTGCAAAGTAATCATCAGAGTCCTGCATAGGTTGTCACTGCATTACAATGGAAAGAAAGGAACGCAAAAGTTTGAGGCCTCGAGGCAGACAGACTTGCTAGTCAGTGTTTCGCGACTGAAATATAAGAAAACGTCTTACAACTGGCACACAAATGCAATGCAGCTGCTGGTCGTTGAAGGAAAGAATGCGGGTCAAGTTCCAGTATCACCCACTGAGCCAGCGCTAGGGTAGCATGATAGACGCCTATGAATACCTATAAGGTAATTTGCAAATGCCACGTAGCCAAATAAGGTTGGGCTCATGATAACCATTTAATGTCACGTGATTATCAACTTCTTGTCTTCAAATTGTACTACAACTTAACCTGCCTCATATTTGAGGGTCGCGAATGAAATTTCGGCCTTCTTGCATTTGAATTTTTATAGTTCGCAGAATCTTAATTACTGAAGTTGTTGTATTGTAGTTTGATTTTCAAGACAAGTCCTCACACAGGTGACAGTGGATGGATATGAATGAGCCCAACCTTACTATTCATGAAGCGCCGGAGTGGTCGAAATAGTACAGTACTCTGCTTCAACCTTCAGGATACTATCATTGACCCAGTAGTGCAAGGAGTCTTGCACTTCTGCCACCATGCATTCAGACCGAGCCCATTTGTCCCCGGAAATTTTCCTACATAATCTCTAATATATAAAGTGGATGCCTTCCCGCAGGATTTGGAGACAATCCAAATCATAGGTCAGAGCTTGAAAAGAACTGCTGCATTGGAACAGCAAGATTTGTGGAACCACAGCAGCACAATGTCAGTATTTCTAACCCGAGTTCTAGAGGAGTTGGACAATAAATGTGGGATGATGCGAAGGGCGCTGAACGCTGAGCCCGCAGAGGTCGCAAGCGCCCGTCGGCAACGGAAGGCATTGTAACAACCTCTCGACTAACCCCCCCGCGTCAGAAAGCAGACTAGAGTAATGGAGAACTCTCGAGAATATATTTCCCAAACACTCTGCAGCGCGAGCACCTGGTAATACCACGACCCGCACAAGACTACTAGCAGAGCTCGTACAGCGATAAGTCAAGCCCGCCCCCGATTGCGGCATCGAACGGCGTCACCGAGCCTGCGAAACATGAGCATCAACAACCCGCGTATACAGATATCAGGATCTGTCGGACACTGCACCAACACAAGAAGGAGCCAACTCAGTCATCAAGGAAGATAGGATAGGTCCTTCGCGGGTCGGCGTGCCCCGTGCACCCGTCTCGGGGGATGCACGGAACACCCAAGGCAAAGGATAGGTACCACAGCCGGAAGCAAGCTTCGGCAAGTCAGAAGGTAGCAGCAATCACCACGCGCCGTCAGCCGACATAGCGTATCTTGATCGCTCCTGCGCGGTTGCGTGCTTCAAGGGCTGATTTCGGTGTGTTAGCAATGCTTTCAGTCGGATTGATTCACATTCACCTTTCAGCTCTTCAGCCTCCTCTCGCTGTTCATAATCCAGAACAAGTCTCTTTAAGTGCTGCTGTTCTACCTTATCTTGCAGCTGAGCAGTTCGAGTCTGTACAGCCAAGGCGGATTCCGCAGGGATGGCGATCTGCCGAGTCTGTGCAGGATATCAGCGCTTCGAATTTGCGTTACATCTAGATGATCACCCACTTGCTGCTTGTTCCCACGCTTAGTGAACAAGGTGAAGTTCATAACACTCTGCTGTTCAGCTCCGTTCGCAGCCGACGTAATGCCATCCTCTGCAATGTCGTCGTGGCGTTTCTTGCGCAAAACCGGCGGTGGCACCGTTGACTCCCAAAGCGCCAGAGCCGTCTTCTTGTCTACTTTCCGGGATTCTGCTGAAGTGTCCGTGACCAGCTTAGCCAGTTCCTTCGCAAATTCCGCGTCATCCTGCTCAGATGGACCTAGGTTCTCCTGCGACGACTTGAGAAGAACAGCCTCAGGAGAAGGTGCGCGATCATCCACCTGAAACAGAGGTATGTGAATATTCGTGCTGAATGACCCAGTAGATACTTACTGGGGATTGCGGCGCTGTTTGCTCCTCTTCCTCATCTTCATCTTCATCGCGCCTGGCCTCCTCCTCATCACCGCTCTCTTCACCACTATCTTCGGTAGTCGTGACTTAAATCATAAATAAAACATGAACACAAGTAGAACATTTCATATGAAAGGAGCACGTACCTCCGGCATCCTGGAAAGCTGAGTTGAACATCTCGTCCACGGCCACAGCAGCCTCTTCAAACGTCTTGAACATGGTCAACTTAGGCCTTACAGCCTGTTTCAGCCGTCAGAGATGCAGGCCACAAGATCGTACACGCGACAAACCTCAATCGAATCAGTCAGCATGAATTCAATCTCCATAGGAGGTCGAATCTTGCATAAGGCATAGAACTGGGAGACGAAAGGTCAAGGCCGTGTGAAAACCAGACGGAAACATGCGCACCTGGAAGAAAGCCAAGAATTGATCGAGTTTCTTCAGTTGCGTGCCGCGGTCGAAACACATCCCGCAGGTGTCAAGGATAACGCATACGAGACGTATACGGAAGAAATCATCCGGCATGTCTATGGGACACGGTTGATTCGGTAGTGGACGTCCCTCGGCTTCATACCACCGTGGTCAGCTAATCACAACACCATAACCAATTGCTCCAACTCACGATGGCCGAACGTCACCAACGTCCACAGGGTATCAAAAATGATACCGGAGCTGATCAGCCGGAAGATATACAGCTCTCCCAGATACTTGACTGACGCAATCCGTTGCTGGTTGATACTGTACACGTTCTGTTCCAAACCTCTGCGAATGTCCTCGAGGACCTGATCTACGACGGCGATCGTGAAGGACGGGTGGTACCGTTGCAAATCATATGTGAGCATCGCGAGCAGTGGGATGTTCCCGTACTTAACCTTCCACGGCTTCGTGAACAACTTGTGCAACGTGTGCAGCACCGTATCGTCGTTCCAGTCGAGCTTGCGGAGGAGTTTCAGCACTTTGTCGATTGTCTTCTTGGCGAGGACGTCGTAAATGAGGTGGCGGATGAAATGTTCCATGGGCGTGCGCTCTTTCGCTTGCCTGGCCGTACGCTCAGGAGGATTGCACTGTCATCGAATGATGAGTTCGGGGATCAGTCGTATCACATCATCATAGTGTATCTTTACCTGATAATATGCATTCTCCAGCAACAAGAGTTGCCTCTGATCGAAATGCTGCAAGCTCTGCTTGCGTCTCATCAACTCCACCTATTCAAAGGTAAACGTGAACTCCTCGGAAAATGATAAGACGATTCGGACACACACACCATTCTACTGAACGGCTCCTTAGTCTCGTCACTCCTCAACAAGAATCGGCCACAGCCCTCCAGTAATAACGCAACATTGTCTACGTTCGTGCCAGAAAAGTCGTCCAGGCATACTTTGAACATGTGCAAGATTAGATGTGGTGGTATGACTCGAAATTTAGTCAAGTTGGACAAAAACGTGATGTTCTACACAGCTAATGAGCATTACATGAAACAAAACATGACACAGTGAGCGATACCGACCTTCAGCCTCACTTCCGCCAACTCGTTGACGACCTTCTTCTTGCGCTGCAAGTACCGGAATTCCTCATCAAGCTACGACAAGGCTTCAACGGGCGCACCCATTCCACAGAGAAAGGCTTACTCACAATGGCAACGAGCTCGGTACCAATATCCGGCATATATCTGTTCAGAATGGCGATCAATCTCGAATAGTGAGGCAGAAGGTCTGTTCGGCTCTTCGGAGTCTGGCTCATGAACTGGCGGCGGGTACATGGTTTTCATTCAGTAGCGCAGCGAAGCGCGATCACAAGCGACCCACCTTTACCAGCCGTTTGCGAGAGGCCTTGGAATTTAGAAAGGCGAAGTCGACAGCAGCCTGGTCGATGAGCGTGCGATTGGTCGCGTCTGGGAGTCGCGTGAGGAGAGCTGTGAGGAGCTGCGATGGGCCTTGGGGTGCGAGCTGGGGCGTGGTAGAGGGAGACGTTTTCGGCGATCCGGGAGTAGGCGTAGGTGCACTGTGTACACAATAGCATAAGCAATTTAACACTCTAGAGTCTCCAAATTTCACTCACTTGTCATCGTCATCTTCGTCCTTACCTGACACCTCTTGCCCGTCCTTTAAGCCACCCCCTTCATCCGCACCCTCGCCCGCAGGCTTCGCGTAGCCGTTGACAGGAGAGCCCGCGTTACCGTCTAACCCCGCGAGCTCCTCATCAAGCCTGCGCATCTCCTCCAGCACGCGCTCCTTCTCCCGCGTCTCCCGCTCTTCTTTACCCTCCTCCGCCCGGTCCTCGTCCTCACCCATTCCGAGCACGCTGCGTGGGACGTAGTCCTTGAGGTCCGGGGTATCTTCGAAGAACCGGCGCTCCTCCTCGTCCTCCCATTTCCCGCCCGTCATCTCATCTGCATCCCCGCCGAGTACGCTGCTGCCCGCGCTCGTCCCGATCAGGATCGACTCGGACTTCTGAGAGGACGTCTTCAGCGTGGGCATTGGCATGTACAGCAGCTCCGATAGACTACATGACGCATCAGCTCCGGAACCAATCAGAGTAATCGTCTCGCGTTACCTTTGGCAACTTGCAAGCAGCTTCTCATATCCCTTCGTCATCTTCTCATACGCCTGCTGCCTGTCTTCGAATATCTCCCCAGAGCGGATGTAAGCCTCATGATTGCGCCTATCCTGCTCTTGTAACCGCTGCAGAAACCAGTAAGGCGCGACTCCACGGCATAACGGGCGGTTACATTTACTCACATTGTGCTCGATCACCAGCTTCTTCGCGACGTTCTCAAAGTAGCCTTCACACATCTTCCTAAACCGATCCCTGATATCCTTCTCCACCAGCTCGTCCTCCTCCTTCACCAGCGGAGGGAACGCGTCGTTCGCAGCCTCGTTCGCCTCATTAGTGGTCGCCGAGGACAACGTACCCGGCTCCGCCGAAGATGAGATCTGCTTCGCGGTCGCCGGAGCTAGGATCCCGAGGTACGGGCGAGAGAACGACTTAAGGAACGTCGACAGCAAGGGAAGCGAAGACAGCGACGGGTCATTCGACAGCTGCCTCGCAGCACCGAAATCAAACGACATCAGCACACACAAACCGCAAGGACGAGACGAGACACACCAAATCTCGGATAGCCTTCATGATCCATTCGCCGCCGCTGCGCTCTGGGGAGTCCTTGATGATCCCAACGAGCGCCAGCTCTGCACAGACGCGTAGGACGGGACGCTGGCGAGCCACACGCGCGCCATCTTCCTTCTCCCGCTGCTCCGGGGTCATTGCAGACAACGCTGCGCGCGGTGGCACCGCGAGCGCGGCGGAGAGCAGCGGCAGTAGCACCGGCGTGAAGGCCTTTGGGAACCGTCGATGCAGAAGCGATATGATCTGATGATCGAACGGGGCGTTAGAATGCGCGTCCTGGTAAATACAGCGTGGAGCAAACGATAGACCGCCTCAAAGATCCTTTGCATGAACTGCCGAAAGCCACCGCGGGAGCGACACCTGCAGTAGCCCACGATCGAGGTGACTTTCATGCTGCAGCCAGAGCTCGCCGAGGCGGCGTACATTATTCGAAGGTTGGACGAAGAATAATGATAGTTGTCTATCGCTTTCCCACCGGCTGCGAATGCAGACTCGAGACGCACCTCTACGGCACTCCACACGTCCTTCTCTGTCTTGCACCGCACGATGCCTTCCACAATCGCGCCAGCAATTTCATCGACGTACTTCTCGAGAGAGAGCGTGTCGATATCCTTGATGACCTGGTCACGGTTGTCCGTCCCCAAAGACTGGCGAATCCGCTTGATTAGAGCGGTGTGTCGTTTCAGCGACGAATCGAGCGCCTTCGACGGCTCTGAAAAGAGGATGAGGCCTAACGATTGTACAATAACGGCAATGGGGAACGCACGTTCGCCTGCCTGCTTGACGTTAAGTTCCTTGAGATTACTTCGCTTGAGTCGACGGGCTTGTTCCTCGTCGGCTTTGTGCCCATAAGGCGAGAGCTCCATGTTAATGTCCTTCCCGGTCCTAAAGAAGATTGATAATGATATGTGCAGTCAAACAAATACGATAGAAGAAAGATTGAGTCTCGGGATGTAGATGGAGGTCGGAAGCGTGCTCAACTGCGAACCGCGGTCACTAGAGTGTCATCATAAGCGCCCGTTACACACTTGCGCCACCGTGGTGACCGAGCTTTGACGTGGCACCCGGCACAACGTTCAGCTGCTAAGCTTTCTCAAGCCAGTTTTTCTCTGGAATAACGTAGCATACTCTGCGAAACTAGTCTGGGTGCATTTCGAATACTTTACCACTCTGTCTCAATTTTTTTGAAACATCCCTCTCACGATGTGCTCCATACACACTCGAGTCTTCCGATCGGCGTGAGAAATGGCGTTCTGTTCTTCGAACTTCGTGGCTTTGAATTAAATTACAGCTTCGCGGCAGAATGACTGGGCCACAACTTTGTCGTTGTCAACTCTGGCAGGCTTGTCTTCCCGTCGCCCACATAGGCTGGTGTTGTCAATATGACTATCGGAAAACACCAGCAAAAGTTATAACTTGACCAACTGAGATGCAGGCATGTGCGATATTTTCCCGTTCTAATGCATGAGACTGCATGTGTGACTCTTCCACCTCCCAGCGTCCATGAGTCCGATCGTGATGGGGTAAGTTTGTGTAGATGTGAGTGCGCGTATTCTTTTTTGGAGCGATGATCTCTGCTGTTTAGTTTTATGTCCACTGATGAAGCTTTGAAAATTTACTGACGACTCACAAAGTGCTGCTCAGTTGACACGACTTTGGAGGCTACCCCATAGGACACTCATCGCGAGCATGTTGTCTAGCTAGGTGCATAGCTTCCAATTCCCGGGGTTTCGCTTGCCAGAACCGTCCCGCTAGCAATATTAGCTCGCATACAATTGCACCATGCGCAAAACACGTTGCAAGCAGCCTGCGCAATCTCAACGTTAATGCAAGCCTACGACCGCACCAGACGAGGACACATGGCTCGGTTAATCGTACTCCACACTATTTGTACGTACCCTCCACGCACCACCTACGGAGTGCCCGTTAATGCTTCCTCCACCCACCCCACCACTAATGCCCGGTGTCGCCACCGCCTCCCCCTCCACTTCCGATTCATTGTCGCTCCCGTATGCGCCGCCGTCTGGCTCGCCCGCGTCGACGCCTACGCCCGCGGGCACGCCTGCAGGGCGCAGGACTCCCACCTCGTACTCGTCATCTCCGCGCCTCGATGGCTCCGATATTCCGTAAGCACCACCCGCCTGTGCGCCGCCGCCGACTCACCGATGTGTGCACAGACACGACATAATGCACGAGCTCCGTGAAGCGACCGCTTCGCCGACGCCGCTCAGCGAGTTCCTGCACGACCCGATCCTCCTCTCCTCGCTCATGGGCCATCGCAAGAAGGCGCGGCGTGGATCCACCCAGCCCCGCGACCGCGACCGCGACCGGGAGCGTGACCGGGACCGCGAACGAGACCACAACAAGCGCGAGAAGGACTCAGACACCTCGAGCATCCTCACCCTCGTGCTCGCCGAAGAGGAGCGGCAGGCGCATCATCTCAAGGCGCTCCTGCGCAGCACGGGCGACCGACTTGACTATGAGAACCGGCGCGCAGATCAGGCCGAGGGCCGAGCGCGAACTGCTGAGGCGCTCGCACGCGAGGCGTCCGCGCGCATCAGCACCTCCGATGCCGCGCGACACCAGGCAGAACTCGATGCCGCGCGGACGAGAGAAGAGATCAAGCGCTACCAGATGCTTGCAGAGACGGCGGAACGCGAGTTACGCAGGGCTGAAAGCGAGGCGCAGCGTGTGGAACGGCTGCGGCTCGAGGCGGAGAAGCTCGCTGCAGAAGCGAGGGATGTTGCCAGGAAGGCGCAACAGGCACTAAGGGAGCACCAGGCGCGGGAAGAGGGCAGAGAAGAAGGGAGACGCTTGGGTTTACGGAGGAGGTACTCTGACGGTCACGAAGACGGGTTTGAGGACGGGCGGACGGAGGGCTTCGAGGCTGGCCATGCGGAGGGCTTTGAAGCCGGTCGAGCAGAAGGATTCGCCACTGGCCGGGCGGAGGGGTACAACGCAGGCCGCCTTACAGGTTTTGATGAGGGCAAGAAGGCTGGACAAGAAGAAGGCTACGACGAAGGGTTCGAGGAGGGTCGCACGTTAGAGCGAAAGTATGCAATCGAGGCGTTCGATAGGTTCATGGATTCGGAGGTGGGCCGTCAAAGCTTTATGACCGCACCGGTGCGTGCGGCCCCCCATTTCTGCTGACGCGTTCGAGCCTGACGGCGGTTTGCAGAGCAACGAGCGCACACAGAGATGGGTCGAAGCCACAAGACAATTCCAAGAACATTACCCAAGAGTCCCGGGCGTTGTTCTTGAGCCTGTGGAACAGACACCACCGCGGCCTATCGTGATACATCCACCAGTAGCATCGGAACCGACCCCGGAGCAGCCTGCTGTCTCCCCTGAGGTGATCAAGCAGCGTTCTCGGGAGTCACTCAGAGAACTGCCGCCGCCGTCAGTGAAAGAGCAGCCACAAGCTGCCGTGCCTCCCCCGCTCTGGCTTCACCGTAAACTGCACCATCCACAGGACGGTATCGGCGTTCCACCGGTATCAACACTGACTACATCTTCGATCGCGGAGCACTGAGCAATTAAACAAGCGGTTAATTGCTGGTCTTCGTGTCTGGAAGCAGACGTATAGACTTTGGTAAAAATATTGCGACTTCCGCATGTCTGTAATTTGGAGTATTGTCGTATATTACTTTAGAACGGGACGTTATGGATCTTTCTGGGCAGATGATGACGTTGGCGTTGTGGTGAGAGAGATGGGGATTCAGTAGCGTCTTTAAGTGTAAGAGATTGACGCCTGTGGGCGGAGATGGAGCGGGACCACAGCGGAACATGCACCAACAATTGTATATGTAGGCATGGCTAGAGCGCAGACCGATGAGATAGTGGCCGCAACATCCTGTTAGAGAAGGTACGTGAGACTCGGGGCCCGCACGGTAGAGCTGACTTTAGAGACACCAGTTGAGTTGAGTTGCATAATTATTCAATATGGTGCGTTTCGCGAGAGGGGTAGTGGATGCCGGTAAAGCCAGGATAAGAGTGGTGCCTGGGGAAAATATGTATGCCGAGGCGCACTCGTCCTTGCTCTCTATACTGGTTTTGCAGTCAAAAAACTCCGATACCGGGTGAGGTAGTGACGGAGGCGGACCAGATGATGTCAGGCAGCACATATGATGCAATAGGACAACAAGAACTGAAAAAATTTCCAAACACGCAGACAGTGCTAGGGAGATTCCAGGCCCAGTAGGAAAGATGCGAATGACGACTTTCATAATCATGTCCTCTTCATCGGATGTCTTCGTATCCACGCAAGCATTTATTGAAAGCCTTCCATGATGAGGGAAAAGATAGACCGTGACGCGCCGCCGGCGTTGTGGTCACCCAAGTTCACCTATGATGCGAGCGAGCCTGGCATTGTCATCCAGAGATCCATGGCTGATCGTGTCCAAGCGACAATAGACATCATCGCTAAGCACTCGAGGGTGAGGAGACTGCACAGAAAATACAACGAAGACGGGATCAGCTGCGCGAGCGCCGGCCTGTGAAAACTTTCAAGCGGTTGGAATTTCCCTGTGCTGCGCGTATCAAGAGCAGGTGAGGCCGAAGAGCATGATTCGTTGAGTTCCTGATCCTCTGAGGACCACTAATCCAGCTGAAGACATCAAACTCTACTTCAGCGCCTGGTGTGCCTACTGGCAGACTGCAAGCATCAGCACACAGGTTTTTCTTACCCTGTGGGATTGTTCAAGCCCACCATGGCTCCAGAAGTGCGCACAGAGGTATGGAAAGAGGTTGATTCAGCCAACAACCCGTGAAGCTCTTGGCCCAGGTCATCCGAAAAGTAATGGATGTGATGGAGGCATAAACATCTTGACGTTTCCTACGGGACTGCTTGCCCCTCCACTCGTATCAAGATGCTGGAATGCAGCAGCAGCGGATCTGTTGGCAGAAAATGGCATCAGCCCTGGGGAGATGGAGAGTGAAGTCTTCAGATAAAAACGTACCCATTCGAAAAACAAATCGCATAGCAACAACACATCGTTGCGCATGACTGTGATCAACAGCTCGGAGAACATATCAGGACAGAAAGAGTCGGCCTCAAGGGTGCTTACCGGAGATATGAGGCAGTGAGATGATGGCCGTTGAAGAGATGCGAGTCGCCGAAAGCCCTGGACTAGGACTATATACCGCGACTCTACGAATCTACGCTACTGCTTTCCATCTTCCATCTTTCATTTCCCAAAACTTATCTGTCCTCTCTGTACTCCACCGCACGAAATGAGCACCGCTGTCCCACCACCCCTCCCGTCGCCCAGCGTCGGCATCCGTCGCAAGGGCGCACAAGCCCTGCCCCGCCTTCCGCTCTCCGCTTTCACCCCCCCAAACAGTGGCTCGTCCGATAGGTTTCCTCTCCCTCCCAGCCCGAGCGCAGTGCACCCCGAACAAGTCGTCGACGCCCACGTTGTCGCCCCCGACGGCGATCTCAGTCGGTGGAAGGCGGAGACGGGCCAGGCGCTCGGAAGCAAACTCAAAGGCGTAGTTGTTTCTCTGAATGGTAACGCTCCCTCGGAGGTCGAGACGGCGTTGAAGCAGTGCGTCCCTGCCTATACGTGCTACGAATTCGCTATGCTGAGATCTTTCGTTGTCGTTCCGTGCCAGAATCTCATCGGAATCGTCTGGTGTGCCGGTGCTCTCAGCACTCGCCCCCCTCGACCCGTATGCTAATGCTAATGAGGAATTCGAACCCCCATTATACCTCGCAAATACGACCTCGTCGAAGCCGCGCATAGCGTTTACCATGGTGTTCACCAAGTGTGATGCGGGGATAAAGCGTGCATTGGGCTGGACCCTTTCTCAAGGCCTGACAGTGAATATCGATGTAGAGTGCAACATTCGGGAGAGCGAGCGCGGGTTAGAGTCACTGGAGGAATTGCTCACGAGCATCGATGCGCCATACGTCGAGGGACAACCCAAGGAGACGAAGGGCAAGATCATCATATGTGCGTGCCCTTCACGTCTCCGGATGTTCGTGGCGACCGTATTGACGTGTGCCCTGATGTGACAGCGAACATTCTCCCTCCGACAGACGACCTCTCGCTGCCCATCGTTAAGCTGCTGACGCACCCGTCGTATCGCGAGTATCAATCGCACATCGCGTCGATCTCGTTGCGCTCCAACGTCTTCATCAATTTCCTGCCGCCATCGTGGGGCGCATCCACACCCTCCCGCACCGAAGAGAGCCGCAAGGAATGGAACGAGTGGAAACGCAGGCTGAAAATGTACAGTACGTACTTTCTTCTATCCTCCGCTTTGTCACAAAAAGTCACCTGAATTCTTACCTGCGCAGTTGGCCCAGTCGTAGAGGCGTTCGGCTACCAGCGCATCATCTTCGGCTCGTCGCCCTCCACGACATCACAAGCGAAGTCCAACGCCGGCGACTGGTACGAGCTCGCGCGCGAGTGCTTCGCCGAGCTCGGCGTCGAGCAGGAGGGTATCGACGCCGTATTCTCCGGGAACGCGCTCCTCGTCTACTCGTAGGGTCTCCCCGTCAGCCCAGCCTGCGGCTGTGGCTCTGAATGATTTGGTACGGCGATTTTACAGCCTCGAGGGCTGCGTTGTACGCACGATGGCGGATTGGTCCTCTTTCTCTGTCTGGTTCCCGGCATGGATAACTTAATCGCTATACTGTAAGACCCCACGGGGAAACGCGAAGGTCGGTAGTAAATGGAAAACTCGAATCCAAGTGTACTGGTTCACTCGTCTGTAGAACTGTCTATTATTTTATTGCATAGACTACCGCCTAAGCATGAGGGCTTCACAGCGGTGTATTCGATAATGTCGTCCCCTGCTATATCGCAGCCACGAGGCTACCAATCGCCCACACGTCGGTCGGCAATTCGGTAGCCGAACGAACGAGCTCTCCCGACTTCAAGCAACGTTTAGGTCGACTTACCACTGCACCCCGCGAGCAGAGCTCCGACTGTAGAGTCGTCCCCGTCGTGTTTTCGAGCCCGATTATAGTACAGTGCCGCAGCGTATTAACACTACACCTTGACGGATTTTACATGTCACAGTAGGCCCATATTTTTTGAGTACGGTCGATGCACACGACTATGCTTACCGTCTTTGCCGGTGCCGCAGACCACTTTCACAAGTGTAGTTAGATTCGAAGATGCACATCTAGATCTGAGCGCTATGACGCACAGATCACGTGCTGCCTATAATACTGTGTCCGAGGCAGTCGAGCCAGTGTCGAGCCAAGTACTGTCTCTCTGTCTCTGCAACCATGTCCGCAGAGGACGAACAAGCACCCCTCTTGGGTTCTCCGAGTGCCAACGTTACCCACGGAAACGGCGGCGGCGAGCCAGGCCCCAGCGACGAATCCATTAGGCAACATGTCCTCTCAATCCGCGTCATCATCTATGCAATACTTACCGCAGCTTTCGTCGTCGTCCTTGTATCTATGGTTGTGTTCTGGGAGAAAGTCGGACGCTTTGCTGGGCAGCTGCCGAAAGACCCCAATCAGGCAGCGCAGCGCGTATTGGATGGTGCTCCTATAATCGTGAGTTGGGTCATCCGTGTGCGCGCCTCCGTTTAGCTCAACAGTGTGATGTAGGATGGGCATATAGGTACGTTGAACGCTTTCCAGATCGTTTGTTTACTGATAGTATGCGAGATAGATCTTCCCATATTGACCCGCGAACGCTACTCCAACAATATCTCCGCATTTGACCTGAACTTGAGGATGCCCGGGCATGTCGACATTCCTCGACTCAGAGAGGGACGAGTCGGTGGATTCTTCTGGTGCGTTTCGCACCCTTTCTTCTCGTCTTCCAGCCGTAATTATGGCTACCTTGTGTGAACATTGCGCGACGAAGAGGTCTTCCTCAAATCTTGGAATGAATCCGTTTACTGTCGCCCCACGGTATTCGTAGTGCGATATAGTTGGGAATAAAAGCTATTAGTCATGCCAGCAACATGATGCATAGCTCCAATCTACTGCTATTGCGCACTCGTTGCTGAAGTGCATCTATAAGCCAATTCTACCGCGCTATCGTTCATTCTTCCACCTTTGGACGCGAATTTAACGGACTACGCGTATTGATGGTTCTGCTGCAGGTCCACCTACATGCCTTGTTCTGCGAGACCAGGTAAGGACTTTATGAACCCTACTTGGCTCGTTCGGTAAGTCGTTCTTCGCCATACCCAACTCTCTTGCAGCTCAGTATGCGGGACAGAGATACCCTGGAGCAGATCGATGTCGTGCACCTGCTCATCGACAAATATCCCGATGTAAGTTTCGCACATTGCTCGTCATTTCTAATATGTGTGGAATAATTTTCTTTCGGTTGGTAGACTTTTGAGCTGGCACTCACATCGAATGACGTCAAGTCAGCCATCAGCCGGGGAAAGATCGCAGGCTTAATTGGAATTGAAGGGTGAGTTTTCGTAATCTATCTTTTCGCCAGCACCAGGGGATGCACACTAAATGTGCTTACAGAGGGCATCAGATCGGCAACTCGATTGCAGTGCTGAGGCAGATGTATGCTCTCGGCGTACGCTATATGACCTTGACGCATAGCTGCCACAACGCATTTGCGGACTCTTGCGGGATTTCCAAGAATATTGAACCCTACTGGGGCGGTTTGAGGTACGAGGCTCTGCGCAGGCGTTCCCCTGTATGTTAATTGCCCACCAGTCCGCTTGGCTACTCGCTCGTCACGGAGATGAACCGCCTCGGCATGCTGGTCGACATCAGTCACACATCCGACGATACCGCTAAGCAGGTTTTGAAATATTCCAAGGCGAGTCATCCCTCTTCCAGCGAGCCTTGGCGTTTGGGTGGTTCGGTCGCTTATTTTTCGTGGTGCTTTTAGGCCCCAGTTATCTGGTCACACTCTTCTGCCCGTGCAGTTCGCGACGTCCCGCGTAATGTACCCGACGATGTGCTAAAGCTGGTTGGCACCACCGACGGGTTGAGCGATGCTGTCATCATGGTGGGTCTACTCGCGCTTCACCATATTCTCATACCATACTAACGGTTATCCAGGTAAATTTTGCACCGGATTTTGTTGCGGGCAATGGCGAGGCAACGCTTGAGGCTCTCGCTGATCACATCGATCACATTGCGAGCATCACCGGGAGAGCACAGTATGTTAATCACATATAATTAACGTATAATGCTCCGCTGACGTGCCGTCCCCCTTTCGCAGCGTCGGCATTGGTAGTGACTTCGACGGTATTGGGACTGTTCCGGTTGGTCTTGAGGACGTCTCGAAGTACCCTGACCTGGTAAAATCCTTTGTCTTTTCATTCACTATTCTGTAAGGCTAACACTAATTGTTATGCCTAGATTGCGGAGATGTACCGACGGGGATGGAACCGATTCGAACTTGCTGGTCTGACAGGACGCAACTTCTTACGCATCATGGAGGGTGCAGAGAGGGTCGCTGCGGAGCTCCATCTGGCAGGGTTTAAGCCGAGTGTAGATTGGTATAATAAGAGGGATGATCTGTAAGCAAAACGGATGGAACATTTTGCATGATCGATGCTTGGAATAGTCGTGAGTGTCTCGTCTCTTTGGTGACTTAGGCCTTACTGACAATCCGCAGGTGTGTGCCTTGTATCATAGCTCTCATGGACGTTAGCTACGCATTGTTTTGCACTATATTCCTACGTTTGTTTAGTGTGTTTCCCTGCGAGATGAAACTGAGTGTCTGCTTTTCATGCTACCGCGGCTCACATGGCGAAGGAGTACATAAAAACTTGCTTGCGCACGGGGAACCACCGGTGACGATTCGTGGCGTGTTCATAGCCTCGCCGGTCTACTTCCTGAGGCTTTCGGAAATGGATCAATGTTCTCGGCCGGGCTGCACGTGGAGCGAACTTTATCATGCACATGTCCAAAACACATGTCCCATGTTGCTGTCGTTCTCGTACGTATTTAGGTAGGAAGGGCACTATTGGGCAAAAATCGATTGCTCGGATGATGGACAGGTCAGAATGAAAAAAACATGGAATATTATGCATATTCCCGTACCGCATGCAGTGAGAATGCATGATATCACATGATCCTGCCCTTAGCACGTGTCCGTGCAGTTGTTCTCAGCCACAATCTTGCACAATCTACAACCTTCACACTTCATGAGCAATGCGCTGAAAATACTGTGTGGGAAAGCACAATATCATGCATGTGAGATACTCATGCATGACCATTCATGATTGTGAATGCATTTATTGTACCTCACAGGGATCTTACACACTATATCTCTGTGATACTGTATGAAACTACGATTCAGAAATATATATCTTCATTCAGATTTACTCAGTGCAACACAGCTACCGATCACTATCCTGATAAGCCACTTGCCCGGGTGTCTGAAATTGAGCACAGGCAAACATCACTATGATAAGGTGACCATCCTTCACTTGTCTCCACTTACAATCACTTGTTCATCCCCTTTATTCCTGAAAAATATGTCTACACTTTATATTCAAGACCAATGTGTTTGTGTGGACCGCCAGTGTGCACAGTTCTGTTATGAGCACAATGAGACAGCTATTTATGTGAGTATCTTCAAGTTGATGGTTTATGCGTAAATGTTAGAAATTTATAACTTAGCTTATAAGGCCTAATAATGCCTTCTAAGGCCTCAATGAAAATTCTTCCTTTTTTGGCCTTGATGTGAGAGACTAAATCTTATGTTGTTGGGGCAGCCATTGTAATGTGTCACAAGGGAATGACTATATCTTAAGGAAATTGAATCTCCAAAATGCAATTTAATGTGATTAGACCCTATCATGCCTCGAGTTATCACTTTGGCCATTTTAAGGTGTTACAAGGGACATTAGGCATGGTAACTACAAAACGAGGAACAAAAGGTACACTACAAGGTCACACTCTTCATTAGAGGAACTTCATCTGCTACTGTACTGACCAGGGTTCAAACGTCCAACCTAGACATAACAACTAAAGGTAAATCAAGAGTGCATTACCGCTTGACCAGCAAGCCATATACCTCTCTGCTCTTACAAATCTATATATTGTCAATATAAACCCTTGGGATACCTCGAGATGCCTTTGAATGCCTTCCGAGATGATAGATTGTGACATAGGTCATTGCAACTGTAATAACTAGAATACATCAAACTAATGCCTGCTCCCTTTCTTTCGAGCAGAACAATGTGTAAGAACTGGCTCAAGGTCCTCCTTAACCTTGATAACTGCAGAAACCTCAACCATTTTACCCTTCCCCTTACCTGGGCAGCTTCACAAGGGCAGTGCAGGGTCACTTTTAGGTGATAATGCTAATAAAGAACCTAGCTGAGATAAGAGTAAATTGATGCCTTGGCCAGAGATATCATGGCTAAATGCCATTGCAGCAGTGGTGGGCACATTAGATGATAGGGCTGCTTGTGCTGGTTCTGCCAGTGCTGTGTGAGATGCACTCGCACCAACCATGTGAGACGCACTCACATCAACTGTCAGAAGAGCGGGATGCAGGTACTGAGGAAGAGTGGTAATGCCCGACATCTGCGACAGGACGATCAGATTTGTCTGTGTCTGCAGTGTCTGAGTCATTGTTGTTATCATCATGAAGCAAAGCATTCAGAGCATCTTCATCATCATCTTCATCTAGACCAATCTTCTCCATCCCATCTGCTCACACACTGTCAAAAACTAGTTGATTAAACCATTTGAAGAATTTTGCAGCCTTTGCTGGCTCTTTCACCACCTTCTCGATAAGCATCACCTTGTATTCTTCAAAGTGCTTGCTGTACCGTAGCCTGGTCTTGTCGCCAATATCACTGAACCATGTATCTGAAGAAATTAAATAACATGCCTATTAGATGAGATGTGAATATGTTTACAATGCATAGAGCAGGAATGATACTCATAATAGTTGCTGCAACTGCAACTGAGCTGGGAGTGTTCTTCACAACATTCCACTGCCTGCTTTGAGTGTTTGACTTGGGCATGACTCCTGGCTCCAGTGAGCTCTTGCCGAAGAGAATAACTCTAATAATCTACATTTCAAAAGGCATTGAGAAAAAACAACTGTGCAGAAAACCAACACTCACTTTGGATAGTGCTGCATCAGTGAACAGGAGCTGCATTTTCATGTGCTTCTTCTCTGAGAAAAGAATAGGAGGATACTTGGTGTACTTTATTTCAGGGCCGCCTGTCTGTAGCCGCAATGCAGTGACCTTGAGATCAGATATTTTTCGGTCCTCGATAAGTTTCAAGATATCATCAGGTAGAAAATTAAAGATTTTGTGCAGACTTTCACATGCAGCATGGACAGCATTCAAACACTGTTGCTGAAAAAATGAACAAAACTGAAGCATCACCATAGTAGAGTCAGCCAGAGCTCAGATGTTGATCAACAGGGGTATACCCCTGGGTACTTTAAGCTGTACCCCTACCCTTACTCTCCAGGGGTAAGGGTATGAGTAAGAGTATCAAACTCTGAGGGTCGACCCCTCAATATCTGCCTTACCTAAGGAAATAACATCATAGACATTAAGTTTAAGGCTTGTAATAGCCTTCTTTTCTCTTTGAAGCTTTTGTAGACATGGTTTAAGGCTGTATCTAGGCTGTACCTGGGCTTTAGTCACTATATAATTACTGCTTACATTATATATACTGTATATAGTGATACCCTCCAGAGGTATAAGGGTCTGAAAGTTCATACTCCTACCCTTACCCTCTAATACCCTTACCCCTTACCCTTAAGGGTTATCCATACCCCTGATCTGCACTAGTCTTGTCTGATGTGTTCTGAGTTCTGACTGATTCCTTTCTAATTTCATACTCTCCCAATGTTGTGCTGACTTACTGATTTCTCTTGATGGTCATGCCCCCCTCATTTTGCAGATCTGATGCCCTTTATTATTTACCCTTTCCCTTCAAGACCCCTACCTTCATGTTGGACTAAAGATGCTGTTTTGGTGTTCTATGTGATTGTTATTAGAACAAGTAGCATATATTTTCTTTCTCTCTTCCCTTACTTTACTGTTCTTCTCTGTCTTTATCTTATAATGTTCATCTCCCCACTCACTTTCTCTCTTCCCATACTTTACTGTTCTCATCTGTTTTTATCTTATAATGTTCATCTCCCCACTCACTTTCTCTGCAGTTTACTTTAGTCTCTCCTCTAGTGCAGGCATATTTGGTGCTGTTATTGACATGCAGGTTGCGATCTATCACACTCATGGCTTTGGACCTCTCCCCAAATGAGTTAGATAATTTCTTAGTGGTGCATCTTCCTGACAAGGACTGGTTAAAGAATAATTTTATCAACATTGTAGCACTACTCAGTGTTCCATAGAGCACCTTGAAAAAAGGTGAAGATGTATGATAATGGCCATCATTTTCTTGCTAACACTCAAGTTCAATACACCACTGAATCCCCTGCCAAAAAAAGAAAGCTTTCGTATAATAGTGAAGAGGGTGTAGCAGATATAGGGCCATTAGAAATACAAATCACTAAGTCCAACATTGTAATTGCATCAAGTGCTTAGCATTGAAATTAATGAGTAAGACAGTGCTGACTTACATTGGACAACACACTCTCACTTATCCAGAAGGCATTATTTTTCTGAAGCTTTTGCACACGAGTACAGACAACATGAGCCGGAGCCCGTGCAGTGGCAGGTTAATTACGAGCAGGTGTGAGGTGGTAATATCCTTTAAAGACTTGTCTAGGATCAGTGAAATTTGGGGGATTTAGCTCAAGCATCTTTTGCACAAGATCCTTCAGATGTGATCTCGAGATTCCTAGGCTTTCTGAAACCTAAGACCAGTAAGCTTCAAATAGAGGTAAAGAAATTAGTAAACAGCCTACCAGATTTTGAACTTTATCCACTGTCCAGCCTAGGGGTAAGAATAATATTTTATTAGTGAGATAGGATAGCAATTAGTAACAATATATATACCAGATGCAGATATTTAACATAAAATAGGCTGTTTCATGAGCTTGTATCTCTTATGACAAAGGAAGATGTCACTGTAATGTTCATGACCGAGGGCCAGCAGACCTGTATGGCTCCTTCCAAAGTGATCCTCATCATTTATATGCAAAACAGCAGCCTGAAGGTAGGCTCTGGCCCAAATGACAATCTGATGCACCATCAGTGCAAGGACCTTTAGCTGTTCTATAGTGCTCACCCTGCTAATCAGAGGATCCTGACCCTGAACTCCACCAGCAGCAGAGCCTCCACCAGCACCACTGAGAGGTCCACCAGCATCACCGAGAGGTCCACCAGAAGGTTCACCAGCGCTGAGGGCTCTATAAACACCAGTAACAACAGTGGGACCGACATTAGCAGCAGCAGCAACAGGAAAAGCAGGACCAATAGGCATACCAGGAGTGCCGATAGGAAGAGCAATTGGAGGATGAGCAACGTGGGGATAAGGTTCTCCAACAGAGCCTGCAGCTATAATGGGACAAATTAAGGTAAGCTGTGTATTTTATACTCCCACTCTGAGTTTTTAATCTTTGCAGAATGGAGTTT